TGATGTGATTCCAGCCTTTATATTTATCCATTCATTGCATTCTTTCAAGATTATATGCATAGGAGACATTATTTTAGTTTATTTTGTATAAGTACAGCTATTCCAGATATAACACACAACTATTTCAAAGATATAGTGTAAGATTTGAGGGATGCCTCAATGTGTATTTGCATTTCTGCAAATTTCCTGGGAAAGGGGTGAATTTGCAGGTTACAATTATAAATTAAAATAACTTTTTGTATCCACTCAGATACCATAATCCACGTTCGGATAATTGCAGAAGGATTTAGCTTTATTTCTTCTATATATTGTTCCTGTATCATTCCAAGCCTGATTATTTAAACCAGGGGTGTCAAACACACATCGTCATGGTGGTGTCACGTGACATATTGGGACTTTTCCCAGGCGTGAGCGTGGCCAGTGTGTGACACATCCGGCCTGTGGGAGTTTGACAGCCGTGATTTAAACCTGTAAGAGGGTGATTATACCCAGCATTAAACCATAATAGCTGGCTTCATAAAGGAAACTTCTCTGCTAGAGACGATGACACAGAAACCATGTTAAATACAGGTAGTCTTTGACTTACGACCACAATTGAGCCCAACATTTCTGTTGTTAAGTGAGACAGCTGTTAAGTGAGTTTTGGGCTTTTGGCCCATTTTGCGACCTTTCTTGCTAGAGTTGTTAAGTGAATCAATACAATACAATACAATACAATTCTTTATTGGCCAAGTGTGATTGGACACACAAGGAATTTGTCTTTGGTCCATATGCTCTCAGTGTACATAAAAAGAAAAGATACATTTGTTAAGAATCATAAGGGACAACACTTAATGATAGTCATAGGGTACAAATAAGCAATCAAATCATACTAGGAAGCAATCAATATAAATTGTAAGGATACAGCAACAAGTTACAGTCATACAGTCATAAGTGGGAGGAGATGGGTGGTAGGAATGATGAGAAGATGAGAAGATTAATAATAATGCAGACTTAGTGAATAGTTTGACAGTGTTGAGGGAATTATTTGTTTAGCAGAGTGATGGCGTTTGGGAAAAACCTGTTCTTGTGTCTAGTTCAGTGATCGGTAACCTTTTTGCTATCACGTGCCAAAAGTGGGGGGGAGTGCAGAGTGGTCATGCACGTGCGTGCCCATACCCATAATTCAATGCGCCCCAACCCCCACGCAATGTGCGTGCGACGCCCCCCCCGTGCTCTCCCCATTTTGGGACATGATGGCACGGTGGGCCCAGGAGGCCCATTTTTCACTCTTTCCAGGCTCCAGAGCCTTTCTAGGAGCCTGGGGAGGGCGAAAACGGCCTTCCCCATCTCCCAGAGGCCCTCCGGAGGCCGAAAACAACCCGTTTGCCAACTTCCAGTGGGCCCGGAAGGCCCGAAAATCAGCTAGTGGAGCTGAGCTCGTGTGCCCACTGATACGGCTCCGTGTGCCACCTGTGGCACACGTGCCATAGGTTCGCCATCACGGGTCTAGTTGTTCTGGTGTGCAGTGCTTTATAGCGTCATTTTGAGGGTAGGAGTTGAAACAGTTTATGTCCAGGATATGTCCTGTAACCATCATAAATATGAACCAGTTGCCAAGCCTCTGAATTTTGACCATGGGAATGCTGCAATGGTTGTAAGTGAAGAAAAACAGTCATAAGTCACTTTTTTTCAGGGCTGTGGTAACTTTGAACAATCACTAAACGAACTAAAGTAAATCAAGCACGATTGGTCCTGGAGCAGAACGTTTGTTTAGTGTTGGTCTACTGGTTACATGCAGAAGTAGAAGCTCCGTTGAAATTCCTGCAGTGGCTGGTACATCATTGTTTGTTATTTTTTTAAAATAGAAGATGTATCTATTTTTAAATCCTGGATTATGAACAAGTGAACACTGCGCAGTGTATATGTGTGGTGCCAGGGGAAGGAGAGGCAGGCCCCAAGGGGGGAAATGAGTAATTGTAGAGATAAAAGCTGGAACAGGACTATATTAACCGTGCAGCTGACAGATAGTGTTTTCCTTGGGCGGGTACTGGGGAATGGAATTTTGTAGCATGAGGTCACCTCTTGATAAAGCAGTAGACGGGACAAAATTCTTGCCAGGTACTTTCAGAACTGCCTATTTTTTTTTATTTTTTAAAAAAAACAACACTGCAAATCCAGCTGATGAAATCCAACATTGAAGGGTACAGACAAAGGTACATACAGGTAGACCACGTATGCACACCCAAAAAGGACTTTCTCCATTTGGAAACCGCTTCTGGATTTTGTGCTTGTGATGGGAAAAAATGGAAACTTTTGATTTGGGTTTTGCTGATTAGACAGGGTTGTTTTTTTTTTTTTATATAGAAATGGATAGTAAGGTAGTCCTCGGCTTAAGATCACAATAGAGCCCCAAATTTATAATAACAATAATAACTTTATTGTCATTGTACGTGGATACACAGTATACCCATACAACAAAATTCACTTAACACCCAAAGACCAAGTCCAACACACATAACAATCCCCAAACACACTCCCACCCATCACAGTTCCCCATCTTTAAACCACCCAAACATCCACACAAAAGTAATGCTGTCCAACAGCTCAGTGATGGCTCACTTATGTTGTTAAGTGAGAAGTTTGTTAAGGGAATTTTGCCCCATTTTATGACCTTTTTAGCCACAGTTGTTAACTGAATCATTGCAGTTGTTAAGCTAGTAGAAATAGCAATAGCACTTAGACTTATATACCTCTTCACAGTGCTTTACAGCCCTTTCTAAGTCAGCCTATTGCCCCCAACAATCTGGGTCCTCATTTTACCCACCTCAGAAGGATGGAAGGCTGAGTCAACCTTGAGCCTGGTGAGATTTGAACTGCCAAATTGCAGTCAGCAGAAGGAGCCTGCAGTACTGCACTCTAACCACTGCACCCCCGTGGCTCCTAATAGCATGGTTATTAAGCGAATCTGGCTTCCCCATTGATTTTGCTTGTCCGAAGGTCACAAAAGCTGTTCGCATGACTCCGGGACACTGCAACCGTTGTAATTTATGAGTCAGTAGCCAAGCACCCAAATTTGGATCACGTGACGGCAAGGAAGCAGCAACGGTCGTAAGTGTGAAAAACGGCCATAAGTCGAAATTTTTTCAGTGCCGTTGTGACTTTGAACCGTCACTAAATGAACTGTTGTAAGTCGACGACTATCTATATATATTATTGGGTGAAAATAAAAAGTTGAGGCTGTAATGTTTTTATTTTCTACTGTGCTAAAAAAAAAGAGTCGGAAGTCAACTCCTTTTTTCCCCCTCTTTTTCTCTTTCTACCCCACACTTTCTCCTTTTCCCTTTTCCCACCCCACGTTTCCCATTATATTCATTTTCTTTGTGTTTTATATTCTGATAACCCAATGATGAATTTTAAAAGCTTAAAAAATTACCTTCTGAGATCTTTTACCACTGTTTTAATTTTCTACCCACGGAGTAGAAATTTTCAATCATTTTGAGAGTAGGAGCCGGAGGCTAAAATAGATGAAGAACAGTTTCAGGAATTGGGTATGTCTGGTTTAATGAAAAAAAGGACTCAGGGTGACATGATAACAGTGTTTCGATATCTGAGGGGCTGCCACAAAGAAGGGGGGAGTCAACCTATTCTCCAAACACCTGAAGGTAGGACAAGAAGCAATGGATGGAAACCAGAGGTAAAATGCACTTACCTTCGCTACCGGATTGCAAATGTGAGCACACGCGCCTCCTCCACGCATGTGCAGAGCCTTCTACGCATGCGCAGAGGGTCAAAACTGGGACGTGATGACGTCCGGGTGGGTGGGCGGAGCCTCCCGCCACCGGCCCTACCAGATCGCGCGAGCCAGATAGATCTGGCTGAATTTCACCACTGAAGGAAACTAATCAAGGAGAGAACCAACCTAGAACTAAGGAGAAAGTGAGAACAATTAACCAGTGGAACAGTTTGCTTCCAGAAGTTGTGGGCGCTCCATCACTGGAGGTTTTCAAGAAGAGACTGGACAGCCACTTGTCTGAAATGGTATATAGGGCCTCCTGTTTGAGCAGGGAGTTGGACTAGAACAGGGGTCCCCAACCTTTCGGACCTCAGGGACCACTAAATTCATAATTTTAAATCCCACAGACCACTAATACGATCTGCCTAATGACCGGCTGGGTGGGCGTGGCTAGGTGGTCATGTGACTGAATGGGCATGGCCAACTTGGTGTCACTCACATTGAGGGGCACCTCGCTGTCTCTACTTGCCCCTTCCCTCCCAGCCACGCATCACCTCCCCGCCCGGGCTCCTTAGGGCCCCAACAGGAAGCAGTTGTTGGAGCTAAGCAGCCTCCATGAGAAAGAGTTGGCAAAACAGATGGCTCAGTTCAAAGTGGATCTGGCCGAGAAGGAGGCTCAGCAGAAGCACCTCATTGAGGAGCACAAGCATAGGCTTTCCAAGCAGAGGGAAGACCTGCAGGAGTGCAAGACCAGGTACTGGTGCATGGAGGCTCAGCGGGCTGAGATGGTCAGCCAGTTCCAGGCCATGATGCAGTCCCACTGGAACGAGGCCCTCCGGCTCTTCGCCACCAGCGACACTTCCCTCCAGCCTTTGCCCAAAGCCCCGCACCAGGAGGCTGAAGCAGACTCCAAGTTTGAATTTCTGCCCCCCTCCGACCCACACAAAAAGACCCCAAAGGGGGAGACTCTTTGCAGCAACACAAACATTCATTGCACATATCCAGCCCATGGGCCATAGTTTGAGGACCCCTGATTTAGTGCAATATAAAAAATACAAATAATTTTTCTGTGGACCACCAAAATTTTCTCGTGGACCACCAGTTGGTGACCGCTGGACTAGAAGTCTTCCACGATCCCTTCCAATTCTATAATTCTGTAGACCACGATAGACCATGGAGAACATAGGCCAGCTGGTCCTCCAAAATTCAAGGTCATGTAAAAGCGATTGGTATGATGTTTCCATACAGATGTTTGCTTTGGATTCACTGCCCTTTTTATTTGCAGGTTACAGTGTGACTGTCAACACAATACCTGTGGTGGGTCGTGTGATCACTGTTGTCCAGGATTCAACCAATTGCCTTGGAAACCAGCCACTACCGACAGTGCCAATGAATGTGAACGTAAGTTTTGTAAGAAACAAAACTGACACAAGGTGCATTGAAGGGTTAACATACACAGATTAGTATGGGGCCCCTATGTTCATGGGGCCCGAGGGCAAGTGCCCATCAGGCCCATGCGTTAAGACAGCCCTACCCTTCTTTGCAGATGGAAGCCAGTCTTTAGACCAGTGATGGTGAACCTTTTCGGTACTGAGTGCCCAAACGGAACGCACACATGTGCATCCAGAGCACCGGAAATCCAAAGACCAGCTGGCTGGTGCACATGTGGGCACCAGACATCTGGTCTTTGAGTTTCCAGTATGCACATGTGTGCCAGCCAGCTGGTCTTCACATAAGCCGGAGCGCCAGAAACCCGAAAACCAGGTGACTGGTGTGCATGTGCACACAGAAAAACCAGAAGAACAGCTGGCAAAGGCACGCATGCCCACAGAGAGGCTTTAGACTTTCTCTGTCAGCTCAGCCTGCCTCAAAGGGTTAGCATTGTGGGTTTTTAAGAAAAGGCTGGACAGCCACCTGTCCAGTGGTGGGATTCAAGTAATTTAACAACCGGTTCTCTGCCCTAATGATTTCTTCCAACAACCAGTTTGCCAAAACTGCTCAGAAAATTAACAGCCGGTTCTCCCGAAGTGGTGCGAACTGGCTGAATCCCACCACTGCACCTGTCTGAAATGGTATAGGGCAGGGGTGGATTTCTTGGAGGGCCAGATCAGCATTGTAGTTGTCCTCCATGGGTCGTCTGGGGAGAGTGGGAGGAGATGGGATGGATGCCCTTCTGCAGCACCCTTGAATGGGGTGCGAGGGGGGGGCAGCGGGCAGCTCCTGCATGCCCCGTTTTCAACCTGGACAGCCTCCTGCAGCATCCTGCCGGTCAAAATCAGGTGCGGGGAGGCGGATTCGGCCCGCGGGCCTTGAGTTTGACACCCCTGGTATAGGGCCTCCTGCCTGAGCAGCGGTTTCAACTAGAAGACCTCCAAGGTCCTTTTCAGCTCTATTCTGATTGATTGATTGATTGATTGATTGATTGACTGACTGACTGACTTGGGAAAAACAAGAAACAGAGTCTCCTGAATGGAAATCAGGATGCTAACCTAACAATTAAATAAACATGGCAGAACATAAGATTAAAATCAAAATCAAAATGCACTCAGAACCTTTAATGTTATCTTGAGAATAATTCAAAAGGGCTGTGGGAGAGTAGATTTTATTTATTTATTTATTTATTTATTTATTTATTTATTTGTTTGTTTGTTTGTTTGTTTGTTCGATTTATATGCCGCCCTTCTCCAGAGACTCAGGGCGGCTTACAATGCATTAAGCAATAGCCTTCATACTTTTGTATATACCTGCTTAGCAGGGCTTTCGCGCCCCCCTCCCCCAAGCGGTGTTCTTTTTTATACAAAGTCAGCTTATTGCCCCCACAATCCGGGTCCCCATTTTACCTACCTCGGAAGGATGGAAGGCTGAGTCAACCTTGAGCCTGGTGAGATTTGAACTTGCAGTAATTGCAGGCAGCTGGTGTTACTTAACAGTACTTTAGTCTGCTGCGCCACCAAGGCGCTGGCTTTCTTTTGGCTTTCTTTCTTTTTTTTTTTTTTAAACATCTGAGGTATCGATTAGCACAGTTCCTGAGTGAATCGTTTTCAGTTGGCATTGACTCAAAAGAATGCCACCCAGTAAGTATCATGGAAGCCTTTTTAAAAATCTTAAGAGTGACCAGCGGGAAAGTGAGAAAGCTGGCTCTGAAAGAGTCAACTTTTAAGGCATTTTAAATGTTCGAATCAACCTTTTCCCCTTTCCAAGTTGGCAAGCAGCACCAGTTCTTGGCCCTAGTATTATGCATCACTTCACGGGATCTCCTGCTGTTTTACATCTGCTGACGTTTCTGGCATTCTTCAAGGATGCCTGACCTAGAGAAATTAGACCTGGACTGGACTCAAAGAATTTAGGAAGGTCACACCTGGTAGTTCTGGAAATGGAAAAGACCGGAACAATCACAGGGTCACAGCTTTGTGTGGGAAGCTGACAAAACAGCCCAGAGCAAGACAGTGGAAAATTACTGCTGTTGTTGCCAAAAAAAAAACAACCCCAAAAAAACCCTACTTGAAGTCATTTGGTGCAGGGTTCAATTCAGTGGTAGGTTGCTACCGGTTCGGTCCGGATCTTGTGAACCGGTAGTAACGGCGGTGGGAGGCTCCGCCCACCCACCTGGACGTCATCAAGGATGCTCTGTGCATGTGCAGAAGTGCCGTGCGCCAGCAAAGCGAGCGTGCACAAGCACACGCTCCCTTTGTGAACCGGTAGCAAAGGTAAGTGGAACCCACCCCTGGTTCAATTGAAAAGAAAATGTTACTTTTAATTGGATCCAGGTATGGACGATGCTTGCAGATGTTATTAAATTATTCAGGATGGCTGAAAAGAAGACGAAATGCAAGGATTTCAACAATGTGGGTGAAAAGCAAATGTTGTGCATCATACGTAGGAGGATCTGCATATTGAAATACAAAGATTCCAACTTAATAATAAAGTATTAATGTGCAAAACCTCCTATGTATGATGAACGGCATTATATTTTCCTGGAAAATAATAAAGGTGGGATATTCATTAATTAATAACAGGGCCTGAATTGGTGATGTTTGTGGCTGGACAGTTCAGTCAATCTTATACAGGTAGTCCTCGACTTACAACAGTTCAGTTAGTGACCATTCAAAGTTACAACGACACTGAAAAAGGTGATTTATGACCATTTTTCACACTTACAACCGTTGCAGTATCCTCATAGTCACATGATTAAAATTCGGATGCTTGGCAACTGACCCATATTTATGACGGTCACGTGATCCCCTTTTGCAACCTTCTAACCAGCAAAGACAATGGGGAAGCCAGATTCACTTAACAACCATGTCTCCAACTAAACAACTACTGTGATTCACTTAACAGCTGTGGCACAAAAGGTGGTAAAATGGGGCAAAATTCACTAAACAAATGTTTCACTTAGCAACAAAAAATTTGGGCTCAATTGTCATCGTAAGTCGAAGTCATAAGTACCTGTCTCAACTTGAAAAATTGGAGAACTTAGAGCAAAAATCTTGCTAAAATCTTGATAATTATTTCATTATTATCTTCTATTATCTAGAAAGATGGAATATTTACAATTGAGAGCATTAAGAGCTCAGTTGAAGAAGACCAACTCTGTACAAAAGGTTATTAGGAAAATAACTGAGGAGGAAAAGGTAGAGAAAGGGATGGAAAATTTACAGGGTGGAAACAGTACAGAAAAGGGCAACCATCAGGATTCATGAAAGTGGAATAGCTTTGCTAAAAGCAAGCTTTTTAAACATTGGAAGCTTCTTAGCTTAATTAAAATGAGAAAGGCTAGAAACAGTTTAATTTTTTTTGTAAAAATGTAAAGAAAATCACGCAGCATAATGAGGCTTCTAGAATTCTGCTTAACTCAAGGAAATGGGAAAATTGACTGGCATTAGATTATGAATAGTTATAATGAAATACAGGTAGTTCTCAACTTAGTACCGCAAATGAGACCAAAATTTCCTTTGCTAAGTAAGGCAAAAAAGTTAAGTGAAGTTTTGCCCAATTTGCGACCTTTTTTTTTTTTTTTTTTGCCACTGTTGATAAGTGAATCCGTGCAGTTGTTAAATTAGTAACCTGGTTGTTAAGTGAATCTGGCCTCCCCATTGACTTTGCCTGTCAGAAGGTCACAAAAGGTGATGATTTTATGACCTCAGAATAATGCAGCTGTCATAAATACATGCCCAGTTGTCAAACATCCGAATTTTGATCATGCGATCATGGAGATTCTGGTGTGAAAACTAGTCTTAAGTCATTGTTTTCAGTGCCTTGTAACTTTTAAACAGTCACTAAATAAATGATAGTAAGCTGAGGACTACTGATAATATTTTAAACAACTTGTGGTTCATATATCTTTTTTTTTTTTGCATTCTGAAACAGATGTGAGTTTCTAGATTCAGTCAAACAATGAACCAAGCACTGTTTTAATATTCCTAACCTTCAGTCTTTTTGTGTGTGTGGAGTACTACAGGTAGTCCTCAACTTACGACCAAGTTGACCCCAAAATTTATGTTGTTAAGTGAGAAATTTGTTAAGTGGGTTTGCTTCATTTGAATCACTGCAGTTCGTAAATTAGTAACATGGTTGTTAAGTGAATCTGGCTTCCCCATTGGCTTTGCTTGTCAGGAGGTCACAAAAGGGGATCACATCAGAGGTGGGTTTCAGCAGGTTCTGACCAGTTCTGGAGAACCGGTAGCGGAAATTTTGAGTAGTTCGAAGAATCGGTAGTAAAAATTCTGACTGCCGCGCCCACCCCCCACCCCCCAAATCTACTCTCTGCCTTCCGAGTCCCAGTTGATCGGGAGGAAATGGGGACTTTGCAGTAACCTTCCCCTGGAGTTGGATTGGAATGGAGATTTTACAGTATCTTTCCCCTGCCATGCCCACCAAGCCACGCCCACCAAGCCACACCCACAGAACCGGTAGTAAAAAAAATTGAAACCCACCACTAGATCACATGACCCCAGGACAGTCATTAATGTGAGTTCATTGCCAAACATCCGAATGTAAATCCCATGACCATGGGGATGCGGCAATGGTCATAAGTGTGAAAAACAGTTGTAAGTCACTTTTTTTCAGTGCCGTTGCGAATTTGAACCGTCACTAAATGAGCTATTGCAAGTCGAGGACTACCTGTATTACTAGAAAACATTGGTGATCAACCAGCATTTTGCAATAAGCAAAATATGTGCATCAATTTAAAGTTATCCAACCACCCAGGGGATTTAATTTAATTTATATATGAAGCCACTGGGTGAGATCATTCGTGGCTTTGGGGTGATATATCATCAATATGCTGATGATACCCAATTATACATCTCCACCCCAGACCACCCCAGAGATGCCCTTTCCGTGATGTCCCATTGCCTGGAGGTGGTACGGGCCTGGATGGGCAGAAACAGACTCAAACCCAATCCCTCTAAGACTGAGTAGCTGTGGATGCCAGCATCTCGGGTTTCAGAGGCTCCATCACTTTTGATAGATGGGGAAAAACTTGCCCCCGTTGATAGGGCTCGCAACTTGGGTGACCTCCTGGATGCTCGGCTGTCCCTAGAAGACCATCTAACGGCCGTGACCAGGGGAGCCTTTGCACAGGTTCGCCTGGTGCGCCAGTTGCGCCCTTTCCTGGACCGAGATGACCTTCGTACAGTCACTCATGCCCTGGTTACTTCCCGCTTGGATTACTGCAATTCCCTCTACATGGGCCTGCCCCTGAGATGCACCCGGAGACTCCAGCTGATCCAGAATGCAGCTGCACGGGTTGTTACGGGAACCCCTCGTTACTCCCATATAACATCCTCCTGTGTGAGCTGCACTGGTTACCAATGGTTCTCCGGGTCCGCTTCAAGGTGCTAGTCCTCACCTATAAGACCCTACATGATTTACGTCCGGGATATTTGCATGACCTTCTCCTGCCTGCCTCTCACCGTCCTGTTCGCTCACATAGGGCCGCTCTCCTCAGGGTTCCGACGGCGAGCCAATGTCGTCTTGCTGTGCCCGGGGGTAGGGCGTTCTCTGTGGGTGCTCCCACCCTCTGGAATGAATTACCTACCGAGCTCCGGACGGCTCCTGATCTCCGCTCCTTCTGTCGGGACTTGAAGACTTGGCTGTTCAAACAAATAGGCTGACTCTGATTCCGGGTTTTATTATTTACTATTAATTAATTATTTGGATTAAAATGGGATTTTATTGTACTTGTTTCTTAACTTGTGTTCGCCGCCCTGAGTCCTTTGGGAGAATGGCGGCATATAAATACATGTAATAAATAATAATAAATAAATTTATATGCCACCCCTCTCCGAAGACTCAGGGCGGCTCACAATACATTGGGATGCGACGGATATTGTCGCATCAGCAATTCTGCCATTGCAAACAGGGCACTGTGTCAATCAGAAATTGTACCAGCTTTTAATCGCCTGTTCTATTATTTCAGCCTGTAATTGCAATGGCCATGCCTATGACTGCTATTATGACCCGGACATTGAGCATCAGAAAGCCAGCAAGAATCGTTACGACCAGTTTGAAGGAGGAGGGGTCTGCATTGACTGTCAGGTGGGGCCTTAAATTTGTACACAGTATTTCCTCTCATTCTTTTGAGCTACAGTGTTTGAATTTTTTTTTTGGAATTGGATTGTTTCACGAACGATCTTGTCTGAGAAGAATGGGGATGATTCTCTAGTTGCTGAAGAGCGAATTTGAAGGGGCCTGGGAGGAGAAATTGCCGAGAAATTGCACTGAGGCTAGTTGTGTCTCCTTAGTTTAATTACAGGTAGTCCTTGACTTATGACCACAATGGAGCCCAGAATTTATGTTGCTGAACAAGGCTAAATGTTTGCTCTATTTTACGACTTTTCTTACCACCGTTGTTAAGCGAATCGTTGCACTTGTTAAGCTAGTAACACGGTTTTTAAGTGAATCTGGCTTCCCCATTGAGTTTGCTTGTCAGGAGGTCACAAAAACTTGATCACATGACCCTGGGGCACAGCAGTTGTCAGTTGCCAAGTGTCTAAATTTTGATCCGGTGACCATGGGGATGCTGCAACGGTCATAAGTGTGGGGAAACGGTCATAAGTCACTTTTTTCCGTGTCATTGTGACTTTGAACGGTCACTAAATGAGCTTGTTGTAAGTCGTGGATTACCTGTGTTTTAGGAGAATTATATTTTTCTTTTTTTTATCCTAATTAAATTGTGACTTTGGGGTTTTTCTCTGCTGGTCTACCAACGAATGCAGTTGTTTGTTTGTTTGTTTGATTGATTGATTGTATCTGTCTGACTCATGATGCCTCAAAATAATGGCAGCTAACAGATGAATTATTTTGCAGCATCATACAACGGGCGTTAACTGTGAGAGGTGCAGTCCGGGATATTATAAATCCCCTGATCATTCCATAGATTCACCTTATATTTGCTACCGTGAGTATTTTCTCTCTGATCTCTACACAGGTATCCAGTGGTGGGATTCAAATAATTTAACAACCGGTTCTCTGCCCTAATGACCGGCTGGGAGGGCATGGCCATGGTGGGCATGGCCAGGGGGCATGACGGGCAGCATCAGCCTCCTGCACCCCTCTGGGAGCAAAAATGGGCTGCGGGGAGGGTCTCACCCCCCCCATGCCCCATTTTGGGCCTAGTAGGCCTCCCTGCAGCCTCCTAGGAGCAAAAACGGGGTGCGTGGGGGACTTCTGGAAGGGGCAGGGAGCAGAGGGGAGGGGCCAGCCAGCAATTTAACAACTGGTTTGGCCAAAGTGGTGCAAACCGGTTGAATCCCACCACTGCATGTATCCTTCTGAGGACATCCCTCCACAGCCTCTCATCCCAAAGGGAAATCTTGTGGGTCTTCAAAATAAGATATGAGGGGCAGCCCTTGAACAAAATAAGTCTTCACTTAATGACAGTGATTGAGACCAGAGTATCCATTGCTGAGTGATGTAAAGTCATGTTGTCACCTGACTTCAACCCTTAACAATGGCAGGTCCGTCAGTTCCTGGTTACTATTGTTAAGTGAGGACTTCACATGATTGCAACTTCCTGCTGGCTTCCCTCTTGAATATTTTATAGGAGACCTATGCTAGTAAGTTTATTATAAAATATAAAATACACCATCTAGTCTACTAGAGAGCCAGTTTGGCCTTGACAGAGTTTGCAGAGATCCAACCAGCACACAAGTTAATAATTCAGCAGGATTCATTTATAGAAGAAACTTGTTTATATACAATAATATAAAATGATGCATGTATACAATACCCATGCAGCTTTTGCAATGTGGTAGCAAATACAAGGACAAGAAGCAGAAGCCAGAACCAAAAATCACAGAAGCTATAATGTAAGGACAAACCAATTCATATATATATATATACAGATCAATTAAGCTAAGCCACACCCAGGCTCCGAGCCGTCTCACTTGTTTACTTGTTGTTTACTCACGAGCTTACTTGTTGTTATGGCTATCCTAGCTCATAATTTCTTATACACTGACAGACCTAGAGGTAAAGGCACCAGGTTAAGAAATTGGGAGAATGCGAGTTCAAATCCCACTTTAGGCATGAAAACTGGCAGGATGCCTTTGGGCCAATCACCAGGTGACTTGAGTTCTAGTCCCACTTTAGGCATGAAAGCCAGCTACTGACTTTGGGCAGTTACTCTCTCTCTCTCTGCCCAACCCACCTCAGAAGGTTGTTTTTGTGGGAAAAATAGGAGGAGGAAGGAATAGCAATAGCAATAGCATTTAGGCTTACATACCGCTTCACAGTGCTTTTACAGCCCTCTCTAAGCGGTTTACAGAGTTAGCCTATTGCCCCCAACAATCTGGGTCCTCATTTTACCCACCTCGGAAGGATGGAAGGCTGAGTCAACCTTGAGCCTGGTGAGATTTGATCTGCCAAATTGCAGGCAGCCGGCAGGCAGCAGAAGAAGGCTGCAGTACTGCACTCTAACCACTGTGCCACTGTGGCTCTGAATATCCAGCATGTTTATAGTCTTGAGTTATTTGTAGGTAGGATATCTATCAATCAATCAATCAATAAATAAAAATGCTGACATCACCTTTCCTTTTAGGCTGCAACTGTGACTCGGACTTTACCGATGGCACTTGTGAAGATTTCACTGGCCGCTGCTATTGCAAGCCAAACTACTCAGGAGAACATTGCGATGCTTGTGCAGACAATTACGTGAACTTCCCCCATTGCTACCGTAAGTATTAGTCTCGGAACTAAGCACTGGTCCCATAACTCTTGAGTGCCTACCTCTCTTGGGGTGTTGGAATCTTTCTGATCAGCTATGAAATTGTGAAGTCTTCAGGAGGGTCAATATGAGGCTAAGCTATTTCATGGAAAGAAATAATGGATTTCCAAGTGCAGCTGATATTTTGGGATCCAAATTGGAGTGTAAGGTAGACCTCGACTTATGACCACTATTGAACCCAAAATGTCTGTTGCTACGCAAGGCGGTTGTGAAATGAGTTTTGCCTGGTTTTTACCACTTTTCATGCCACAATTGTTAAGTACTGTAAATCTGGCTTCCCCATTGACTTTGCTTGTAAGAAGGTTGCAAAAGATGATCGCATGACTTGGCATATGGTAACCATCATAAATACAAGCCAGTTGCCAAGAATCCACATTTTGATCATGTGATCACAGGGATGCTGCAACGGTCATAAGTGTGAAAAACGGTCATGTTGTAATTTGTCAACCGCCGCCCCTTTAGCAGCCAACTCAGATGAGGAGGCGGTGTGGGAGTCAGTGCCAGCATCAAGGCAACCTGAGAGCTCCAAGGGGGAAAAGGGAATGGAGCTGGCAGAGAGAGAGAGAGAGAGAGAGAGAGAGAGAGAGAGGTGGAGCCTGGGCTGTCCATCAGCCCTCAGTTGGAGAGTCAACAGCCTCCAAGTCTGGAGGTGGCTGATGAGGAAGAGGAGGAACAGCTGGGTCCAGTGCCTGATGTGTGGATGCGCAGAAGGCAGAGGAGAGGAGAGCAGTGGAAATCTATGGGCCGATCCTTGGGATGGAATCCATCTCCCTGCCGGACAGACTTGTTAGCCTGCTGTGTGTGTGAGAGAGAAAGACTTTTTACCAGGGCTACTGACGCTCCTAATAAAGGGAACATTTATTTAACTACAGATGGTTTGTCGTGTTTGAGAGCCAGGTCAGAACAGGTCATAAGTAACTTTTTTTTCAGCGCCATTGTAACTTCCATCACTAAACAAAGGATTGTAAGTCGAGGGCCACCTATATTTATGGAGAATTGGATTTATTTTAGTCTAGTGCTTAACTACTAACCAACTTTCTCATTACATAGGATTAATTTTTGTGTTGTCTTTTCTTTCATATAGCGATCTCAATTTTATCTTACAATGCTACTGGAGAACAGGTCCTTCCAGCTGGGCAGATAATAAGTAAGCTTTTGATTTTATTTTCACTTTTTGAAATTCTCATGCTACCTACGTAGTAAAGCGATGGTTTCTTTAGGATATAGAATCAGGATCGAATCCTGACATCCTAGCTGTCAGCACTTCAAGCTGCATTTACTCTAGTGCTGACATAAGAAGGAGGAGCGGAGGCGTCTGGAAACGGACGTTTGACTTTTCACCTACTTATTTTCCCTGGAGATAATATCCTCTAGGAGATGGGATGGGAGGGGGAAATTCCTTTGAGCTGGAGCAGTAGATTAGGGGTAGAATGACTTGGAAGATGGCCAATGAGTGCAGGGGAGTAGGGAACGGAAAGGGAGGGTTTTGGGTCTGGAAGTCAGTGTTGGCTTCAATGGAGCCGGGTTTAAAATGTCGTGCTTAATAAATAAGAGTTTTCCTTCAAAGACTTAGTTTGAAATGCAATTTATTTGAGATGACCTCGAAACCTGACACTAGCAGGATTTCACCAGAAGTCAGGATTCTTCTCGTCTTCACACAAACCCTGCCTGATGGTTCCACCTTTGTACCTGTTTTCCAGACTGTGACTGCAACGTTGCTGGAACAAGAGGCAACACCTGCAGGAAAGATGCTCAAAGTGGGTTGTGTTTGTGTAAACCAAACTTCCAAGGGACGCAGTGTGATCAGTGTGTACCTGGCTACTACGGACCAAATTGCCAACGTGAGTAAACCCTAGCCTAACCAGTGATGTAAAGATCATGAGATGGTTTCCTGGGAAAACTAGTTTTTGAAGGATAGTTGAAGGAAGGGAGAGAAATGGTAGGATCCAGATCAGTGGTAAAATCCAGCAGGTTCTGGAGAACCGGTAGTGGAAATTTTGAGTAGTTCAGAGAGGTGGCAAATACCACCTCTGGCTAGCCCCAGAGTGGGGTGGGAATGGAGATTTTGTAGTATCCTTCCCCTGGAGTGGGGTGGGAATGGAGATTTTGCAGTATCCTTCCCCTGGAGTGGGGTGGGAATGGAGATTTTGCAATATCCTTCCCCCAGGAGTGGGGTGGGAATGGAGATTTTGCAGTATCCTTTCCCTGGAGTGGGGTGGGAATGGAGATTTTGCAATATCCTTCCCCAGGAGTGGGGTGGGAATGGAGATTTTGCAGTATCCTTTCCCCAGTTGTGGGGTGGGAATGCAGATTTTGCAGTATCCTTTCCCTGGAGTGGGGTGGGAATGGAGATTTTGCAATATCCTTCCCCTGCCACTCCCACCAAGCCACGCCCACAGAACTGGTAGTAAAAAATTTGGATTTCACCACTGATCCAGATGTGACAGGGCAAAGTTTTAGGCATTGATAGAAAATAAATGCAGTGTTCTATGTTCATTAAATTTGTAGACAATGTCCTCAAACTGTCCTTATAATCGCAACTGAGCCTAAATTTTCGATTGCTAAGCAAGACAGTCATTAAGTGAGTTTTTACCCCATGTTACCACCTTTCTGGCCTTAGTTGTTAAGTGAATCACTGCCATTGTTAAATGAATAACAGGTTGTTAAGTGAATCTGGCTTCCCCATTAACTTTGCTCGGTCAGAAGGTCGCAAAAGGGGATCACATGACCCCAGGGACACTGCAACGGTCAGAAATTTGAGCCGGTGGCCAAGCATCCAAATTTGGATCACGTTGCCGTGAGGATTCTACAATGGTTGCAAGTGTGAAAAACGGTCATAAGCCACTTTCTTCAGTGCCGTTGTAACTTGAAACGGTCACTAAGTGAAAGATTATAAGTCAAGGGCTACCTCTGCTTTGTTTTAGCATGTATATTCTGTTCATGTCAACTTATAGTGGAAGACAAAGAAGTTCTGATTTCTTGTCTCGTGGTGGAAACTCTTTGTAACATTATTGACTGCCTTGAGATTGTTGATATTAATCAGCTGTGGTGGCACAGTGGGAACAATGCAGTATTGCAGGCTGACTCTGCCTACTGCTAGGAGTTCGATTCTGCCCGACTCCAGAAGGTTGAATCAACCTTCTATCCTTCCAAGGGCGGTAAAATGAGGACCCAGATTGTGTTCTGCCCCAGCTACGGACCCCAAAGAACGCAGCACACACAAACTCTATACAAAGCTTATTTTACTCAAATAACTTAGTCTTTATCAACCAGATTTCTAAGATAAGGTAATCACAGTCTTACTAGAGTTGGCAGAAAGCCCAGAAGCAATTTTGCAGATACGAAAGAGAGTGAACTAAAGTTGTTCTCTACAGCTTGTTGCAAGCGGCGTTCCTTCTTAAATAGGCTAAGGGAGTCGCCAATCAGCCCCAACCTTCTCCTGAGGAGCCACTCCTGCCTTTTGGCAGCTCTGCGCGCCCGTGCATTGAGAAGAGGCTCCTCCTCTTCGTCCTCTTCACTTAAAGGAGCTTCTGGAGGTTCTGAAGGCCCTGGTTGAATCCCTGCCTCTGGCACCACATCTTCTCCAGCCTTCTCACTGTCCGAATCAAGCGCCAGCTGCACAGGCTGCTGGCGCAGCACCACACTAGCCTTCTCGTTGTCGGAATCAGCTGCAATCTGCACAGGCCGCTGATGGGCCACAACAGAGTGTTGGAGGCAATATGCTGATTCTATAGTGGGCTGTAAAGCACTGTGAAGCGGTATATAAGTCTAAATGTTAGTGCTATTGTGTAGAGACAATTATGGTCTGTAATTATGGTCCTAAAATGTTTAATCTCCCCTCTCACAGCTTGCCAGTGCTCGGGGCCTGGATTCTACGAAGGTACCTGCGACAACGAAACTGGACAGTGTCTGTGCCGAACTGGGTTTCAAGGATACTTATGCAACTCGTGTGCTCCTGGCTATTTCAACTACCCACTATGTCAACGTGAGTTGTCAAATATGGAAGAGTAACAGAATAACAGTGTTGGAAGGGACCTTAGAGGTCTTCTAGTCTAGCTCCCTGCTGAGGCAGGAAATCCCATACCATTTCAGACAAATGGTTACCCAATCTCTTCTTAAAAACTTCCAGAGTTGGAGCATTCACAACTTCTGGAGGCAAGTTGTTCCACTGATTAATTGTTCTCACTGTTAGAAAATTTATCCTCAGTTTTAGGTTGCTTCTCTCATTGATTAGTTTCCACCCATTGCTTCTTGTCCTGCCCTCAGGTGCTTTGGAGAATAGCTTGACTCCCTCTTCTTTGTGGCAGCCCCTGGATATTGGAACACCACTTCCTCCTCCTCCTCCTCCTCCTCCTCCTCCTCCTCCTCCTCCTCCTCCTCCTCCTCCTCCTCCCTCCTCCTCCTCCTCCTCTAAATTGGACATACCCAATTCCAGCAACCTTTCTATATATGTTTTAGCCTCCAGTCCCCTCATCATCTTTGTTGCTCTTCTCTGTTCTAACTATGTGCAGTTAGCACATAGGTGTTATGCCAAGCAGGAATAGACAGTGAAGTCAAATGCGGGTAGTCCTTGACTTATGATCACAGTTGAGCCCAGAATTATGGCCTAAGTCATTGTGGTCATTAAGCGAGGCACCTGATTTTTGGTAAGATGCACGTCTTGCTTCTCGTCCGCCCCACCTGCTGCCTGCCAGAAATGCCAGAAATGAGTCTTTGTGACACTCGTTGCACTGCCACCGCCTCTTCCTCATAGAGCAGGACTCTACAAGGCTTGTTGTGCCGTTGCATGCATGAACGGCAGGACTGCCGCGAGTTTCCACATACCGGTGCAGCTGCGAGCTGCAGAATATCAGCTGTGCTGGTATGATGAAGCTTGGAGCGGTGCTGCAGTTTGTGCGTACAACGGCACAATAAACTTTGCAGAGTCCTGCTCCACGAGGCGGCAGCGGGACACGCCAGGGCAGTGCCGGCCAGCCGCTTGGTTGGCATGAAGAACAGGGAGGGGGGGGCGACGGCAGCAACGGGACATCCAGTCCCACGCTCGCTGCTTCTTCCACCCCCAAAATAATAAGACCTCCCACCACCCGATAATAAGGCCACATCCTTATTTTGGGGTTCAATAGAAAATAAGATCCTGTCTTATTTTCAGGGAAACATGGTAAATAAATAAAATAATACAAATTTTTGAGTATGGTATATGGTGATGGAGGTAAAATCTTATTTTGCTAGTCTGGTTGATCCTTTGTTGACAAGAATCCTCCTCCTCCTCCTCCTCCTCCTCCTCCTCCTCCTCCTCCTCCTCTAAATTGGACATACCCAATTCCAGCAACCTTTCTATATATGTTTTAGCCTCCAGTCCCCTCATCATCTTTGTTGCTCTTCTCTGTTCTAACTATGGGCAGTTAGCACATAGGTGTTATGCCAAGCAGGAATAGACAGTGAAGTCAAATGCGGGTAGTCCTTGACTTATGATCACAGTTGAGTCCAGAATTATGGCCTAAGTCATTGTGGTCATTAAGCGAGGCACCTGATTTTTGGTAAGATGCGCGTCTTGCTTCTTGCCCGCCCCACCTGCTGCCTGCCGGAAATGCCAGAAATGAGTCTTTGTGAGACTTGTTGCACTGCCACCGCCTCTTCCTCATAGAGCAGGACTCTACAAGGCTTGTTGTGCCGTTGCATGCATGAATGGCAGGACTGCCGCGAGGTTCGACATACCGGTGCAGCTGCGAGCTGCAGGATATCAGCTGTGCTGGTATGATGAAGCTTGCAGCGGTGCTGCAGTTTGTGCGTACAACGGCACAATAAACTTTGCAGAGTCCTGCTCCACGAGGCGGCAGCGGGACACGCCAGGGCAGTGCCGGCCAGCCGCTTGGTTGGCATGAAGAACAGGGAGGGGGGGCGACGGCAGCAACGGGACATCCAGTCCCACGCTCGCTGCTTCTTCCACCCCCAAAATAATAAGACCCCCCACACCCCGATAATAAGGCCGCACCCTTATTTTGGGGTTCAATAGAAAATAAGATCCTGTCTTATTTTCAGGGAAATATGGTAAATAAATAAAATAATACACATTTTTGAGTACGGTATATGGTGATGGAGGTAAAATCTTATTTTGCTAGTCTGGTTGATCCTTTGTTGACAAGAATCCCAATTACTTAACTCGGTGAGCTTTCAGGCTCGTATTGACGAATACTGAACTTCTACAGTAGGTTAATTTTCTCACTAAGGTCATGAGGTTTGAAACCTAAAATCTTCTTTTTTTCCTGTTAAAGTTTGTGGCTGCAGTGCTATTGGGACTTTGCCCGACGGCTGTGATGCTTCCGGAAAATGCTACTGCAGACCTGAATATGGCGGACCTCATTGTGATCAGTGCAGTTTTGGATATCACTCCTACCCTCACTGCCAAGGTATATCAGTACGAGAAAGGACTCATAGAAAACATCCATTACAGGAAGTCTTCGGTTTATGACCACTTCTTTTAGTGACCATTTGAAGTTACAACAGTGCTGGAACAGTGCTGGAAAAAAAATTACTTACAACCAATCTTCGCACTTAACAACTGTCACAACATCTCTCTGGTTGCATAATTGTAATTTGGACACTTGGGAAATTTATTTATGACTGTTGCAGTGTCCCAGGGTTCTGGGATCACCTTTTGTGACCTTCTGACAAGCAAAGTCAACAGGGAAACCAGATTCACAGCTGTGTTACAACTGAACAACTACAGCGATTCACTTAACTTGTTGTAAAATGAGGTAAAAATCACCTAATAAAGGTTTGCTTAGCAACAGAAATTTGGTGCTCATTTGTGGTCGTAAATCGAGGGCTAACTGTATTATCCCCAACTCCTGCTTATACGGAAACTTCCCAGTTGTGTCCCATAACAACTCCTTTGTGAAGTGGGATGGGATGAGAGAGATTGATTGGTCCAAAACTATCCCATGTGCTCTATAGATCAGTAGATGGCTGCCTTTTGGGACACTTAATTTTATTTCATTGCATGGTTTACTCTAGAGCAGTGATGGCGAACCAATGGCATGTGTGCCGGAAGTGGCACGCAGAGCCATCTCTCTGGGCAGGCCAACCGTCGTCCGCTGCTGTTCCAGGTTCCCGCATGCACATACGTGCCGGCCAGCTGGTCTTCGCACACGCATTCATGCCAGAAACCGGAAGACCAGGTGACTGGCACACATGCATTAAACCGGAAGCTCAGGTTCCCGACATGCATATGCATTCTGGTTTCTGGCGTTCCCCTGTGTACGCCCACACGCTTCCCTGTTTCGGCACTCGGTGCCAAAAAGGTTCGCCAACACTACTCTAGAGATACAAAACAAAACTTGTATATTCTTATTATTTAATTCGTCTTCCCAGCATGTATTTATGTTCCTTCCTCTTACAGCTTGTTCGTGTGACCTTCGGGGCTCGGTGGACAGCAATTGCAACTCCATTGGTCAATGCAACTGCCATTCCAATTATGTCGGAAAAAGGTGCAACCACTGTGCCCCAGGCTTCTATGGGTTCCCTTCTTGCACAGGTGAGATATCGGTCAGTTTCAGCCTGCTTTTGGATGTAGAGAATCAGCCTGCTTTTGTTCCGTATTGCAAGGTTCTGCACCAGTGGTGAAGAATTTGTTAATACCAGTTCTGTAGGCGTGGCTTGGTGGGGGGGTAATGTGACTGGGTGGGTGTGGCCAACCTTTTTTTTTTTTTTAACTTTTAAAAGCATTTTTTCTACAACCTCTTCGGCTGAAGAGGTTGTAAAAAAATACTTTTAAAAGCCTCTGACGATCAGGCAACTCATCTGGGATCGTCAAAGGGTTTTTTTTTTTTTTACTTTTAAAAGCATTTTTTCGGCCAAAGAGGTTGTAGAAAAAATGCTTTTAAAAGTTTAAAAAAAAAGCCTCTGATGATTGCACAGCTCAGCTGGGCAGGGATTTTTGCTACCGGTTCTCCGAACCACCTGCCGCTGTCACTACCGGATCGGGCGATCCGGTCCGAACCGGGAGCATTTCATCCCTCTTCTGCACTGCTACACTTAAGTTTTCAGTAGATTATATTTATCCTGATTACTTTACTCCTTGTTTTGTTGAGACTTTGGGAAAAGTGCAAAGAAGAGTAATTAAGATGATCAAGCTTCTGGAGACAAAAACATATGAAGAACTGTTCCAGGAATTGGTTATGGCCAGTCTAGAGAAAAAAAGGAATAGGAGGTGACATGATAGCAGTATTCCAGTATTTGAGGGGCTGCCACAAAGAAGAGTAGGTCAAATTATTCTCCAAAGCACCAAAAGGCAAGGCAAGAAATAATGGATGGAAACTAATAAAGGAGAGAAGCAACCTGGAATTGAGGAGAAACTTCCTAACAGTGAGGACAATTAATCTGTGGAACAGCTTGCCTTCAAAAGTTATGGGTGCTTATCACTGGAGGCTTTTAAGAAGAGACTGGACTGCCATCTATCTGAAATGCTACAGGCTCTCCTGCTTGAGCAGGGGGTTGGACTAGAAGACCTCCAAGGTCCCTTCCAGCTCTGTTCTGATTGATTGTGTGATTGGCGAATCTGCTACACCCTTAAAGAGAAGATAATTTAAGATAATCATAATTTATATACAGGGTATGAAAAATACAAAGCTTGCTAATAGTTAGTAACACAATTGTTAAGTGACTCTGGCCAGTTGCCAAGTGTCCAAATTTTGATCACGTGACCATGGGGATGCTGCAACAATCGTGTGAAAAATGGCCATCAGTCATTTTTTTCAGTGCCATTGTAACGTCGAACGGTCACTAAATGAATGGTTGTAAGTTGAGGACATATGTAAATTGAGGACATATGTAAGTTGAGGACATATGTAAGTTGTCTGATGATATGTTTTTCATCAGAGAAACGTCAGGATAATAAGAGCACTGTGGTGGCACAGTGGTTAGAATATAGTATTGCAGGCTAATTCTGCCCACAGTCAGGAGTTCAATCCTGACTGGCTGAAAGTTGATTCAACGTTCCATCCTTCCAAGGTCAGTAAAAATGAGGACCCAGTTTGTTGGGGGCAATAGACTGACTCTGTAAACCGCTTAGAAAGGGCTGAAAATCATTAAGAAGCCGTATATAACTCTTAAGTGCTATTGTTATGGTATGAACACTTTGCTATTTTTTTACAGGATAAAAATAAATTCAGTGATAGATAAAATCTTTGAAGTTCATTTGTAAATGTTTTGCAATTGCTTGCAAAATGCTGTTGATGGGATTAATTGATTGCATCCCCTCTAGGCTCCACGGGTAATGTTTCTGCATTTTTTTCCAGCTTGTCTCTGCTCCATAGAAGGTGCTCTTTATGATACCTGCGATCAAGAAACTGGTCAGTGTACTTGCCGTCCCAGAGTAAGTGGGCTGCGCTGTGATGCTTGCATTCCTGGGGCCTATGGATTCCCAGACTGTCAAGGTAATCACAATGCTCCATATAGTGTTAAAATCTTGTTTCAAGATTCAGGGTTAATCTAAATGTTGGGCTATTAGAATATCTATTACTATACCAGGCCGTGTTGCTAACCTTGTTTTAAAATGGATTTATTCATAGTCTTTAATGGTGTTTCGCAACATGGCAGCTTGAAGATGTGTGGACTTCAACTCCCAGAATTCCCCAGCAGGCATGCTGGCAGGGGAATTCTGGGAGTTGAAGTTCATACATTTTCAAGCTGACATGCCAGCAGGGTAATTCTGGGAGCTGAAGTCTACATATTTTCAAGCTGACATGCTGGCTGGGGAATTTTGGGAGTTGAAGTCCACACATTTTCAAGCTGACATGCTGGCTGGGAAATTCTGGGAGTTGAAGTCCACACATTTTCAAGTTGACATGCTGGCTGGGGAATTCTGGGAGTTGAAGTCCACACGTTTTCAAGCTGACATGCCAGCAGAGAAATTCTGGGAGCTGAAGTCCACACATTTTCAAGCTGACATACCGGCAGGGGAATTCTGGGAGTTGAAGTCTATACATTAACATGCTGGCGCAGGCTAGTTGGGGAATTCTGGGAGTTGAAGTTCACCTATCTTCTAGCTGCCAAGATTGAGAAACACTGTTTATAGTGCTGAAATTAAAAACCACATAAAATTCTCACTTTGGTAGCCGAGCGTTTTGTTCAATATTTTTGGAACATAGTAATTTTTTTTTTGCTTTTTGCATTAGTTCAATGTGATTTTTTTTTTATCCTTGAAACCAGTTTTCTTCTTGGCAGCAAATGTAAACCATTAGTTATTCTGCCAAGTCCTTGGCAATAAATAGCTCATGTACCTTTCTAGGAACAGTGTGTGACAAGTACTTTCTTTCTTTTCTTTTTTTTATGTTTTCTCTGATCTGTGCTTGTTTGTTTCAGTGGGATCTTGCAATCCTGCAGGGCTTGTACATGAAGATCATTCTCTACCTGAGGTATGTCTCGTGAATACTGAACTGAGTGTGGAACTTGCTTATTCATAGCTTATTAGTTGACACGCTATGAGGTTTGAATGCAAAGTGAACTTAAGATGGTTTTCCTCTTTTGTGGGAGCTGCAAAATGGCTGCCAATCTGCTACCAGGTACAGTTCAAAATGGAGGATCCAATCTAGGTCAGTCATCAGGACCAGATGTCCTGATGCTGGAACTCATCCTCAGGGAACTTCTCTCTACCAGTGTGTGTGCTTTGGGCTATTCTGCACATCGTATTTGTGTGGTATCTGATTGGATGTGGCTTCCTATTGAGTGACTGGTATGTTGATGGCCATCTGTTAGTGTTTGGCTGTTGTTTCCTTGTGCTGCCAAGTCCTCAGCTCCTTAAGTATCTGATAAATCAGCATTTACCTGTTGACTGATAAGGGACCCATTTCCCAGGTTCCAATCATTTTCCCGGCTATCTTTATACCTGTTCAGCCAACAATCTTAGTAGCTGCAAAATTGAATGCATGCCCTTGTTCATTGCAATGGGAGGCTACCAATGAGTTTGGGTCTCCTCATCTGACCGCTCACTCGTGTGCTTGCAATCTGGTGGTTAGCTCCCTACCCATCTGCCCTGTACAGATACAGGGGCAATCCATGCAGGAGATCCAGTAGATTACATTAGAATTCAATTCAAGGTGCTGGTTATCAGCTGGTTGATACATAGGTTGGGACCAGGTTTGAAAAACCACCTGTTTTCCATTACATCCACATGGCCCACCAGGACAAGAAAGCAGGCTATGGAGCAGGCCCCATCTATGAAGGATATATATCTGGATATATATCTGTTGGGTCTTCAAAAAGGGCCTTCTCAGTGGTGGCCCCTTCCCTATGGAACATTATTCCCCTGGACATATGATTGGCCCTACCCTATTGCTTTTCTGAAAAGTCCTGAAGATGAGGTTTTGTTAGTAGGCCTGGGGACCACAAATGGAGCTGGAGCTGAACCAGTTGATTTGATTGTGTTGCTGTTGTCATAAAGGGACAGGGGTTATGATCCTTATGTTGTGGATTTTGAATGTTGTACACCGCCCAAGACGGTGGTCGGTTCGGCCCGGTTCTCCCGAGCTGGTAACGGTGACGATATGACATCAGCAAACCGGTTCTGCCTCCCCTGCGTTCCCCCGCGTTATTCTTACCTTTTATTTGGTCCCACCCCCAATCTATTGCTGCCTCCTGAGTCCCAGCTGATGGCTAGAGGGAAAAAAACTGTTTAAACTCTTGCTGGGGGGCTTTAAAGGGCCGCCCTACAGCTAATCAGTGTTAAAAGAAAACAAATGAGTAGACCAGTGCCTGCAAAAATACATGAGTAGATCAGTGCCTGCAAAAATACATGAGTAGATCAGTGCCTGCAAAAATAAATGGGTAGACCAGTGCCTGCAAAAAATAAATATATTTATACTTTGTATAAATATACAAAAGTATTAAGGCTATTGCTTAATGCATTGTAAGCCGCCCTGAGTCTCCGGAGAAGAGTGGCATATAAATTGATTTTTTTTTTTAAAAAATGGGTAGATCGGTACAGCTCTGCAAGCAGTTAAAAGCCTGGTAGACCAGTACCTCTGTTAAATCCTAAGTAATTGTCACATGACCATTAAGCCACACCCATAAAATAAGCCACACCCACAGAACTGGTAGTAAAAAATTTTAGAACCCACCCCTGGCCCAAGGTCACCTGCGAGTTGGACAGCCATATAAATTTGTTTAAGAAACATGCAAACATACAGCCTGCATTTGACGGTGGAGTTCATTTGGAGTCCCAAAGAAGCTTTTTCAGGAGGCAACTGGACTTTCTTGTTTTTTCTTTTGAAGACGTTTTGCTTCTCATCCAAGAAGCTTCTTCAGCTTCTGACAGATAGTGGAGAATGGAAGGATTTATATTCCTTGCATCCTTTGGATGCAGATTACCAGCTGCCTGCAAGGAATATAAATCCTTCCATTCCCCACTATCCTGTCAGAGCTGAAGAAGCTTCTTGGATGAGAAGCGAAACGTCTTCAAAAGAAAAAACAAGAAAGTCCAGTTGCCTCTTGAAAAAGCGTCTTTGGGATAACCATGACCTGGATGACAGAGAATCTCTACAAAATTCATTTGGAGGACTCTGAGAACAGTCAACAATTCAAGCATGACTTATTGCTGAAGCCTACTAACAAATATTAACAAATGATAGAAATGCAACCTTTTCTTACAGCCACTTCCCAGTAACTGGAATCAGGAAACACATGCCTAAGAACTTGTCAGGTTTTCTTGCATTCAACCCGTACTTTTCAATACCTTCACACATTAATCCAAATCCATATTGTGTAACCCAAACGATAAATGATGTAATATAAGGCAGTATTTTTCGTCCTATCCAATACAGGTACTCCTCGACTTACGATCGCAATGGAGCCCAGAATTTCTGTTTTCTAAGTGAGGCAGTTGTTAAGTGAATTTTTCCCCATTCTACAACTTTCCTTCTCACGGTTCTTAAGTGAATTAGTGCAATTGTTCAGTTAGTAACCCGGTTGTTAAGTGAATCCAGTTTCCCCATTGACTTTGCTTGTCAGAAGGTCACCACAAGTGATCACGTGACCTCAGGACACTGCAACCGTCATAAATATGAATCAGTTGCCAAGCGTCTGAATTTTGATTACGTGACCACGGGGCTGCTGTGATGGTCCTAAATGCAAAAAATGGTCATTAGTCATATTTTTCAGGGCTGTTGTAACTTTTGTCACTAAATGAATGGTCGCAAGTCAAGGATTACATGTACTACTGTTGTTTTGGCTCGATTCTTTGATAGACTCTTTCAAATCTCTAAACCTCTTCCTCGTTCACTTTTACCTATTTGTTCCTCAGGGTTCCTGTGAATGTCGGGCCTATGTGGAAGGTGAAGCTTGTGATAAATGCAAACCGCTCTATTGGAACCTGACTCCAGAGAATCCATTTGGATGCACAAGTAAGAAATACCCCTTGTTGCTATGGATTAAATCCAGGAGAGAAGGCCTCCTTGCTCCCATCTTCCAACAAGTGAATTTACCATCAAATCTCTATGGAGATTCTCAGTCATCCAGGTCATGGTTGTCCCAAAGGCAGGAGTGGGATTCAGCCGGTTTGGATCGGTTCGGGCCTACCGGTTCGCTCGACGATCAGGTAGGCCCACCCACCCCTGCACGCTTTACTTAACTTTATCCTCAGCTGATTCATGCGGCAGAGCGGATTGACATGCCTCAGCTGTGTTAGTCCCCAGAAGTAATGTGGAAATTTAGTTTTGTCAAAACTGTGCACAGCATGCGATCATCAAACCGGCAGGATCCCACCACTGCCCAAAGGTGCTTTTTCAAAAGGCAACTGGTCTTTGTTTTTTCCTTGAGGAAGACATTTCGCTTCTCAGCCAAGAAGCTTCTTCAGCTCTGACTGGATGTGGGGAGGGGGGAAGGAAGAGGGATGGAAGGATTACAGGTAGTCGTCAATTTACGACCACAATTGAATCCAAAGTTTGTGTAGCTATGCGAGACGTGGTGGGTTTCAATTTTTTTACTACCGGTTCTGTGGGTGTGGCTTGGTGGGCATGGTGTGGCTTGGTGGGCGTGGCTTGGTGCGCGTGGCAGGGGAAAGGATACTGTAAAATCTCCATTCCCACCCCACTCCAGGGGAAGGATACTGCAAAATCCCTATTTCCTCTCAATCAGCTGGGACTTGGGAAGCAGAGAATAGATGGGGGCGGGGCCAGTCAGAATTTTTACTACCGGTTCTCCGAACTACTCAAAATTTCCGCTACCGGTTCCCCAGAACTGGTCAGAACCTGCTGAAACACACCTCTGGTGTTAAGTGAGTTTTGACCCATGTTACGATCTTTTTTGCCACAGTTGTTAAGTGACTCACTGCAGTTGTTAAGTTAGTAACATGGTGTTAATTGAATCTGGCTACCCCACTGATTTTGCTTGTCGCAAAATGGGATCACATGACCCCGGGACACTGTGACTGTCATATTTATTCAGACACTTGGCAAATGACTCATATTTGTATTTCGAATATGTGACCATGGGGATGCTGTAACGGTCATAAGTGTTAAAAAAGACCAAAAGCCAGTTTTTTCAGTGCCATTGTAACTTCAAATGGCCATTAAATGAATTCTGTAAGTCAAGGACTACGTGTAGCATCCCAAGTCTGCGCCCCAATCAGAGGATTGACTCAGAGCAATAAATGGAAATATAAAGCCACGGCATTGATTTCACAATGGATTCACGTGCCACACTAACCCATAACATCTGTTTTTATTCAGTTAATTTATTTAAGCAATTTATTTGGCTGCCAATCGCTTAGCAGTAACTCTGAGTGGTGTACCAGAAATTGAAACCAAGCAATCCTAACATAACAAACAACCAAGCTCTGTTGTATAATAGACATTTATAACCAAGTGTTGTGTTAGTTAAGATGCGACAATTTCACATTATGGGTAAGAATGGTGCGGTGGCCTAGAGGTGGAACTCTTGCTTCACAATCAGGAGGATGTGAGCTGGATTCTAGGTAGAGGCAGACATTTTTCTCTCTAGGCACAATGAAAATATATCTGCTGAACAAAACTCTGCATTAGCGACAGGAAGGGCATCCGGCCATTAAACATTCTACTAGCTCCATTGAGTTGCCCAGACTCCACCCCACAAGGGATTTTGGGGTCATTAAAAGAAGATGAATTTAACATTATGGGTCCTGGTTTAATCCATGTGTTGTAAGTAAAGTTACTATGGCTTCTTTAATAAACAGACTCTCCAATTGTTCTTTTGTGTTTTTCTTCAGGCTGCCAATGCAATACCATAGGAACATTGGCAGGCGTTGCTGAATGCCAACAGGTAGGTTTTGGAGTAGACCTTATTCTAGCCTTCCTCAACTTGATGTCCTTCCACTTCCGCTCTGCTCTTTGGTGGGCTGATGGGGAACGATGGGATTAGTAGTGCAACACAACAGGAGGTTGGGAAAAGCTGCCATAAGTTACTCCAGGTCAGGTATTTCTAATGGTCTGTTCTGTCCCCATCCCCACGCACACACACCAACAGATGTTCAGGAGTTAAAGACCAAACCAGCCGGCAAAATCCTTTTCCTTATGATAACGGAATTTGGCAACAACCTAGTGGCTGCCTGCCAAGAGTTTATTATTTACAAAGAGGAGAGATAACTTCTCCCCACTTCTGATACATCAAAGGAAAGCAGCTCAATAATTACGGAATTAATCAAGTCCAGAGATACTCCAGCAAAGTCTTAAAGCAAAAGTCCGGCAATGCAGAATGGCGTGGAAGCTTTCAGCTTTGTTCATCACAAAGTTTGACTGGCCACCACGCTCCCTTTTATATCCTGTGGGGTGTGGTCCAGTGATTCAGCCTAATCTCGGGCATGCCCTTTCTTCTGTTGCGTGCGCTTATCTCTGCGACGCTGGCATGGGTCCAGCCAAGACTCATTACCCTCATCACTGTCCATCTGTGGCTGCGTGGACATGCTTGGCCCTGGCCCTATCTCTTGCCCTTCGGCGGACACTGAAGACATTGCCAGAGAGGAGGGTCCTGGAGAGGGAGGCCTTGCCAACTCCTCTTCTTCACTCTCGGAGTCCTCTCCTGCCGATGACACAGGCTCAGGTAACGGGGCCACAACATGGTCTGCAGAGTGGGTTTATATCTGTCCCCATCTTTTAGCCAAGCAAATTAACAAATGGTGTCAAGTAACTCTTCTGAGTTCAATCATCTATATACGGTTGAAACTTGCGTCTGTTTGTAACCTTCAATTGGACAAAACCGGTGCGTCATATGGCAAGAGTTGTTGAAATTAAGGACTTCAAATGGGCTAATTTATAGAACGCAAGGGCCTATTGTTCCTGTGAGAATAACATTTGGGCAAGTTGTGATCGCTTCAGCACTGCCCGGTTGCTGTGGCTACTTCAGCGCTGCTGCGGTCACATGATCTTCGTTTCCAACATTAGATGAGATCATCCAGTTCAGTCATCTGAAATGTGCTGTTGTGGTCTGCCAGCAGCCTGTGGAGGTGGCAGCAGAGTCGGACAGTGAGGAGGGTGGGGGGGAACATGGGCCAGTCCTGGAGTCTGGGGAAGGCTCGGACGAGGGCTCTGCGTCGGAGGCAGAGATGGGGCCAAGGCCATCTGGGAATTAAGTGTGGCCTCCGGAGCCTCCACAGTCGTATATCAGAGAGGCAGAGGAACAGGAGGAGCCTGTTCGTAGTGTGTGCATGCGCAGAGCTGCCAGAAGGCAAGAACAGTTAAAACAAAAGGGATGACTCGGGAGTAAGGCCTGGAGATGATTGGCCCCTCCCATAAGGCTTAAAAGAGGAGCAAAGGCATGTGGGCCCGTTGCAGGAAAGCAACGTTGCTAATTCTGTTCCCAGTCAGCATCTCTGTTTGATTCTGGACTCCATGTGGCTTTGCCAAGTAGGTCTTTGGTAGAGTATCAAGGGAGATAAAGGTGGGTGATTATCCCGAAGGATTTCTCCCGAAGGACTTTTTGCAACTAATTGGAACTCAGCTGTGAATGAACGTAATTCACAGCTGTTGCAATAAAAGAGGTTTTTGGGACTACTCATGTGTTTTAATGACTCAGGAAGCCTAGGTCACAACATGTGCAGGAATACCAGTTAAACCATCCATGAGATCTTGGCTGTCTCATCTTCTTGAAAACTTTCAGGATGGAAAACCCACAGCCTCGGTAGGTCCACTGTTGAACAGATATTGTTATTAGGGAGGTTGCCTTTGTATTTAAATCAGGGGTGTCAAACTCGATTTCATGGAGGGCCGCATAAGGGTTGTGTTTGACCTCGGGGAGGGGGGGCAGGGAGGGGCATGGCCAGGGGGGCGTAGCCAGTTCGACGTCACTTGCCAGAGCTCTGTTTTTGGCCGCAACGGCCTCCTGCAGCCCTCCTGCTAGCGAAAATGGAGTTCGGCCTCCCCAACCTCCGTTTTCGCTGGCAGAGACTGCATCTGAAAATGAAGACTGGACGGGCCGCGTACAGCCTACCCAAACTCTGTTTTTGCTAGCAGAGAGCTGGTCCTTTGCTGTTTCCAGGCAGTCCTGTGGGCCAGATCCAAGCACCCTACAGGCCAAATTGGCCCATAGGCCTTGGGTTTGACATCCCCTGATTTAAATGAAACCTAAGCAACTGCAACTTTTATCCATTATTTCTTGTCCTGGTTTCTTTCACCATGGAAAAATAGATCGTTAACATCTTTCCTGTGGCTTCCTTATGAGTGCCAGAATACGATACAATTTTACTTTTAATATACCGGTATTTAATTATGAATAGATCTCATTGCCCTCATTTTGTCTTGCATTTTTTCCATCTTTAAAATGTGGTGTGGTCATAGTCCATATGCAATCAGTCAATCAAACTATCTATCAATCAATCTATCAATCAATCAATCTGTCTGTTTATCTCTTAGAGTGACGGACACTGTTTCTGCAAGCCAAACATTTGCGGCCAAAAGTGTTCTACTTGTCGGGAGGGATACTTCAATCTGGAGAGCGGTAATTACTTCGGCTGTAAAGGTACATCGTTTTCTACCTTTTATAAATGTTCTTAAATCAGTAATTGGAGGAAGACAATAAGCTGTGGGTTCCTCAGACCAGAATTGAGGAGAATCCTAGAATTGGAAAGGAGGCATTTAAAGTGTCTGAGGATCCAATGTTTCTCTAACTTGCCAGCTTTAAGATGGGTTTCTTCGTCATTATTTTCAATTTTTTTTCCATTTCCTCAAAAATGGAAATGATGTTTGTTTGTTTGTTTGTTTGTTTGTTTGTTTGTTTGTTTGTTTGTTTGATTTATTTATTTATTTATTTATTTATTTATTTATTTATTTATTTATTGGTTCAATTTATATGCCGCCCTTCTCCGGAGACTCAGGGCGGCTTACAGGGTGGATTTGTTTTAAATCGAGTCGATTTAAATCACAATTTAAATCATGATTTAAATCACTAGCAAAAAGGCTTGATGTAAATCAGCTCGATTTAAATCATAATTTTTAAAGAGCAACTGTCATCTCTGCTACTCCTTTGACCTACTGTTGACTCACCGATAGTCCCAGTGTTGCAGAATATACAGCCTCATGCTACATAACTAAGCTCCATTTCATGCTGAATAAACTATTTATGTATCTTAAATAGAAAACTATCTTACGATAGATTTTTACCCAAAAGTTTTTTATTAAAACAAATTCGATAAAAATCAAAAAAATCAGATTTAAATCAAAAAAATCAGATTTTTTAAAAAAAATTTTAAAAAATCATTGATTTTTATCCAGCCTGGCGGCTTACAATGCGTTAAGCAATAGTCTTCATATTTTTGTATATACCTGCTTAGTAGGGCTTTCGGGCCCCCCCAAGCGGTGCTCTTTTTTATACAAAGTCAGCTTATTGCCCCCACAAACTGGGTCCTCATTTTACCTACCTATGTTGAAGCAATGGTGGCAGGTAACATTTATCGCATTGAGTTATCCCGTGTACAATTGTCCTGTGGCAAGTTGTCCTGCGGCAAATTGCCTCATGGTGGTTTGGCCATGGTGAATTGTCCCATTCCGGTATTAAGAGTATGTTGTGTACCAGGGTGACTTATTGTTCATTAATTAATTAATTAATTAATCCATTCATTCATTCAATTTATATCTCATGCTTATTATTTTTATAAATAACTCAAGGTGTTAGGTGAACACACCTAATACTCCTTTCTCCTCCTTTTTTCCCTGCAGCAACAAACACTCTGAGATGGTTGGCCTCAGAGTTTGGTACTGGCCCAAGGATACCCAGCTGGCTTTCATGCCTAAAGCAGGATTAGAATTCCCAGTCTCCTAGTGATTGGCCCAAAGTCACCCAGCCATCTTTCAAGCCTAAGGCAGAACTAGAACTCCCAATCTCCTAATGATTGGCTCAAAGCCACCCAGCCAACATTCATCTCTAAAACAGGACTAGAACTCCCAGTCTCTTGGTGATTGATCCAAAGTCACCAGCAGGCTTTCCTGCTTAAGACAGGACTAGAACTCACAGTCTCCCAGTTTCTAGCCTGGTGCCTTAAGCAATAGATCAAACTGGCATAAAAATCTCCCAAGGAGGAAATTTTTTTTTCCTGTTGCTGCTGATTAGATATCTAATCAGCAGCATCACACCATCCAAGGATATCTAATAACATATCCTTGGATGGTGTGAATGGCTAATCTACAAGCATAGCTGGAAAACCTTATAAATCAGCAAGTGATAACAAGCAGAGTATCCGGTATTGTTGTTTAGAACTGGACAGTGGTAGAAACAATTCCCAACCAGGCTGGAAGTCAACGTGAACATTGATATAATGGAATAAAAATAGATGTACAAACTGCTTCTATTCCCTTTCAAGCCACATCTTGTTGTTTGCTACTTGGGACCAATTGTCAGCAGTGGAAAGCAGGGTGGATTTGATTTAAACCGAGTTGATTTAAATCACAATTTAAATCATGATTTAAATCACTAGTAAAAAGGCTTGATTTAAATCAACTCGATTTAAATCATAATTTTTAAAGAGCAACTGTCATCTCTGCTACTCCTTTGACCCACTGTTGACTCACCGATAGTCCCAGTGTTGCAGAATATACAGCCTCATGCTACATAACTAAGCTCCATTTCATGCTGAATAAACTAAATTATTTATGTATCTTAAATAGAAAACTATCTTACGATAGATTTTAACCCCAAATTTTTTATTAAAATAAATTTGATAAAAATCAAAAAAATCCAATTTAAATCAAAAAAATCTGATTTAAATAAAAAAATCTGATTTTTTTTTTAAAAAAAATCATTGATTTTTATCCACCCTGGTGGAAAGTAATCATGTGTGTCTTCTTGCAGGATGCCATTGTGACATCGGGGGATCAGTTGGTCCTTTGTGTGAGGAGACGACGGGATCTTGTCAGTGCAGGCACAATATCAGGGGACCTGCATGCTCTGAGTAAGAAGCAGTTGCAATGGATTTATTGTAGGGTGGTAGATTTCTAACTCTTTTGAATTTCGAGTCCATTATTATTTTTATTTTACTATTTTATACGTGTGATAGTGTGAATGAGCCACTAAGAACACGGTCCTAAAGATAATAGGCAGAACGAAAAGGTTTTAAGTACAGGTAGTAACGCAATTGAGAGCAAAATTTCTGTAGCTAAGTGAGACATTTGTTAAGTGAGTTAGGCCCCATTTTACGACCTTTCTTGCCACAGTGGTTAAGTGAATCACTGCAGTTGTTGGGTTAGCTAAATGGTTGTTAAGTAAATCTGGTTTTCCCATTGACATGGCTTGTCAGAAGGCTGATGATCACATGATCAGCCTGGGACACTGCAACCGTCATAAATATGAATCAGTTCACGTGAGCCCAGGAATGCTGCAATGGTCGTAAGTGTGAAAAAGGGTCACAACTCCCTTTTTTCAGTGCCATTGTAAATTTGAAGAGTCCCTAAAAGAACTGTCGAGGACTACCGGTACTGCATTTTTGTTATTTTAATTTTAATAATATTTTCTTGATAAGAATGCAAATACAGATAGTCCTCAGCTTAGGACCACAATTGAGCCCCAAATTTTTGTTGGCAAGCGAGACAATTGATAATTGAGTTTTGCTCCATTTTACACCCTTTCTTGTCACCGTCGTTAAGTGAATCCCTGCAGTTGTTAAGTTAGTAACGGGGTCGTTAAGCAAATCTGGCTTCCCCATTGACTTTGCTTGTCACAAGGTCACAAAAGAGGATCATGTGATCCAGGAGTGGGTTCTACTTACCTTTACTACCGGTTCGCAACGGGGCCGTGCACGCGCTCTTCTGCGCATGCACAGAAGTGTTTTCATGATGTCAGGGTCAGTGGGCGGGGCCTCCCGACGGTTTTACTACCGGTTCTATAGAACCGGTGCGAACCGGGGGCAACCCACCACTAATGTGACCCCTGGGGCACTGCAACTGTCATAAATATGAGTCCGTTGGCTGAGGATTTGAATTTTGATCACATGATCACAGGGATGCTGGAAAGGTGGTAACCGGAGGTGGGTTTCACATATTTTCACCACCAGTTCTCTGCGCACCAAAAATGTGAGCATGTAGGCATGCATGTGCGTGGCTTAGAAAATGTGGTTAAATAGGATGGCATAGCGCCGGGGCAGGTTGCCACTACCGGTTCAGTTGAACCGGTCGGAACCGGCTGAATACCACCACTGATCCAGTAGTGGGTTGTTCCCGGTTCAGACTGATTCGCAAGAACTGGTAGTAAAACTGGCGGGAGGCTCCGCCCATTGACCCGGACATCATCAGAAGTGATCAGCACATGCGTGCGGGCACGATGTGAACCGGTAGTAAAGGTAAGTAGAACCCACCCCTGCACTGGTCGTAACTGTTAAAAACGGTCCTAATCACATTTTTTCAGTGCCGCTGTAACTTTGAACGGTCACTAAACGAACTGTTGAAAGTTGAAAACTACCTATAGATTTGAAACAGGGGTGAAATCCAGCAGGTTCTGACAGGTTCTGGAGAACAGGTAGCGGAAATTTTGAGTAGTTTGGAGAACCGGCAAATACCATCTCTGCCTGGCCCCAGAGTGGGGTGGGAATGGGGATTTTGCAGTATCCTTCACCTGCCACGCCCACCAAGCCACGCCCACAGAACCGGTAGGGAAACATTTTGAATTTCACCCCTGATTTGGGGGTATTCTGCGGGGGAGGCGGAAATGGCAATGATTGAATTGATCCTAAGCATACTGTATGTAGCCTTTGTCTGCTTTGTGATACAGAAAAGTGTGTGTTGTTTAATATATTCCTTCATCTTTATCTGCAGTCCTGCAAAAGGCTATTATATCCCTGACCTTCATCACCTGAAATATGAGCTGGAAGAGGGAACCACCGTGGATGGAAGGCCGGTTCGCTTTGGCTACAGTCCTCTGGAATTTGAGAATTTCAGCTGGAGGGGATATGCACAAATGTCCCCCATCCAGGTACTTGAACGAGAGTTTCCAGCATTAAAATTTGAGATACACAAAGCACTTCCGTACAGGTAGTCCTCGACTTAAGGACCACAACTGAGCACCAAAATTTGTATTGTTGAGTAAAACATTTCTTAAGGGAGTTTGGCCCCATTTTACGACTTTCTTTTCCCACGGTGTCGTTAAGCGAATCGCCGCAGTTGATAAGTTAGTAACCCGGGTTGTTAAATGAAACTGGCTTCCCCCCACTGACATGGCTTGTGAGAAGGTCGCAAAAGGGGATCAGGTGACACTGGAACCCAGCAACGGTCATAAATATGAGTTTTGATTACGTGATCATGGGGACGTTTATAGCTGTGAAAAAGGATCCTAACTAAGTCCCTTTTTCCAGTGCCCTTGTAACTTTGAACGGTCACTAACTGAACTGTTGTAAGTCGAGGACTACCTATATATAGCCCGAAAGGCAAAATTACTGCAGGTTCGAATCTTGCCAGGCTCAAGGTTGACTCAGCCTTCCATCCTTTCTAAGGTAGGTAAATTGAGGACCCAGTTTGTGGGGGCAATAAGCTGACTTTGTATAAATATACAAAAGTATGAAGGCTATTGCTTAGCGCATTGTAAGCTGCCCTGAGTCTCCGGAGAAGGGCGGCATATAAATCAAATTAAAAAAAAAAAAAGGCATGGGTTAACCATTATATGTAATTACAGCTCACCCTACTGTTTGCTGCAATGTTCAACATCTCTAAACCATATGGGCTGTCAACGAAAGAAAATAATTTAAAGTAATTTATATAGGATTTTCATGGCTGTCCTACAGAAGTGCTTTATTTGCTGAAAACTTAAAATATAGGTAGTCCTCGACTTACAACAGTTCACTTAGTGACTTTCGTAGTTACAACATCGCTGAAAAAAAGTTTCTCACACTTCTGACCCTTGCTGCATCCCCATGGTCATGCAATTAAAATTTGGACGCTTAGCAAATGACTCCAATTTATGACGGTTGCAATGTCCCAGGGTCATGGGATCCCCTTTTGCAAACTTCTGATCAGCAAAACAGAGGTGGGTTTCAGCAGGTTCTGACCAGTTCTGGAGAACCGGTAGCGGAAATTTTGAGTAGTTCAGAGAACCGGTAGTAAAAATTCTGACTGGCCCCGCCCCCATCTATTCGCTGCCTCCCAAGTCCCAGCTGATCAGGAGGAAATGGGGATTTTGCAGTAACCTTCCCCTGGATTGGGGAGGGAATGGAGATTTTACAGTATCCTTCCCCTGCCATGCCCACCAAGCCACACCTACCAAGCCATGCCACGCCCACCAAGCCACGCCCACAGAACTGGTAATAAAGAATTTTGAAACCCACCACTGCAGCAAAGTCAAGGGGGAAGCCAGATTCATTTAACAACCTTTTTACTAATTTAACAACTGTGGTGATTCATCTATGGCGAGAGGTTGTAAAATGGGGCAAAATTCACTTAACAACTGTCTCACTTACCAGCAGAAATTTTGGGCTCAATTGTGGTCAGGACTGCTTGTGTTTGATGTGACTTTCAAAATGCCTCACTGTGTCCAAGGTTTTTAATGTTTATTTAATAAAAACCGTTTTAAAAAAAATGTCTCGGAAGTTTTCCAAAAACCTCAAGGTAAACTGAACCTAAAAGTAGATAGTTGCTTCTTATTGTTGCTTACTGGGGAGGGTCTAGGACAGGGGTGTCAAATTTGATTTCATTGAGGGCCGCATCAGGGTTGTGTTTGACCTCGGGGGGTTGGAGTGGGAGTGGCCAGGGTGAACATGGCCAGCTCGACGTCACTCGTGTTGGAGGCGCCTGTGGTAGCCTGTGCACTCTGGCAGCGAAAACAGGCTCCCGAGCTCCATTTTCAGTGTGACGGCCTCCTACAACCCACTGTCAGCGAAAATGCGGCCTTCCTGAGCTCCATTTTCAGTGGCAGAAGCCCCGCGGGCCAGTCCTTCACTGTTTCCAGGACAGTCCCGCGGGCCGAATCTAAGCACCCCGTGGGCCAGATGCGGCCCGCAGGCCTTGAGATTGACACCCCTGGTCTAGGACAACTCAGTGCGGCCAACATGCCATGACCAACTCGCCACAGCCAGCTTGCCACAGACGACTCGCTGTGGCCAACCCTCTGCAGGACAACTGGCCACAGACAACACTGCGGGACAAGAGTTACACTAATATCGAAGAAATGGTGGAATAGACTCATTAAAGAAAGGATGTAAAAGGAGGGACAAAATGAAATGTGAATGACAAAAATGAAAATAAATTTTGAATTACTTTAAATACGTACGGTAAATTGAATTGTTGAATTGTCCCGCAGCGAATTGGCCACAGAAAATTCTCCCACTGCAAGTTGGCCATGACAAGTTGGCCACGCCAAGTTAAAGTAACTTACTTTGAATTATCTTTACTTTTAAACAAACAAACATACAAACAATACATCCTTAATCATTCAGTGTTTCATCTGAGTGCATATTTTGTGTCTCCTACTCCCTTCTCCATCATTTTCATATCTTATTTCTATCATACCTTTATATTTTCATTTAAATTGTTACATTATTCTTCCCAAATTTCTTACGTTTATATTAATTCATCAATTATCTAAATTTTTATATATATCTCTCTTCTCTAACCATTGATATAATTGCCCCATACTTTAAAATTCTCCGATTCTTCCTTTTCTTTAATTACCAATGTTAATCTATTCATTTCTGCACATTCCAATATTTTCTTAATTACTTCTCCCTCTAAAGGGATTTTCTCTGCTTTCCAATTTGTTTGTTTGTTTGTTTAAAAAATAAAATAAAAAACTTTTATAAAAAAAATCTTTACTTTAACTTTCCGTTGGGACAACTGGCTGCAGGATAAGAGTTACACTATTATCGAAGAAATGTTGGAATTTTAATTACTTTAATCTTGGCAATTACTTTATAAATTATTTAAATTTAATTTAAACGATTTAAATTGATTTAAACACATTTAAATAATTTAAATTAATTCATTTAAATTGCTTTAAAGTAATTGCTAAGATAATGGTGGTGATTACCTTGGTAATTGCTTTATCAAAGAAATGGTGAAATTTTAATTACTTTAAATACTTAAATTGAATTGTTGAATTGTTCCACAGCGAGTTGTCCCACGGTGAGTTGGCCACGGAGAGATGTCCGGCTGCAAGTTGGCCGTGACAAGTTGACCATGGCTTGTTGGCCTCACTAAGTTGTCCCATTTCAAGATGATCACTTAGAGTTAGGACAAGGACAGCTGGATAACTTCCCTTAGGAGACCGTGCCTAGGACGGAAGTGTGCCAGGAATCAACAGGGTTTATTTTAGAAAGAGAACCCAAATAGATCTCCTAAGGGGCAGTTCACCCCCACCACATCCTCTTTCCCTGCTCTTTTTTTATAACATCCCCCTGTTCCTCAAAGAAAAGGAAATCCTTCACTTTCCATGGCAGCTTTGGCTGCTTTTCATCTGCTGAAGATTGCTTTCATGCTTTGAATTCTTTATTTCTTTTGCAAAGTTGAATGACTAGGCATTGAGAACAGTGGTGAAATGTAAAATTGGTTACGACCGGTTCTGTGGGAGTGGCTTGGTGGGGGGGTAATGTGACTGGGTGGGCGTGACCAACTTTTTTTTTTTTTTACTTTTAAAAAAAGCATTTTTTCTACAACCTCTTTTTTTCTTTTAAAAGCATTTTTTTTACAACCTCTTCGGCCGAAGAGGTTTTAGAAAAAATGCTTTTAAAAGTTTAAAAAAAAAGCCTCTGATGATCGCGCAGCGCAGCTGGGCATGGGGGTGCAGGGATTTTTGCTACCGGTTCTCCGAACTACCCGGTGCCATCGCTACCGAATTGGGCAGTCTGGTCTGAACCGGGAGCATTTCACCCCTGATTGAGAACATCTGATGAATTTGCTTTTTGGAGTTGCGTTTCTCTTCTGAAGTCTGCTGAGGTTGTCGTGTGTGTGTATAATTGTGCAGTATACAGGTCGTCCTACTGTCTGGTCACCATTCAAAATTACAACACACTGAACAAAGTGACTTATGACCGGTTTTTACACTTAATGACCGTTGCAGCATCCCCGTGGTCACATGATCAAAATTCAGATGCTTGGCAACCGACTCATATTTATGACTGTTGCAGTGTCCCAGGGTCATATGATCCCCCGCTTTTGCGACCTTTGGATAAGCAAATCAATGGGGAAGCCAGATTTACTTAACTACTAAGAGCCGAGGTGGCGCAGTGGTTAGAGGGCAGTACTGTAGGCTACTTCAGCTGACTGCTAGCTGCAGTTCAGAAGATTGAATCTCACCGGCTCAAGGTTGACTCAGCCTTCCATTCTTCCGAGGTGGGTAAAATGAGGACCCAGATTGTTGGGGGCAAGAGGCTGACTCTGTAAACCGCTTAGAGAGGGCTGTGAAGCATGAAGCAGTATATAAGTCTAAGAGCTATTGCTATTGCTACTAGCTTAACAACTGCTGTGATTCACTTAAGAACTGTGGCAAGAAAGCTAGTAAAACTCACTTAACAACTGTCTTGCGTAGCAATGGAAATTTTGGGCTCAATTATGGTCATAAGTGGAAGACCTATATGTACTTATACCTATATGTAGTTCACTGGCCATTTTACTTTAAATTTTGTTCAGTAGAGAGGTGTCTTAGAATAAAGTTTTTCTCTGCTTAAAATGGATAGAATAGAATAGAATTCTTTATTGGCCAAGTGTGATTGGACACACAAGGAATTTGTCTTTGGTGCATATGCTCTCAGTGTACATAAGAAAAAATGAAATATATTCATCAAGAATCATAAGATACAACACTTAGTTATAGTCATAGGATACTAATAAGCAATCAAATCATACTAGGAAACAATAAAAACAATATAAGTTGTAAAGATACAAGCAACATGGATATAGCCATAAAAACACGTCCCCTTCCTGGCTGCAGAGATTGTCAGCGACAATGCCTTGTGTTTTTGGGCTCCATGCGTTGCATTTTCAGCCTCCAAACACTCCGTTTGAGAGCCCTTCAAGGCTGCGGGGATCGCCAAAGTACATCGCTGCTGATCGCTGCCCGAAAACGTGACGCATTTGGAGGCTGAAAATGCGACGTGCGGTGCCCAAAATGGCTACCTGGAACAGCTGCTGCCTTCTCTTACCCCTTCCGCGCTTTGCCTGCTTTAGTCACTGGAGCTCCCTCCCACGATCAGCTGTGCTTTAGAAGCTGTTTTTTAGCCCCAGCCAGCCCCAGCCTCAAAACCAGCAAGTGAATTAATGTGCTGAAACTGACCAGGCTAAGGACGCTAGCCCGATGAATACCTGGTAGGCAAGTATTCCTCCCCAAAAACTAAGGTGCGTTTTATACTCTGGTGTGTCTTATACTCCGAAAAATACAGTAGTTCCCATTCATTGCTTCTTGTCATGCCTTCAGGTGCTTTGCAGAACAGGTTGACCCTATCTTCTTTATGGCAGCCCCTCAAATATTGGAATGCTGCTATCATGTCATCCCCAGTCCTTCTTTTCATCAAACTAGACATACCCAATTCCAGCAACCGTTCTTTATATGTTTTAGCCTCCAGTCCCCTAATCATCTTTGCTGCTCTTCTCTGCACTCTTTCTAAGAGCCTCCACATCTTTTTTACATTGTGGCCACCAAAACTGGATGCAGTATTTCTCTTAAGAGGTGAACGGGGCTGCCTTAATTTTGTCTCACTGCTTTGGCATGCTGTTTTGGGGCGTAGGAGGATCCTGGGAGCACTTTGCTTAATCTGGTTGGCTGGTGGTAGGTGACGGTGGAGGTGACTTAAGGTGTGCTGTGCTTCTCTCCCCTTTCTCTCCCACCAGCCCATGGTAGTGTGAAGTCCCCTGACCTCTTCTGCCTCGTCTTCTTCATCACCAACCAGGGGCCTGCCAAAGGGAGGGTCTCAGTCCTTCAGGAAAGAAAGTTTAATATGTATGGCAACTGTAAGTGCTGTTTTTCACTTCTAGACGAACGTCTTCCCACCTCCACCGAGCCAGATTTTGTGTTTTTCCTACAAAACAGCCATTTCTCCCTTCCCTTCGAAACCGTAGATTTTTGATCCCCTCCTTTTAGAGCAGTGGCGATTGAGAAGGGCAGGGAGACTAGAAAGGCCGAGAGATAGAAAGGCAGAGCAGGGAGCAGACTCAGGATGGACTTGCAGTGATGCGTGGCTGTTTCTTACCTTTGCAGAACAAAGTCAAAATCACGATCCACGTACGAGAAGGAGAGCTCTACCTCTTTCATGTCATCTTGAGATACATCAATTCAGGAAGCACGACAGTACTGGGCAAAATCACCGCTTCTCAGCCACGAAAACGAGGTAAGGGTCAAGATGGGATGGCCAAAAGGACAGAGATGGGTAGATAGGTAGATGGGAGATCAGAGAGGATACAGTCACTTGACCTTACCTATGTTAAGTGACTGTAAGGTTAAGTGACTGTATCGTCTTCAATCACCCATCTACCCAGTGGTGAAATCTGAACCGGTTTGCCACCGGTTCGCTGGCTGTGCATGCGCAGTGTGCACCAAATGCACGCTGTGCGTGTGCGTGCATAGTACACGCCAAAAGGAGGCTTGGGAAGGTAAATAGAACAGCTGGGTTGCGGGGGAAATCAGCTGTGGCGCGCCAGCTTTGCAACCTTCCAGAGAACCGGTTTTTTACTACTGGTTCTCCTATCATCTATCTATCTATCTATCTATCTATCTATCTATCTATCTATCTATCGACTGGATACAGTAGATATCTATCTATCGATCGATCGATCGATCGGATACAGTATCTATCTATCTATCTATATCTATCTATCAACTGGATACAGTATCTATATCTATCTATCTATCTATCTATCTATCTATCTATCTATCTATCTATCTATCGACGATACAGTATCTATATCTATCTATCTATCTATCTATCTATCTATCTCTATCTATCTATCTACTGGATACAGTATCTATCTATCTATCTATCTATCTATCTATCTATCTATCTATCTATCGACTGGATACAGTAGATATCTATTTGTTTATGTTTATAGATAGATAGATAGATAGATAGATAGATAGATAGATAGATAGATAGATAGATACAGTGGTGGGTTCTGCCCGGTTCCACCGAGCCGGTAGCGGTGACGATATGACATCACCATACCGGTTCTCCCCCCCCCCCACGTTATTCTTACCTTTTATTTGGCCCCACCCTCAATCTATTGCTGTGTCCTGAGTCCCAGCTGATCGGCTAGAAGGAAAAAAACTGTTTAAACTCTTGCTGCGGGGCTTCAAAGTGTGGTGGTAGACCGGTGCCTCCAAAAAGAAATGAGTAGACAGGTGCATGCAAAAATAAATGGGTAGATCAGTGCCTCCAAAAACAAATGAGTAGACCAGTACAGCTCTGCAAGCAGTTAAAAGCCTGGTAGACCAGTACCTCTGCTAAATCCTAAAGAATTGTCACATGACCACGCCCACAAAATAAGCCATGCCCACATAACCCGTAGTAAAAAAATTTAGAACCCATCCCTGGATAGAGAGAGAGAGAGATAGATAGATGAACGATTAGATAGTGATATACTGTATATAAGCATTGTTGCTACTGGTGAATGAAGAGAACCAAGAGCCCTTGACTAGGGAACTTATTCAGAACATGCTGTTGTCTAGTATTATTTTTTTTTACTTGCTTTTGTTCAACTAGATGATCTGCCAATCAGGTTAGCACTAATGATATCATGATGGAATCCTGTGAGAGTAATGCATCAAGACCAGCATGCCTATGGAATATAGCATAGCTAAGTGCTATGAAAGAAGAAGGGAGTAGTCAAGCTATTCTCCAAAGCACCTGAAGGCAGGACAAGAAGCAATGGGTGGAAACTAATCAAGGAGAAAAGCAATTTAGAACTAAGGAGAAATTTCCTGACTGTTAGAACAATTAATCAGTGGAACAACTTGCCTCCAGAGGCTGTGAATTCTCCAACACTGGAAGTTTTTAAGAAGATTTGGATAACCATTTGTCTGAAGCAGTGTAGGGTTTTCTGCCTAAGAAGGAGGTCGGACTAGAAGATCTCCAAGGTCCCTTCCAATGCTGTTGTTCTTCTTCTATTCTAAGTGTTTCTCAACGTGGGTCACTTTAAGATGGGTGGACTTGCTGGCTGTGGAATTCTGGGAGTTGAAGTCCACCCATCTTAAAATGGCCCAAGTTGAGAAACCATGATACAGCTGTTAACCCGTTCATAGAGTAGCATTGGAGCTGGTTCTCCATTTTCCAGCCCAAGGCAAATAATTTGCACGTTTTCTAATCCAACGGAAAGTCAAATGTATATCTTTTCCTAATTGCAGGTACTGAACAGATTAAGCAGATTGTATTTGGGCCAACCCAAGAGCCGACATTTGTCACTGTTCCTCACCACAGCTTTGGAGAACCATTTGTGTTAAGTCCCCATGTTTGGTCCCTGATCATTGAAGCTGAAGATGTCCTCCTTGTAAGTCTGGTCTTCCTTTTCTCCCTACAGGCAGGATGGAGGCAAAAGGAATCTGGGTCTCATATTTCCATTCTTCCTTCTAGGATTATCTGGTTCTGCTTCCCAGCTCTTATTACGAAGCTCCTATATTGCAATATAAAGTATCGGATCCTTGTACCTATAGCCCAGCTCCTGAACATGTGGGTCAAAAGTAAGCCTTCCATTTTTATTTTTATTTTTTGTCATATCTTTGTATTGCATTTGACCTGCAGCGCATTTGGGAAGTGGGCATTTTTTTATTGGGTTTGCTGAGCCATCCATTGCTTGCTTTAATTGAAAAAAGTAATATAACAGTCCCAAAGGCGCTTTTTCGAAAGGCAACTGGACTCATATTTATGACGGTTGCAGTGGGGTCATGGGATCCCCTATTGCGACCATGTTATTAACTTAACAAATACAGTGATTCACTTAACAACCATGGCAAAGAAAAGGTCGTAAAATGAGGCAGAATTCACTTCACAATTGTCTCGCTTAGCAATTTTGGGCTCAATTGTGATTGTGAGTTACCACCTGTAAATAAATCCCTTTCAGTAATTTGTGATCTGTTCCTAGGAAAAGAAGATAAAATAATTCCTATCATGTTGTTTAATATAGGGAAAATTACTATCTGTTTCTAAACATGGATTATTCTTCATTAAGTGACGGTACTAGATTCTCTGTAGCTCTTTAGGTGGGAAAAGTTGGTTTTTGGAGAAATATTTGATTTATTCAAATATTGTGGTGTAGGATTTCCTGCCTAAGCAGGAGGTTGGACTAGAAGACCTCCAAGGTCCCTTCCAACTCTGTTATTCTATCTTCTATTCTTCCTTGTTGAGTTTATGACTTTGTTTTTTCCTTTGACATTTCACTTCTTATCCAAGAAGCTTCTTCAGTTCTGATTGAATGGTGGAGGATGGAAGGATTTATACTCCTTGCAGACAGCTGGTCGTTTGCATTTTTTTTAGAGAGTCGTTGAGGCCACCTGGAGGTTTATCTGTGTCATCAGGTTCACCTGAGTGGTGCAAATGGGTGTGGAGCCTGCTTGGAACTGCTTGAAAGGACTGTGTTCTAGACTGGAGATAGATGATGTTGTATCCTTCCCCCCTCTGTTGAGAGACGGCTGTTCAGTTTTGACATAGATGGCCTCTTTGACTCCTCTTTCAAACCAGCAGTCCTCTCTGTCGAAAATGTGGACTTTGCTGTCTTCAAAAGAGTGGCCTTTGTTTTTCAAATGCAGATGGACTGCTGAATCTAGTCCTGATAGGTTTGTTCTCCTGGGTCTCCATAGACATAATATCATAGTTCCCCCAAAATAAGACATCCCCTGATAATAAGCCCAATCGGGCTTTTGAGCGCATGGCAATAAGGCCAAGCGCTTATTTCAGGGCTCAAAAAAATATAAGACAGGGTCTTATTTTCAGGGAAACACGGTAGTGTCTTTAGTTGCTGCACCTACACAACCTATGCAAGTGGAAGGTAATGCATATGTGTGTCTACTCTTGTTAGGAATGCCAGAAAGTAAGAACAGGTAATCCTCAATTTACAGCCATTTGTTTACTGACTGGTCAAAATTACGACAGCAGTGGGAAACTGGTCCTTGCCCTTATAACTGTCTCAGCATCTGCAATTCCATACTGTCAAGTAATCAAAATTCAGGCATTTGGTAACTGGCATGGATTTACAATTTATTTAATTTATTTATTTTGTCGCATTTCTATGCCGCCCAACTCCCAAGGGACAATGGTTGCAGCATCCTGGGGTAATGTGATCCCCATGTGCGACCTTCCCAACTGGCTTCTGAATGGAGGGGGGGGGGAAGCTGGATTGCTTAATCACCTCATGATTCCCTTAACAAGGGTTGTAAAATTGGGTGGATGACAATCACCTCGCTTAACAACAGAAATTTTGATGCAGATTGCAGTTGTAAATCGAGATCTGAAAGCTGATTGGTCTCTTAGTAATTATATTTTTTCTTTGTAATAGTCAATGACCAGCCCATAAAACATATTAAAAAATGAATCAAATCAGCCATCTTACAACAAAAGTTTAGGTCTATTATTGGCAAGTAAGACACTAAAATGAGTATAATAACCTAAGATTAAACGAAAGGGCAAGCCCCTTTTAAGCCAGATTCACTGGCTAGGATTTTCGTGGATGTTCCGTTGTAGTTTTCTACAACAACCTTGTGGAACTCATTTGCCTTGTCTTCTCCTGGTGTTCTTTCAGTTTCTCAGTCTAGTCTGAAGCCACGGGATTTTCTAGAGAGCCAAGTAAAATAATAACAATCAAAAAAATAAAACATTGAAGTAAAGTCAGGTCTGGACGGATGAACTAAACCAAGGTCAGCTAAGTGCTGCTGTCCGTTTTGGGCAATTTTTCTCTTCAAAATATTTCTACAGATTTTATTTGACTAGGAATTTGGCCAGGATTGAAATAATACTCAGAAGGACTGAAGTCAGGGCTGAAATTCAGCAGGTTCTGACAGGTTCTAGAGAACCGTAGTAGAAATTTTGAGTAGTTTGGAGACCCGGCAAATACCATCTCTGGCTGGCCCCAGAGTGGGGTGAGAATGGGGATTTTGCAGTATCCTTCCCCTGCCACGCCCACCAAGCCACACCCACCAAGCCACACCACGCCCACCAAGTTACGCCCATAGAACCGGTAGTAAAAAAAATTTGAAATTCACCACTGACAGAAGTATTATATACAGAGGTGGGTTTCAGCAGGTTCTCACCAGTTCTGGAGAACCGGTAGTGGAAATTTTGAGTAGTTCGGAGAACCAGTAGTAAAAATTCTGACTGGCCCCGCCCCCATCTATTCTCTGCCTCCCAAGTCCCAGCTGATCAGGAGGAAATGGGGATTTTGCAGTAACCTTCCCCCGGAGTGGGGTGGGAATGGAGATTTTACAGTATCCTTCCCTGCCATGCCCACCAAGCCACGCCCACCAAGCCACACCCACAGAACCAGTAGTAAAAAAATTTGAAACCCACCACTAATTATATACACTTTTTAAATCCTGTGAGCTGATGGGTTAACTCTGTTTAGAAGTACAAAGTGAATATTGAATGAATTCTGGGTTTTACTTTGGGCCTATAAAAGATTTATTTTTTCCCAAGTAGCCTTCTAAATTTAGGGAGGTGGGAGAACTAGCGTGAATCCTATTATATCTGTCCCTTCCTTTATTATTATTATTATTATTATTTTGCTTCTGGCATTTTAAAGACAAACTTGAAAGGATGTATGAAAAGTTTCTTCTTGATCTGTGATGGGAAATGTCAACCTCTTGATCCGTTTTTTTTATAAGTCCTGTCTGATTGCTTCCTCTCTCTCTAAATGCAGAGATGGCTTGCCATATAGGGAAAAAGACAGAGAAATGGTGCTAGGAAGAGCAAGAGAGATAAGAGCGGTGTCAGAGAGAGAAGACAGAAAAGGGAATGGAGGGGGAAAAACTGAGAAACCAGGACAGAGTTTTTGGCCACATAATGCTCTGGCCACATCCATTGTTGATTTTGGCCTGCCTACTGCTGACAAGCATTCTCTATCAGTTGATTTCCCCACGGCAACGTTCTTCTCAGTGTTTAAAAAAAGATTTGCTGAAAAAAAAAAATGATTATTCGTATCACGCCTTTATTGTTTTCACAAATAACTCAAGGTGGCAAACATATCCGATTCAACTTCTTCCTGCTATTTTCCCCACAACAACCTTGTGAGGAGGGTTGGGCTGAGAGAGAGTGACTGGCCTGAAGTCACCCAGCTAGCTTGCATGCCTAAAACGGGACTAGAACTCACAGTCTCCTGGTGTTTGGTTCAAAGCCACCCAGCCACCTTACATACCTAAAGTGGGACTAGAACTCACTATCTCCTGGTGATTGTTCCAACGTCACCCAGCTAGCTTTAATGGTCAAGATGGGACTAGAAGTCACAGTCTCCTGGTTTCTGTCCTGGTGCCTTAACTACTAGATCAAACTGGCTCATATACTGTGTGTAGATATCATACATACATACATACATACATACATACATACATACATACAGGGATGGGCTGCTGGGGGCTCGCAGGGGTTCAGGAGAACCTCTAGCTAAGATTCTGTGCAGTTCGGAGAACCCCAAATCCCACTTCTGGCTGGCCCTGCCCCGTCCCCCTGCCCCTCCCAGGAGTCCTCACGTGGCCTGTTTTGGATGCAGGTAAGTACAGGGCACACGTGGAGGCTCAGGGAGGGCGAAAAACGGGCCTACCGGAAGTTTGGGAAGGCTGGAAACAGGCCCGTTTCTGGTCTCTAGAGGGCCTCAGGAGCCTGGGGAGGCCATTTTCGTCCTCCCTGAGGCTCAAGGAAAGCCTCCGGAGCCCGGGGAGGGCAAAAACGCCCTCTCCACCATGGTGCAAGAGCCTGACTAGGCCACGCCCAGCATGGCTATGCCTACCCAGCAACCTGGCAGAGAACCCCTTGCTAAAATTTCTGAAGCCCACCCCTCCATACATACATACATACAAGATACATACTCCTCTCCTACTTTCTCCTTCCTCCTCTCCTACCTCATCCTACTTCCCCTTCCTTTCCCCCACTCCTCTTTTCTTTTTCCCCTTCTCACCTTCTCTCCCCTACCCTTCCTTCCTCTCCTTTTCCCTTTCTTCCATTCCTCTCCCTCTCTCTCCTCTTTCTACCCTCTACTCCTCTCTCCTTTCTATTTTCTTTGCTGTGGAATATTCTCCTTGTTTGGTATCCAAGCAACTCCTATATTCTAATAGTATATACTTTCTTTCAATTTCTTTTCGGATTTATTCTATCTATCAGTATTATCATCATAATTGTACATTTATTCTTATTATCTTCTTTCTTTTCTCCCCCTCATCCCCCTTTTTCATTTATTTGGGTTTCTATTTCTTTTTTATCCTCTCCCTCGTTTAACTTTCTATGATCTGAATCATTTATCTATCCGCTTATCTTCATATTTCTTTTCTAACCATATGTAAAATCTTCCCCATGTCTTGAAATACACTGATTCCCCTTTATCTCTTATTCTTAGAGTTAATCTATTCATTTCTACACAGTCTAAAATCTTTTTTATTACTTCACCTTCTGACGGTATTTTTTTTGTCTTCCAATTTTGTGCAAATACAATTCTTGCTGCTGTTATTATATGTATAGTTAAATACACATCTTCTTTACTATATCTCTCTGGGAGAATACTCAATAAAAAAAAAACCTCTGGTTTTAATTCTATAGATTTATGTAATATTTCTCCCAACCATTTCTGTATTCTAGACCAATAATTTTTTGCTTCTAAACACGACCACCACCTATGATCCCGGCAAATGCAAACATTTCCAACATTTGGCTGAATTATCCTTAAACATCTTTGCTAATCTTTCTGGTGGCATATGCCACCTAAATAAAATGTTGATATTGCACTGGAGATAATTCTGCCAGTACTGATTTTTTTTTGTACTCATTTGACTGGTATTTGAACATGAGGGCTAAAAACTTCTTTTCTATTCTTTCCAGTTGCTTCCTATATAAGTACTTGCCTGTGGAGCAGTTCTCATTTGTGTCAGGCAAAGATGCTTTGTGCAAGTTGGACAACAATTTACCAAGTCCTTGTCCTGTAGAGCAGATCTTTCCTACCTTCCCCAAATTGGTGCAGTGTAGTGGCACTCAGGTAAGTAATTCCATTATCATGTAAAATCTTCAGTTAAACCTTCTATGTAAAAAAGTAGGACTCCTGAGGCCTTCAAAATCAACCTTCATACAGACATTTTTAAGATGTTAGAAAGCCAACATTATTAAATGAATGAGATACCATTTAAGTAGTGTGCAGCAGCTGCCAAAAAAGCCAACACAGTTCTAGGCTGCATTAATAGAGGGTTAGAATCAACATCACATGAAGTGCTACTTTATAATGCCTTGGTAAGGCCACACTTACAATACTGCATCCAGTTTTGGTCGCCATGATGTAAAACAATGTGGAGACTCTAGAAAGAGTGCAGAGAAGAGCAACAAAGATGATTAGGGGACTGCAGGATAAAACATATGAAGAACGGTTGCAGGAACTGGGTATGTCTAATTTAATGAAAAGAAGGTCTAGGGGAGACATGATAGCAGTCTTCCAATATCTCAGGGGTTGCCACAAAGAAGAGGGAGTCAAGCTATTCTCCAAAGCACCTGAGGGCAGGACAAGAAGCAATGGGTGGAAACTAATCAAGGAGAGAAGCAACTTAGAACTAAGGAGAAATTTCCTGCTAGTTAGAACAATTAATCAGTGGAACAACTTGCTTCCAGAAATTGTGAATGCTTCAACACTGGAAGTTTTTAAGAAGATGTTGGATAACCATTTGTCTGAAGTGGTGCAGGGTTTTCTGTCTAAGCAGGGGGTTGGACTAGAAGACCTCCAAGGTCCCTTCCAACTCTGTTATTCTATTCTATTCTAAACATTCATATTCAGTATCTTTGCACTAAATTAGATTTAACTTTGTCCTGGCTGTGTCCACTTTAGTTGGGACATGGTTCCCAGAGGCCCTTTGCAAATGGGTAGTGAAGGGTTCTTGGTGCAACAAAATTGTGCCTCTCTATCAGTGCTTAACTTTACAACATTTTAGAATCTCCATAGACACTCAAGGAAAAATCTTATGCCAAGAAATGGCTTATATGAAATTTTATGAAGAATCTGTTTGAAGGTACACTCAATCTTTCTGCTTTTTCCTTTTCAACAGGTGGAAGTACAACTGGTAATTCCTGTACCCCAGCCAGGGAAATATGTGCTTCTGATGGAGTATGCCAATGAAGATACTCCACAGACTATCGAGGTATCTGTGAGCACACCACAGAAGGTTCCTCGGCTGGGCACTCTTACGATATACACCTGCAAATACAGGTATGTCTCCAAATAAGGAGATGAGGGGAGATTGTGGACTTAATCATCTTTTCTTGTCTTTCCTTTTACTGATACTCCAGATTTTCAGTCAAACTTCCTCAACTTAGAATGCAGGTCAACTTGTAACCATTTGTTTCATGACCATGTGAAATAGAATAGAATAGAATAGAATAGAATAGAATAGAATAGAATAGAATAGAATAGAATAGAATAGAATAGAATAGAATAGAATAGAATAGAATAGAATTATTTATTGGCCAAGTGTGATTGGACACACAAGGAATTTGTTTTGGTGCATACGTTCTCGGTGTACAAAAAATTAGCCATGGAAATGTTGAGCTCCAGTGTGGTCATAAGTGGAGGACTACCTGTAATCATTTAAACTTCATCCATTTTGATTCTCCAACCTGACCTCGGGTAGAATTTTCACAGTTGTCATTTATAGAATTATGGTTTCAAATATTAGTTTTATTAAAACACAGGTAGCCCTCAAATTAGAACAGTTCGTTTAGCAACTATTCTAAATTACAACATCATTGAAAAAAGTGACTTATGACTGTTTTTCACACTTATGACTGTCACAGCAGTCCCATGGTGATGTGATCAAAATTCAGACCTTTGGCAACTGACTCATATTTATGATGGTTGCAATGTCCCAGGGTCACGTGATCCTTTTTTGCGACCTTTTGACCAGCAAAGTCAATGGGGAAACTGGATTCACTTAACAACCGGGTTTCTAACTCACCAAATACAGTGATTCACTTGACAACTGTGGCAAGAAAGATTGTAAAATGGGACAAGACTCACGTAACAAATGTCTCACTTAGCAACATAAATTTGGGGGCTCAATTGTGGTCGTAAGTCGAGGACTACCTGTGTAAAATACAGAACCACAAAGAAAGGGGGAAGGGAAAGTGTAGGGTAGCAGGCGAAAAGAAGAAGAAAAACATTGACTTCTGACACCTTTTGGTGAAATAATTTATGGCTTTACAAACAGTCCATGCCTAGAAGATTGAGTACAGGTAATCCTCAACTTACGACCACAGGTGAGCCCAGAATTTATGTTGCTAAGTGAGACATTTGTTAAGTGAGCTTTGCCCAATTTTACGACTTTTATTGCCACATCTGTTAAGTGAATCACTGCAGTTCTTAAATTAGTAACACAGTTGTTAAGTGAATCCAACTTCCCCATTGACTTTGCTTGTCAAAAGGTCGCAAAAGGGATCACAGCACTCACAAATATGAATCAATTGCCAAGCATTCAAATGTAAATCATGGGAAGCTGCAACAGTCGTAAGTATGAAAAACAGCCGCAAGTCACTTTTTTCATAAGTCACAAGGCCCAGAAAAGGCAAGACAAGCATCGAACTCCAGATTTGTTTTCAGTGCCGTTGTAACTTTGAACGGTCGCTAAATGGACCGTTGTAAGTCAAGGACTACCTGTAATCTGCATCAGCCTTTATACCGCAGTTTATGTGCTGTTTAGATTCGTAGCCTTGTAAATATCCGAGGCAGCAATCCGGCCAAAAGTCCACATCCTCAGAACAAGACATGTGTGAGATGAAAATAGCATGCACATCCTGACCTCCGACAATCTATTCAAACAACTGGACAGTGTTTATATCAACGATGGATGGATTACACTGTCTGGAACTGCTGTTTTTGCAAATACAGATCGTGACCTTAAACGATCGGAAACGAGGCCCTGGGATATCCTTCAGAAGCATCTCCTTGCTGTCACTCAACTCATTCAAAGCTCATAAGGGATCTATATTAAACCACAAAGGATGTGTGTGTGGAAAGACATACTGGGAAAATGAGTTTGATCACTTTTTTTTTGTCTCGCAGTTTCCTTTGTCGTGGGATCGTGGTAGATTCTCAAAGCCGTTTAGCAGCATTTGAACTTGACACCGAGGCGAGAGTTCAGTTCACGGCAGGTCAAGCCCACTTTTTCCTGGTAAGTCTTACGAGCAGAGGCAATAATCCGATGCAAATTTGAGCATCTTAAATTAGGGCAGTTAAATTGTTACCTCAGGGCAGGGGTGTGATTCAAATATTTTAGCAAATGTTTCTCTGCCCGGTTGCTGGGTGGGCATGACCATGGTGGGTGTGGCCTACTTGGCCTCGTACACCATGGTGGGGGGGGCGTTTTTGCCCTCCCCAGGCTCTGGAATCCTTCCTCGAGCCTTTGGGAGAGCGAAAACAGCCTCCCCCGGGCTCCGGAGGCCCTCCGGAGGCCGGAAACCACTGAATCCCACTCCGGTTACCTGCATGGGAGGGGTGAGCAGAGAAGGGTTGGAACTGAAAAATAATTTTGGACTCAGAAGAGGCAAGACAAACATTGAACTCCAGATTTTTGCTCTTGAAAAGCAGCTAAGAGGCAAAGATAACATTTTGCAGAAGTTGTCAAATTCCAAAAATCAAATTCCAAAGTCCCTATGTTGTGTTGCCTGCTATTGTCCCCCTAGCCAGGATGAGTTCCTATACAGTTAGCCTTTGACTTACAACCTTTCAAAGTTACAACAGCTCTGAAAAAAGTGACTTATGATCGTTTTTCACACTTACGTCCATTGCAGCATCCTTGTGGTCACACGATCAAAATTTGTATTCTTGGCAACTGGCTCATATTTATGACAGCACAAAGACTGTTGGCTGTTATAATCATGATGAAAAAGTAATCTTGCTACCAGCCCTCATATTTATGACTTTTGCAAGTCTGTAAAGCAAAGTGAAGCTGAAATAAGATTTTAAGCACAGTCGAGGTTACACTTAGCAACTGCTTCACTTAATGACCAATTCTGGTCCATAAACAAGGGCTGCCTATAAAGACTAAAGCTCCCTGCCATTCAATTAGAATGAATTGCTACTCATCATGTAAAAGAAATAGATCTGGATTATATGGGGGCAGTGCAAGGTTCATTATGGCTGGATGTTATGCAACAATTGTTACCCTGTTTCCCCGAAAATAAGACATCCCCTGATAATAAGCCCAATCAGGCTTTTGAGCACATGCTCTAAAATAAACCTCCCTCCGAAACTAAGCCCTTCCCGAAAATATTTAAAAGCAGAGCTGGAAATCAGGTAAGACAGCAAGAGGAGCCCCGTCTTGCTCCACACGCCCCAAAATAATAAGACCTCCCCAAAAATATGGCCAAGCGCTTATTTTGGGGTTCAAAAATATATAAGACAGGGTCTTATTTTCGGGGAAACACAGTATTTATAGGAGTAGCTTGCTCACAAGTACTGTGAACTCTCTTGTTCTCAATTCTTGCGAACCGACAGGTTGCAATTCCACAAATATATGTTTATTTGCACAATATGCATACGCAGCAGTAGCTAATTGGAAGGAGAGGCAGACAATGTTTTAAATTATGACAGTTATGAAGACTTTGCAGGTCTGTAAAGCAAAGTGAAGCTAAAGTAAGATTGTAAGCACAGTCAAGGTTTCACATAGCGACCACTTCACTTAACAACCAAGTTGCCAGTCCCAATTCTGGTTGCTAAACGAGGACCATCTGTAAAGAAAAAAAAACCTCCCTGGCCCCACTAATTTTTTTTTTCTTTTTTCTTTCCTGGCCCCACTAATTACACAGTTATTTTAGAATAAGTTGCTTGGCATTATTTGAAGCAATATATCTAGGTTACACCGCACGGGAGCCATTCTTGGATGTAATTAAGAGTCAGTGCAAAGCTCGTTTTGGCTGCATATTATGCAGGAGTGGCTATTTGTAGGAGTAACTCGCTCACAAGGAACCGTGAAGTGTTTCTTGTCCAATTGCAGAAATTGGAAATTCGGCCATTAACCTTTCACATTCACTCCCTTTGTGGGTTCTTGCTTTGCTTTAGATGTTTTCCTGGGCAACAGAGAGCACCAACTTTCTAAGTGGCACCCTAGACAGTATTTTAAGTGAATAAAACAGGTGGCTGCTCTTTTCTTTTTCTTTGCAGCCATCTCTCTCTCTCTCTCTCTTTCTCTCAAAAGAGCAAATTGACAGAAACAGCTGTGTGTTCTCTGCTCCATTTGATCTTTATACAGTGAACAAAAGAGAGAGAAAAAGAGATGGCCCTGCCTTTTTTTTTCCCCTGGAAGGTTTCTTATCCTCCCACCCCCTCAAAAAAAAAAAAAAAAAAAAAAAGACCAAATCAAAGTTTAGGAACATGTTGCCATAGCAAGCAGAGGATGACTAATCAGTTTCTTTGCTGGGAACTCTCCCTCCCACCCCTCTTTTCCAAGGAAGGGTCTGTTGCGGGTCAAACAAAGAGATGTTTCTGTTTATTGCACACTGTTATTTGCCAACAGGTGCCCTTTTCCCTTTGAATGAACGTAGAAAAGTTAGTCATTTTTTCTGTCAGTGGTAGGAAACTATGGCCCCTTTATGATCTGTGGACTTCGACTCCCAGAATTCCTGAGCCAGCATGGCTGGCTCAGGAATTCTGGGAGTTGAAGTTCCCAGGTCATAAAGGGGCCATAGTTCTCCACTCCTGTTTTATGCATCCATGCTGGCTCAGGAATTCTGGGAATTGAAGCAGTGGTGAAATCTAAAATTTGTTACTAGCAGTTCTGTGGGTGTGGCTTGGTGGGGGGGTAATGTGACTGGGTGGGCGTGGCCATGTTTTTTTTTTTACTTTTAAAACCATTTTTTCTACAACCTCTTCGGCAAAGAGGTTGTAAAAAAATGCTTTCAAAAGGCTCTGACGATCCCAGCTATGTTGCCTGCTCGGCAGAGGCTTTTTTAAAAAAGCCTCTGCCGATCAGGCAACTCAGCTGGGATCGTCAGAGGCATTTAAAAGAAAAAAAAGGGTTTTTTTTTTCTTTTAAAAGCCTTTGACGATCCCAGCTGAGCCACGCGATCATCAGAGGCTTTTTTTTTTAACTTGTAAAAGCATTTTTTGGCCGAAGAGGTTGTAGAAAAAATACTTTTAAAAGTTAAAAAAAAAAAAAGCCTCTGATGATTGCGCAACTCAGATGGGCATGGCGGGGGCAGGGATTTTTGCTACCGGTTCTCCGAACCACCCGCCTACATCACTATCGGACTGGGCGATCTGGTCTGAACCAGGAGAATTTCACCCTTGAGTTGAAGTCCCCAAGTCATAAAGGGGCCAAAGTTCCCCACCCCTGTTTTATGCATTTTTCCTGGCTCAGGAATTCTGGGAGTTGAAGTCCCCCAGGTCATAAAGGGGCCCTAGTTCCCCACCCTTGTTTTAAGTATTCAACCTCATCTGTACAAAACCGTTTTGATTTTTGCTCCAAAAAAAAAAAAAGCATAAATCTTCTTCCCTTTCTCATCCTTTTTTTTCCTCCTCCTCTGTCTTCAGTACAAAGTGTACTTGGTCCCCTACGAGCTATTCACTCTGGAGTTTTTGGAGCCAAAAGTTCATTGCATCAGTACCCATGGGACGTCATCGCTGAACAGGTAAATCATTTTATTGGTTTGTTTTCTAAGCAATTTATATGGCCACCCAACTCTGCAAATAATTGCAATTTTTGAGTGGCTAGCCTAGGATGAAAAAGACGAGAAGCAATAAGATAAACAGCTTGTTTACAAAATATGAGAGCTAATTAGAACTGTAAGTACTTAATTGTAGAAATGCCACATAAAACATTTCTCAAGTATGTGTTTACAATCGTTGCGATGTCTGGTATGTTGTCTGGGTGATGTTCCAGGCTGCGGTTTGTCTGAAACGATGTAGGGCACGGGTGTCAAACTCCAGGCCTGCATGCCAGATCCGGCCTGCAGGGTGCTTAGATCTGGCCTGCGAGACCATCCTGGAAACAGCGAAGGACGGGCCCCTGGTGCCTCTGCCAGCGAAAACGGAGCTTGAGAGTTGCAGGAGGCCATTGCAGCCGAAAACTGGGCTCGGGAGCCCATTTTCACTGGCAGAGCACTCGGGCCACCACGGGTGCCCCCGACACAAGTGATGTCAAGCTGGCCACACCCACACTGACCACACCCATCCCGATCCCCCAAGGTCAAACACTACCCTGATGCAGCCCTCAATAAAATCGAGTTTGACACCCCTGATGTAGGGTCTCCTACTTGAGCAAGGGGTTGGACTGGAAGACGTCTAGGGTCCTTCCTAGCTCTGTTATTCTGTTGTTTTATTTTGAGAAGAAACTGTAAAATGCTTAATATATTAATTTCATGTAGTCCTCAACTTACGACCATTTATTTAGTGACTGTTGAAAGTTATGACAGTGCTGAAAAAAGTGACTTAGAACTGGTCCTCGGAATTGTGACCACTGCTGTGTCCTTGCCGTGGTGAATGTAAATGGAAAGGATTGTGGTTGATGCAGGAATGCTCTCTGGCACCATTTGTGATAGATTTATTTATATGCTCATTTCCTTATACAGAATGACTAGGGAAAATCGTCCCCAGCCTGTTTAAACACCCTGTTTTGGTAATGACTCGTGGTAGCCTTTGCTTTCTGCTATCTGCAGCCTGTTTTGGAATTATTTTAATTAATTTATGAAAAGTGTTTATATATCATAACACAAATAACCCTGAAATAGTTTAAAAGGACCATAAAACAATATTTCTTGGAGTGTCCATAAAGGAAAATGTGTACAGGTTAGTCCTTGACTTATAACCAGTGGTGGGTTCCTCCCGGTACCGCCCAGTTCCGCCGAGCCGGTAACGGTGACGATATGACATCACCGAACCAGTTCTGCCCCCCCCCCCGTTATTCTTACCTTTTATTTGGCCCCACCCCCAATCTGTTGCTGCCTCCTGAGTCCCAGCTGATCGGCTAGAGGGAAAAAAACCATTTAAACTCTTGCCGCCGGGCTTCAAAGGGCCACCCTACAGCTGATCAGTGTTAAAAGGCAGTGTGCTAGTAGACCGGTGCCTGCAAAAACAAATGAGTAGACTGGTGCCTGCAAAAACAAATGAGTAGACTGGTGCCTGCAAAAACAAATGGATAGACCAGTGCCTGTAAGAACAAATGGGTAGACTGGTACAGCTCTGCAAGCAGTTAAAACCCTGGTAGACCAGTACCTCTGCTAAATCCTAAAAAATTGTCACATGACCATCAAGCCACGCCCATAAAATAAGCCACGCCCACAGAACTGGCAGTAAAAAAAATTAGAACCCACCCCTGCTTACAACTATTCCTTTAGTGACCGTTTGAAGTTACAACAGCACTGAAAAAAGTGACTGATGACCATTTTCACATTTACAACCATTGCAGCATCCCCATGGTCACATGATCAAAATTCGGACACTTGGCAACTGGCTCATATTTATGATGGTTGCAGCGTCCCAAGGATCCTGCGATCCTCTTTTGCAACCTTCTGACTGGGAAAGTCAGTGGGGAAGCCAGATTCACTAACAGCCGTGTAACTAACTTAACAACTGCAGTGATTCATTTAACAACGGTGGCAATTGATTATTATTAAGATATTGGAGTGTATTACTTGGAATAAGATTTAAGAAAATGTATGGCATAAAATGTTCTGGTTTATTATTTTGATATTAAATGAATGATTGTAATATTAGGAATTATGTTAAATGAGATTTTAAATTTAAGGTGCTTCATATAGAGATGAAGGAAAAAATGGAATTTGGTGAAGATTAGAGCTAGGATGAATGGGCAATATGGATTCAAAAAATGGGGAAGAAAAGGGAAAAGAAGGGAAAATATTATGGCAAAAGGGAATATGTAAATTGTATTGAAAAATTGTTTAAATTTATGAACCGGCCAATGTTCAGAAAAAAATACATTGTTTGTTGTTTGTCTCTGTGTTAAAAAATTAAAAAAAAAACTTTTTACAAAAAAAAAACAATGGTGGCAAGAAAAGTTACAAAATGGAGCAAAATTCAGTTAACAACTGCCTGGCTTAACAAGAGAAACATTGAGCTCAATTATGTGGTCATAACTTGAGGACTGCCTATATTGTTTCACTCTTGGAACCAAACAGAACATTCAAATTGTTTTTAAGCTGAGGAGAGGATGTAAATTCATTATAATCCTCTTGTTCCTTTGTTTTGTATCTCAGAGCCAAAAGGCTATCATACAAACGGACTTGATTACAGTTAAACAGGGAAGACAAAAGAGCATCTGTAGAAGATCAAAAGAATCATAATGAAACTGACCTTAGTAAAATCAAGCCTCCATGCTTTGCTTTGCATTATAGCTACTCTCAATGTTCCTTTGATGTCTGGATAGAACAGGCATTTTTCTTGACTCATCTGATTGTTCTTTTTTTCTTTCTGTCCTCAGTAGTTCCTGTGTCCCATCAAGATATCAGAAGATTTCACAATCAGTTGTCCTGGAGGAAGGACAGTCGCTACCCATTGCTCCAGACTTGCCCTTAATTCACGCCATTAGCATCCCACCAGAAGGCAGTCTGCCAGCTTCTGCACCTCAACCTCCAACTTTGATAGACACCTCCGCAAAACTCATTTTCTTAAGAGCGCCACAGGTAAGTATGGTTTGGGACACACTGCCAAGGTGTGGAGAGGTCATAGTTTTATTGGAAGTTTGATTTTCTTTTTTAATAACTTAGGTTTTTTTTGTCCTTTGTATAATTTTACTTTCCATTCTTGAAGTTTTCCTATGGGGCTAAACATGATGTAACTCCGGCTGCTAACAGTGTGTTTAAAAAGTGTGTAAAACTTCTTACAGCGAAGTTTCACAAGTACAGTATAAAGCAATGCAATTCTTGGCTAGCCATAGGAATCGGGAGTCAGTTAGTCTGCGTTGTAAAATAATACAGGCTCTATAAAAGTTTTCAGTGAATGAATGAATGAATGAATGAATGAATGAATGAATGAATGAATGAATGAATGAATGAATAGTTAGCCTAAGGCAGGAGTATCAAACTCAAGGCCTGGGGGCCAGATCCAGCCCGCGGGGTGGTTAGATCCGGCCTGCGGAGCCACCATGGAAACAGCAAAGGACTGTCCTGCGGAGCCTCTGCCAGCGAAAACGGAGCTCAGGAGGGCCATGGGCGGCCCTTGCCAGCTACATTTTCTCTGGCAGAGGGTTGCAGGAAGCTGTCGCAGCCGAAAACGGAGCTCGGGCGGCCCTGCCACGGCCCCTGGCCATCCCCACTCCCCACCCCCACCCCAGGTCAAATGCAATCTTGATGCGGCCCTCAATGAAATTGAGTTTGACACTCCTGGCCTAAGGAGAAACGGTTGAACAGACTTTTCATTTGAAAAGAATGAAACTGAAAAGCAAATTACATTCTGCATATGGAGGCTATAAAGTTAAGTAGTGCTTGAAAGACAATGTTGAAAGACGGGAATTTAGGACCCCTGGCTGACGTTAGGGCCACTTCAGTGCCCCCGTGGTCAAGTGAACAAAATTTGGACAATTGGCATTCTGTTGCAGTGTTCCCCCCACCCCCATCCGGCATATCTGAAGAAGCTTCTTGGATGAGATGCAAAATATTCTAAAAGGGGGAAAAAACCCAAGAAAGTTCCATTACCTTTTGGAAATGCACCTTTGGGACACTTAGATTAACACTAGACCAACAATCAAGAAATAAACAATATCCCAAGAAGTAAACAACAGCCTAGTCAAGGAACCACCAAGATCGCTCCCACCAACACCAATAAGGCAAGACACTAGTGCCATGATGGCGAACCTTTGGCACGCGAGCCACAGGTGGCATGCGTAGCCATATCAGTGGGCACGTCAGCTCAGCTCTGGCACGCATGCGCGTGCCGGCCAGCTGATTTTCGGGCCTTCTGGGCCCACCAGAAGTAGGGAAACAGGCTGTTTCCTGACTCTGGAGGGCCTGGGGTGGTGGGGAAGGCTCGTTTTTCTTTCTCACCTGGCTCCAGATCCTGTCTGTGCATCTGGGGAGGGCGAAAACAGTCTTTCCCGCTCCCTCGGAGGCCCTCCGGAGGCCTGAAACAGCCCATTTCCCAACTCCCGGTGGGACAGGAAGTGATGTTTTTTGCTGTCCCCAGCCTAGACAGGCTCTGGAGGCTGGGGACAGCAAATAAAATGTCACTCCTGTCCCACCGGGAGTTGGGAAATGGGCCGTTTTACAATTTACTGCTGGTTCGAATCTCTCCAAGGTTCAAGGTTGACTCAGCCTTCCATCCTTTCTAAGGTAGGTTAAATGAGGACCCAGTTTGTGGGGGCAATAAGCTGACTTTGTATAAATATACAAAAGGATGAAGGCTTTGCTTAAGGCACTGTAAGCCGCCCTGAGTCTTCGGAGAAGGGCGGCATATAAATCAAATTAAAAAAAAAAAAATGTCACTCCTGTCCCACCGGGAGTTGGGAAATGGGCCGTTTTAGGCCTCTGGAGGGCCTCCGAGGGAGTGGGAAAAGCTGTTTTCGCCCTCCCCAGATGCACAGAAAGGAACTGGAGCCAGGTGAGAAAGAAAAACAGGCCTACCGGGCCATTGCGTGCCAGGAGCAGGGGGGGAAAGGGGGTTGCACACGCATGCGCAGGGCACATAGAATTATGGTGTGGGCATGCGCACGCACAAACCTGTCCTACCCCACCCCTTCCTGGCACGCGATGGCAAAAAGGTTAGCCATCACTGCACTAGTGTATAAACAGAGAGCAAAACCCACTCCATTCTAGCACCGATGATGTTTCCTAGTTTGGTAATGAAACGCCTGAAAGAAAACCACTAAGCTTAGAGAGCACAAAGACTCTTGAGCTACAAATATTGTCTTCCAAATGGCAGTTATTTCTGACAGAGCAAAGCAACAGCTTTTAGCTCATGTTCCCAGTAATTGATAAAGACATTTTCTGTTTACTGGAGATACCTGCAGGATAAATACAGAATTATCCATGTTTATGCCTATGTCAGTTTTTTGGGAGACCCAATTCTGCCATGAATGCTGTGGCACATCGCCCACTCTGGAACCCTCACGATGACTTGAAATAGAAATTAATGACACCAAAAGAGATTTTCCTCTTTGCTTTCTTCCAGACAGCTGTTGTGTTAAACGGCCATATTCAAACTCCAGGGCGCTATGCTTTCATCCTGCATTGTTATCAGCCTGATCACCCAACTTTCCCTGTTGAAGTGTTGATCAACGGAGGGCGGATTTGGCAGGGTGAGTTGCAGAGTGTGGTAATGTCTGTTTTCAGGAGTACTCAAACTGTATTTAGATCTTGTGGATACCTGGGCATGGCTGGCTGGGGAATTCTGGGAGTTGAAGTCCATACATCTTAAACTTGCCAAGGTTAGAAATTGTCCAACTGCTATGCTACCAGACGCAATCCTCAGCCATATCATGCCTCAATTTAAATGAGGAAAATCCATCATCTTTTTTTGAGTGGGCTGGAGAATGCTGGCTGTGGAATTCTGGGAATCGATGTCCACACATCTTAAACTTGCCAAGGTTAGAAATTGTCCAACCTCTATGCTACCAGACGCAATTCCTCAGCCATATCATGCCTCAATTTAAACTGAGGAAAATCCATCATTTTTTTGAGTGGACTGGGGAATGCTGGCTGGGGAATTCTGGGAATCCACAAATTTTATTTTATTTTATTTTATTTTTATTTTTATTTATTTTTATATGCCGCCCTTCTCCGGAGACTCAGGGCGGCTTACAATGCGTTAAGCAATAGCCTTCATACTTTTGTATATTTTTATACAAAGTCAGCTTATTGCCCCCACAATCCGGGTCCTCATTTTACCCACCTTAGAAAGGATGGAAGGCTGAGTCGACCTTGAGCCTGGTGAGAATTGAACTCGCAGTAATTGCAGGCAGCTGGATGTTAAATGCTGCCTTAGTAGGAGGCATTAGCCTCCTATGCCACTCAGGCTTTTAAATTTTAAAGTTGCCAAGGTTGGACACCCCTTGGTATAAAAGCAAAACAAATTCAGTTGATTGCAGCAGGTTTATTTTCTGACTTTTTCAGGACAAGCTAATGCTACTTTCTGCCCGCATGGATATGGTTGCCGGAGTCTGGTGGTTGCAGAGAACCAAATTGTTCTGGATATCACAGAAAATGATCTGAGTGTAGTAATCCGTGTGCCAGAAGACCGGCATCTTTGGGTGGTATGTTCCTATCTTAAAAATTCTTGTCCTGTCTTTGAATGTTCACTCAAACAATTAATCAGATAAACTGAAAATGTGTTCTCTCCAGAATATCTATAGGTAAAATGCAAATTTTTAAAACTGAACTCTGCTCATCTGGTCTCAAGTCACTTAAGGACATAACCAGCATTCCTTGTTTGTGGTTTTTTCTCTCTCTAACCGCAGCATGAAATAATTTATGGCCACCAGGCAGTGCTGCTCGCTATCTAATAAAAGTATAGCTTGACTCATTTTGTTTCAGGCAATTTTTCTGGCATATGAAATCAGTCAGCTGCCCTGTCTGGATCTGTCTGCTTTCTGTGAACCTGCTTTTCTAGCTTCTCTGCTGGAAATTCAATTTATCTTCAAAGTTAAGCACACAGTGATGAGAAAATTGATCATTGCTCTAGCATAGGGGTGTCAAACTCAAGGCCCGTGGGCCGGATCCAGCAGCCCATGAGGTGCTTAGATCTGGCCTGCGGGACCGCCCTGGAAACAGCAAAGAACCAGCCCACGATGCCTCTGCCAGCCAAAACGGAGCTCCTGAGCTCCGTTTTGGCTGGCAGCGGGTTGGTGGAGGCTGTCCCAGCTGAAAATGGAGCTTGTGAGGACCGTGCACGGCCCTCCCAAACTCCATTTTTGCTGGCAGAGGGTTGCAGGAGGCCATCCCAGCTGAAAACTGAGCTCAGGAGCCCAATTTCGCTGGCAGAGCGCCCCCCCCCCAAGGTCAAACACAACCCTGATGAGGCCCTCATTGAAATCAAGGTTGACACCTCTGCTCTAGCACAATGTAAGGCAGGCCTTTTCAGAAATGAAAAATTGTTCCAGTACTTTGGACTCCAGATGAGTGTGGAGAAAACTAGAAAATTCTTACACTGTTTTTTATTTGTCTCTCGGAAATCTGTGCCTGTCAAGAAAATCAGGATAAAGCAAACCTCAGTTATGTTCATGGCTTCTCATTCACCATAAAAGGTTGTGGTTTTCAATCCTTCATCTTTTCTGGCTACTTTTAACTGTAGCATGTCAGAGAAAGCATCTTTTTGGTGATCCAACCTTTTTTTTCCTATCAGAAAAGAATCCAAACCACAGATCTACAAAACTTAATAAACTAAGTAAAGGTAAAGGTAAAAGTTCCCCCGCACATAAGTGCCAGTCGTTCCCGACTCTAGGGGGCAGTGCTCATCTCCATTTCAAAGCCAAAGAGCCAGCGCTGTCTGAATATACCTCCGTGGTCATGTGGCCAGCATGAATAAACGCCAAAGGCGCATGGAACGCTGATACCTTCCCACCAAAGGTGGTCCCTATTTTTGTACTTGCATCTTTTACGTGGTTTCGAACTGCTAGGTTGGCAGAAGCTGGGACAAGTAATGGGAGCTCACTCCGTTACGCGGCACTAGGGATTCAAACCGCTGAACTGCCGACCTTCTGATCGACAAGCTCAGCATCTTAGCCACTGAGCCACCGCGTCCCTTATAAACTAAGTAAAAATTCACACAATTGCAAAAGAAGGCCACTCAAGCAACTTTTGATTTTGTCTCTTTCTGATTGCGAACCGGTAGTAAAGGTAAGTAGAACCCACCCCTGCAATGGATGGAAAGTAATTGAGGAGAGAAGCAACCTAGAACTAAGGAGAAATTTCCTGACATTGAGAACAATAAACCGTGGAACAACTTGCCTCCAGAAGTTGTGGGTGCTCCAACACTGGAAGTTTTTTTAGAAGGGACTGGACAACTATTTGTCTGAAATGGTATAAGGTCTCCTGCTTGAGGAAGGGGTTGGAGTAGAAGGTTCCTTCCAACTCTGTTATTCTGTTATATCTAAGAGCTAGAGCTAATAAAACCTGCTCCCCTCTGATCTTCAGCCAATTTAACAATTATGGACTGAGGATAGCCTCATATTTTTACACTTTAACCATCCCTAAGTATAGAAGAGTCTTCTCCCTTGCTCGTTTCAACGTCTTGCCCTCAGCATTGCTGGATGGACGATTTAAGAGGCTCCCGATAAGTGAGCGGTTATGCCCCTGAGATAGAGTTGAGGTTGAAACTGTGGAGCCTGTTCTTTTATACTGCCCTATGTATAACGCAGGCAGGAGTAAATTACTGTCTCTCCTAGAAACAGATCTCTCTGGATCCAGTGCTAGAAATTTGACTTTATATTGTTTAAGGGATGGCTCCTCACACATTACTTTTCAGGTTTCTAAATTTTTTTTAAGAGCTGTAACTATTAGAGGAGAACGCTGTAATTCCTCTCAGCCAAGGCTTTTGGTAGCCAACCGTTTATGATGTTACTTTCCCCACGTTCTTTTGTAACTATATTTGTATTTTGGTCTGTGACCGCAAATAAAAGTTATTATTATAACTCTGCGAAGAAAGCTTTATGTTCTATCTTTGTCCAAGAAGGAGGGTTGGAAAATCTGGGCAAAACAGTTTTCATGCAACCTATTCATGTCAAAGATATTGAGATACATTATGTGACTACCACAGAGTAGCAGTAAAGCAGGCAAAAGGTAGCATTTCTACTCTGTTTCCCCTAAAATAAGACATTCCCTGATAATAAGCCCAATTGGGCTTTTGAGCACATGCGCTAAAGTAAGCCCTCCCCCCTGAAAATAAGCCCTCCCCGAAAATATTTAAATGCATGTCCAGCCGGTCCCCACCATTTCCTCTGGCTTCCTCCACGCACCCCAAAATAATAAGACCTCCCTGAAAATAAGGCCAAGCGCTTATTTCGGAGTTCAAAAAAATATAAGGCAGGGTCTTATTTTCGGGGAAACACGGTATACAAAGTTGGGTTTTTAAATGAGAAGCCACACTTTTGAATAATTTGACTACTTTTATGGTTATTTATAGGATTATATCCTTGTGGTTCCTGAAAGCATTTATGGCTCCAACTATCTTTCGGAAGAACCGCTGGACAAATCCTACGATTTCATCAGCAGCTGCGGAGTCAACAGCTTCTACATCAAGTGAGATTGCAAATAAGCATCTAGGGTTATTTCAGCTGGAATGTTCTCTAAATTTTAGAACCAATCCCCAGTGTTGATTTGGAGGCACCCACTAACAAACTTTTAACAGCCAGGTGTTTATAACCCTCTGTAAATCCATCAGGATAGGAGCCATATCAGTGGTGAAATCCAAATTTTTTTACTAACAGGTCTGTGGGCGTGGCTTGATGGGCGTGGCAAGGGAAGGATACTGCAAAATCTCCATTCCCTCCCCACTCTGGGACCAGCCAGAGGTGGTTTTTGCCGGTTCTCCGAACTGCTCAAAATTTCTGCTACCGGTTCTCCAGAACCTGTCAGAACCTGCTGAATTTCACCCCTGAGCCATATGAATCTCAGGGGGATCCTCATTCCCAAGGGCAGAGGCTGTGACGATGGAGGTGTGCTACCTGGGACATGAAAGATGACACGATTTAATGACAAGAGTGCACTTTTTTATATCATTTTTTAATTGTAATCCACCAGGAATCACTCATGTGAGATGGTGTCAGTTTCTTGCAAAAATCAAATCCAGAAGTACACACAGATAAACTGATTCAGCAGGATTCATTTAAATGAAACTTCTTTATATACAAGAATATATATATATATACACAATACCAACAGCAGAATTTCAGCTCAGATCAGCAGACATGTTCACACACACACACACACACACACACACACACACACACACGGGTTTCAGTTTCTCTTTCTCTGCACAGACTCAGAAGCTGCAGACTAAGACACGCTCCAGACTGTCTCAGCTCCCAACTGGCTGACTTAGCTGCTATGCCTATTCATTGGCTGACCTTGTTACCATGTCTTCCCAGTCATGAATATTCTGATAGATGGCCAATGTAGAAATTTGATAGAATATAGATAGATAGATGATGAATAGATGAGAGAGAGAGAGATAAAGGTAGATGATAGAGAGACAGACAGACAGATAATTGATGAATAGATTATATATGAGATAGATAGATAGATAGATAGATAGATAGATAGAAAGAAAGAAAATGAGAGAGAGAGTTCTTGTCAATTCGAACTGACCAGCCAGACACTACTGCAAATAGGTATGTAACTGGATAGGTCGGTCGATAGGTAAATAAAGTAAAATAACTGAACCTTATAGTATGTGTTTTAGCTTTCTTAATATCTAGTTCCTGTACCCATTTTATTTATTTTGTCGCATTTCTATGCTGCCCAACTCCCAAGGGACTCTTTTATGAGCACATATTTGAGTCTTTCTTAATCTAGCCTTCAAAGCAAACAGTGTTCAGGCTCCACATTTTAATTAATTAATGTAATTAATCTTTATCTTACAAATAATAAAATCATTAATAAATAATATTTGTAGGCATTGCATTGCGTTGAGACCTGGTGCAAAACATTTCCTCTTTCTCCGCAGCCCTGTAACTTCATCCAGGTTCTGCCAGGACTCTGCCATCTCCATTTCTCTTTTTTACAATGGGGCTGAACCTTGTCATTGCCATGAGGCTGGTGCTGTTTCGAGCCAGTGTGAGCCATTTGGGGGCCAATGTACATGCAGGTCCAATATCATTGGGCGCGAATGTTCCCGCTGTGCCACTGGATATTGGGGTTTTCCCAATTGCCGACGTGAGTATTTGAGCTTATCGGGAGAGAGAAGTGTGTGTGTGTGTGTGTAGGAGAGATAATATATGTCCTTGTGGACAACCACTTAAGTATGAGCCAGCAGTGTGCAGCAGCTGCCAAAAAAGTCAATGCAATCCTGAGCTGCATTAACAGAGGGATAGAATCAGGGTGGGCTTCAGATCCTTTAGCAACAGGTTTGCTGCCCCATTGCTGGGCGGGCATGGCCATGGTGGGTGTGGCCTAGTCGGCCGCCTGCACCACAGTGGGAGATGGCTCCGGAGCCTTTCCTTGAGCCTCTGGGAGGGCGAAAACTGCTTCTCCCAGGATCTGGAGGCCGGAAACAGGCCCGTTTCCAGACATCTGGAACTTCCGGGAGGCCCGTTTTTCGCCTTCCCCGAGGCTCCAGACATTTCCCTCGAACCTCCGGGAGGGCGAAAACAGCTTCCCCCGGGGTCCAGAGGCCTTCCGCAGGCCGGAAACAGGCTCGTTCCCAGACTTCCGGAACCTCCAGTAGGCCCCCTTCCAGACTCGCCATGCGGCCCCTGCAATTACCTGGAATGATGAACAGGCCGTATGGAAACTCCTGGGAGGGGAGGGGTGGGGTGGGCGTGGCCAGCCAGGGGTGGCATTGGGGGGTTCGCCGAATCCCAGAAATCCTTGGCTAGAGGATTGCCCGAACCCTGCTGAACCTCCAGGAGCCCACTCTTGGATAGAATCAAGATCACGTAAAGTGTTAATACCGCTTTATAATGCCTTGGTAAGGCCACACTTTGAATACTGCATCCAGTTTTGGTCGCCATGAAGTAAAAAAGATGTTGAGACTTTGGGAAAAAACGTGTAAAGAAGAGCAACTAAGATGCTTAGGGGCCTGGAGGCTAAAACACACAAAGAACAATTGCACAAAATGGTTATGTTTAGTTTAATGAAAAGAAAGACTAGGGGGTGACATGATAGCAGAGTTCCAATATTTGAGGGGGTCATCCTATTCTCCAAAGCACCAGAAGACAGGACAAGAAGCAATGGATGGAAACTAATCAAGGAGAGAAGCAACCTAGAACTAAGGAGAAATTTCCTGACAGTGAGGATAATTAATCAACAGAACAACTTGTTTCCAGAAGTGGTGTGCTCCAACACTGGAGGTTTTCAAAAAGAGATTGGACAGCTATTTGTCTGAAATGGCATAAGGATTTCCTGTCTCAGCAAGAGGTTGGACTAGAAGACCTCCAAGGTCCCTTCCAACTCTGTTATTCTGTTATTCTCTTACATGAGAAGCAACATCTGCTGGGCCTGGTGGCTCAGCAGACTGATAGCATTGTGATTAACACCAGCTGTCTGCAATTACTGTAAATTCGAATCTCCCCAGGCTCAAGGTTGACTCAGCCTTCCATCCTTTCTAAGGTAGGTGAAATGAGGACCCAGTTTGTGGGGGCAATAAGCTGACTTTGTATAAATATACAAAAGGATGAAGGCTATTGCTTAACGCATTGTAAACCGCCCTGAGTCTCCGGAGAAGGGCGGCATATAAATCAAATTAAAAAAAACAAAAACATTTTGCTCATATTTCTAGGCCATCCTTTTATTCCTACCTGCCAAGAAAAGTTTGGGTTTCCCTTGAGGTACTCCATTAATAAATTGAAGGCAGAGAGCTGGGTTATTACTAGTTAGCTTATCAGCTTTTATTTTAGTACAGCTCCCTGAAGCAATTTTCTTCCCTTAGGATCCTTTTAGCAAGCTATTCGAGAGAATAAATTGGACTGGAAAATCAATGTGAAATTATCAGAAGTATGCATGAATGGCAAGCAGCTGAAAATTGGTCGCTCTTTTATTAATATTTTGAATTGCAGCACAGTGTTTAGGTAGAGGACTTACCACAGTAATTTAGCCCAGAATTACAACAGTAATTTAGCCCAGAATTACAATCATGCTGGTGGTGAAATGAGTCACTATGTGACTGTTCCCAATTTTATGACTTGTTTTATGGCATTGTTAAGTGAGTCACCATATTATCATTGGACACAGTGGGTGGTTTTTGCAGAAATTGGAACACTAGTTCCTGGAAAATACCATATTTTTCAGAGTATAAGATGCACCGGAGTATAAGTGGATTCAGATCCCAGTTGTGGGGTTGACTAATTTGAACAATACAATAGGATTCCTAGTTAATTATTATTATTTTTTGTTCATACCATACATAGAAGATGGACTGAGCTCACCTGACACACCTGCTAATGATAGGCAGTTATACAGCTGTTGTGTTTTGGGCATGGGGTGAGACAGGTTTAGATCAGATTCCAGCATGATTTTGAAGTAGTAGTGGATTTGTAAGCTAATTACCGTATTGTTTGGAGTATAAGACGCACCTTCGTTTTTGGGGAGGAAAATAAGAAAAAAGCTGATTGGCAGGTGGATCGGCCTCCCCGGATACCCCCAATCAGCTGTTCCCAGAGGTGAATTTTAGCAACAGGTTCCTTGGTTGTGAGCTCTGTGCCTTGCTTTTTTTCCTGCCTCTGAAACTTCTGAAACTCCGTTTCAGAAAAAACATTTTTTCCTGCCTCTGAAACTTCTGAAACTCCGTTTCAGAAAAAACATTTTTTCCTGCCTCTGAAAGCCTTCGAAACAGACCTTCAGAAAAAAAGCCTCCGAAGCTCTGAGGGCTTATTTTCTGAAACTCTGTTTGGGGGCTTATTTTCCGAAGCTTCGTTTCTGATGCTTTTTTCAGCCTCTGAAACCTCCGTTTGAGAAGCTGGGCGGGGCTACATTTGGAGTATAAGACGCACCCAGATTTTCACCCTCTTTTTTGGGGGGGAAAAAGGTGCATCTTATACTCCGAAAAATACGGTACTGTAAATTGTGGCCACATGGCTAGGGGATGCTGCAAAATGGCCATATGTGCAGTCCGGTGGTTATGTGACCACAATGTGATCACATGTCTGGAGTGGGGAGGGGTGAGGCATTCGTCGGAACTTTGAATATGGATCATAAGTTGCTCTGGGAAGGTCTGTCATAACTTCAAATGGTTGCTAAGCAGCTAGTCATAAATTGTGGACTTCCTGTACTCATGAATATATTCATAATTTTAAAAGAGAATTTTCTTGAAAATCCTATTCGTGGAACAGTACAACTGAATTTACAATAATTTACAGGTTGTCCTTGACCTACAACCACAGCTGAGCTCCAAATTTCTCTTGCTAAGCAAAACAGCTGTGAAGTGACTTTTGCCCCATTTTATGACCTTTCTTGTCACCGTTGTTAAGTGAATCGCTGCAGCTGTTAAGTTAGTAACATGGTTATTACGTGAACCTGGCTTCCCCCATTGATTTTGCTTATCAGAAGGTCACAAAAGGGGATCGCGTGATCCCAGGATATTGCAACCGTCATAAATATGAGTCAGTTGCCAAGGGGCCGAATGCTGTTCAGGTGACCATGGGGGTGCTGAAACGGTCATAAGTGTGAAAACTTATGACCGTTTTGACTTAGGATCAAAAATTGACCATAAGTCAATTCTTTCAGTGCCGTTGAAACTTCAAACAGTCACTAAAGAAACGGTTGTAAGTCAAGGACTACCTGTAGTTGTCTAAATTATATATTTAGTGCATTTCAAATCTGAACAGGCACCATTCACAGCTTAAATAGCAAAAGCACTTAGACTTATATACCGCTTCATAGTGCTTTACAGCGCTCTCTAAGTTAGATAGAATTCTTTATTGGCCAAGTGTGATTGGACACACAAGGAATTTGTCTGGTGTATATGCTCTCAGTGTACATAAGGAGAATAAAATATTTATTTATTTATTTATTTATTTTTCATATTTGTATACCGCCCTACTCCCGAAGGACTCAGGGCGGTGAACAGCCAAAAATAAAATACAAAGACATACAAAAGTTAAAAATTATTAAAAACAGATTAAATAATTTAGGCTCAAAAAATTAAAACATCCAATTTATCTAAAAAAACATTTAAAACCCAATTTAAAAGCCAATTTAGAAGGGAAATTTAGAAAATACATTCATCAAGAATAAAAAGATACAACACTTACCCTGTTTCCCTGAAAATAAGACATCCCCTGATAATAAGCCCAATCAGGATTTTGAGCGCCCCCTCCCTCCTGAAAATAAGCCCTCCCCGAAAATATTTAAACACATGCACAGTTGGTCCTCACCATTTATTTATTTATTTATTTATTGGTTCGATTTATATGCCGCCCTTCTCTAGAGACTCGGGGGCTTACAATGCGTTAAGCAATAGCCTTCATACTTTTGTATATCCCTGCTTAGTAGGGCTTTCGCCCCCCCCCCCAAGCGGTGTTCTTTTTTATACAAAGTCAGCTTATTGCCCCCACAATCCGGGTCCTCATTTTACCTACCTCGAAAGGATGGAAGGCTGAGTCAACCTTGAGCTGGTCAGGATGGAACTGCTGGCAGGGGGCAGAATCAGCCTGCAATACTGCATTCTAACCACTCTGCCACCACGGTTCCATAGCAGCAGGTGGTGTACAAATAAACAAACTGGTCATAAATTGAGGATTACCTGTCCCTCCAATTTAGAAATTAACATAGTAGGTTAATTGTTCTCTCTCTCATCTCTACCTCATTTCACTCCTAGCCTGTGATTGTGGATTTCGCCTGTGCGATGAAGTGACGGGACAATGCATCTGCCCACCACGTACTGTTAGACCAGAGTGTGTGGTCTGTGAACCCCAAACCTTTGGCTGTCACCCCCTGGTGGGCTGTGAGGACTGCAACTGTTCGAGTTCTGGGATCCAAGATCAGACCAAACCAGGATGTAATATAGAGAGTGGACAATGCCAGTAAGTAGAGATCATGATATGAACCCTGAATCCTAGAGCACCAGCTGCATCTGGCTATCCTATATCACAGACCCCATCTTTCTTTCTTTCTTTCTTTCTTTCTTTCTTTCTTTCTTTCTTTCTCTTTCTTTCTTTCTTTCTTTCTTTTTCTTTCTTCTTTCTTTCTTTCTTTTCTTTTCTTTCTTTCTTTCTTTCTTTCTTTCTTTCCTTCCTTCCTTCCTTCCTTCCTTCCTTCCTTCCTTCCTTCTTCCTTCTTTCTTTCTTTCTTTCTTTCTTTCTGTCTCTCTCGTGCGCACTCTCATCTCTCATCTATCCATCCATCATTATCTATCTATCTATCTATCTATCTATCTATCTATCTATCTATCTATCTATCTATCTATCTATCTATCTATCTAATCTTCTATCAAATTTCTACATTGCCAATCTCACCTAAGTGATTCCTGGTGGTTTCCACCACCTGTCTATCATATCTCTCTCTCTCTCACTCACTATATCTATCTATATTATCTATCCATCTTCTGTCTGTCTGTCTATCTACCCTTCCCTCCCTCTCCCTCTCTCTTTCTTACTCACTATATCTAGCTATGTTATCTATCCATCTTCTGTCTGTCTGTCTATCTACCCTTCCCTCCCTCCTCCCCCCTCTCTCTCTCGAGATTGGCCAATCTCTGGTCTGGGATGGTACAGAGTCCCCTGCTTGTTATTCTGTTATTGTCTGTCACATCCTTTCCAACAGTAGTCCTTTGCACAAATAAAAGAATACAGCAGGTGGCCATTTGTTCTCCAGATGCAAGCCCAACATCGTAGGACGTCAGTGTGATCTCTGTGCCCCAGGCTATTACGGCTACCCCAACTGCAGGGCTTGTGACTGCCATGAAGCAGGGACAAAACCAAGCATCTGTGACCCGGTCACTGGAGAATGTCACTGCAAGGTTAGTCTGATCATTGTCTAAACTTGGTTTGTGGTCAGATTGCTGTTTGAGGAGCAGTAAGAAACGACAGGACCAATACTGATGGTTCCTTCAGTTCTCAGCAGTATCAACAGTTATTTTCAAGACAAACCCTGCCAACATCGTTTATTTTTATAGTCAAGAATAATGTGTTCCATCAGGGGGAGGTTCTGTGCCTGAATCTCTAGTTCTAATTGTTACTGACGAGCACAAACCTATAATTCTTCAGAAACACCCCTTTAGGAGCAAAAATGGTGGAAAGTCTGATGGACCAAAACATATCAGGAGACATTGGAGGAACTAAACACGTACAGCCTGGAGGGTAGAAGGGAAAGAGAGGACTTGATTGAAATCTTTAAATATAGTAAGGGTGTGAATAAGGTTCTTAGAAGGAAGTATTTTCAATATTAAGTAAAAATCAGGGGCAGTTTCTTCTTGTTATTGAGGCATAGCCTCAAACTGACAGTATTTTTTTTCAATCTCTAGGAAAATGTGGAAGGCCCGAGGTGTGATCAGTGCCATTTGGGGACATTCTCCCTTGATGCCAGCAATCCTAAAGGCTGCACCAAGTGTTTCTGTTTTGGGGCAACCGATCGCTGCCACAGTGCCAGAAGTACCGCGTGGAGGTAAATGAGTAGGTGAAGATCTAGAGGTGACTGTCCCAGAAAAGAGGGATAAAAGAACCTCAGAGTTAACATATAAAAGAAGGAAGAGTTGAAAGCTGAGTAAATCAAGGAAGGAAGCTACTACACAGTATGAAAAAAAGGAGATAGATCTGTGAAGTTGTCTGTAGGTAGCATTCTGTTTAAAATGTTTAACAATGCTATTAATATTTCAAAGAATACTATCAACAGAACCTCATAGATTTTGCAGTAACCTGTTCAATGTAATAGAAGAGGCACAGTGACCTAGTGGTTAAGGCGCTGGACTTGTCGACCGGAAGGTTGGCAGTTCAAGACCCAAGTACCGCATGATGGGGTGAGCTCCCGTTCCTGCCCCAGCTCCTGCCCACCTAGCAGTTCAAAAGCATACAAAATGCAAGTAGATAAATAGGTGCCACTTTGGTGGGAAGGTAACAGCTCTCAACCTTTAAAGGCTTCTGAGCCCTTCAGCAAGCCTACATTTACTTATCAAGATCTGTGTCTTCTAGTTCACTGACATGAGTGGGTGGACTTTGCTGAGTGGAGACCGCCAAGGAGCTTCCACTTCAGTCAGCTTGGAAGACGAGACTGTTCACGCTGATCTTCGGCAGTTTCCAGATGCTTTCCAGGAACTTTATTGGCATGCCCCCAGTTCTTATCTTGGAGATCAGGTAAGTGATTCAGGGCTGATAATGCAACTTTTGCCAAAATATTCCAGTATCTTAATGCTCAAAAGCCGAATTCTAATATTTGAAATGATATTTAGATTCCTCAGAACCAAAATTTTTCTTCTGGGTCAACTTACATGATAAAGAACCAGCTACATAAAACTTTGGTGTTGTTGTTTATGTCTTTAAAAAAGTTTTTTGCAATGTATTAATATTGTCACTATGAGATTTTATTAAATTTAGCATGATGTCGCATGCCGCATGGAATCACGTTCCGAGTGAGGCTATATCCTTGAAAAAATAAAATTGACAAATGCTAGATTTTACTTCTGAAGCACATAAAAACCCATATCTTAAAATTTGGGTGTCACTAGATTTTTTGTAACTTTAAAATACTTCACTTTTCAACTTCGTTCAGTAGTAGTCTAGAAATCCATTAAGTTTTCTGCTAAATTTGAAATAGATATATATTAATAGAGAGCCGAGGTGGCACAGTGGTTAGGGTGCAGTATTGCAGGCTACTTCTGCTGCCTGCCGGCTGCCTGTAATTTGGCAGTTCAAATCTCACCAGGCTCGAGGTTGACTCAGCCTTCCATCCTTCTGAGGTGGGTAAAATGAGGACCCAAATTGTTGGGGGGCAATAGGCTGACTCTGTAAACCGCTTTGAGAGGGCTGTAAAGCACTGTGAAGCAGTATATAAGTCTAAGTGCTATTGCTATTCTTCTACATACAAATTCGTATTTAAAAATAGTTGAGATGCTTCTGTCAACAAATAATTCTAAAAAATAGCTGTATTTTAAAACTGTTGATACCAAGTGGTTATAAGTAAGCTGTAATATTTTGTTTTATAGAAAAACAAAAATATGGGTCATGGGTCAAAACGTAGGATTCTCCCCCCAGGGCCAAGCATCTCCCCTTTTCTAAACGGAGGAATATGAGTAATTCAAACAAACATTTCTTTGCTTTGAAGTGATACGAAACAGCCCAGCATCCCTTGTGCCACTTAATCTCTTTCTATTCATTCCACCATTTTTTTTAATTTTTTTTTTTTTATTTATATGCCGCCCTTCTCCGGAGACTCAGGGCGGCTTACAATGCGTTAAGGAATATATTAACCATGATAGTCTTACCGTCTTAATTTTAAAAAGTACTTTTCCACCTGACAAATGTCACTTAATTAAAATAGAATCCTTGGTACAGAAAAGTTTTAAATTAACTTGGTACCCTGTTTCCCCTAAAATAAGACCTACCTGGATAATAAGCCCCATCGGGCTTTTCAGCGCATGTGCTAAAATACCCCCCTCTCTGAAAATAAGTCCTCCCAAAAAAACAAGCCCTCCCCAAAAATATTAAATCGTATGCGCAGCTGGTCCCTGCCATTTCCTCTGGTTAGGGTTAGGGAGACAGAGCTGGAAATCAGGTAAGAAGGCAAGAAGAGCCCCGTCTTGCTCCACGCACCCCAAAATAATAAGACCTCCCTAAAAACAAGGCCAAGTGCTTCAGAGGTGGGTTTCAAACATTTTTACTACCAGTTCTGTGGGCGTGGCATGGTGGGCATGGCGTGGCTTGGTGGGTGTGGCTTGGTGGGCATGGCAGGGTAAGGATACTGCAAAATCTCCATTCCCACCTCAATCCAGGGGAAGGATACTGTAAAATCTCCATTCCCTCCCCAATCCAGGGGAAGGTTACTGCAAAATCCCCATTTCCTCCCGATCTTGAGACTTGAGAGGCAGAGAATAGATGGGAGCGTGGCCAGTCCGAATTTTTACTACCGTTCTCCGAACTACTCAAAATGTCTGCTACCGGTTCTCCAGTCGGTGCTGAAACCCACCTCTGATGCCCAGAGAGTGGCATCAAACTGGCCACCATAGTTGACCACACCCACCCATTTGGCCACACCCGACCAGCCCCCTGAGGTCAACCACAGTCCTGAAATTGAGTTTGACACCCCTGTTGTAGAACAATCAGAAGAGGAACAATTAACTGGGAAACCTCCACGTACAGTGATGGCTTGCATGGAGCCGTTGATGCTGTGTAGGCGGGCCCAGGCAATTGAGGTGGTGTTGAGATTTGTCAACTGATGTTCCAGGGCGGGGGAAATCACTTTCAATTTCTGGAGATCTTTTAACAAGAGCAGCACACAGCTGTCACAAGCTGTTAATGAGAGAGGAAAGTCAGCCGTAGGACGTGCCGATGGAGAGTCTCAACCATCCAGAGGTGTCTTTGCAAAAGGCAACTGGACTCTTCTGATTTTTTATCCCTTGAAAACATCAGTCAGTCAGAATTTTTACTACCGGTTTCTCTAACCGGTCAGAACCTGCTGAAACCCACCTCTGAAGTGCTTATTTCGGGGTTCAAAAAAATATAAGGCAGGGTCTTATTTTGGGGAAAACACGGTACTAAGACCTGGAATTGGGGGCTTGGGATAGATTTTAAAATCCTTACGGGCAACATAGTCTTTGCTTTCAATGCAGGTCTCCTCTTATGCTGGATATTTGAAGTATGAGTTGCATTCAGACATTCAAAGGGGCGATGTGTTCATACCGATGGAATCCCCGGCGGATGTTATCCTCAAGGTAGATCTCCCATTGCTCTTGGTCTTTGATCTAAATGGCATCAGTCTCCAACTGTGTTTTCTTTAATTCATATGTTTTTGGTCCTTTCCTAGGGAAACCAAATGAGTATTATGTTTGTTGAAGAGTCGTATCCCGCTCCTGGAGAGGTTTTATAAAGGAGAGCTTCAACTGTGGAGGTCAGTTGAGATTGATAACCCCATGGAGAAGGTGAAAGATCAGTGGGGGTTTCTGATGATTTTAGAAGCTTGCTTTGGATCAGATCCTATCCTGTTCAGGAAGGAGAACATTGCAGAGTGATGGCCTCAATCTCCAGCTTTGTAGAGGTGGTCAAAAGGATACCACTGTGGGATAGTTACTGAATATAGCACAACCTAATGTGCATAAAAATTAATTCAGTTCTGGAAGCAAATTACTGTTTCAGCATGATCTTTACGCTTAGCAATCAATTCACATTAATGGCTGTATACAAACCTTTAATGCTGGAGGCAGTAGACTGAAACATAAAATATCAGCAGCTCAGGTTTGAAGATCTGAGTTGTTTTTTTGCAGATTCTGACATGATGCCTTAAGGAAAAGCTTCATTGCAACCATATTGGATTCTTCTATTTATCTTTCTGTCTAACTATCCATCCCCGCTCTCTCCATCTCTCCGTCTGTCATCTGTCTGTTTGTCCATCCGTCTGTCTGTCTGTCTGTCTGTCTGTCTGTCTGTCTGTCTGTCTGTCTGTCTGTCTGTCTGTCTGTCTGTCTGTCTGTCTATCTATCTATCTATCTATCTATCTATCTATCTATCTATCTATCTATCTATCTATCTATCTATCTATCTCTATCCAGAACAGAATAATAGAGTTGGAAGGACCTTGGAGGTCTTCTAGTCCAACCCCCATCTATCTCTATCCATCTCTCTCTCTCTCTCTCTCTCTCTCTCTCATCTGTCTGTCTGTCTGTCTGTCTGTCTGTCTGTCTGTCTGTCTGTCTGTCTGTCTCTATCCAGAACAGAATAATAGAGTTGGAAGGACCTGGAGGTCTTCTAGTCCAACCCCCATCTATCTCTATCCATCTCTATCCATCTCTCTCTCATCTATCTATCTATCTATCTATCTATCTATCTATCTATCTATCTATCTATCTATCTATCTATCTATCTATTAATCTATCTATCTATCTGTCAATCTTATCTCTGTCTCCATCCATCCATCCATCCAAAAAGATTTCCTATTAATGGGAAAATTAAGATCCAATGCAGCCATAATCTGTTTTATTGATGTTAGAAAATCACATTCCAACTAATGTTGTACTGCAGCTCAATTTTCTTTCCTAGGGTAATTTTAGACACACTGAGACACACAACCCAGTCTCCAGGGAAGAGCTGATGATGGTTCTGGCTAACCTGGAGCAGCTTCAGATCCGAGCTCTCTTTTCCCCAATTTCGTCCTCTGTGTCCCTGCATCGGGTGATCCTGGAGAAAACCACAGAGACCGGTGGAAGCATCCAAGCCAATAGTGTGGAATTGTGCCTGTGCCCAGCCAATTACAGAGGAGATTCTTGCCAGGTAAGGAAATGGTTTCCTCCCAAATTCATGTTGAGCTCTTCAACTCAAGAGCCGTGGTGGAGCAGTGGTTAGAATGCAGTACTGCAGGCTGCTTCTGATGTCTGCCAGTTACCAGCAGTTTGGCAGTTCGAATCTCACCAGGCTCAAGGTTGACTCAGCTTTCCATCCTTCCGAGGTCGGTAAAATGGGGACCTAGATTGTTGGGGGAAATATGCTGACTCTCTAAACCGCTTAGAGAGGGTTGTAAAGCACTGTGAAACGGTATGTAAATCTAAGTGCTATTGCCATTAACCTCAGCAACTTTAAGATGAGTGGACCTCAACTCCCAGAATTCCTCAGCCAGCTGTTGGCTGAGGAATTCTGGGAGTTGAGGTCCATGCATCTTCAAGTTGCTGAGGGAAATACTGATGCCAAGTAATCAGAACCCTCAGTTCATTATATAAAGTCAGTTATAGAAGTGATTTAGGATTCATAATATAAAGGTTTGATTTGATTTGATTCTATCATCTGAGATATTCTGAATATCTGTGCATCTCTATCTCTATCTCTACCTGTCAATCTACCTTACCTATCTTCCTCCCTCCCTCCCTCTCTCTCTCTCACACACACACAAATACACACACACAGAGACACACATCTATTCTAGCACTGATGATGTTACCTAGTTTGGGTAATGAAATGCCTGCAAGCAACTCAGAGGGCGCCTGCCTGCCTGCCTGCCTGCCTGCCTGCCTATCTCTCTCTCTCTCTCTCTCTCTCTCTCTATCTCTCTCTCTCTCTCTCTCTCTCTTCCATCCATCCATCCATCCATCCATCCATCCATCCATCCATCCATCATCTCCAAACTGAAAAACCTCCGGAGAAACTCTCAAATAAGATAAGGAATGTTAAGGGCTCCCACCTCCTTGCAGGCATTCTGTCTCAAACGCCTTACATTGATGACGATCTGATGCATATTATCTCCTTTGCAATTAGGAATGTGCTCCAGGCTATTACAGAGACATCAAGGGTCTATTTCTAGGGAAATGCATTCCATGTGACTGCAATGGCCATTCGGATCAGTGTCTCCCGGGATCTGGAACATGCCTTGTAAGTCAACAAAATGATTGTTCAAGTCCATTTACCCCAAAGGTGCTTTCTCCAATAAATGCTGAGTAATCATTTACTTACTTCTGTAGATATAGTGGAGGCGGAGATCCAATATGTGAAATTTAGCATCGTTAATTTTTTTTTTCCCTCTGTAGAATTGCCAACACAACACAGGAGGGGATCACTGTGAAAGGTGTAAGGATGGTTTTGTGGGCAACTCTTCCCTTGAGGAACACGTGCAATGCATTGGATGTCCCTGCCCTCTTTCAGTTCCCTCTAACAAGTGAGTATTTTCCATGCATATAGTCCTCTTGATTCTTTGGCCACATCATGTGCTAGCTTCTTATTTGCCTATGGAAGAGCATACAGTTGGTCCTCAACTTATAATAAGAACCATGGTGGCGCAGTGGTTAGAATGCAGTACAGAGAGTTACAACAGTTCATTTAGTGACCATTCAAAGTTACAACAGCACCGAAAAAAGTGACTTATGACCATTTTTCAGAGTTACGCCCTTTGCAGCATTCCCCACGATCATGTCATCAAAATCCAGATGCTTGGCAACTGACTCGTATATATGACGGTTGTGGGTGTCCCAGAGTTATGTGATCACTTTTTGAGACTTTCTGACAAGCAAAGTCAAGGGGGAAGGCAGATTCACTTAACAACCGGGTTAGTAACTTATCAACTGCAGTGATTCACTTAACAGCTGTGGCAAGAAAGGTCGTAAAATGGGGCAAATGTTAACAAATGTTTCACTTAACAACAGAAATGTTGGGCTCAATTGTGGTCGTACGTCGAGGACTACCGATTGCATGCTAAGTCATTGCTCACTGTCAGGAGTTCAGTTCAGACCATTTCAAGGTTGACTCAGCCTTCCATCCTTGTATGGTTTATTTATTTATTTATTTAATTTTTATACCGCCCTTCTCCTGAGGGACTCAGGGCGGTGAACAGTTAACATAATATACATATAAAATGTGAATATAAGATGATTAAGCCAATTTGGCTCATCGGTTAAGAATTTTCAGCATAAAGATTTAGAACAATGAAGAGATTTATGCCAGCCCAGCTTGGTGAAAGAGAAAGGTCTTAAGTGCGCGACGGAAAGTACGAAGATCTGGGATCTTTTATCTTTTACCCATTTTATCAATGGGTTGATAAAATGAGGACCCAGATTGTTGGGGCAAAAAGGCTGACTCTGTAAACCGCTTAGAGAGGGCTGTAAAACACTGTGAAGCGGTATATAAGTGCTTTTTCTATTGCTATTATAACAGTTCGTTTAGTGACTGATAGAAATTACAACAGCCCTGAAAAAAAGTGACTTATGACCATTTTTCGACCATTGCAGCATCCCCATGGTCACATGATCAAAATTCAGATGATTGACAACTGGTTCATATTTATGACGGTTGCTATGTCCCGGGGCTCATGCGATCCCTTTTGTGACCTTCTGATAAGCAAAGTCAATGGAGAAGCCAGATTCATTTAGCAGTCTTGTCACTAACTTAACGACTGCAGTGATTCACTTAACAACTGTGGCAAGAAAGGTCATAAAATGGGGCAAAACTCACTTAGCAACCGTCTCGGATAGCAATGGAAATTTTTGGTTCAATTGTCGTAAATTGAGAACTATCTGAATTTGCTCCAGTTTGCTAATTCCATAAGAATCATAGGGACTCTGATGCAATTACAACGTAACTGTCAGCGATCTGACTAGCAAACCCAAAAGAAGTAGACACTCTCAAGATCTTTGAATTCCCAAAAGTATAACTTTATTGGATACATCATCTCGGAACTGCAGAAGCAAAAACCAGCTCTGGTTTCGCCAGGCAAAAGCTTAAACAATAGATTCCCTTTCTCCCTATCCCTGGCTGTTCACATTGTCCAATTGTAAGACTTCCTTTTGTTATGGGAACAGTCCGTGTCTCCGTCTAATGCCTGCAGCAGTGACCTTGGCTCTCATGGTCCGTAGAAGAAAGCTTAGCATTCCATTCTGGATGAAAGGCATAGAAGCAGCTCAGAAGAAGTAAAGTGTTTCAGTCTTGACAGTAGCTTTATTTGGTGCAAACTTTAATAGCTCTTTTCTCTTCCCATTTTCATCTTAGCTTTGCCACGGGATGCATCTACAAAGGCTCCACCACGCAGTGTCTTTGCAAGCCTGGTTATGCTGGATTTTCGTGTGAACGGTACCGTATTTAACTTGAATTTCAGCTCTTTTCAACTTGGTTTGCATAAGATCCAATCCATGTATGGCAGGATGGGGCTGTTCGGTTCTCCACTGGTAGAATCAGGCCACCGGCGGAGGACTTCACGCTGCTGCTCTGTAAGACCTCCTTCTCTCCTCCAAAGATGTGCTCCAGGTTACTATGGAAACCCTCTCGTGATCGGCAGCTCCTGCCAGCCCTGTGACTGCAGTGGGAATGCTGACCCCAACATGCTCTTCAGCGACTGTAACACGTTGACAGGGGTCTGCACCGGGTGCATGTACAACACTGCAGGGCCCCGATGCGAAATGTGCGCAGCTGGATTTTACGGTGATGCAGTCGTAGCAAAGAACTGCACCGGTAGGTCTACAAGCAGTCTCTTTCCTGGGTGCATTTACACACTATGATGATGGACTCCATAGGTGGCTCAGTGGCTAAGACGCTGAGCTTGTCGATCAGAAAGGTCGGCAGTTCGAATCCCTAGTATAGGTCTCCTGCGTGAGCAGGGGAGTAGGACTAGATGACCTCTAAGGTCCCTTCCAACTCTGTTATTGTTGCTGTTTTTTTTAAAAAAATGAAATGCTGGTCTCACAGGTGAAGTCTTAATAGTCTTTATATGTTTCTTACATTTATATTCAGATAGTTTTGCCCTTTTTATTCAAGATAGTTGCTTGAAAAGATAAAAAAAGATAAAAATCCTTTCAGTTTCCCCCAGTCTAAACCTGGTGAAATATTTTTTTCTCAATAGAAAATGCAGGTAGTCCTTGACTTACAATCATTCATTTAGGAACCATTCAAAGTTACGCCACTTTAAAAAATTACTTATGACCAATTTTCACACTTACGACCATTGCTGCATCCCTAACCTCATGTGATCAAAATTCGGGCACTTGGCAACTGGCAGGTATTTATGAAGGTTGCACTGTCCCGGGGTCATGTGATCAAAATTTGTGACCTTCCCAGCTGGCTTCCAACAAGCAAATCAATGAAGGCGTCCAGATTTGTTTAATGACCATATGATTCACTTAACAAGTGCAGTATTTCACTTAACAACAGTGGCAAAAAAAAAGGTCATAAAATCGGGAAAAACTCACTTAACAGCTAAATTGGGGCTAGTTGTGGTCAGAAGTTGAGGATTATCTGTATTGCTGAAGCTAAGGTGTAAATACATTGGTCAAATTTTACGTACTTTGTTAGAAATAGAAATAGCGCTTAAGACTTACATACCGCTTCATAGTGCTTTTACAGCCCTCTCTAAGAGGTTTACAGAGGCAGCCTATTGCCCCCAACAATCTGGCTCCTCATTTTATCGACCTCGGAAGGAGGGAAGGCTGAGTCAACTTTGAGCGGTGAGAATCGAACTGCTGACAGTTGGCCAGCAGAAATAGAAGTCATGAAATCTTCTTAAAGTTCTTTCTCTCCTTGTAGAGTGCAGCTGTCTGCCCTGTGGGACGGACTCGTGTGATCCTAAAACTGGCCAGTGTCGGTGTAAGCCTGGGGTGACAGGTCAGCACTGTGATCACTGTCAGGTAAAATAGACCGATACTCCCTGATCCTTAAATTTTCTGCACCGCATCGGTGAGATGTATCCCACAGCAGAGATGGTATTCAGCCGGTTCGGGTAAACCGATAGCTCCCACGATCAGTTGGCCCCACCCACCCGCCTCCGCTCTATCCTGTCCTTTATTTCCTGCTTTGTAGCTCATCTCAATCGCACGGCACAGCTGATTTCCCCACTCCTCTCCCTTGCTATTCTACTTACCATTGCTGACTTGGAGGGTAGGCTGCTGAGCTTCTAAATGCTCCATTTTCAGCGCTGCGCACAAGCGCCTTAGGCTCATGTGTGTGCAAAGCTTGCGTGCGTGCATGAAGTGCGGGCTCACCGAACCAGTTGTTAAACTGGCAGCATCCCATCACTGTCCCACAGGCATTGTGGGTTTTTTGTGGTTTTGTCGCTGATGGGGTTCTGTTAATAAACACTGTTGATTTCAACTTCTGTATTTGCACGTAACAAACATCATGTCTTCCGGGTGCGCTTCAAGGTGTTGGTGACCACCTTTAAAGCGCTCCATGGCTTAGGGCCGGGGTATCTACGAGACCGCCTTCTGCCGCCAATAGCCTCCTACCGGCCAGTTCGCTCGCACAGAGAGGGACTTCCTCAGGGTGCCGTCGGCCAGGCAATGTCGGCTGGCGACCCCCGGGGGAGAGCCTTCTCTGTGGCGGCACCTGCCCTCTGGAACGACCTACCCCGGAGATACGCACGATACCAGACCTCCAGACTTTTCGTCGGGCTCTGAAAACTCATCTATTTCATCTAGCCGGGCTGGCTTGATCCCATCCTTTTCGGTTTTAATTTGAAATTGGTTTTAACTGGGTTGTTTTAAATTGAGGGCCGGAATTATTTAATGTCTTTTAAACTGTTTTTTAAAATTTTATAGGTTATGTTTTATCTTGGCTGTTCACCGCCCTGAATCCTGTTGGAGAAGGGCAGTATAAAAATAAAATAAAATAAATAAAAGTAGGCCAGGTATCCCCACATAACTGTGTTTTCTCTCTTGCCCAGCCAAACCAGAATGATTAGTGGTGAGTAGGTATGGAATGGCAGGACCATGGTCACCCTTTATTTATATAAATAAAAAGGAAGTTTTACAGCTTCAATCATTTGAGTAGAGAAAAACCTAACCCCCTGATTGAATCAAAATGATCACTCCACTTTCTTGAATAAGATTACAGGAGTGAGGGAAAGGAATCCATTCTCTATGTCGTAAATAGAAAGGACCCCCTCATCTCCAATTGGTTTTCAGCACATTATTTCCATCTTTGTATGTATGTATGTATGTATGTATGTATGTATGTTTGTATGTATTTATGTATGTATGTATGTATTTATTTATTTATTTATTATTTATTTATTCTCACTTTCTTTTTTTTTATAAACAACTCAAGGTGGGGAATTTATCTAATACTCCTTCCTCCTATTTTCCCACAAACAATCCAGCAAGGTGGCTTGATTGAGAGAGGGACAGGCCCAAAGTCACCCAGCCGGCTTTCATGTCTAAGGCGGGACTAGAATTCACAGTCTCCTGGTGATTGGCCCAAAGTCACCCAGCCGGCTTTCATGTCTAAGTCGGGACCTAGAATTCACAGTCTCCTGGTGATTGGCCCAAAGTCACCCAGCCAGCTTTTATATTCTAAACAATAACATCTGATTATACCCTAGCTTCTCCTCATCTAACTTGAGTTCCTACTCTGAACTCTTGTCCTAGATCCTGCCTTCACTTACAACAGTGTGCATGTCAACAGAGTTGTAAGCAGTGAGAGTATAGAACTCCAGTGCTGCTGGAGATTGTGAGTTCTGTACTCAACCTGAATCTGCCTTATCCTCAGAGGAAGAGGAGGAATTGGATAGCTGGTTACCAATTGGTTAGGAGCAGCTCAACCCCTTACAGATATGCTCCTCAGGCTGCTTTCATATGGAAGAAATAACATAGCGGGGTGCCTCAGCACAGCCTAGCATGGCCCACAACCATCGTCTCATACTGTATTGGGCTTTAACTCTATTCCTTCAAGAGTCCTACAATATGCAGTAAGCATCTATCACAGGGGTGTCCAACCTCGGCAACTTTAAGACCTTGGGCTTCAACTCCCAGAACTCACCCAGCCAGCATGGGTCACTGGGGAATTCTGGGCATTGATGTCCGCAGACCTTAAAAGTTGCTAAGGTTGGACACCCCTGATCTAGAGTTCAATGTCCCAAATGGAGATGGTCAAAATATCCTGTGTTAATAGGTGCCATCTTTCTTTCCTTCATCCCATTTGCCTGGAGAGATTCTTCAGAATGATTTACCTGCCCTTATTTGAGTGCAGAGCAGCTTCTGTAAACCACTGTTATCATCATCCTCTTTTAACGACCCCATAATCCCTGGCCGGGTGGAGTCTGGGCAATTGAATGGAGCTGAGTGTTTACTGGCCAGATGCCCTTCCTGTTACCAATACAGAGTTTGTTTCAGCAGATGTATTCTCATTGTGCCCAGAGAGAGAAATATCTGCCTCTACCTAGGATCGAACTCACAGCCTCCTGATTCTGAGGCCAGAGCTCCACCTCTAGGCCACTATATTGTTCCTGTAAACCACTGTTATAACTATTAAAATCCGGATGCAAACCCCCCCCCCCTTTTTTTTTTTTTCCTTTTTAGGAAGGGTATTATGGCTACGAAACCTGCTTGGGCTGCCAAAGGTGTGACTGTGACATTGGATCGGTGAGCCCCAATTGCCATGCCCAGAATGGCCAGTGTGATTGCAGTCCAGGCGTCAGTGGTCCTCGTTGTCAGCAATGCTCTCCTGGATACTGGGGGCTCAGTGCAGATGGCTGCTCCAGTGAGTTCCTTTCCTAATATTTAGGCCTTGCTAATAGAAAACTCAGATTCCCACCCCACCCCCCAAGCCTAAAACAGAGGGCACATATTTTTTCTTACTCTAAACATTTTATTAGATTATAGAATAAAATACAAAAGCAAATAGGAAGACATAGTGTGTTTCGGTTTAGGGCTAGGGTTGTAGCAGGGTGAAATCCAGCAGGTTCTGACAGGTTCTGGAGAACTGGTTGCAGAAATTTTGAGCAGTTCGGAGAACGGTGCGGAAATTTTGAGTAGTTCGGAGAACTGGCATATACCACCTCTGGCTGGCCCCAGAGTGGGATGGGAATGGAGATTTTGCAATATCCTTCCCCAAGACTGGGGAGGGAATGGGGATTTTGCAGTATCCTTCCCCTGGAGAATGGAGATTTTGCAGTATCTTTCCCCTGGAGTGAGGTGGGAATGGAGATTTTGCAGTATTCTTCCTCTGCCATGTCCACCAAGCCACGCCCACAGAACCATAGTAAAAAAATTGGATTTCACCACTGGGTTGTAGTCCAATATACACTACATAAACAATGCAAAGGAAGGAAGGAAGGAAGGAAGGAAGGAAGAGAAAGGAAGGAAGGGGGAAGGAAGGAAGGAAGGAGGGAGGGGAGGGGAAGGAAGGAAGGAAAGAAAGATATACCCACATATATTATATGACACAGAGGAACAACACAGTCTAATTCGGATGAATACATGTACATGGTGAGAAAAACAAATCTTGCGAGTTTACCAGTCGGATGGCCTAGGGAACAAAGCTGTTACAGAATCTGGTAGTCCTTCTATGAAATACTTCAAAACTTCCTCCCAGAGGGGAGCAACAGAAACAGACCATCAAGTAGGTGTGTGGGGTCTCTAACAATGCTCTGAGCTCTAAGACATAGCGCTCATAATAATTCCAATCCATGAATTAACGTGGACTGAAAGCAGTCCTGCTTGTGAATCTTTCTCCTTCGATGTTCTCTCAACAGAATGCCAGTGTAAAGGAGGCTCCTGCAACCCCCGCACAGGTGAATGCACCTGTACCAACGGCCTGACAGGGAAGCAATGTGACACCTGTATAAAGAAGCATGAGATCCCTGTGGTGGATGGTCCAGACAACATGAGATGCGAAGGTTAGGCTTCTTCTTTCCTCCGGTGTCTTGGTCCCAGCTATATCTGTTTTGGGGTATTTCTGTAATTCTCCATATTGGTTTAACATTGATGTGCAGGAATCACTGTCCTATCTGTCCTACTAGCCAAACTAAGAATGACTCAGAAATCCTACATGTATCTTGTAAGATTTTCACTTAGGTCCATGTGCTGAATGGGTTTGAGAAATTTTATGAGGGTTGTCAAAAATAGAATAGAATAGAATAGAATAGAATAGAATAGAATAGAATAGAATAGAATAGAATAGAATAGAATAGAATAGAATAGAATAGAATAACAGAGTTGGAAGGGACCTTGGAGGTCTTCTAGTCCAAGCCCCTGCTCGAGCAGGAGACCCATTATTTGAGGGGATTCAGATAAATGGTTGTCCAGTCTCTTTTTGAAAGCCTCCAATGATGGAGCACCCACAACATCTGAAGGCAAGCTGTTCCATTGGTTGATTGCTCTCACCGTTAGGAAATTTCTCCTCAGTTCTAAGTTGCTTCTCTCCTTGGTTAGTTTTCATCCATTGTTTCTTGTCTTGCTTTAGACTGACCCTGTTATCTTTGTAGGAGCCCTACAAATATTGGAACCTTGCTACCATATCTCCTCTAGGGTTCCAGTATTTGTGGGACTCTTAGAAAAACACGGGGATCTATCTATTTTCCAAAGCACCAAAAGGCAAGACAAGAAACAGTGGATGGAAACTAACCCAGGAGAGAAGCAACTTAGAACTGAGGAGAAATTTCCTAATGGTGAGAGCAATCAACCAATGGAACAGCTTGCCCTCAGATGTTGTGGGTGCTCCATCACCGGAAGCTTTCAAAAAGAGACTGGACAACCATTTATCTGAAGACCCTCAAATAGTGGGTCTCCTGGTCAAGCAGGGGGTTGGACTAGAAGACCTCAAAGGTCCTTTCCAACTCTTATTATTCTATGTTCTAACTATCAGAGTACTAACAACCAGACGGCTGAAAAGAATATAAATCCTTCCATTCCTCACCCATCATTTAGAAGCTTCTTGGGTGAGAATCAAAATGTTTTCAAGGAAAAAGAAACCCAATAAAGTCCATCTGCCTTTTGGAGAAGCCATCTGATCGCTAGCACCAAGGAGTCCACAGTGACAGTAGGATTATTTTGATCCTATGGATCAAAATAACCCTACTGTCACTGTAGACTCCTTGGTGCTAGCGATCAGATGACTGCAAAGAATATAAACCCTTCCATTCCCCACCTGTCAGTTAGAACTGAAGAAGTTTCTTGGATGAGAATCTAAACATTTTCAAGGGATAAAAAATCAGAAGAGTCCAGTTGCCTTTTGGAAAAGCACCTTTGGATGGTTGAGACTCTCCATCGGCACGTCCTACGGCTGACTTTCCTCTCTCATTAACAGCTTGTGACAGCTGTGTGCTGCTCTTGTTAGAAGATCTCCAGAAGATTGAAAGTGATTTCCCCGCCCTGGAACATCAGTTGACAAGTCTCAACACCACCTCAATTGCCTGGGCCCGCCTACACAGCATCAACGGCTCCATGCAAGCCATCACTGTATGTGGAGCTTCCCAGTTAATTGTTCCTCTTCCGATTGTTCTACAACAGGGGTGTCAAACTCAATTTCAGGACTGTGGTTGACCTCAGGGGGCCGGTCGGGTGTGGCCAAATGGGTGGGTGTGGTCAACTGGGGTGGCCAGCTTGATGCCACTCACTGGGCATCAGAGGTGGGTTTCAGCATATTCTGACCAGTTCTGGAGAACCGGTAGCGGATATTTTGAGTAGTTCGGAGAACCGGTAGTAAAAATTCTGACTGGCCATGCCCCCATCTATTCTCTGCCTCTCAAGTCCCAGTTGATCGGGAGGAAATGGGGATTTTGCAGTAACCTTCCCCTGGATTGGATTCCCCCTACATTTTCCAGGATGGCTCTGTGGGCCGGATGCAGCACGCATGCCTTGAGTTTGACACCCCTGTTCTACAAAGTTCTAGAGGTTCTAGATTTACTTTGCACTTGCTTCTTTCCTCCCAGAGCCAAGTGCGCGAGTACCAGCGATCCATCTACAGGGTGAGGCAACATGCCGACGAACTGGAAGAGGAGAACGCGGATTTTGTTCAGGATCTGAACGCGCTTCAGCACAAGGTGCAACCATTTTTCCCTCCCCTTTCCTTTTCTCTTCCTGTATTTGTACAGGTAGTCCTCGACTTACAACAGTTCGTTTAGTGACCCTTTGAAGCCACCATGGCACTGAAAAAAGTGACTTAGGACCGTTTTTTACACTTAGGACCATTGCAAGCAGCCCCACGGTCACATGATCGAAATTCAAATGCTTGGCAACTGGTTCATATTTATAATGGCTGCAGAAACCTGGGGTTGTGTGATCCTCTTCAGCGACCTGCTGACAAGCAAAATTAATGGGGAAGCCAGATTTATTTTACTGTGCTACTAACGTAGCAACTGCAGTGATTCACATAACAACGGCGGCAAGAAAGATAGTAAAACGGGGCAATGCCCACTTAACAACTGTCTCACTTAGCAGCAGAAATGTTGGACTCAGTTTTTGTTGTAAGTTGAGGACCAGGGGTGAAATGCTCCCGGTTCGGACCGGATTGCCCGATCCAGTAGCAATGGAGGCGGGTGGTTCGGAGAACCAGTAGCAAAAATCCCTGCCCCCACCCCATGCCCAGCTGAGCCGAGCAATCATCAGAGGTTTTTTTTTTTACTTGTGCGCTTCAAGGTTTTGGTTACCACCTTTAGAGTGCTCCATGGCATCGGACCGGGGTATCTACGAGACCGCCTTCTGCTACCAATAGCCTCTCTCCGACCAGTACGCTCCCATAGAGAGGGGCTTCTCAGGGTGCCGTCGGCCAAACAGTGTCGACTGGCGGCCCCCAGGGGGAGAGCCTTCTCTGTGGGGGCACCTACCATCTGGAACGAGCTCCCCCCAGAGATACGGAAGATCCCGGACCTGCGCACGTTTCGCCGTGCTCTCAAAACTTTTCTATTTCAGCAAGCTGGCCTGGCCTAACTCCCATCTTTTAAATTTTTAAATTTTTTAATTCGTGATTTTACAAATTGGGTGTTTTAATCTGTGTTTCGGCCGAAATATTTAATAATTTTAAGGGATTTTTTAATATTTGTATTATCTGTATTTTATCTTGGCTGTTCACCGCCCTGAGTCCTTTGGGAGTAGGGCGGTATAGAAATTTGATTAATAAATAAATAAATAATAAATAAATACTTTTAAAAGAATTTTTTTCTACAACCTCTTCGGCTAAAAAAATGCTGTTAAAAGTAAAAAAAAAAAGCCTCTGATGATCACGCGGCTCAGCTGGGATTGTCAAAGGCTTTTAAAAGCATGTTTTCTTCAACCTCTTCAGAGGTTGTAGAAAAAATGCTTTCAAAAGGCTCTGACGATCCCAGCTGAGTTGCCTGATCTGCAGAGGCTTTTTTTCTTTTAAATGCCTCTGACGATCCAAGCTGAGTTGCCTGATCAGCAGAGGCATTTAAAAGAAAAAAAAGTCTCTGCAGATCAGGCAACTCAGCTGGGATCAGCCTTTTGAAAGCATTTTTTTACAACCTCTTCGAGGTTGTAGAAAAATGGTTTTAAAAGTAAAAAAAAAAAAAAATTGGCCAACCCCAGTCACATTAACCCCCACACACACACCAAGCCACGCCCACAGAACCGGTAGTAGCAAATTTTAGATTTCACCACTGTTGAGGACTATCTGGATTACACCTGGTACAGTGGCAAAATATACAAGGTGCTTTAGAAAAGTGATCTGGTAACTGAATCAGAATCAGAATAGAGCTGGAAGGGACCTTGGAGGTCTTCTAGTCCAGCCCTCTGCTGAAGCAGGAGACCCTATACCATTTCAGACAAGTGACTGTACAGTCTCTTTTTAAAAATCTCCAGCGATGAAGCACCCACAACTTCTGGAGGCAAGCTGTTCCGCTGGTTAACTGTCCTCGCTGTTAGGAAGTTTCTCCTCAATTCCAGGTTGCTTCTCTCCTTGATTAGTTTCCATCCATTGTTTCTTGTCTTTGCCTTCAGGTGCTTTGGAAAATAAGTTCTTTGTGGCAGCCCTTCAAATCCTGGAATACTGCTATCATGTCCCACCTAGTCCAGTGATGGCTAACCTTTTCTGATCAAAGCATGCGCATGTGTGTGAATGCACACGCACGTGCCTGAACCCCCAAAATGCAATACATGTGCGGGCCCCGCTCATGCGGCCCCCCCACGTGTCCCCCGCCCCTGCGCATGCGCGGCAGAGTCCTGAAGACCAGCTGGCCGGTGGGAGGCGCACACACATGTGCGGCAGAGCTGAACTGGGCTGGCAGCTCGCATGCCCATAGGGCGCTGTATGCCATCTCTGACATGCGTGCCATCAGTTCGCCATCACGGATCTAGTCCTTCTTTTCTGTAGACTGGCCATATCCAATTCCTGCAACCGTTCTTCATATGTTTTAGTCTCCAGGCCTTTAATCATCTTAGTTGCTCTTGTTTGCATTTTTTCCAAAGTCTCAACATCTTTTTTATAATGTGGTGACCAAAACTGTCTGTCTGGACAAGGTTAACTTTGCTTGTGACAATGCTCTATCTGTAAAAGAGATCTCTTTCTCTTTTAGTTTCAGAAGTCAATGCTTCATTTTAAAACCTACATGTGAAAATAGCTAGGAATATCCTTCCTCATGCACCAGATGTAATCACATCTGAATTTATGATAGGGGGAGGATAAAGCTACCTGGTGCTGATTATTTAAGCATCGTCAAGCAATGAGTTGCAAAACCTTGTGTCCCGTCACTTATTTCTCTTTTTCTGGAAGGAGAAATCCTTATTTGTTTGAGTTTTATCCCACCTTTATTACTTGTGTAAGTTAACACGGTAGTGAACTTATGAAATACTTCCTCCTGTTTTCCCCACAACCACCCTTTGAGATGGGTCAGGCTGAAAGAGTCTAACCCAATGTCACCCAGACAGCTTTCATGCCTAAGGTAGGACTAGAACTCATAGTCTCCTGGTGGTTGGCCCTCCCTCTCCTTGAGTAATTAATTTCACTGTCAAAACTGCTCTTAATATTAGGCAAGAGAGAAATGATCATATCCAAACAACTGACAGAAGAGAAAATGGCATATTCAGACAGCCTTGGCTGCTTAACATTTTAGTTATATTCCTTCGGATTCCACCAGGGATCTAAAGACTATTATGTGGTCCATCAACAATGACCCAAATCCTTTCTTAAAATATTACTTTATTATATCTGTGTATCTGCGACAACAACGTGATCTTAAACTAATCTTTCAAAGAAATTAAGCTGAACTCACAAGTGTCTTTAAGCAAACTTTTCGATGTTTGCAAATTGTTGGCCTGCCCCTTTACCTTTCAATGTTATCTAAACGACGATGTTGTTTTTAGGCAACAATGACCCACAGAAAAGCAAACCGCCTGATGGATGTTACCCAGGAGACCTATCAGCAAGCAGAGAGCCTTGTTCTGAATGTCACTAAAATTCAAAATAAAATTAATGGTAAGGCAGAATTCTATCTTATTTTCCTGCTTTCAAAAAGTGCTACTTGAGTAAAAGCAAAGAAATATATATATGAAGAAAATGATGGTAAGTGTTTAAAAATGATGACACAAAAATTTGTACCCAGATGACACACTGATTGATTAGCTATGTAATGCTTGTTTTAAAAGAAAAAATAATAAACTTTTTATTAAAAAAAGTGCTACTTGAGAAATGCCCAATTCCTATTAAAAAAAAACCCAAGAGTGATGCTTAAATTCCAAGTGTGTAGTGTACAAGATTTGTGTAAAATTTATGCTGATTGTATCTACATAATTCATTTTTTCATAAGCAACTGTTGTTGAAGGATTCATATGTACAGATAGTCCCAGCTACACAACCACAGTGATGTTGATTGATTGATGAGGATCACCTCATGCCAACATACAGGTAGTCCTTGACTTACAACCATTTATTTAGTGACTGTTCAGAGTTACAATGGCAGTGAAAAAAGTGACTTATTTTTCAACAACCGTTGCAGCCTCCCCAGGGTCACCTGTTCAAATTTGGATGCTTGGCAACCGATTCATATTTATGACGGTTGCACTGTCCCAGAGTCATGTGTCCACCTCTGGCGGCCTTCTGACAAGCAAGGATGAAGCCAGATTCACTTAACAATCATGTTACTAATTTAACAACCGCAGTGATTCACTTAACAACTGTCCTACTTAGCAACAGAAATTTTTAGCTCCGTTGTGGTCGTAAGTTGAGGACTACATGTAAATAATTGAAAAGCAGAAGATGGTCCCAGTCAAGGGATTCTTTCATACTAGAATTATTTCCTTTAGTTATATATTTGAAAGGCATTTTGGTAGCAACCGCTGAAAGATAGAAATAGAAAATGTTTGCGAGCTTGAGTGTGTATTGGGAACATCGTTGTACTAAGGTACTTCTTAGCATTGTGATGTGCATACCTTGTGCGCAGGTACAAATGTAGGTGTGGTTTCTATCACGATACTAGCATGGTTGCACATCCTGGTAAATGTAAAAAAAGGGAAGAATGTAGTGGAATAATGTTTTGCAAAAAGAAATAAAATGGTATCAAATGGGATGACGGTCGGTGGGGTATTAGTTTGCTAATCGGTTGCTGATTCTGAATGCTGAATCAGATGATGTTTTGGAATCCTGAGAGAAATGGCTTTCTTTTAAAGGGAAATCGAGTGTCGCATGCCAGGGAAATCAGGAGATTCAGCCAGTTCAAATAAGTGTAAAGATTTATTGCAAGCTTGAGCTCTCTACAAGAATCTGGGCAACTAATAGTCAAGAGAAATGAGCGGGAGATAAGGAAGGCACTCAAAATGGGCTGGACTTAGATCTCTTGCGTGCACGTAGGGACTCATGATTTATGATGCGTTTGACCCCTCCTTCAGGCTCAGCCTGGTCATCTTCCACATCAAATCGAGAGCTGTTATATGTGCAGAGGTACGTCCTAATGTGTCATGCATCTCAATTGTGGCTTTTTATACAGATCTCATACATCAGATGGACACTTTTACCACAGCCAATGCTAGCTCCACGTCTGCGGAGGAATTTCGTCAGAAGATAGCCGAGGTTGATGCAATGCTGAGGCACATGAAAGGCATGGATTTTAGTTTCCAGAACGCCATTGCTGTTGAGGAGCGTGATGAAACACAGAATTGTGAGTATGACAGAGAAAGCAAATGGCTGTGTGAGGGAGTCATTCACAAGGATTTATCTATTGTGTCTTAAAATATTCTGGAATCCAGTTTATTGATACTTGAGAGATGAGGCTTCAGAGAAGACAGACTGGATTCTTAAATTCAAGATATCTTGCAGTTTTGATTTTATTTAAGTTCTAAACCAAATTAGATATATTTCTTAAAAGTTGGATGCTTTTTTTTTCCTTCTGATGTTTCAGATATCAAGAGCGCATTTTTCTATTTTTATGTATACGATGTAAAATTTTATAGTTTAGTTTTAGTTTAGTTTTATTAAATTTGTATACCGCCCTACTCCCGAAGGACTCAGGGCGGTGAACAGGCACAAGATAAAATACAGAAATACAAAAGTTAAAAACAATTTAAAACCAAATTAAATAATATTGGCCCACGACAATTAAAATCCCAATAAATTTAAAACAAATTAAAATTTCAATTTAAAATTTAAAAGAAAGGGGAGAAAAATTAGGCCAGGCCGGCTTGCTGGAATAAGAGGGTCTTAAGAGCACGGCGGAAAGTGCGCAGATCCGGGGTCCTCCGTATCTCCGGGGGGAGCTCGTTCCAGATAGTGGGTGCCCCCACAGAGAAGGCCCTCCCCCTGGGGGCCGCCAGTCGACACTGCTTGGCTGACGGCACCCGGAGGAGACCCTCTCTATGAGAGCGTACCGGCCGGTGGGAGGCTATTTGTGGTAGGCGGTCCCGTAAATAACCAGGTCCTAAGCCATGGAGCGCTTTAAAGGTGGTAACCAAAACCTTGAAGCGCACACAGAAGACCACCGGGAGCCAGTGCAGCTCGCGCAGGAGAGGTGTTACACGGGAGCGCCATGTTGCTCCCATAACCACCCGCGCGGCCGCACTCTTATAAGCGGAGAATATTTTTCTTTTAGTTACTACTCTCTCTTATTTTACTGGAGCTGAAGGTGACACTTATAATGCTCCCTGTTCTTTTTCTTCCTCACTATAACCCTTTGAGATACGTTATGCTGGCACAGAACACAGAATATAATAGAATAACAGAGTTAAAAGGGACCTTAAGAGGTCTTTTAGTCCAACCTCCTGCTCAGGCAGGAAACTCTATCCCATTCTGGACAAATGGTTGTCCAATCTCTTCTTTAAAATCTGCAGTGTTGGAGTACCCACAACTTCTGGAGGGAAGTAATTCCATTGATTAATGGTTCTCACTGTCAGGTAATTTCTTCTTATTTCTAAATTAGTTCTCTGCTTGATTAGTTTCCATCTGTTGTTCTGCCTTCAAATGCTTTGAAGAAAGGTTGAAACACATACCCCCCTTTCTTTCTGGCAGCCCCTTAGATATTGGAAGACTGCTATCATGTCACCCCTCGTCCTTCTTTTCATTAAACTTGACATACCCCATTTCTGAAACCATTCTTCGTATGTTTTAGCCTCCACTCCCCTAATTATCTTTTCCCTGCACTCTTTCTAGAGTCTCAAGATCTTTTTGAGTCTCCCACATCTTGGCTTTCTATAAATATGAATGCTAAACAATATTAAAGTTCTGTTGGATTTTTAAATTATTTCTTATGGTGGCAAATAGAAGATGGAAGAAGAGAAACTCAGCCTTCCAGTGCGACTGCTTTAAAAATCACATTAATTACAACATGCAGATTTCTTAATACAAGGAATTCTAAAGCATTTCTTCCAATATATTTGTAAAACAAGTGCAGCCATAGTATCACCTTACAGTAGTGGCCAAAATTGTGGAAACCTTTTGGGAAAAGTGTATTATTGAAGTTTGATGGCTAACTTTTTTTTTTGTTTTGGAGTTTCATATTTCACTGCTGGAATGGCCTGGGAATAGCCCAGATCTTAACCCAATTGAAAATCTATGGAGCCGACTAAAGAAACTTGTTAGACAGAAGCGACCCAGCAATAAAACCCAGTTAATAGAAGCAATCCTTCAATCTTGGTTTCACATTATAACAGCTGCAGAACTAAAAGACTTGGTTTGCTCCATGGGAAGACGTTGTAAGGCCGTAATTCATGCTAAAGGTTACCCAACTAATTATTAACTGACATGGTGATAATTTTTGTATATTTTGTTTTTTCTATGGTGATAATTTTTGTATATCTCATTTTTTCTACGTGCTTCACTTTTCTTTTTTATACTGTAACTGCTATTCTAATGGCAAATCCTTCATAAAAGTTATTGCATTACATTCTTGATTAAATTATCTTTCCATTGATCTATAATTTTATGGTACTACTCCCCCCCCCAAAAAAGTGGTGTTATTAACTAGTTTTAGAAAATATACTTTTCCCAAAAAGGTTTCCACAATTTTGGCCACTACTGTATATCAATGATAGAGTTGTTCATGTGGCTTCCTTTTTTCTCTTTTCCAAGGGTCTCCAAGCTTGGCAACTTTAAGACATTTCTGGCTGAGGCATTCTGGGAATTGAAGCCCAGAAGTCTTGAAGCTGCCATTTTGGAGAACCTGCTCTTTTGGAATTGAGGCAGTTTTACCTCACAGTCATAGAACTCTAGATGTTCATCACTAATCTTTTAAAGCTTTTTTTCTCTCAGTGCTGAACCGTGTGAGGAATGAGCTCTTCAACAAGTTGGAGGCCAACCAACAACTGGTCGATCAAATCAATGGGCAGCTGGATCAGTACAGTTCAGGTTTGATGGACCTACGAGATGCCCTGAATGAAGCAGTAAATAAAACCCGACAGACGGAAGATCTCAACAGCCTGAACCGTAATCACTTAGAGGAAACCCAGGTAAAAACTGAGATTTGGGGCTGCAGAATGAGCTACTATGCCCCAAGGGATTTTGGGAATACAGGTAGTCCTTGTTTTACAACCGTTTGTTTAGTGACCGTTCAAAGTTACAACAGCACTGAGAGAAGTGACTTACGATTGTTTTTCACAGTTATGACCATTGTAGGATCCCCTTAGTCACGTGATCAAAATTCAGACAGTTGAATTCCAAATTTCTGTTGCTAAACAAGACAGTTGTTTATCATCACAGTTGCTAATTGAATCACTGCAGTTGTTAAGTTAGTAACATGGTTGTTAAGTGAATCTGGTTTCCCACTGACTTTGCTTGTGAGAAGGTCGCAAAAGGGGATCACATGACTCTGGGACACTGCAACCGTCATAAAGTAGCCAAGTGTCCAAAGCTTGATCACGTGACCTTGGGGATGCTGCAGCGGTCATAAGTGTGAAAAACAGTCATAAATCCCTTTTCTCAGCTCCATTGTAATTTATAATGGTCACTAAATGAATGGTTGTAAGTCGAAGAATCAGAACAATAGGGGAATCCTTCTGCAGGTAAATAAAAATATTTTTGTAAAAAAATAGAGTAGAGTAGAATAGAATAGAATAGAATAGAATAGAATAGAATAGAATAGAACAGAGGAAAGGAGAGAGAATGGGAATAGAGAATAGAATAGAATAGAATAGTAGAATAGAATAAGAGAAGAAAAGAGGAGAATGGAAATAAAGAATAGAATAGAATATAGAATAGAGGAAAGGAGAGAATGGGAATAGAGAATAGAATAGAATAAGAGAAGAGGAGAGGAGAATGGAAATAGAGAATAGAATAGAATAGAATAGAATAGAATAGAATAGAATAGAATAGAATTCTTTATTGGCCAAGTGTGATTGGACACACAAGAAATTTGTCTTTGGTGCATTTGCTCATGGTGTACAAAAAAAGACAAGATGCATTCGTCAAGAATCATAAGGTACAACACTTAATGATAGTCATAGGGTACAATAAGCAATCAAATAATACTAGGAAACCATCAATATCAATCAATTAAAACAATCAATAAAAAAGAGGGGAAAAAACTAAAACAATGAAAACACATATTGTACCAAACAGAAACTTGAGATGTAGATATGGATGATGAGCAGAGTGTCCTGGGTTTTTATGATCAGACTTTGCACGTTATGCGTTAGTGTTTAATGTTCTCTCATGTCTAAAACAGCAAAAGAGCAAGGAAATGGAGAAACAGTATGACACAATCCAATCTACTTTGAGAATGGCTAAAGGCTCCTTGGGGAAGATCTCTGAATTTCTGCAGACGGTTATAAATGCGAAAGAGGTAAGTGATGTAAACAGTAAGAGGTGGCGCAGTGGTTAGAATGCAGTACTGCAGGCTCCTTCTGCTGACTGCCGATTACCAACACTTTGGCAGTTCGAATCTCACCAGGCTCAAGGTTGACTCAGCCTTCCATCCTTCCGAGGTGGGTAAAATGAGGACCCAGATTGTTGGGTGAAATATGCTGACTCTGTAAACCACTTAGGGAGAGGGCTGTAAAGCACTGTGAAGAGGTATATAAGTCTAAGTGCCATTGCTATTGGTATTGTGCTTCTCCAGGGAGGAGAAATGACACGGATGGCTCTAGGAACCTAGGAGGTGGGGATGTGAGAACTAACAAAAGGATGTGATCTTCACAATGCAGGTAGTTCTCGACTTAACAATAATTTGTGGGCGGCATAGAAATACGAAAAATAAATAAATAAATAAATAAATAAATAAATAAATAAATAAATAAATAAATAAATAAATAAATAAATAAATAAATAAATAAATTTGTTTAGTGGCCATTGAAAATTACAACGGCACTGAAAAAAACGACTTTTGACCATTTTTCACACGGCCGTTGCAACATCCCCGGGATCACGTGATCATAATTTGGGTGCTTGGCAACTGGTTCATATTTATGACCGTTGCTGTGTCCTAAGGTCATGTGAACCCCTTTTGCGACCTTCTGACATGCAAAATCAATGGGGAAGCCAGATTCACTTAACAACCATGTTACTAACTTAACAACTACAGTGATTCACTTAATAATTGTGTCTAGAAAAGCCGTAAAATCGGGACAAACTCCCTTAACACGTGTCTCGCTTAAGAACATAAATTTTGGACTCAATTGTGGTCGTAAGTTGAGAACTACCTATAACTTTCATCAATACTACACCTAGTCCTCAACGTACGACCACAATTAAGTCCAAAATTTATGTTGTTAAGCGAGAAATTTGTTGCCCCATATTTTGACCTTTCTTTCCACAGTTGTTAAGTGAATTATTGCATTTGTTAAGTTAATAACAACCTTGTTAAGTGAATCTTGCTTCCCCATTGACTTTGCTTATCAGAAAGTTGCAAAATGTGATCACATGACCCCGGGAAACTGCAACCATCATAGTCAGTTGCCAAGCATCTGAATTTTGATCATGTGACCCAGGGGTGGGTTTCAAAACCCGTCGCTACCGGTTCACTCATGGGCATGTGAGTGCTCATGTGCGTGTGTGACGCTTCTGAGCAGAAGCCTCCGGGTGGGTGGGCAGAGCCTCCCACAGCCACCACTACCGGTTCGCCCGATCCGGTGCGAACCGGTAGCAACCCACCACTGACGTGGCCATGGGGATGCTGCAACAGTCGTAAGTGTGAAAAATGGTCATAAGTCACTTGTTTCAGTGCCGTTGTAACTTTGAACGGTCACTAAACGAACTGCTGTAAGTCAAGGACTCCCTGTACACAGAAAAACGCTTGTAAGGTTAGGGAAGAAGAGGAATTGTGTCGACTTTTTTGATCCTGAGGTAGTGTTTCAGAATATTGCTTGGGACAGACGAGTGTTTTTCAGCCTTGCTAACTTTAAGATGTATGGACTTCAGCTCCCAAAATTCCTCAGGCAGCATGGCTGTGGGGAATTCTGGGAGCTGAAGTCCACATGCATGGCTGGCTGAGGAATTCTGGGAGCTGAAGTCCATAAGCATTGGTGGCTGGGGAATTCTGGGGGCTGAAGTCCACAATCATGGCTGGCTGGGGAATTCTGGGAGCTGAAGTCCACAATCATGGCTGGCTGAGGAATTCTGGGAGCTGAAGTCCATAAGCATTGGTGGCTGGGGAATTCTGGGGGCTGAAGTCCACAACATGGCTGCCTGGGGATTCTGGGAGCTGAAGTCCATAATCATGGCTGGCTGAGGAATTCTGGGAGCTGAAGTTCCATAAGCATTGGTGGCTGGGGAATTCTGGGGGCTGAAGTCCACAAACATAGCTGGCTGGGGAATTCTGGGAGCTGAAGTCCACATATCTTACAGTTGTTAAGATTGGGAAACACTGGCGCAGATTATTATTGTAGCAGGCCTCAGGTATTTGGATATTCTTCATAGCTCCAATCCTTCAGAGATCCTTCAGCAGAAAGAGAAGGAACAGCAATACAGATCTTTTGAATGGTGGCCAATGCTTCTGTTGTGTTTCAGGAATCCGAGAAGTTACTAGCTCAGCTAGATGGAGCCAGATACCCTCTGTCTGAGAAGGTGAAGGAGTACATGTTGGCAAGCAACAAGATCCAGAAGGTGGAGTTGGCAGAAGAACATGCAAAGCTTCTAGATGAACTGGCACGAAATCTCTCCAGGTAACAATTGCTTCAAATCTGCTTTGTTTGTTCTCATTTCCTAACCAGCTGTTGAAAATGTAACTGACGCTTCTACCCTGAGTCATAAAAATACTTCCTTGTACAGGTGAAACTTGAAAAATTAGAATATCGTGCAAAAGTTCATTTATTTCAGTAATGCAACTTAAAAGGTGAAACTAATATATGAGGAATCACAATCATTGGAAAGACTGCTGAACTGACAGTTGTGCAGAAAACCATCATTGACACCCTCCATAAGGAGGGAAAGCCTCAAAAGGTAATTGCAAAAGAAGTTGGATGTTCCCAAAGTGCTGTATCAAAGCACATTAATAGAAAGTTATGTGGAAGGGAAAAGTGTGGAAGAAAAAGGTGCACAAGCAGCAGGGATGACCGCAGCCTGGAGAGGATTTCAGGAAAAGGCCATTCAAAAGTGTTGGGGACTTTCACAAGGAGCGGACTGAGGCTGGAGTCAGTGCATCAAGAGCCACCACACACAGACGGATCCTGGACATGGGCTTCAAAAAAAGAACTGGTCTGTTGCTCAGTGGTCCAAAGTCCTCTTTTCTGATGAGAGCAACTTTTGCATCTCATTTGGAAACCAAGGACCAGAGTCTGGAGGAAGAATGGAGAGGCACACATTGCTTGAAGTCCAGTGTGAAGTTTCCACAGTCTGTGTTGATTTGGGGAGCCATGTCATCTGCTGGTGTTGGTCCACTGTGCTTCATTAAGTCCAGGGTCAACGCAGCTGTCTACCAGGAGATTTTGGAGCACTTCATGCTTCCTTCCGCAGACGAGCTTTATGGGGATGCTGACTTCATTTTCCAGCAGGACTTGGCACCTGCCCACACTGCCAAAAGTACCAAAACCTGGTTCAATGACCATGGGATTACTGTGCTTGATTGGCCAGCAAACTCGCCTGACCTGAACTCCATAGAGAATCTATGGGGCATTGCCAAGAGAAAGATGAGAGACATGAGACCAAACAATGCAGAAGAGCTGAAGGCCGCTATTGAAGCATCCTGGTCTTCCATAACACCTCAGCAGTGCCACAGGCTGATAGCATCCATGCCAAGCCGCATTGAGGCAGTAATTGATGCAAAAGGGGCCCAAACCAAGTACTGAGTACATATGCATGCTTATACTTTTCAGAGGTCCGATATTATTCTATGTACAATCCTTGTTTTATTGATTTCATGCAATATTCTAATTTTCTGAGATTGTGAATTTGGGGTTTTCATGAGCTGTAAGCCATAATCATCAAAATTATGACAAATCAAGGCTTGAACTATCTCGCTTTGCATGTAATGAGTCTATCTCATATATTAGTTTCACCTTTTAAGTTGCATTACTGAAATAAATGAACTTTTGCACGATATTCTAATTTTTCGAGTTTCACCTGTAGATTATAAATAGTCCTTGACTTGCAACAGTTAATTTAGTGCCCATTTAAGGTTACTACAGCACTGGAAAAGGAGACTTTTTATTATTTATTTTCTTATTTTAATTGATTTATTAAATTTAAATGCAGACCATCTCACTATCAAGCGACTCTGGGTGGCTTACAGTACCATAAGCAACAAGATAGACAATGAAAAAATTAACAATATTATTACAGGTAGTCCTTGGTGTACAACCATTCATTGAGTGACCGCTCCCTCCCTCGTGGAAATTCAGACAACATTCCATCGCACATGGACTCAAATCATCACCACCAAGGAGTTGAATATTTTTAATATATCATCCATTACTAGGTTTTACTTTTGAAACTACAGTATTTTGTCATCCTTGGTTAAGTCATAATCTAACCTATTTCAAAACCGGTTAGATTCCTGTATATTTATAGACCGGGTTTCTTCTTTCTGATGGTATTATTGCAGATGCAAGGAAGAGAAATTTCAGGTCTTTCCACATCCTTTCCTAGTCCTGATTGGCTAGTCCTTCAAAGGCATGGAGGTGAGAAGAGATAATTGGTGATGAAACTTAGTAAACTGTAACAGAGTTGGAAGGGACCTTGGAGGTCATCTAGTCCAACCCCCTGCTCACGCAGGAGACCTGTACTAGAGATTCGAGCTGCCGAACTGCTGACCTTTCTGATCAGCAAGCTCAGTGTCTTAGCCACTGAGCCATCCTTGCAACTGGATTTCTAGCCTCCGTAAATTGACCAGTCCTTCTGCAAGCTATCTTTTACAGGTAGTCCTCAACTTATGACCACAACGGAGCCCTGATTTTCTGTTGCTAAGTGAGACGTTGCTTAAGTGAATTTTGCCTCATTTTATGACCCTTCGTGCCACAGTTGTTAAGCAGATCACTGTACTTGCTAAGTGAATCACATCATCATTACGCGAATAAAGGTTCCCTCGATGAGTTTGATTGTCGGAACTCATCTGGACAGGTCACAAACGGTGATCCCATTACCTCGGGATGCTGCAACTGTCATAAAAATGAGTCAGTTGCCGAGCATCTGGATTTATATCATGTGACCATGGGAATGCTGCAAGCCTCGTGTGTGTGAAAAATGGTCATAAGTCACTTTTTTCAATGCCATTGTAACTTCGAATGATCACTAAACATATGGTTGTAAGTTGAGGACTGCCTGTACTGAGATTGTAGAGGAATAAAATTAACAGCACTATTGAAACTTCAGGTCTTCTGCCGGCAGCAGGAACCCAGTTGGGACTTCTGAGAATAGGAATAAGAATAGGAATAGGAATAGGAATAGGAATAGGAATAAGAATAGAATAGAATAGAATAGAATAGAATAGAATAGAATAGAATAGAATAGAATAGAATAGAATAGAATAGAATAGAATAGAATAGAATAGAATTCTTTATTGGCCACGTGTGATTGGACACACAAGGAATTTGTCTTTGGTGCATATGCTCTAAGTGTACATAAACAGACAAGATACATTCGTCAAGAATCATAATTCTTGATTAAGAGCCTGGTGGCCAAAAAATAGAACACCGCTTGGGGGGGGGGCAAAAAGCCGTACTAAGCAGATATATACAAAAGTATGAAGGCTATTGCTTAAAAGCATTGTAAGCCGCCCTGAGTCTCCGGAGAAGGGCGGCATATAAATCAAACTAATAAATAATAAATAAAGTAATAAATAATCATAATAAACAGGTCTGTCTTTCATTCTTATTTCTTCTTCTTTTTTTTTTTTTGTTCTCCAAAACAGCATTATCCATGGCACAAACCAGGATGGCTTTATTCAAAGAGCCATCAATGCTTCCAATGCCTATGCCAGCATCATTGAGGCGGTGAAGAATGCGGAAGAGGCAGCCAGCAAAGCCATCCATGCTTCTGATGAAACTTTGAAGGTAGGGAATGTTTGCCGTGCAATCTCTATTGGAAAGGGGGCTATCGCCAGCTCACCTGCCAAGACCTGGCAGTCAACCTCCCTCTATTATCCAGGTGTAATAATTCTATTGTTCTAGTGCAGGGGTCAGCAACCTGCAGCTCTGGAGCCCCATGTGGCTCTTTCATTCCTCTGCTGCGGCTCCCTGTCACTCAAAATATGTGTCACAACTGCCAGTGTGCAACACCCGCCGGCACGCAATTGATTGAGCTTTTCGACCCCCAGTAGGCCAACCATGGATAAATAAGTTTTTTTATACATAACATAAAGGTAGAAAAAACGATACATGCAGTGTTATCTTCATTTTAGATTTCAAAAGGGTTTTGTGGCTCCCGGTGTTTTTTCTTTTTCTGTGGGAAACGGGTCCAAATGGCTCTTTGAGTGTTTAAGGTTGCCGACCCCTTTTCTAGTGAGACAGCTGAGGCTTTCATAGAGGACTGCTTTCTCCTCAGATGACTTACAGATACTTGGCAGATAAATGATTAGAGTCGCACAGCTTATTCAAAGAAAACCAACCTGACAAAGAAGAATTGACAGTTTTTGCTTGAGGCTGGGAGAGGTTGCCAGTCAACCTGTCCATGTACCTGCTATCTCCCTCGTCCAGTTAACTGCACATCTGTCTTCCAATTGTACCGATTTAATTTCATAAATCACTTAAAAATAATTCAGTTCAGCATTAGCGAAATTGGGAACGGTATTTGGAAGAAAGGCGTCTTGTCAAGGATGGAGACTCGGCCCTTGTTGAAAAATGGATTAGGGAAGTATACAGTCCTTGACTTACAACCACAGTTGGGTCTGGAACTTCTGTCATTAAGTGATGTGGTCATTAGGCAGGGGTGAAATGTAAAATGTGTTACTACCGGTTCTGTGGTTGTGGCTTGGTGGGGGTGGGGGGTGTAATGTGACTGGGTGGGCGTGGCCTACTTTTTTAAAAAAAAAACTTTTCAAAGCACTTTTTTCTAATGCTTTGAAAAGCCTCTGGCGATCAGGCAACTCAGCTGGGATCGTCAGAGACTCTTCAAAGCATTTTTTTACCACCTCTTCGGCCAAGAAGTTGCAGAAAAAAATGCTTTGAAAAGCCTCTGACGATCCCAGCTGAGCCGCGCGATCATCAGAGGCTTTTTTTTTTTACTTTTAAAAGCATTTTTTCGTCGGAAGAGGTTGTAGAAAAAATGCTTTTAAAACTTAAAAAAAAAAAAGCCTCTGATGATCCTGCGGCTCAGCTGAGCATGGTGGTGGTGGGGGGCAGGGATTTTTGCTACCGGTTCCCCGAACCACCCGCCGCCATTGCTACCAGATCGGGCGATCCGGTCCGAATCGGGAGCATTTCACCCCTGTCATTAGGTGAGACAACACATGACTGTGCCCAATTTTATGAACTTTTTTTTTGCCACGCTCGTTAAACAAATCATCACGGCCATTAAGCGAATCCAGCTTCCCTCCTTGACTTTGCCTGTCAGAGGGTCAGCTGGGAAGGTCACAAATGGTGATAAAGTGACTCCCGAGTGCTATGATGATGATGTAGGGGTGTGAACTGGTCAGAAGTCACATTTTTTTCTGTTGTAACTTTGAATGGTTGCTAAATGAATGGTCATAAGGCGAGGACTTGCCTGCAATCCATTTAATGTCCAATTAACTTGTTTGTTTAGTGATCTTTTGAATTTACAACAGCACTGAAAAAAGTGATTTATGACTTTTTTTCCAAATTTGGATGCTTGGCAACTGGCATGTATTTATGAGGTTGCAATGTCCAGGGGTCATGTGATGACCTTTGTTGACCTGACAACCCAAGTCAGTAGGGAAACCAGATTCGCTTAACAACTGTGTTACTAACTTAACAACTGCAGCGAATCGCTTAAAGCAACAATGGCAAGAAAAGTAAAATGAGAGCAAAACTCACCTGACAACTGTCTTTCTTAACAACATAAATTTTGGGCTCAATTGTGGTCATAAGTTGAGTCCCTGTGTTCTAGGGAGTCAGGGAACAGTAGAGATTAGAGGGGGAAAGTGTGCACCCAAGAGAAGACAACTGTTGTGGCCCACCAGCGGCCAGCGGATCTGACAGCAGATTCGGACAGTGAGGAGGTTGGGGAGGAACATGGGCCAGTCCTGGAGTCTGGGGAAGGCTCTGATGAGAGCTCTGCGTCGGAGGCAGAGATGGGGCCAGTTATCAGCTGCCTTCGGAGTCAGACAACAGTGAGGTAGACAAACAGTGGGAGCCTGTTCCCAGTGTGCGCATGCGCAGAGTTGCCAGACTAAGGGAACAGCTAAAGAACAAGGGTCGACTTGGGAGTAAGGCCACAGGTGGACAATGAATGGCCCCTCCCAGAGGGAATAAAAGAGGAGCGAAAAGGGGAGTGGAATTTGCAGGAGACAATTAATTTGCTTAATTGGTTCGTGACTCTCAGAGACTCCTTGGCAAGCTTTGAAGATATCGGCTTGGCAGCTCTCCAAGCCAGATAAGGTCTGTGACTGTAAATTCTCCCTTGAAAGACTTTGCTGGATATGAATGAGAAGAATTCACAGTAACTTAATAAAAAGGGGTTTTTGGTCGGAACAAGGAGTCTCCTTCATGCTCTTGGGAAGCCTAGATCAGAACAATAACCAATGGAGGCTAGAACTCTTGTATAAGACGTGGGTTCAGAATGTTCTGTGTGAATTTGGATGCAATGAGGTGGGACGAGTTATCTTCTATATTTGCAGAACGTCCTCAAACATAAGCTTGGAGACAGAGCGAAAGAGATGAAGAAAGACAGCAGTGCTTTAGAAGACGCTGTGAAGGAAGAGCAAAGGAAGCTCAGAGGAGGTGAGCAAGAAACCAGCAGCACCTTCTCCATCCAATCTGGTCCATTAGACCCTCCTTCTCATCTGGGTCTTTCCCCTTAGCCCCATTCACCACGCTGCATATCACACGTGGCATTACCATCTGATGCCTTGGTCTTCTTAATGGCTCTTTATTGACCTTAATGGATCCATGGAGATTGAAGAGTTTGGTTCGGTCTGATTACAGCCTGCCCAGAACTGATTCAACCAAACACCTGAGCCATTGAGTGTGTGTTTGTTGTGTCATTTTGGGTGCACCTCTGTTAGTTAGGTATTTGGGACAGTTTTATAGGAAGTTGAAAAGCAGGATATAGCAATAGCAATAGCACTTCAGACATTTTCTGAATAGTTTTTATCCCAGAGCTATAATTGCACTCAACGATGAACTAAAGGGCCACCATCAGTGAGCTGTTGGACAGCATTATTTGGTCTGTTGTGTGGATGTTTGGGTGGTTTAGGGGTGGGGAATTTGTGGTGGGTGGGAGTGTGTTTGGGGATTGTTATGTGTGTTGTTGGACCTGGTCTTTGGGTGTTAAGTGAATTTCGTTGTATGAGTATACTGTGTATATACATACAATGACAATAAAGTAGTAGTTTGTTGTTGTTGTTGTTGTTGTTGTTGTTGTTGTTGTTGTTGTTATTATTATTATTATTATTATTATTATTATTATTATTATATACTGCTCCACAGTGCTTTACAGCCCTCTCTAAGCGGAGCCTTAGTGACACAGTGGTTAGAGTGCAGTACTGCAGGCTACTTCTGCTGACTGCCGGCTGACTGCAAATTTGGCAGTTTGAATCTCACCAGGCTCAAAGTTGACTCAGCCTTCCATCCTTCTGAGGTTGGTAAAATGAGGATCCAGATTGTTGGGGGCAATATGCTGACTCAGTAAACCACTTAAAGAGGGCTTTGAAGCACTGTAAAGCGGTATATATGTGTAAATGCTATTGCTAAAATAGTGACTCCTTTATAAAATAGCAAAGCTCTGTTTCGGAGGCTTTCAGAGGCAGAAAAAAAAGTTCCAGGGGCAGAAAAAAAAGCAAGGCACAGAGCTCACAACCAATGAACCTGTTGCTAAAATTCACCTCTGGAAACAGCTGATTGGGGGTATTCCGGGAGGCTGATCCACCCACCAATCAGCTTTTTCCTTATTTTCCTCCCCAAAAACTAAGGTGTGTCTTATACTCTGAAAAATACGGTAAATAGAATTGTTAAGTTGTCCCGTGGCGAGTTGGCCCAATTCTCAGGTTGGAGAACACAGGTCTGGAATGTCTTGGTACATGACCTCCACCTTCACAGTCCCCAGGCCATATTCTCAATGTTGCTAATTGAAATGTTACTTCCCGAAATCCTGATTTGAACTTCGATAACACTGTACTTCTTTTATTTTAATCCAAGTCAAGGGAGCATTGGAGGCAGCCAGAAACAAATTGGCTGGCACCCAAACCAAGAAGGAGCAACTTCTGAACCAGCTGAACTCAGCGAAGAACAAGTTGGACATGGTCCATGGTAAGCCTGTAATGTTTATAATAACTTCATAGATTTCCCAAACAATCATACTGGTAGTCCTTGACTTACAACCATTCACTTACTGATCCTTCAAAGTTATAATGGCGCTGAAAACATTGACTTATGAGCGGTTTTCACACTTAATGATCGTTGTGGCAAGTGGTGGTATTCAGCCGGTTTAGACCAATTCAGGCGAACTGGTAGCGGCGACCGTGGGTGGGCCCACTCCCCCACCCTCCCACCCCGGCGTAACACTCCTATTTAGCCACATTTTCAAGGCTGGGTGCATGCGAGGAAGGCGCACGCATGAGCAAAGTGCATGCACAGAAGGCCAGGTACATGCGTGGAAGGTGCACACGTGCGAAACGAGTGTGCACGCGTGGGGCAAACTGATGCTAAGAATATGTGAAACCCACCTCTGGTTGTGGCATCCCCATGATCGCGGGATGAAAATTTGGACACTTGGCAACTGGCATGTGTTTACAAAAAGTCACAGGATCCCAGGATCACGTGATCACCATTTGCAACCTTCTCAACCGGTTTTTGAGAGACATTTGTTAAGTGAGTTTTGCCTCCTTTTACGACCTTCCTGGCCGCTGTTGTTAAGTGAATCATTGCAGTTGTTTGACATTGACTTTGCTTGTCAGAAGGTTTCAATAGGGGATCGCATGACCCTGGGACACTGCTTCCGTCATAAATATGAGTCAGTTGCCAAGCGTCTGAATTTTGCTCACCTGACCATGGGGATAACGCAACGTTCGTATGTGTGAAAAACAGTCATATTGGTTTTTTTCAGGACCGTTGTAACTTTGAACGGTCACTAAATGAATGGTTGTACACCAAGGACGACCTGTAATAATATTTTTAACTTTTTTATTGTCTATCTTGTTATTTATGGTTCTGGAAGCCACCCAGGGTCGCTTGTTAGTGAGATGGACTGTATTTAAATTTAATAAATACATTAAAATAAGTAAATAAATAATAGATTCGTCCCATCACTTTGCCGGTGATCTGATCATACAACGTTAATGCATGAAATGCAATAAATTTCACTCCTGGCTAATGATTTTCTCTGAACCGCAGAGAACAGTTTTTATGCTAGTTTGATTTTGGTATTTGTTCTTCCTGAGTTTAAATGAATCTGAACTGTTGCAGGTTTTGGGCCACTCTTGACTCTGCACATTTCTTTCATCTAAATTCTGGAAGCTTTTTTTTTTTTTTTATTTTGCACCCTGTCTCTTTTTGTTTGCAAGACGATGCATCGGAGAAAATCCAGAAGGCCAAAGACGCAGCCTTAAAAGCCAACGAGACAGTGGCTGCAATGGAAGGAAAATTGAGGGACATGAAAAAAAACGTGGACGAGTGGAAAAAACAGTATGGAGATCTAAGAAGTGAAGATTTGAATCAAGCTACCCGTGATGTCAAGAATACTGGTGCGTAATTCCCATTCCTTCAATCTTTCTGTTTCTTTGGATAAAGAGGGATTCTGCCTGTTAGCAGGATTCATTTGTGGGTATAGATACTCTTTTCTATTGACTGTGAATTCTAGTCCCACTTTAGACATGAAAGCTGGCTGAGTGACTTTGGGACAATCTCTAGGAGATTTGAATTCTAGTCCCACTTTAGACATGAAAGTCAGCTGGGTGACTTTGGGCAATCACCAGGAGACCATGAGTTCTAGTCCCGCCTTAGGCATGAAAATTGTTGTTAAGAAAAAGTATTACCATATGTTTCGCACTATAAGATGCACTTCCCCAAGAAAAGTGGGTGGAAATGTCTGTGCGTCTTATAGAGTGAATATTGCGGCAGGGGGGAAGGGGGGTTGGTTCCCCGCCACCAGGGAACTCTGGAGCCTTCACTGCTGAGCAGCTGATTGGCGGTTGGATCGGCCTCCTGGAATACCACTGATCAGCTGTCCTAGGTGGTGGCAAATGGTGGCAGTGGCAAATGGCGGTGGCAATCGATGGTGGCAATTGGCGGTGACGGCAGAACCGGCCGCCTAGAACAGCTGATTAGCTGTATTCCGGGAGGCCAATCCCACTGCCAGTCAACTGCTCGGTAGCGAACGCTCCAGCGTTCCTCAACGGTGGCAGCAGCTCAGCTCAGTTGACCGGTGGTGGGCACAACGAAGCAGAGTCCTGACGAACCACGTGCTGGGGCTGCGATAACGTGCTGAAGCTGACCAGGCTGTTTGCTGTTTGCTGCAAGGACTCTAACCAGATGAATGGATGCTGGAAGGCAGAGGCAGATTTTTTTTTTCTTGTTTTCCTCCTCTAAAGCTAATGTGCGTCTTATAGTCTGGAGCATCTTATAGTGCGAAAAATACAGTAGCTATGTTCAGTGCCTTGAGTTAGTTATAAAACTAATAAAGGTAGGATATAAATAATGTTAGATACAAAACATCAGTTAGATCCTTTTTTTTTTTTCGGGTTTCCAATTTAAATAATTTTCTTCCATTTTTCATCCTGTGTGTCAGGGTCATTGCGTTATTTTTTGAGACAGAATGCTGAAAGAAAAAAGATGCAAATTCTTCTATCTTTTTTTACTTTCTGATTGTTTTTAAAAAATGACCAAACCCAGCAGATTCTGTGTGATTCTGTCCCCTCTTCTCTATTTGCTTTCTTCTGTCTTTCCCTGAAATGTCATCTGAAATAAAACAACGAAATTATCAGAGCTCGTAATTACATTGAAGGCAATTTTGAAATAGAAGATTCGAAACTTCTTTTTGGATGACTGAGTTGTAATTTATCATGCATAACATGCTTCCTCTGTGACTTGTTTATGTTCCCATTGGGTTGGTGTCTGGGTTTCCTCTCAAAAAATTTCGGCTGTCCAGTCTCAAGTCTTGAAAGCACCCTCCCAGTCCTCCTGGGAAAGTTGACCAGTCTGGAAAACAGAAGAAGCCACAACGCGACTGTTTTGGACAATATCCTACGGGTGCGCCAACTGATCTCATTGGCCCGGAATGCTGTCAGTAAGGTAAGGAGGCTTAAAGTCACTCAGTGTCTGATGATCCTGCTCTCTGCCATTGTGGGACTCCAAAACAAAGTTATATGCCGGAGTTTAGGTCTTCAAGAGAAGGCAGTCTTGACTTAGAATTTGTGTACAACTGGTCAGTCAAGGGCAGGATTGATAATTACAGGTAGTCCCTGCTTAATGATAAAAAAATATGTTGAGATTCTAGAAAGAGTGTAGAAAAGAGCAACAAAGATGATTAGGGGACTGGAGGCTAAAACATATAAAAAACGATTGCTGGAATTGGGTATGTCTAGTTTAATGATATAAGGGATGCGGTGGCTTAGTGGCTAAGACGCCAAGCTTGTCAATCAAAAGATCGGCAGTTCAGCGGTTCGAATCCCTAGTGCCACATAACGGGGTGAGCTCCCTTTACTTGTCCCAGCTTCTGCCAACCTAGCAATTCGAAAGCATGTAAAAAATGCAAGTAGAAAAATAGGGACCAGCTTTATTGGGAAGGTAACAGCATTCCGTTTGCTTTTGACATTTAGTCATGCCGGCCACATGACCACGGAGACGTCTTCAGACAGCACTGGCTCTTCGGCTTTGAAACGGAGATGAGCACCGTCCCCTAGAGTCGGCAATGACTAGCACATATGTGCGAGGAGAACCTTTACCTTTAGTTTAATGAAAAGAAGGACTAGGAATGACATGATAGCAGTGTTCCAGTATCTCAGGGGCTGCCACAAAGAAGAGGGAGTCAAGTATTCTCCAAAGCACCTGAGGGCAGGAGAGAAACAACCTAGAACTAAGGAGAAATTTCCTGACAGTTAAAACAATTAATCAGTGGAACGACTTGTCTCCAGAAGTTGTGGGTGCTCCAACACTGGAGGTTTTTAGGAAGAGATTGGAATTTGCCTGAAATGGTCTCCTGCCTGAGCAGGGAGTTGGACTAGAAGACCTCCAAGGTCCCTTCCAACTCTTTTATTCTGTCACTAAGTGATCCAGTTTTAAACCATGACATCATGTGAGCTTGCCAACTTAACGACAGCAATTGAGGCCGTCCCAGGTGCTGTTGTTCAGTCAATCCCACACAGTCACAGTATGCCATGGTTGCGTGATCACCATTTGTGATCCCCTGCCAGTTTCCCTGTTCCCTTTGGCTGGAAGACAACAAGAAAAGTTGCAAATGGAGATCGCATGGGCACATGATGCTATGACTCTCATAATCTCAAGCCAATTGCCAAGTGCTTAAATCCCAATTGTGTGACTCTGGGGATGTTGTGAGTCGTAACACCCTCTCAGTCAACACTATTGCAGCTTTGGTTGGTGAATGAGTGGTCGTTCAATGAAGTTTACCTGTATATTATTTTTGCCTGTCAATCCTTAAAAACAATCAAATAGAAAGAAGGATAATCCATGAAGCCAATTAAGGATTTGGCTGACAGAAACAAATGCACGCTCTTCAGGATATCATTAAGAACAATTTTTTTTAAAAAAAAATTGATTTATATGCCGCCCTTCTCCGGAGACTCAGGGCGGCTTACAATACTTTAAGCAATAGCCTTCATACTTTTGTATATTTATACAAAGTCAGCTTATTGCCCCCACAAACTGGGTCCTCAAGTGACGATTTTTAAAGGGAGGACGATTTGGAAGTGACGATTTTTAAAGGGAGGTGGGACAAATTAGCATCAAAATGAGCCACAGTGGCGCAGTGGTTAGAGTGCAGTACTGCAGGCTACTTCTGCTGACTGCCGGCTGCCTGCAATTTGGCAGTTCAAATCTCACCAGGCTCAAGGTTGGTACTCAGCCTTCCATTCTTCCGAGGTGGGTAAAATGAGGACCCAAATTGTTGGGGGCAATATGCTCTATAAACCACTTAGAGAAGGCTATAAAGCACTATAAAGTGGTATATAAGTCTAAGTGCTATTGCTAAAATAGCGAATGCTTCTGGGACCACAGTATTTTTTAATGCCAGGCCTAGTATCCAGTATCAAATGTTTGTTCGTTTGATCTTTTGGCTCCTAGATTAAAGTTCCGGTGAAGTTTAACGGCACTTCCGGTGTGCAAATCCGGACTCCTAGCAATCTGCAGGATTTGGCTGCCTACACATCCCTCAAATTCTACATTCAGAACCCGGACTCCAAAAAGAGAGACCAACCACAGGATGAGTCTACACGCTTCGTGTTGTACCTGGGACAAAAGGATGTAAGTTCTCAAGAAAGAAATCAAGAACCTGGAAAAACCAACCCAGTGGGTTTGGGGTAGAAAGTATAAGGATAATTTGTTTTTCATGTGTGTTTCAGAATGTTGGCATTACTATGCAGTTGTTATTCAATACGACTGATATTCACTGTTGGTGTAATATAGATTTAGCTCTGTTTTGGTTCCTCTTCTTTGCCCCAATATCTTTGATTATTGTTTCTTCCTCAGATTTTGCACTTTGCAAAACGTTACTTAAAGTTTAGTTTAACCAGAGCAATATTAAAATACAAGCGTGGTTTGCTTCTGCTGTTTTCTGCTTTTGAAGACTCGTTTCTTGGCTTTATTGTTAGTTAGCTAATTATTTTGGCTACTGTATGTGTTTATTTTCTGGATGTTTTTACCATTATTTTATTGTTTTAATAGTTTTACCTTTTTGAATTATCAGCCATCCAGAATCCCTTGGTTGAGTTTGACGCCTATAGAAATTGAATGAAAGAATAAATAATTAAACCTTTTTGTTGTTGGTAGTTGCGAAGTTGTGCCTGACTCATCGCAACCCCATGGGCAACGTTCCTCCAGGCCTTCCTGTCCTCTACCATCCTCTGGAGTCCATTTAAGCTCACGCCTACTGCTTCAGTGACTCCATCCAGCCACCTCATTCTCTGCCGTTCCCTTCTTCTTTTGCCCTCAATCTTTCCCAGCATTAGGCCCTTCTCCAGTGAGTCCTTCCTTCTCATTAGGTGAATTAAACCTAAGATAGCATAAACAACAGATAGGAAGAGTTGCAACATCTCACAATCAATAAAACAACAACAACCCAAAAAAAACCAGGCTCATTCACACTATCTGGGCCCCAGGTTGGATGGCCAAACCAAGTTCACTCTTGTTCTTTGTATTTTCCAGGCCACTGGGGACTACATGGGCCTCATCCTTAAAGACCACAAAGTGGAATGGATCTACAAACTAGGAGACGATGAACCGGCACATTTGACGGTCGATGAAGAAATTGGAGAACAGTTTGCTGCTGTCAGCATCAACAGGTACGGAGGAACGAAGCAGGGTGGGGGGAAAAACAGGCTTCAAAAATCGGTGTTCTGTAGTGGATCCATGGACGAGAGTTTCTGAGGTAAAATTGCTCTCTACAGTCACCGCAGGTAGTTCGCAACCTACGACCACAATTGAGCCCCAAATTGGCTGTTGCTAAGCGAGACAATTGTTCAGTGAGTTTTGCCTCAGTTTACAACCTTGTCACTGTTGTTAAGTGATTCATTGCAGTTGTTCAGTTAGTAACATGGTTAACTGAATCTAACCATCTACCATGACTTTGCTGGTCAGAAGGTCGCAAAAGGGGATCTCGTGACCCGGGGACACTGCAATCGTCGTAAATGTGAGGATAGTTGCCAAGTGTTGCCAAATTTTAATCACATGACCATGGGGATGCTGCAATGGTTGTAAGTGTGAAAAACGGTCCTAAGTCGTTTTTTTCAGCTCCGTTGTAACTTCAAACAGTCACTAAACGAACTGTTGCAATTCAAGGACTTACCTGTACTGCTTGGTAGAAGAGAGAAAATAGCTTTGAAGGTTGAAGTCATCTTCTCCCTTGCTCTTAAAGTGCTTTCTGCTCAGGCCTTGTCAAAGGAAGTTCTCTTTGGGCTGGGTTTTGTCTTTTTTAGGGACATGGTGGCTCAGTGGCTAAAACGCTGAGCTTATCGATCGAAAGGTCGGCAGTTCAGCAGTTCGAATTCCTAGTGCCGGGTAACGGGGTAAACTCCCGTGACTTGTCCCAGCTTCTGCCAACCTAGCAGTTCGAAAGTACATAAAAAATGCAAGTAGAAAAATAGGGACCACCTTTGGTGGGAAGGTAACAGCGTTCTGTGCACCTTTGGTGTTTAGTCATGCCAGCCACATGACCACAGAGACGTCTTCGGACAGCGCTGGCTCTTCGGCTTTGAAACAGAGATGAGCACCGCCCCCTAGAGTCAGGAACGACTAGCACATATGTGTGAGGGGATCCTTTACCTTTACCTTGTCTTCTTTTCCTTGCACCATGGGCTTTGTCGACTTTCTGCTGCATTTCTGTTTATGTTTTTATTTGGTTCCGATTATATATTTTTTTATTTTCATGGGCGTTCTTGAATGCCGTTTCCTGGCAGAGGGATAGGAGAGACAGCCTAGAAATTAGCAAAATGTCTTCCTGGTTTGTAGGATCTTGCAGTACGGATACATGTCTGTGACAGTGGAGAAGCAAACCTTGCATGAGACCAAGGGGGACAGCGTTGCCAAAGGAGAACATGGACTCTTCAACTTCAAGCCCCATAACACCGTTTTGTACGTGGGTGGCTACCCTTCCAGCTTCACGGTGAGTTCGGCTGAGTAGACTGCTTGTGTTGGACAAGGGGGATTTTTAGAATCAGGTTGCATAAACTTGTAGTAGAAAGTGGTGACTTAATGGTTAGCCCGTTACCCTTTTCGCTGTCTCAACAATTATGAAGTTTTTTCACACCTATGATTGTGTGTGTTTGTTTAATTTGTTTTCTGCCTTTATCATTTTTACCAATAACTCAAGGCAAACATATCCAACATAACTTCCTCCTCCTATTTTCCCCACAACAACCCTGTGAGGTGTGTTTAGGCTGGGTGGGGGGAGGGATTGGCTGCAAAGTCACTCACCCAGCTTTCATGCCTCAGGCAGGTCTCAAACTCACAGTCTCCTGGTGATTGGCCCCAAAATCACCCAGCTGGCTTTCGTTCCTAAAGTGGGACTAGAAGTCAAAGACTCCTGGTGATTGGCCCCAAAGTCACCCACCTGACTTCCATTCTTAAGGCGGGACTAGAATTCAGAGACTCCTGGCGATTGGCTCAAAGTCACGCAGATGGCTTTCATTCCTAAGGCGGGACTAGAACTCAAAGACTCCTGGTGATTGGCCCCAAAGTCACCCACTTGACTTCCATTCCTAAGGCGGGACTAGAACTCAAAGGCTACTGGTGATTGGTCCCAAAGTCACCCATCAGATTTTCATTCCTAAAGGGGGACTAGAACTCAAAGGCACCTGGTGATTGGCCCCACCCGACTTTCATTACTAAGACGGGACTAGAACTCAGAGACTCTTGGTGATTGGCTCAAAGTCACCCGGATGGCTTTCATGCCTAAGGTGGGACTTGAATTCAAGGTCTCCTGATTTCTAGCCTGGTGCTTTAACCACTAGATCAAACTGGCTTTATGTTCTCTATACAAAACCTATAACTATTTTAAGTAAGCTAGGGGCAGGGGTGAAATCCAGCAGGTTCTAACAGGTTCTGGAGAACCGGTAGCAGAAATTTTGAGTAGTTCAGAGAACTGGTAAATACCACCTCTGGCTGGCCCCAGAGTGGGGTGGGAATGGAGATTTTGCAATATACTTCCCTCAGGAGGGGAGGGAATGGAGATTTTGCAGTATCCTTCCCCTGGAGTGGGGTGGGAATGGAGATTTTGTAGTATCCTCCTGCCACGCCCATCAAGCCACGTCCACCGAACCGGTAGGGAAAAAATTTTGGATTTCACCCCTGGCTAAGAGTTTTACAAGGAACGTCAACTGGCAATTAATTATATGCCTAAAGTCACTTTTCCCTGGAAAATCCACATTCAAGGAGGTTGGTAAGCGGAGACAGTCTTCTGTTACTATCAAGCAAGGTTGTCAGACTTGCTCCAACTTGGTTCTCTAGGCAAGAAAGACCCTCGATTCCATTTGGATCAAAAGGTATACTTTACTAAAAGCCAAGTGGAAGACAGTATAGAGAAGCCGGAACTGAAGTTCGCACGCCCAAGTTTCCCGTTTAACTTCCTCCCTCTATATCCTCCCCTCTGCTGGTCCCTTATTGTCCAATTATATTTGAATAAATAGTTTTGGGAACAGTCTCTTCAACAGCGGGCTGGTTGGTAAGCCATTGCATTCCATTCCCAGTCCTTTTGACCTTGAGATGACGCCCGGCTCCTTCCACTCATAGTTCGTGGCAGACTGGCAGCTAGCGAATACGAAGCTCAAGCATATGATGGCAGTTCTGACAAAGGTTGGGATTTTAAAGGCAGGACAGTTAGGTAACTGAAGCAGGAAGCAAGAAGCTATAGACGCAACCAACTTGCAACCAGATGGGAGTGTTTATTGCTGCTGAGAAAATGAAACACAAGATTCAGCAAATGGATTATTTTTTCCCCCAACAGCCTCCTCTACCTCTGCGCTATCCTAACTACCGAGGCTGTATAGAGATGGATTCTCTGAATGAAGAGGTGATAAGCTTGTACAATTTCCAGCGCACCTTCCATCTCGACACCACTGCGGAGAGGCCTTGCACAAGGTAAGCTTGGTGACGATACATTCAAGAACCTTCCTCCCTGGGAGAAAATGGGCACAGTGGTACAGGTAGTCCTCGACTTAACGACCACAGTTCGTACAAAATATTTCCCGTTGCTAAGCAAGGAAGTTGTTAAGTGAGTCACACACAATTTTAGAACCTTTTATGGAGCAAATAACTGCCGTCGTGAAGCGAATCTGACTTTGCTTGTCGGAAGCTGGCTGAGAAAGTCACACATGGCAATCAAATGACCCAGAATGTCACAACCATCGTAAACACATGCCAGTTGCCAAGTGCCCAATTTTTGATCAGGTGATCATAAGGATGCTGCAATGATTTTTAAGGGTGAGAACTAGTTGCAGATCATTTTTTCTCCCAGTGCCATTGTAACTTCAAGCGGTCACTAAATGCATGGTTGTAAGTGGAGGAGTACTTGTATGTAATTTGATTTGCTGATGTCCTGCCTAGAGACAGGAAGATTCCATCAAGCTAAGCTATCAACAATGTTCCTTCCTCAAAATACAACTAATCTATCTATCTATCTATCTATCTATCTATCTATCTATCTATCTATCATCTACATCAGTGGTCCCCAACCCCCGGTCCGCGGACCGGTGCCGGGCCGTGGAGTACCTGGCACCGGGCCGCGCAGCGGCCGGGGGACATGAACGCTGCAGCGCAAAGGCTCCTGGGCCGTGCGCAATGGGCCGTGTGCAAAAGCTCCTGGGCCGTGCCCCCACCCCTGCGCGCGCTCAGCAGGCCGCGGCGATAAAAAGGTTGGGGACCACTGATCTACATCTATTTCTGTCTGTCCATCATCTATCTGTCTGTCTGTCTATCATCTATCTACATCTATATCTATGTCTGTCTGTCCATCATATCTCTCTTTCTCTCATCTATCTATCTATCTATCTATCTATCTATCTATCTATCTATCTATCTATCTATCTATCTATCTATCTTTAAATCTCCAAATTTTTAATTTCTAGAATACAGCTGTGTAGATTGGGCATATCACTCATCCACTCTTTCCTTCTTCTCAAAGATCTAAATCAACGGGCGATCCCTGGCTGACCGATGGCTCCTATTTTGACGGGACTGGATACGCTGAAATCACCTTTGAGAGCCAGCAGGGATCGATCAAACGCTTTGAGCAGGAGATGCGGTTGGTGTCCTACCACGGGATCATTTTCTTCTTGAAACATCAGGCAGGTGTCCCTTGGATTGGTCATACTTGATAACCTGGCAAGGATCCGGGTTGCTTGGTCCAAGTCCGTTCTTGGTACGTTAGTGGCGTTAGAAAAAAGACATGTCACAAAGACATCTCAGGTGGATCGGAGAAAGCAAATGTAGGACAATATATCCTCGTTTTCCCGTGCTTTTTCCCAGATTAAAGCAGCGCTATATACCGTAGATGGGTGCGATAGCTCAGCAGTTAAAGATGCTGAGCTTGTCAGCTGAAAAGCTGAAAGCCCAGGTTCGAGACCCGAGCTCTGCAGAACTGGGTGAGCTCCCGTTCCTTGCTCCAGCTCCTCCCCACCTAGCAGTTCGAAAGCATGCAAACGGGAGTAGATAAATAGGTACCACTTTGATGGGCAGGTAACAGCATTCCGTGTGCCTTTGAGGTATAGCCATGCTGGCCACATGACCACAGCAATTGTTTTTGGACATCGCTGGCTCCCTCAGCCAAGAAACAGACATGAGCACCGTGTCCTAGAGTTCAGGAATAGAGACTGACAGGGACACCTTTACTTTTTATATAGAGTAGAGTGTTGACTTTTAGACCCCAAAACCTGAAAGTGATTTTGTCCTTTTTCCTCCCACAGAATCAGCTGCTGTGTTTGGCTGTTCGAGACGGAAAGCTGGTGTTGTATTATGACTTCGGTGGAGGCCTGAACATGGCGCCCCCTTCAAGGGATCAGGCCACCCTGATAGTCAGCAACAACGCAAACAAAGCGGTAATGACGGAACTGTCTTTTTCAATTTTGCATCCTGAGGCAGAAGTACGTTCTTTTATTCTTTCCATGCGTTAGGGCAGCAGTCACCAACTGGTCCAGGAGAAAATTTTGGTGGTCCGCAGAAAAATTGTTTGCATTTTTTATATTTATATTATATTTATATTTTACATTGCACTAAATCAGGGGTCCTCAAACTACGGCCCCTGGGCCAGATACATGCAATGAATGTTTGTGTTGCTGCAGAGTCTCCCCCTTTGGGGTTTTTTTGTAGGGGTCGGGGAGGGGGAGAAATTCCGACTTAGGGTCTGCTTCAACCTCCTGGTGCGGGGCTTTGGGTGAAGGCTGGAGGGAAGTGCCGCTGGTGGCAAAGAGCCGGAGGACCTTGTTCCAGAGGGACTGCCTCATGGCCTGGAACTGATTGACTATCTCAGCCTGCTGAGCCTCCAGGCACCAGTACCTGGCCTTGCACTCCCACAGGTCTTCCCTCTGCTGAGCCTCCTTCTCCGTCAGATCCAATTTGAACTGATCCAGCTGTTTTGTCAACTCTTTCTTATGGTGGCTGCTTAGCTCCAACAATTGTTTCCTGTAGGGAGCCTAAGGAGCCCGGGCGGGGAGGCGAGGAGTGGCTGGGAGGGGAGGGGCGAGGAGAGGAGAGGAGAGGTCGGCAAGGCGCCCCTCAATGTGAGTGACATCCAGTGACATGCCCACCCATTCACATGACCACCTAACCACACCCACCCAGCCAGTCATTAAGCAGATCACATTAGTGGTCCGCAGGATTTAAAATTATGAATTTAGTGGTTCCTGAGGTCAGAAAGGTTGGTGACCCCTGCATTAGGGGGTTTCAGATTTCAATGGCCACAGAATGGCTGTGACTGTCTTCAAATTAAAGGTAGTCCTCGACTTACAAAAATTTGCTTAGGGACCATTCGAAGTTAAAATGTGACTTATGACCAGTCCTTTCACTTAACAACCGCTGCAACATTCCCAGGTTCACGTGATCAAAATTAAGTCACTTGGCAAACGGCATATACAGGTAATCCTCTAGTTACGACAGTTCAGTTAGTGACCATTCAATGTTACGCAATAACTCCCCCCCCCACCCCCCAAGTGTTTACGACAAAGTCCCGAAGTTACAAAAGATGCAGCAGCACTGCAACACTTGCCCTTATTGGCCTATAGTTAATGGGGGAAGTTGGATTTGCTTAAGGATTACATGATTCACTTAGCAACTGTAGTGATTCACTTAACATCCGTGGCAAAAAAAAAAAAAAAGAAGCCGTAAAATTGGGTGCAGCTCAATTGGCAACCACCTTTCTTAGCAATGGAAATTTGGTTTTAATTGAGGTCGTAAGTCGAGGACTTCCTGTATCCAGGACCAACCCACTGAATCGAGCTTTGGAGAATAGGTTGACCCCCCTCTTCTTTGTGTCAGCCCCTTAGATATTGGAAGACTGCTATCATGTCACCCCCAGTTCTTATTTTCATCAAACTAGCCTTGATAGTACAGTGGTCTACGCACCCTGTTATTAACACAGCTGCCTGCAATTTACTGCTGGTTCGAATCTCTCCAAGGCTCAAGGTTGACTCAGCCTTCCATTCTTTCTAAGGTAGGTGAAATAAGGACCCAGTTTGTGGGGGCAATAAGCTGACTTTGTATAAATATACAAAAGTATGAAGGCTATTGCTTAACGCATTGTAAGTCACCCTGAGTCTCCGGAGAAGGGCGGCATATAAATCAAATTAAAAAAAAAACAAAACCTAGACATCCCCAGCAACTGTCCTTTATATGTTTTACCCCCCAGTTCCCTAATTATCATAAAAGAAGACCTTACCTGGGGCATCCACATTGCAGCACTGGTCAAAAGGGCCCAGCAAAGATTATACTACCTGAGACTTTTCAGGAAACAACAACTGAATGAAAAACCGCTGGTGACCTTCTACCGTTGCACTATAGAGAGTATCTTAATTTACTACACCTGTGTATGGTTTGCCAATTACACAGTGGCAGATAGGACAGCACTCCAGAGGGTTAACATCATTGTCCAGAGGATCATTGGTTGCCCTCTCCCCTCTTTGGAAGAGCTTTAGAGCTCCCGCTGCCTTAAGAAAGTTCAAAACGTTCTTAAAGATCCATCTCATCCTGGATCTCACCCTTTATTTGAACTATTACCATCTGGCAGACGGTACAGGACAATAAAAACAAAGACAAATAGGCTGAAAAACAGCTTCTATCCCAGAGCAGTAACTATGGTGAATTCTACTGTATAGTGCAATATTAATGCAGTATCGGGGGTTTTCAGGTCAATTGTGCAGAATGTGAAGGGTGTGTGTTTTCGTTTTATTTTTTTAATAGAGTTTTCTCATGTATGACGTACATTGAAGATGGCATTCGATTTCGTTGTACGAGGTGCAATGACAATAAACTAAACTTAAACTTACCTTGGTTGCTCTTCTCCGCACTCTCCTCTAGAGTGCGGTGGTCTCCTTAATTTAGATAGGAGACACTTTGAGAAGAATGCCCGAATCTTGGGTGAAACCGCCTCTTTTGTGAGCGAGCAGTTCAATGGACATTTCTGCTCGGTCTAATTCCAGATCCAGCTGTTTCTCCTGAAAATGGGTTCCAAGGATCGCGTTTTGGTCCGTCTGGAGCAATCGACTGTCTTCATGATTGAACAAGAAAACGTGTTGCATGGGGCCACCTCTTATTATTTAGGGGGGGTGCCCACTGTCGTCTTGCCCGAAAAGTAAGATTTTCTCGTATTCATGATAGCAGGTGGAACTTCGTTTCCTTTGTGTCTACAGTTTTTATTATGATGTAATGTGTCTAGGGTCAGCCGGGGGTCAGGAGTTCTTTAAATTGGTCTTTCCATTTCCATTTTCATTCTGCTTTGGCGGCTGGGATTTATGGAAAAGGAACATTTGTGGGTAGTTTGGTTCCTTCTGCTCCTTAATCCACCCATCTGCCCAAATCCTCTCTACCTACGTGCTTTCTGATTCCTCTCCCAAGTTCTAAAGATGTTGAGTCTTTTAAAAACACATATCCTTTGCTCAACCTCACATGTTTTTCAGACTGAAGAAAATATTCCCCAAAGGAGGCTCCATCAGAGGTTGCATGAAAGGACTGAAAGCTCTGGGCAAATACGTGGACTTAAAACGCATGAACACCACCGGAGTGAGTTACGGCTGCACCTTGGACCTCCTGGTAAGAAGATGTATTTATGGACCTCTTTATTGTAGCTGTTGTGGCCCGCCGGCAGCCAGCAGAGCCGGGCAGCAGAGCTGGACAGTGAGGAGGTTGGGGAGGAACATGGGCCAGTCCTGGGGGCTGGAGAAAGCTCGGACGAGGCCTCTGCGTTGGAGGCAAAGAGGGAAGTAGACAGCAGTGAGGCAGAGGAACAGCTGGAGCCCAGTCCCAGTGTGCACATGCGCAGAGCTGCCAGAAGACAAGAACAACTCAGAAAGCAGGGTCGACTTGGCAGTAAAGCCACACCTTGGAGATCATTGGCCCCTCCCATAGGAAACAAAAGAGGAGCGAACGGGGAGGGGGCTTTTGCAGGAAACAATTCGTTCTGTGACTCTGTGCCAAGTTTTGCCTTGTACTGCATTTGGAAACAAGTTAAGTAAGCTTGCCAAGCGAGATAAGGTCTGTGTTGATAACTATTCCTTTGAAAAACTGTTTGGACAAGCCTTGCTGACTGTGAATGAAAGAAATTCACAGTCGAGTAAATAAAAGACGTTTTGCTGGGACCAAGACTCTGCTTCCTACTTATAAAGGGAGCCTCAGTCAGAACAGTAGCGCACAGCTTTGGGAAAAGCCAGCTTTGTTAGGACAGGTAGACCTCTACTTCCGACCGTAATGGAGCCTGCCCATCACAGTTATCAGTTGGTAAGGTCGTTCAGCGAGGCTCCCACGTGATCGCCTCGCTGAACGACCACTCTCCTGGCCATCCGAGGTGCGGTCTCTAAACAAACAGAGCAGAAGAGCTGCCTGCTGAAAGAGGACAGGCAGCTGTGTTCTGTCATAGGACTGGCACGCTGGGTCGGAGAAAGAAAGCACAGATTTGAATGATCTGAGCTTCATTTCAACCTTGAATTTCTCCACTACAGTGCACTGGATCCCCTCTCGTTTATATGCTAGAAAGTTATACTTTCTTTTTTTTTAATGTAAATTTATTGTTTTATCATAGAAAATAAAGTATAAAATAGTCAAACAAACAAAATGAAACAAAAGAAAAACATATGTTCAACCCTAACAACAACAAAAGTGTATAAAAAAGGAGGAAAAAATGGTCAATTAAACATTTAACATGTAGGATCCACCCTGGCTGGATGTTGAAAGAAAAAAGGAGTAAATTCTGCTTATAGAGAGATGATGGATGGATGGATGGATGGATGGATGGATGGATGGATGGATGGATATTTATTTATTTATTTATTTATTTATTTTTTATTTTTTATTTATTTGATTTTTTTATACCGCCCTTCTCCAACAGGACTCAGGGCAGTGAACAGCCGAGATAAAACATAACCTATAAAATTTTAAAAACAGTTTAAAAGACATTAAATAATTTCGGCCCACAATTTAAAACAACCCAGTTAAAACCAATTTCAAATTAAAACCGAAAGGATGGGATCAAGCCAGCCCGGCTAGATGAAATAAATAAGTTTTCAGGGCCTGACGAAAAGTCCAGAGGTCTGGTATCGTGCGTATCTCTGGGGGGAGGTTGTTCCAGAGGGTGGGCACCATCACAGAGAAGGCTCTCCCCCTGGGGGTCACCAGCCAACATTGTCTGGCCGACGGCACCCTGAGGAGGCCCTCTCTGTGCGAGCGTACTGGCCGGTGGGAGGCTATTGGCGGCAGAAGGCGGTCTCGTAAATACCCCGGCCCTAAGCCATGGAGTGCTTTAAAGGTGATCACCAACACCTTGAAGCGCACCCGGAAGACCACCGGAAGCCAGTGCAGCTCGCGCAGGAGAGGTGTCACATGGGAGCGCACCGTCGCTCCCATAATCCCCCACACAACCGCATTCTGGACCAACTGGAGCCTTTGAGTGCACCCCAAGGGGAGCCCCATGTAGAGAGCATTGCAGTAGTCCAGGCAGGAAGTGACGGGTGCCTGAGTGACCGTGCGTAGGGAGTCCCAATCCAGAAAGGGACGCAACTGGCATATCAGGGGAAGATAGATAGATAGATAGATAGATAGATAGATAGATAGATAGATAGATAGATAGATAGATAGATAGATGATATGAAGAAAGAAGAAAAAGCAGTCAACAGGTTAAACTAATCATTACACTCATCTTCAAATCCCTCTATTAACCATCTGTTATTGTACTTAGCGGGTAGAAAGTCCACAAACGGTTTCCAGTCTCTTATAAAGCTGTCTAGTCCATTATCTCTAATCAAAGCAGTTAATTTCGTCATCTCTGCTCATTCAGCCAATTTCAAAAAAACGAATACTTTCCAACCAGTGGAGGGCAGGGGAATGTGCGTTCTGTGCCAGAGGTAGGAAGCAACTTGGGATCTTCCCTCTGGATTTTTTGAGGAAGCTGGCAGGGAAGATTGCAAATGGTGACCACATGATCGCGGGGGAAATTGGCCACCCCAGTGTAAGTGCGAACGGGTTGCCAGGAACCCAGATCAAAATCACGTGACCGTGGGAAACCCATGTAACTTTGAACACCAGTCGTAAGTCCCATCATTCAGCTCCATCATAGTTTTGAATGCTCTCTGAACAAATGGTCATGAGTCAAGGATTACTATCTGTATTCAATATTTAAGCACTGACAGTTTTTTCTGTGGAGGTAAAGCAGTAATCTGACTCCCTACTCCAATTGAAGCTTCTCCTGTAACAATAAAAACTTGAGATAGAACATAAGAATAATAGGGTTGGAAGCGACCTTAGAGGTCTTCTAGCTCAACCCCTGCTCAAGCAGGAGATCCTATACCAGTGATGGCTAACCTTTTTGCCATCATGTGCCAAAAGCGGGGGGAGTGCAGGGAGGTCGCACACGCACGTGCCCACACCCATAATTCTATGCGCCTCACCCCTGTGCATGTGTGTGCAACTCCTCCGCGCTTCCCCCGCTTTTTGCACGTGATGGCACGGTGGGCCCAGTAGGCCCATTTTTCACCCTCTCCAGGCTCTAGAGCCTTTCTAGGAGCCTGGGGAGGGCAAAAACGGCCTTCCCCACTCCACTGGAGGCCCTCTGGAGGCCAGAAACAGCCTGTTTGTTGACTTTTCCAGTGGGCCCAGAAGGCCCGAAAATCAGCTGGAGCTGAGCTCGCGTGCCCATCAATATGGTTCCGTGTGCCACCTGTGGCACACGTGCCATAGGTTCGCCATCACGGTCCTATACCATACCAAACAAATGGTTGTCAGTCTCTTCTACTACCAGCATCCAGATACTATCTGTGCTTGGCCTATTGCAGGGGTCTGCAACCTTAAACACTCAGAGAGTCATTTGAACCAGTTTCCCAAAGAAAAAAAAAAACACCGGGAGCCACAAAACCCTTCCCATGCCTGACTATTTCTTGAGCAGCCACAAAACTAGCATATGTAGTTGAATTAAACGTTCTGTTTTCTTCTGAAACTTTTCTTTTCTTGGATTTATCCATGGTTGGCTTACCGGGGGTTGAAAAGCTCAATAAATTGCGTGCCGGCGGGTGTTGCACATTGGCAGTTGTGACATATATTTTGAGTGATGGGGAGCCACAGCAGAGGAGTGAAAGATCCACATGCGGCTCCAGAGCGTCAGGTTGCTGACGCCTGGCCTATTGCCACCAGGACACTTTTGACTGTTCACAACAATCACTCAGACACCTTCCTTAATGTGTGTAGTTTCATCCACCTCTTAAACTCTATGGTTGTTGCTAATCTTATTTGATGTTGTGGTTCTCCATCCCCACCAGGGTCATGGCATCATTCTGTTCTTTTTGGTAGCCCTGGATTTGTTTGTTTGTTTTTTGTTCGATCTAAGGGTAACCCACTTCAATGGGTGTTGTACCTGTCCTTTTCCAGGTGGCTCGTTCAGTGAAACTTCATGGCTCCGGCTACTTGACTCTCTCGCTGAGGAACGTCCCTCCGTTGCAAGACTTCTACACTGGTTTTAGCTTCCGTACCAGTCAAAGTCGTGGCTTGCTCTATCACCATGATACCAAGGTAGGCTGTTTGGCCCTTGAAGGAATTGCGTCCTAAAATAATAGTCTCCTGAATCTCGTATTGGCCGAACGGTGAGAAATAACTCCTCTAACTCATTGGCATCAGAACTGTAGGAAAAAACAATGTGAAATGCTAGTGCCAATATCTGGGTAACTGGATGTTTTACATTCTTAAGAAGAGAGACAGATGGGGGTTTTTAACTGACATCTGTCTCTCAAGGAGGGAAAGTATACCTTTCCCTTATATTTGTCCAACCTGTGACTCTCTTTACAAGACCCATCAATTTCACTCTTATATTGGTATCTATCTATATCTTCCTATCTCTCTCTCTCTCTCTATCTATGTATTATCTATCAATATCATCTGTATCTTTCTATCCCCATCATATCTCTCTCTCTCTTCTATCTACCTACCTACCTACCTACCTACCTACCTACCTACCTACCTACCTATCTATCTATCTATCTATCTATCTATCTATCTATCTATCTATCTATCATCTCTCTCTTCTATCTACAGTATCTATCATCTACCATCCATGTATCATTATCTCTCTATCTCTATCATCTTATCTCTGTTATCTACGTATAGCTTATATTGTCAGCTTTGGAAGCCATATTAGTCCGGAAGCTTCCATGCTGCCACCTTCTCATGTGTGGGAAAGTAGGAGGGGGATTTAGTAGAGGGGTTGTCTGTAGACATAATAGCATTCTTCCTGTCAGTCAAAGTCAGGGCGATCCTGCATCTGGAGAAGGAGTAGTCGGAGTGATGTCTCGAGATGGGACAGATGGTGACTGGAGCATGTGATCGACTGAGGAGTGAGGGGATGTTTAGGGATTTTTGATTTAACTGAGGGAAAACCGGGACCTCTCAGTTTCAGATTCTGTCTGTCTGTCTGTCTGTCTGTCTGTCTGTATCATCTGTCTATCTATCTATCTATCTATCTATCTATCTATCTATCTATCTATCATCTATCTATCTATCTATCTATCTATCTATCTATCTATCTATCTATCTATCTATCATCTATCTATCTATCTATATCATCTGTCTGTCTATCTGTCTATCTATCTATCTATCTATCTATCATCTATCTATCTATCTATCATCTATCTATCTATCTATCTATATCATCTATCTATCTGTCTGTCTGTCTATCTAGCTATCCCATCAATCCATCCTTCTATCACCTAAGTGAGATATTCTAAACTGAAAAGATGGTGGCTTCTTTTGCCTTTCCTGGGTGTCTATGAGGGATGTCAATGACATCCTGATCACTTTGAACCACCCTTTAGGCACCTTTGAAGAATCACATATTTTTTTTTAAAAAAAGTTTTTATTTTTATTTCTCATAAACATATTTACATATACAATCATTTATCCACCATTTTTCATTCATCTTATCTTTTAACTTTCATTATTAATTTTTACTTATTTGGGGCTGCTCTTTTACCATTCACCCTTCTTTATTTTGCCACAACCTTTCTTCTTTTCCTCCTCCCCTTCTCTTCCTTCCTCTTTCTCCTCCTACTTTCTTCGTTCTTCCTCTCCTTCTCTTTCCTCCTTCCCCTTCCCTTCCCCCACTCCTCTCTTCTTCCCCTCTTCTAACCTTCTCTCCTACTCCTCTTTCCCCTCCCTTTTCTTCCTTTCCCTTTCTTCCCTCTCTCCTTCTCCTCTCCTCTCTTCTCCCTTCTTCTCTCTCTCTACTCCTTCCCCCTCTCTCTTCTTCTTTCCCTTTTCAGTTCAATCTAGAATGGTATTCGAGCAGCCCTGATTTTCTATTTATCTCTATTCTCATTTCAATTTCTTATTTGATTAATATTTATATCTATTTCATCATTTGTGTACATTTTTATAATAATCTCACTTTTTCCCTATTTTAACTTTTTTATACTTATCACTTTTTTACACTTATCACGTATTTTAATGCCCAGTGAACTGCTTTCAAAGAGTCAAGGTCCTCCAGCAGCAATATGTTTTCCTTTCTCTCTCTCTCTCTCTCTCTCTAGGAAGGGAGCTGCCAGGTTTCCTTGCAAGATGGCCGCGTGGCTGTCCATGTCCTGTCCACGCAGCTTACCACCAAGAATGCCTACGCTGACGATGCCAGCCACTACGTGGCTATCTACAGCGATTCTGCAGGGTATACCACGCTTCGGCATTGCATTTTTGTTTTATCCACTCCCCCATCTTGATCTCCCCATCTTGAAATACACAACGTTTTTATTGTAGAGTCCGGATGTATGTAGATGATCAACTTCAGGGATCCACGGCAGGGCTGAATCGGGAGAGGAGACAAAAGCGTGAAGCTGAGTTGGGCGTTTTTCACCTGGGCGGTTTGCCCGACCGCAGCGACATCGGCAACCTTTCAGGCTGCATTAGCAATGTCTTCATCCAGAGGTGAGCCGGTGCTTCAGTCGTGTCCCTTTCGTACCTGTTCTGACCTAGGCTTCCCCAGCAGCACAAAGCCGAGTCCTCATCCCGACAAACCCCTTTTATTTAATTTACAGTGAATTCCTCTCCAGCAAAGTCTTCCTTCTCCCACAGTCTTTCAAGATAGTTCATCATCACCGACCTTTATCAGGCTTGGAGAGTGGCCAGGCCAATATCTTTCAGACGTCGCAATACTTGGCAAGAATGCAGGAATGAACTAATTGTCTCCTGCAAACTCCACTCCCCTTTCGCTCCTCTTTTATTCCCTCTGGGAGGGGCCCTTCATCATCCACCTGTGGCCTTACTCCCAAGTCGACCCTTATTCTTTAGCTGTTCCCTCCGTCTGGCAACTCTGCACATGCACACATTGGGAACAGACTCCAGCTGTTCATCTGCCTCACTGAAGTCTGCCTCCGAAGGCAGCTGATAACTGGCATATGGCCCTGGCACCATCTCTGCCTCCGACACAGAGCCCTCATCAGAGCCTTCCCCAGACTCCAGGACTGGCCCATGTTCCTCCCCAACCTCCTCACTGTCTGAATCTGCTGCCAGATCCGCTGGCGGGCCACAACAATACCTTCCTCCAGCTTCCTTTCCTTCTTCACATATTTAACTATTGGGCTCATTGAGGTGGTTTTGAATTATTGCCGATATTTTTGTACTAGTCAAAAGTCATCTGCTGTGGTTCCCCCCCCCACCCACCACTCGCCTGGACAACTGTTAATCTTCTTTTCATTTCTGAACTAGGAGATTGGAAGCTCAGGCAGTTGTGGATCTGCAGCAGAGCACCGAGAGTTTCAATGTGACCTGGAACTGCCCCAGAGATCGCCAACCCCAGCAGATGAGAGCTCCAGAAAAGAAGAGCAGGTGGAAACCGAAGGTGATGGAAATACAAGAGAAGAGAGATTGAACTCTTGGTGGAGCCCTTGGTGGCCCTCTGAGCTTGGTTGTTTCTCTAGAGACATTTCATTGCCCAAACTAGGTAACATCATCAATACTTGAAGCAAAGCAAATCCCATTCTCTTCTAGCACTGATGATGCTACCTAGTTGGGTAATGAAATGTCTGCAGGAAAACGGCTAAGCTCAGAGAGCACCAAGGACCCTGGACTGAGATAGAAAACTTTAAAATCCAAGTTTCATTGTCCTAAGAGCATTTGGCTTGATTTCAGGAATGGAATAATCCACATACCCATTGTGGAAGCTATTATGGAAGATCAAGTTGTACCTTTATCTTCTGCTTTATTTATATCGAACCCAGGACCCCAGGAAATGTCTAGAACAGCAATTCACTTATGCCTGCTGGTGTCTGTCATCATTACATGTTGTCCAAATAACAAATAATGTACTGAGCTCCCTTATTATTTCAGTTGTACCAAAGCAGACAGGTAGTGGTCCTCTGTTTATGACCACAATTGAGCCCAAGATTTCTGTTGTTAAGCAAAGCAGTTGTTCAGTGAATTTTGCCCCATTTTATTGCCCCAGATGTTAAGTGAATCACCACAGTTGTTAAGTTAGTAGCCCGCTTGTTAAGTGAATCTGGCTTCCCCGTTGACTTTGCTTGTCAGAAGGTCGCAAAATGGGATCTCACATGACCCCAAAATAAACACATGCCACTTGCCAAGCACCCAAATTTTGATCACATGATCATGGGGGTGCTGCAGTGTTAATGTGTTGTGAAAACAGTCATAAGTCACATTTTTCACTGTCAGCGTAACTTTGAAGTCACTAAACGAACTGTCGTGACTCACGGATGACCTGTATTTATTCTACCCAATAGTAATAAATCTCTCTGGTTCTTTTTTAATAGCAAGCATATTTAAACATAAAGCAGGCATAGCATTTAGGTATTAGGAGCCCTTGCTCTGATCTACTGTTGGATGTTACCAAGGTGTGAAGTGATTAACAGATTTAATATCTATGGACCCAAAATGTAAAAGTTTAAATCCAAGTCATGTTTCAATGAGAAATCAATCACAATCTTTCCTATTACCTATCTCCTTATGACTATAACTTGTATCTTATGATTTATATTGTTTATGATTTAAATTGATTGCTTATTAGTATCCTATGACTATCACTAAGTGTTGTACCTTATGATGTATGATGAATGTATTTTTTTCGATGACTATGATCATGATTTATCACTTGTTGCTTGTATGTACACTGAGAGCTTATGCACTGGAGACAAATTCCTTGTGTGTCCAATCTCACTTGGCCAATAAAGAATTCTGTTCTGTTCTGTTCTATATTCTGTTCTGTTCAGAGGTGGGATTCACATACTGTAGAAACCGGTTTTCCCAGCACCAGAAATGTGAGCATCCACGCATGTGACGTCAAACAACACTGCAATTCACGCGCACGGCATCAAAACCACAGAGATATAGGACGGGATTGCACCCAGGCAGTGGGCGACCACCTGCAGGTCGCCACTACCAATTCTCCCGAACTGGTCCGAACCGGCTGAATACCACCTCTGGTTCTATTCTATTCTATTCTATTCTATTCTATTCTATTCTATTCTATTCATTCTACTCTACTCTACTCTACTCTATTCCTATTGCTATTCCATTTCCATTTCTAATTCCATTTCCATTTCTATTCTATTACCAAATTCTGGACTGTGAATTACAAATTATGTCTCTGCAGGTACCAAGCAAGACAATGCTGAAAGACACAAATTGCCACCTGCTTAAAGAGCCCAAAGCTATTAAAGATGCCTTCCAGTTTGGTGGATCCCCTGTCAGCCGCTTAGAGTTCAATAAAATACCAGGAATTTTACAAGAAAGGTAAACATTGAAAAGCGAAATGTATTTTTTCTTCTTGCTTGGAAAGTCTTTCTGACACTGTACTTCAGACTAAAAAATAAATTTAAAAAATAGGGAGGCAAAAAAGCCTCAGGTCCCCGACTTAACAACCACAACTGAACCCAAAAATGTTTTGTTGCTAAGTGTCATGCCCCCCTCGGAGCCTGAATCTCTAGGGGAGCTGGGACTTGAGCCAACAGAGATTGAGGGGGCGGCTTCGGAGGAAAATGGGGAAGGCCAGGGCCTTTCAGGATTAGAACAGTTTGTAGACAGGAAGGAACAGGGGCAGGATAAACATGAGAGACAGAGCTCAGGCAAGGAGCAAGGACCACCCCCTCCTGATCCGAGAGCACAGAGAGTGGATAGAAAGCAAGAACAGCCCAGACTGAGCAGGCTACTCAGGAGAAAGGTGCCCTGCCCATCTTCACAAGGCACACGTGGGGAATGAGACTTAAGGAGACATTTTGGGGAGGGGCATTTGTCGGGAACAAATACTGAGTTCCTGAAGTGTTGAGTGCCGATGTTTGAACTTTCCAAGAGTCCTTGCATTTTTCTGGCTTTCTGGACTAATTAACTGGATTCTTTGCTTCCTGAACTCCTTGATTTGCCCTGCTGGATTTATTGCTGTACAGCCTTGGGGTACACAGTACTGGGCTGGACTATTTGCAGCCAGAGGCTGCTTGAGGTCTGTGTGTGGGTTTGTCATCACTTTGCTCTGGGACTTGCCAGAAACGTGGGGAAATTTGGAACAATAAAGGGGTGGTTTGAACTGCCAGCTACTTGTGTGATCTGTGTGCCATGCCCCGGGTCATCACACTAAGCCAGGCAGATGTTAAATGAGTTGTGCTTCTTTTTATGACCTTTTTTGCCACAATTGTTAAGCGAATCACTGCAGTTGTTAAGTGAACGGTGTGGTTGTTAAGCAAATCTGGCTTCCTCCATTGGCTTTGCTTGTGGGAAGCCAGCAGATGAGCCAGAGCAATGCAACAAACATAAATACATGCCTGAATTTTGATCATGTGAAAAATAGTTATGCCATTTTTTTTCCAGTACCGTCATAACTTTGAACAGTCATTAAACGAATGGTAATAAGTCAAGGACAACCTATCCTCTATTCGCTGACCTTCTGAACTCCAATCCAGACTTAGGAAAGCTTGAATGACAATCGATGCTTCTTCAACAGGTTTCATTTCTCCATGGAGTTGAGATTGAACTCCTCCAGTGGCCTGCTTTTCTACATGGCTAATGAATCCCTGGGCTCCTTCTTCTCCCTTTTTGTCTCTAATGGACGCTTGGTGCTTTTGGCTGATACCAACGGACATAAACTGAGACTCCGGACCAAAGAAAAGTACCACGACGGCAGATGGCACACGGTAAGGAAAGGGAAAATAGGCACATTTTGTTAATCTCTTCTGAGTCAAATGCCTTAGTTTTTCCCTGGATTAACACTGAGCCAAGAGTGATTTTCCTGAATTAGCATCAGATAGGATATGTCATCGACTCCTTGGCTAGATGGTTGAATGCGGTATAAACTTTCTATTCCTATTCTATTCTATTCTATTCTATTCTATTCTATTCTATTCTATTCTATTCTATTCTATTCTATTCTATTGCATTCTATTCTATTCTAATTATTCTATTCTATTATTTTCTATTCTATTCTATTGCATTCTATTCTATTCTAATTATTCTATTCTATTATTTTCTATTCTATTCTATTCTATTGCATTCTATTCTATTCTAATTATTCTATTCTATTTTCTATTCTATTCTATTCTATTTTCTATTCTATTCTATTGCATTCTACTCTATTCTAATTTCCATCCTTTTCTATTCTATTCTATTTTCTATTCTATTCTATTCTATTGAAAAATTGCATGCATCTCTTATCAATTTCAGGTCTTCTTCAGCAGAGATAGGAACAGAGTTCAGCTGGTCATGGATGGACTGAGATCCCTGGAGAAATTGCTGCCAGCCACTGTCAACTTTGGGATCTCTGGCCCCTTTTATGTGGGGGGAGCACCACTGGCCAAAGCCAAGGCTCATATACCAGTAAGGAACCTAATAATCTACCTTGGAACCTGCTTGTTCATAAAACTAGACTCATCCATGGGAATAAGAGGGAGACAATTTTACGAATTTGCGCCCATTCCTGGACCAGGAAGCCTAAATAAGTCACTTGTGCCTTGTCACTTCCCTGTTGGACTACTGCAGTGTACTCTGTATGGAGTTGCCCTTGAAAACTATCCAGAAGCTGCAAAATGCAGCTGTTTGCATGCTTCTGGATTCTTTATAATTTCCCCTTGTTACCCTATTGTTACAGGAGGTACACTGGCTCCCACTTATTTTTTAGTTGCAATTTAAGATTCAGGTTATTTTTTTTTTAAACCCTACAACAGGGGTGTCAAACTCAAGGCCTGGGTTGCTGGATATGGCCCGCGGGGCAGAGGTGAAATGCTCCCAGTTCAGACCAGATCGCCCAATCCGGTAGCGATGGAGGCGGGTGGTTCGGAAAACCGGTAGCAAAAATCCCTGCCCCCTCCCCACATGCCCAGCCAAGCCGCCTGATCATCAGAGGCTTTTTAAAATTATTTTTAAAAGCATTTTTTCTACAACCACTTTGGCCGAAAAAATGCTTTTAAAAGTAAAACAAAAAGCCTCTGATGATCGCACGGCTCAGCTGGGATCGTCAGAGGCTTTTAAAAGGCTCTGACGATCCCAGCTGAGTTGCCTAATCGTCAAGAGGCTTTTAAAAGTATTTTTTACAACCGCTTCGGCTGAAGAGGTTGTTTAAAAAATGGTTTTAAAAGTAAAAAAAAAAAAAAAGTTGCCCACGCCCACCCAGTCACATTTCCTCCCCACCAAGCCACGCCCACAGAACCGGTAGTAACAAATTTTAGATTTCACCACTGCCGCGGGGTACTTCGATATAGCCCACAGGGCTGCCCTGGAAACAGCGAAGGCCCAGCCTGCGGTGCTTCTGCCAACGAAAACGGGCTCCCGAGCTCCGTTTACAGCTGCCACCGCCTCACGCAACCCTCTGCCAGCGAAAGCGAAGCTCGGGAGGGCCGCATGTGGAGGTCAAACACAACTCTGATGTGGCCCTCAATGAAATCAAGTTTGACACCCCTGTCCTACAAGGACCAGGGGGCACCTTCTGTGCCTCATACTAGATCAGGTATGGTGGAAGCGTTCCAAGTCCCTTGCTTTAAACATTGTCCTCTGATGGGACCTTGAAGGGGCATCTTTACTGTAGTTGCCTTGGCCCTTTGGAATGCATTTATTTATTTGTCCAATTTTAAAGCTGCCCATCTAGAATCCCAATCCTTTTTAGCAGGCCACAAAGATCTTGCTGTTCCTCAGTCCTTGGGCTGGGATGAGATTGAATCATAGTCAACAAGTCTATGGAGATTTCTCAGTTATCCAGGTCATGGGTGTCCCAAAGGTGCTTTTTCAAAAGGCAGCTGGACTTCCTTTGTTTTTTTTTCCCCCTTGAAGACGTTTCGCTTCTCAACCGAGAAGCTTCTTCAGCTCTGGCTGAAGGGTGGAGTCAGAACTGAAGAAGCTTCTTGAATGGGAAGCGAAAATGTCTTCAAGGGAAAATCAAAGTCCGGTTTGCCTTTTGAAAAAAGCGTCTTTGGATCAGAGCCAACAGTTGGGTGGTCTTGGTGCCTGGTGGGAAGGATTTGAATTGTTTTTATATTGTTTTTATTAGCATTCATGAGCCCACCCCGGGGATCTCCATGGGAGATGGGCAGCCATATAAGTCCTTTAAATAAGCCAATCTAAAAGAAAGCATGAAATTGTGAGTTTGGGGGAAGCGTGTAGGCAGTGGAAATGTCCAGATGTCGTTATCTAATTCAGAAGACCTTCTTCTTTTCTGCAGGACGCTTCTGCCAGTAGCTTTAAGGGTTGCCTCAGGCACCTAAAACTGGACAAAAAGCCTCTAAATTCACCCTCCCGTGTGTTCGCTGTGACCCCTTGTTACGTGGGCCCTTTGGAAACAGGCGTTTTTTTCTCCGTTGAAGGAGGACACATCACACTAGGTACTTTTAAGTGTTGTCTGTCCTTTCACCCTTGGTCATTCTTGGCACTTCCTTTCAGGAGATGATAAAACAAATGATAGATTGTGCAGAAATGAATAGATTGACTTTGATGATTAAAGATAGGGAAGAGATAGAGTATTATAGGATATGGAACTGTTTTTATCATTGGTTGGAAAAGAGATATAAAAGATAAAAGTTTTATGATTATATTTAAAAATTTGATAGTCAGAATTTTGTCTTAGTAAGGAGATGTTAAAATGGTTTGTATGAAGATCAAGATAGAAGAAATTTCCTTTTTTGGAAGAAGAAGAAGAAGAAGAAGAAGAACAGCTGAAGATAACACCAAGATATCACAAGGAGGGGGCGACAGATGTACTAAATGTTTGTTTGTTTTTATAAAAAAATAATAAAAAGTTATATTAAAAAAAAAGGATTGTTTTAGTTTTAACTTTTGGTTCCCACCCACAAACCTTTTGTGAAAGATTTGCTCTTCTCCCTTCTCCCCCCCCCCCCCCCGCAGATAGGTCGGTAGCCATTGGTCAAGATTTTGAGATGACGTTGGAGATACGACCACGGAGTTCATCTGGCTTGATATTTCACATAGGAAGACAAACAAACTATCTCAGGCTATCTACTGACAGCCAAAAGGTAAATTGATTTAACTTATTCATCCTTCATTGATTGAGTAACGAGCTTCTAAGAATTTTTTAAAGTAATAGAGACACATATATCAAACATCCTTTGAGGTAAACCAGAACAATTGTCATATATGATCCTGGGCATGTACAGTAGAAAAATGTACCATGCGTTGTCAAGGAAGAGCATGTTTCTAAATGTTGGCAGCTTTAAGATCTGGGGAGTTCAACTCCCAGAATTCCCCAGCCAGTCATGCCAAGAGTTCAGACTGGAAGATCTCTAGAAGTACTTGTTCCAAAGTGAATCTGCCCTTCCTGTAAGACCTGGAGGAGAAGACCTGTTGAGTTATGCGGTTTATGAAGGAATTGTGTCAATGAGGCCTTCTTCTGTGGTACAACTTGCCTCCACATTTAAGAATGATTTTCTCTTTACTCGGTTTCTGAAGAGAGGTGAAAAATTGACTGTGGAAGATGCTTTGAGGAGGCACTAAGCTTTCTTTTATGATCCACTGTCCAAAGCAGGGTGATAGAGAAATATCAGTAATAAAAATGTAAAAAATAAATGAAGAGGCCACATTGTATTAATAGCCGTGAGGAGAGATTGTGGATCAGATGGAGGGCTGAGTTTTACACTTGTTTGTTTATATCCCATTATTATTTTTACAAATAACTCAAGGCAGTGAACTTATCCAAACACACTTCCCTCCTCCTGTTTTTCCTACAACAATCCTGTGAAATGAATTGGACTGAGAGAGAACGACTGGCCCAAGGTCATCCAGCTGCTTTCATGGCTAAGGTTGGACTTCAACTCATGGTCATTCTTGCTTTCTGACCTGGAGTCTTAACCACAAGACCAGACTGGTTCTCGATTATAGATTTCATCTAGCGGAAATTGGAAATAATAGTAGTGGGGTAGATCTGTAACCATCTTTCTTTCTGAGAACTTCCTCGCTAGCATTGTTCTTCTTGTTGAAGAACCAACCCTCTGATAGAATAAACCAGATTTTTCCAGGGACATCTTTCTACTGCCATCTAAATGAAGTTCTCCAAATCAAAGAAAAACAAAATGCACAGGTACCGTATATGTGGTACCTTGCTCAATAGTAGTAACTGTGAGAAGGATCTTGGAGTCCTAGTGGACAACCATTTAGATATTAGCCAGCAGTGTGCGGCAGCTGCCAAAAAAGCCAGCACAGTTCTGGGCTGCATAAACAGGGATAGAATCAAAATCACGTGAAGTGTTTATACCACTTTATAATGCCTTGGTAAGGCCACACTTGGAATACTGCATCCAGTTTTGGTCACCACGATGTAAAAAAGATGTAGAGACTCTAGAAAGAGTGCAGAGAAGAGCAACAAGGATGATGAGGGGACTGGAGGCTAAAACAGATGAAGAACGGTTGCAGGAACTGGGTATGTCTAGTTTAATGAAAAGAAGGACTAGGGGAGACATGATAGCAGTGTTCCAATATCTCAGGGGTTGCCACAAAGAAGAGGGAGTCAAGCTATTCTCCAAAGCACCTGAGGGCAGGACAAGAAGCAACAGGTGGAAACTAATCAAGGAGAGAAGCAACTTAGAACTCAGGAGAAATTTCCTGACAGTTAGAACAATGAATCAGTGGAACAACTTGCCTCCAGAAGTTGTGAATGCTTCAACACTGGAAATTTTTAAGAAGATGTTGGATAACTATTTGTCTGAAGCGTTGTAGGGTTTCCTGCCTGGGCAGGGGGTTGGACTAGAAAACCTCCAAGGTCCCTTCCAACTCTGTTATTCTATTCTATTTCTCTGTATTAGGTTACAGTGACCGCAAATACAGGAACCGGAGAATTCTACACTTCTGTGTCCCAGCCTTCCCTCTGTGATGGCCAATGGCATACAATCACAGGTGAGCCAATTTCCAACCCAAGGGATCTCCTCTTTCTTTTTCCTGCTGTCTCTTTTGGAAGGAATCGACTGCATCACAGAAGGTCCCCAAACTCTGTATTCTATAAAATTCTCCTTCCCCCACTCCTCATCTTATGCTTATATTTATTGACCATCACGGTACACTGTTGATCAGTTCAGTTGAAGAGCTAGTTCCGTGATGGTGGACCTATGGCACGCGTGCCAGAGGTGGCACGCAGCACCCTCTCTGATGGCACGTGAGCCGTGGCCCCAGTTCAGCTCTGCTGCGCATGCGCGCGAGCCTCCTGCCAGCCAGCTGGTCTTGGAGTCTCTGCCGTGCATGTGTGGGGAGCGGGGCGCATGCAGCGGGGTGTGTGTGCATGCGTGGAGCCCACACATGCATTACATTTTGGGGGTTCGGCCATGCGCATGCGCGCACGCGTGTGTGTGCTTTGGACACTCGGTCAGTGGTGAAATCCATTTTTTTTTACTACCTGTTCTGTGGGCGTGGCTTGGTGGGCGTGGTGTGGCTTGGTGGGCATGGCAGAAGAATACTGCAAAATCTCCATTCCCACCCCACTCCAGGGGAAGGATACTGCAAAATCCCCATTCCTGTGGGAAGGATATTGCAAAATCTCCATTCCCACCCCACTCTGGGGCCAGCCAGAGGTGGTTTTTAACCGGTTCTCCGAACTGCTCAAAATTTCCGCTACCCGGTTCTCCAGAACCTGTCAGAACCTGCTGGATTTCACCCCTGCACTCGGTCCAGAAAAGGTTAGCCATCACTGATCCAGTTGATGTGTTGAGTCAACTTATTGTCTGGAGTGTATTGTAAAAGCATAAAACAAGGTTAATTTCATTAGATTTAATGTCGGCAAATCAGTGGTGCAGTCTGGATTTCATGAAACCTTTTCATGAAATGGTTGTTGATGGGAGGCTAAAATTGGACCGCCACGCTTCTTTGGAGACTTTGGAGTCAATTCAGATCCCATAGAGATGTCGGATACTAATTAAAAAATTATAACATTCGCAAATCATGCCTGTCCATCTGTCCCCATCTTTAAATAAAGACTCGTTCTTTGTTGCCGGTCCAGCTCAGTGTGCTTTGTTAATAGCGGTCTCTCTTGTTGGTGATTAAGAGGGGCTGCAATCCAATTGTTATTGGGCAGCGGGTTGGAAAGAGCTGTGTCAGTAGCACTAGGCTGATTTTATTTTCTTCTTGTATATTCCTCTGGCATGAGGGAGCAAGTGGGGCCGCATGAATTATGAAATGGAGCCATGCTACTTTGTTTTCCTTTCCTAGTCATCAAAGGAAGCAACATGATCCAACTGGATGTGGATACCAAAGCGAATTACACAGTGGGTCCAAACGAGGTCCGTGGTACAGCGGACAAAGAAAGCATTTATCTTGGTGGAACGCCAGGTGAGTGGGTTAAGGAACGGGAGCATTCTGGGGAGTCCATTAAATGGACGTATCCGGATTATTACGTTTTTAAACCTTCTAGACCAGCGGTCACCAACAGGTGGTCCGCGGACCACTGGTGGTCCCTGAGAAAATTTTGGTGGTCCGCGGAAAAATTATTTGCATTTGTTATATTGCACTAAATCAGGAGTCCTCAAACTACGGCCCCTGGGACAGATACATGCAATGAATGTTTGTGTTGCCGCAGAGAGTCTCCCCCTTCGGGGTCTTTTTGTGCAGGTCGGAGGGGGGGAGAAATTCTGCTTCAGCCTCCTGGTGCAGGGCTTTGGGCGAAGGCTGGAGGGAAGTGCCACTGGTGGCGAAGAGCCGGAGGACCTTGTTCCAGTGGGATTGCATCATGGCCTGGAACTGACTGACCATCTCAGCCCACTGAGCCTCCAGACACCTGTACCTGGCCTTGCACTCTCACAGGTCTTCCCTCTGCTTGGAAAGCCTATGCTCATAGTCCTCAGTGAGGTGCTTCTACTGAGCCTCCTTCTTGGTCAGATCCACTTTGAACTGAGCTGTTTTGCCAACTCTTTCTCGTGGTGGCTGCTTAGCTCCAACAACTGCTTCCCGTTGGAGCCCTAAGGATCCCGGGCAGGGAGGCGAGGAGTGGCTGGGAGGGGAGGGGTGAGTAGAGGCTGTCGAGGCGCCCCTTGAAGTGAGTGACATCGAGTTGGCCACACCCACCCAGTCACATGACCACCTAGCCACGCCCACTCACTCAGCCGGTCATTAGGCAGATCATATTAGTGATCCGTGGGATTTAAAATTATGAATTTAGTGGTCCCTGAGGTCCGAAAGGTTGGTGACCCGTTCTAGACCTACAGAACCTACAGACAAGAAAGATGGGGTTGGTGTCTAAAATGTATGAGGAGCAATTGCTGGAATTGGATGCGTCTGCTCTAATAGAAATAAGGTCTAGGGGTGACATAACAGTGTTCCGATATCTGAGGGGCTGCCACAAAGAGGAGGGTGTCAGCTTATTTACCGAAGCACCAGAAGGCAGGACAAGAAGCAATGGATGGAAAATAAGCAAGGAGAGAACCTATCTAGAATTAAGGAGGAATGTCCTGCCAGTTAGAACAATTAATTGGTGGAAAGGCTGGCCTTCAGAAATTGTGGGTGTTCCATCACTGGAGCCTGCAAAAAGAGATTGGATAACCATTTGTCTGAAATGGTATAGGGCCGTGATGGCGAACCTATGGCACATGTGCTGGAAGTGGCACACACAGCCATCTCTCCGGGCATACCAGCCGTCGCCCCTTGTTCTTCCGGGTTCCGGTGTACACACGCGCGGCGGCCAGCTGGTCTTCTCATGTGCGGGAGTGCCAGAAACCGGAAGAGCAGCTCCCTGGCATGCATGCACACGCTGGAAAGCTGAGCTTCTGGTTTCTGGCGCGTGCATGCGTGCCGCCCAGCTGGTCTTCGCCTGTGCATGTGTGCCAGAAACAGGAAGACCAGGTGACCAGCACACATGCCGGAAACCGGAAGCTCAGCTTTCCAGTGCGTACTGGTGAACTGCTCTTCTGGTTTCTGACGCTCCCATGTGCGCGCTCCCGTTTCGGCCCTCGGTGCTGAAAAGGTTCGCCAACATTTGTATAGGGTTTCCTGCCTAAGCAGGGGGTTGGACAAGACCTCCAAGGACCCTTCCAACTCGTTATTCTGTTAAATAAAAGTGGGGGGGGGGGGGGAAGGAAGGAAAAAGATAAGGAAGGGGAAGGGAAGGAAGGAAAGAAGGTGTTGTGGCTCCGTTACCGGAGCCTGTATCATCGTCAGGAGAGGACTCCGAGAGTGAAGGGGAGGAGTTGGCAAGACCTCCCTCTCCAGGACCCTCCTCTCTGGCAATGCCTTCGGTGTCCGCTGAAGGGCAAGAGATAGGGCCGGGGCCAAGCACGTCCACGCAGCCACAGGTGGACAGTGATGAGGGTAATGAGTCTTGGCTGGACCCACGCCAGCGTCGCAGAGATAAGCATGCGCAACAGAAGGGCGTGCCCGAGATTAGGCTGAGTCACTGGACCACACCCCACAGGATATAAAAGGGAGCGTGGTGGCCAGTCAAACCTTGTGACAAACAAAGCTGAAAGCTTCCACGCCATTCTGCATTGCTGGACTTTTGCTTTAAGACTGGATTATCTCTGGACTTGATTGTAATTATTGAGCTGCTTTCCTTTGATGTATCAGAAGTGGGGAGAAGTTATGTCTCCTCTTTGTAAATAATAAACTCTTGGCAGGCAGCCACTAGGTTGTTGCTAAATTCCGTTATCATAAGGAAAAGGATTTTGCCAGCTGGTTTGGTCTTTAACTCCTGAACGTCTGTTGGTGTGTGTGCGTGTGGTTTAGGACAGAACAGAAGGGAGGGAAGGAAGGAAGGAGGGAGGGAGGGAGGGTTATCTTGTGGGCAAGGCCAAAGGATCGCAGAGGGGATGGGGCCAAGCTAGCTTTTTCTGGACAAGCCACCAACTTGGACAATTTGGACCCGGTTCAAAAAAAAAAAAAAAAAAAGGTAATTCTGAATGTAATGAGCAGCACAGATAAGGCTCCACTGGCTTGATGCTCCTTGATGCAAAAGTGACTGTAGTTAAGATTTTCTCTGTATCAAGTAATGCTGGTTTCTGTGCATAAAAATATTTTTGTTTTCCTTTCGCAGAACTCGCTTCACTATCCCATATGCGTCATCCTCCGTTTGTGGGTTGCATGAAGAATATGGTGCTCAACCGAAACCCAATTGACATCAGGCAAGCTGGCTCAACCAGGGGCTCCGTAGGGCTCAGTGGGTGCCCGACTGGGTAACCGAAGCTTCCTGGCATGTGTCAAATCAGAGCCGCAGATGGGTTCGTCACCCTCCCAGAAGGCGGGCGGAACGTCGTGATGCATCTCCTTGCCAAACGAAAACACAGGGTTCCACAAAAAGAGTGTATATAGAGCAAGAGGAAGAGCTGCGGTGGGGTTCTCGGCTGTGCTCGTTAATTTGTAATATATTTGCACATTTCTTCCAGTATATTTGGCAGTAGGGTATTTCAAACAAGGCCACATGGTGTGCGCTTTATAAAAATATTTATAAGGGTGTTAGGAGGCCAAGGTGCTCCCTTGCACGAGGGAGGCAAGTCACAGTGATGCCTTAAGCAACAATTTCGTCAAAATAATACAAGAACCAAGGTGTTTCAGCCTATCTGTATATTGTGGAGTTCTTGGTGCTTTCTTAAGCTTGGTTCTTTGCTTGGAGATGTTCCATTAAAGCAGTGTTGTCCAACCATGGCAACTTTAAGACTTGTGGGACTTCAACTCCCAGAGTTCCTCAGCCAGCTGGCTGAGGAACTCTGGGAGTTGAAGTCCACAAGTCTTAAAGTTGCCATGGTTGGACAACACTGCATTAAAGTAACAAAATTTCTGAAAGCAAAGCAACTTTGGAGAGCACCAAGGACTCCAGTTCAACCCCGAACTGCACACGCTCTCTTCTATTGGTATCTGCATATAGGTTTGACCGCTGCAGTTCTAATTAATTTTCCAGAGACGGTTGTCTGAATTTTTTTTTAACGGAGGTGATGACAAAATGGCTGCAATAGTGCAAAATAACGCCCAATAATGCAAAAGGCCCACACGGTCCCCTTTTCCCGCAGATACAAATTACGTTTGAAATTTTGTCTTCGCCAACTTCCCGAAATTGATCGAGGAATGGGTTGGACCTTGCTCAATTAGGTTTGTACATCAAGTGTGATAGAATTAACATGGATCTGGGGTATTTTGCGGTTCAGTGGTGTGAGAACCTAGCCAGTCCGTGATGATCGGCTATACTGTGGTTTGCTTAATAGCACGAGAGTCTAGATCTAGGATTTAAGCGGATTTTGTGACTCCAGGCAAAAACAGGGGGCTTCCCTTCATATATTAGGTGCTGTTGCTGCAGTCTGCATTTCAGTGACATTAAAGGAAAACACAATGTCCTCTGCTCCTTTCAGAAAAAAAACACACCCCAATCTTTCACTCTTACTGTTGTGTTATGTCTTCTTCAGTTTTAGTATCACAACTTCCCTTTCCATCAGCTAACTTCCCGTACTCCTCAATATCAAATCAGGTTCACTTGTGCACTTGAAAACATCCTGGTATGTTTGTGACCCCATCACATTGGGTAAGACAGCTCTAAAAAGAATTTTATTACTCATCAGTATATTGGTTATTTTAATGCTGGGGTACATATTGCAAAAGTGGATTTTAACTCACCCTGACTTTTATTTCAGCAACTTATTTTGGGGGCTGAATAATGAAAGCAATATTTCTGTACATCATTGCTACATACTTCCAATAAATTTTTCTGATTGTTCTTTTCTTGTAATATTTGTACACAAAATGGCCTCGATGCAGGAGAATATGTTTTGAGTGAATGCGTTCACAGGATACCACGAAAGGGGATACTGATCTTCCCGCTTTATACAATGTGAATTACAGCCAATTGTAATTGGTTGAATTGCTTGCAAGGGTTCAATTCTATAACCTCCCCCGGATATCAGTATTTTTTGCCAGTTATTTATCAAGCTCGAGGCCATAGCCATTCTTTTATCACCTTGTGTTATATGCCCAGCCCACCCTTGGAGAAGCCTCTTTGCAAATGGAGCTTAAGTCAGTTAGAAATATCTGGATTTGTGGTTTCTGTGAAAATATTCTGCTCAAACAATTCCTCAGGCCCCATATTATCCAACACAGAGGGAGGGGAGGGGATCAGACTCTCAGGAGCCCCTCAAATCTTTAATGAAGGCAAGAAGTCAAATATTCCACCAAATATACACACCCAGGTACAATTGGCTAAATATAAAAAATATATATATAAACTAACAGATGTAGGCTAACCCTTCAAATGTAAAAGCTACAGTTTTACTGGATGCAAGATTTCCTTTAGTCCAATCGAATTTTTCCTAGGGACAAGTGGTGTCTTAAGGCTAAACAACTGCCTGGGCTGTAGCAAGAAATGGGGGAAAAAAGTTATTTCCAGAAAGAATTTTGGGAGTGAGATCCTTTACTTATAGATTCGATACACGGAGTCAGCTAGGGATTCTACTTAAAGTTAATATCTAGGAGTATTATTCAGACACAATTAAGAAATCTAATCTAAACTCATGTCTTCCTCTTCGTCCTTCTTCTCCTTTGCTTCTCCTTCCTTTTGGTCGGATTTGACGTTGTTCTGCATGGCTTTTGCAAACGCCTCTACATCTAGAAACAAAACACATTAAATGGGTAATTCAGCAAGACAAAAGTATGAAAGACAGCAGGCTGCCTTGTGCACATTTGAAGCGTGTAGTCGCAACACACAACCTGCAACAGCATGGAAGGTTTGCAACAGGACAGCTGCAATTTGCAAAGTCCAAATGATAAATCCTTTGCATAAATACGTAAATAAATAAAAATTATTTCCCTTCAGTTTCCAAGAAGCTGGATATCACACTTTCCATTTCACTATGTTTTAATGGTACCGTGTTTCCCCGAAAATAAGACCCTATCTTATATTTTTTTGAACCCTGAAATAAACGCTTGGCCTTATTGCCAGGTGCTCAAAAGCCCGATTGGGTTTATTATCAGGGGATGTCTTATTTTGGGGAAAACATGGTAGAGATTTTATTTATAATTTAGATCTGTAAGTGCTTCTCCACTCGGCCTGCATTCTTGACAGCATGCAATTAAAACTTTAAAACTAATATTAAACAAAAGAGAAGGGAAAATGACATGCAGCAGCCAGTTTTACCTGTCTATTTCAGACCTTGGGAGAACAATCAAGTTTTTAAAGAACATCTAAAAATTTGTAGCATCAGGATGACCCGAAACACTTTGGGTTTTCAAGATGGAGCAGCTCTGTAGTAGCATTCTTGGTTAAAGCTCTCCTTAACTATTCAGTAGTAAGGATTCAGCTAATTCTCTACAGCCATTTATAGCACAGATAAGAACGCCCAGACATAGGAAGACATAAAGGTGCCAGACTTTGAACCACCACATGAGCAATGGACAATCCTGAATAGGATTCGTGTGGACTTCAACTCCCAGAGTTCCATATACCAGCATGCTAGCTGGGTAATTCTGGGAGTTGAAGTCCACACTTTATAAAGTTGCCCATGGCTGAGAAACACTGGATGAGAGTGATCCAAAAAGCCTTCTAGGAAACAGAGAATTCAAATCTCACGACTTATTACTTCCATTCATGATTCAGCAGCTCCAATTAGCTACACAAATGAACTTACCGCCTTTATTTGCTGCGTCTATGGCCTCCGCGGGTAAGCCAAATTGGCTCATCAGGGGTCCCAGCTGCCCAGAAGCCAAGGCAGCACTGAACATGCTCAACGCCTGCAAAATGAAAAAAAGACCAGCTCATCCTAGGCTATCAAAGATTCTCAGATTCTGAGAAAATCAACCTGCTTCTATCTTCCCAGAGGCAGACTACAGACGATCTTTGTTCCAAGAAGATTTAGTGATAGGAGAAATCAAAAATCCAGCTCCCACTGGGCTACATGACCACAAAAGTAGATGAGGGAATCCTTCTCATGTACCTGTGATACAATCCAATCAAGGTCAGGTTTCATTCATCACATTTTCTTTCTATCCTAGAATATTATTGCTCTAATTTCAAACCTCTGCCTTATAATTTCTTGATATTTCAATCAGAGCTAAAAAAAAAAAAAATTATTCGAAAAAAAATTATTCAAATATATGTGCTAGTCATTCCCAACTCTAGGGGGCGGTGCTCATCTCCGTTTCAAAGCTGAAGAGCCAGCGCTGTCCGAAGATGTCTCCATGGTCATGTGGCCGGCATGATTAAATGCCAAAGGCGCACGGAACCCTGTTACCTACCCACCAAAGGTGGCCCCTATTTTTCTACTTGCATTTTTTACATGCTTTTGAACTGCTAGGTTGGCAGAGGATGGGACAAGTAATGGGAGCTCACCCTGTTACGCGGCACTAGGGATTTGAACCGCTGAACTGTCGACCTTTTGATCGACAAGCTCAGCGTCTTAGCCACTGACCCACTGCATCTCTTTCAGCATTTGCTTAACCACCACCCAAAAAAAAGGTTGAAAAAGAGTCCAGATATGTGATGCCTTGCCTTACAACTACAAAAACTTACAGCTTTAACTCTGGACTCAATTACGGTTGAGGAGTGCCTGTACAAGCTAACTTCTTATTCAACTTGGGACCAAGCTCTGCTCTATCTTCCACTGACATTAACACGGTTACCTGATGGAACTGCGGAGAAGTGAGCGTGTTCTGAATCTCCTCTGCCGTTTGCGGCAGAGATTCCCCTGAAGGAAGGTAAGGCAGCAAACGCTCTTGAACTTCTGTGTTGGCCAGAATAGGTGCCATTATTTCTGGAGTAAGCACACTGGACAGGTCAACTGTGGAAGAACACAAGTAGGATGGTCTCTTGAGGTACGTGGAATTAGCAAAGATGCTACAGATGATCACAAATTCCAAGAGTAACCTGGGAATCCCCCCAATAACTCTAAAAATCCTATACTACATCCTAAACATGCTAGTTCAGAGGTGTCAAACTCGGGTTGTCACGTGACACATAGTGACTTTCCCCCCCTTTGCTAAAGCTGGAGTAGCCAGCGCATGACGCATCCGGCCTGCAAGCCATGAGTTTGACACCTCTGTGCTAGTTGATTCTAACCAACCTGTTGTGGCCCGCCAGCTCTGCTGACAGAAGACTCAGACGGTGAGGGGGTTGGGGAGGAACTTGGGCCAGTTCTGGAGCCTGGGAAAGGCTCTGATGGATGCTCTGCGTCGGACACAAAGATAGAGCCAGGCCCACCGGGCACTTCCCAGCCAGGGAGGCAGCTGCCTTTGGAGTCAAGAGATGAGTGAGGAGGAGGAACAGCTGGGGCCTGTTCCAGATGCATGTATGCGCAGAGCAGATAGGAGAGGTGAACAACGGAGCCGGCTCGGAAAACAAAACAATTGTGGATGTTGATCGGCCCCTCCCTGGCTGGGGAATAAATAGGAGGAAAGGGGAGTGGTTTGGTTGTCGCAGACAAGCATTCGCATTTCTGGAAAGTTTGCTCCTTGTGTGTTTTGTGTGACAAAGACTGCCTTGCCAGAACTGAGGTTTGTCTACTTCTCTGTTTGAACTGACTTAATTTGCAGCCTCCCAGCTGGTGGCCTTACATTTATCATAACAAGCTATGATAAGGACTGTTTCAGTTACCATATTTTTCGGTGTGTAAGACGCTCCGGACTATAAGACGTACCAATCTTTTTTGGTGAGGAAAACAAGAAAAAGAAATCTGCCTCTGCCTCCCAGCAATTTTGCCTCGTTGCAGCAAACAGCCAACAGCCTGCTTTACTTTCATTTTTGTTTTCAGCATAGCTTGATTAGCAGAAGAAAAAAAAATCTGCTCCAACAATTTACCTCCTTGCAGCAAGCAGCAGAGGCCTGCACAAAACAGCTGAGAGCAAAACAGCCGACTCAGGAGGCCAACGGACAGTCAACTTGTGCTAATTAGGCTGTGCTGAAGCTGAAGCGAGCCGTTTCTTCTTGCTGCTTGCTGCAAGGAGGTAAACTGCTGGGAGGCAGAGGCCAAAGGGTGGGGGCCAGTGGGTGGGCGGGGCTACATTCAGTGTATAAGACGCACCTAAATTTTCACTCCCTTTTAGGAAGGAAAAAGGTGTGTCTTATACTCCGAGAAATATGGCAACTCCTTGCAGAACTCTTGCCTGAACTTTCTGTTGGTGAATGCAGTTAATTCCCAATGTGTAAATAAAGAGGGGGGGTTTCTTTGTGGGGAGTCGGTTTCTTGCTTCTGTGAAGGCCAGGCCAGAACAGTACCAAACAACAGCTGCCTAACACTGGTTCACACTGTTGCATCTGCAGTCCAGAACTTTTAAGTAACTCCAGGCCAGAGTAATAAAGACTGTGAGATGTTAGGATGGAAGTTTGAGGAAAGATGCACGTTTCGAGAGACATACTAAACGTGCAACCCTCTTTTTACCTTGCTGTCCTCCTGTTCCGGCTGGTACATTCATAGTAGCTAAGATGGTCTGAAGATCACTCAGCTGGATGGGTTGCGTAGGGCTTGTTGCTGTGCTGGTCCCGTTTCCTGAGCTCGGAGCAGGACTAGGACTAGTGGCCGTGGCCGTGGCAGCTGCAGGAGCAGCAGGAGCCGGCGTTACCCGTGTGGAGGAGGTACTGGACGATGGTGTCACAGCTGTTGACTGGCTGCGAGAACTGAAAAGATTTCGGAAAAAAATTCTGCAGCTGTTATTTCTCAGCTAAAGAAGAAGAGGGTTAAAGAAGTGAAAAACCCAAAGACCTTTTCATTTAGGTCACCATCTATTCTTCGTTTGACAACTCCTTAGGATTCTTCTTTTCGGTTTTAAACTCCAACTTTTTTTTTTTCATCACAAGCACAAAATCCAGAAGTGAAATGTTTGATCACTTCGGTTTTGCTGATTATCGTATTTTTCGGAGTATAAAACACACCTTAGTTTTTGGGGAGAAAAAAGCTGATTGGCAGGTGGATCGGCCTCCCGGAATACCTCCAATCAGCTGTTCCCAGAAGTGAATTTTAGCAACAGGTTCCTTGGTTGTGAGCTCTGTGCCTTGCTTTTTTTTTTTTTGCTTTTTTTTCTGCCTCTGAAAGCCTCCAAAACTGAGCTTCAGAAAAAAAGCCTCTGAAGCTGTTTGGGGGCTTCTTTTCTGAAGCTTTGCTTCTGATGCTTTTTTCAGCCTCTGAAACCTCCGTTTGAGAAGCTGGGCGGGGCTACATTCGGAGTATTTTTATTTATTTATTTTATTTATTTATAATTAAATTTATATACCGCCCTACTCCCGAAGGACTCAGGGTGGTGAACAGCCAGAAAGTAAAATATACATGATACAAACGTTAACAACCATTTAAAATACATTAAATACTTTGGCCAGATTTAAAACACTCCAATTATAAAACCAATTTAAAAACAATTAAAAAGGGAGGTTAGGCCAGACCAGCCTGCTGGAATAAGAGTGTTTTGAGGGCGTGGCGGAAAGTGCGCAGATCCGGGATCCTCCGTATCTCCGGGGGGAGCTCGTTCCAGATGGCAGGTGCCCCCACAGAGAAGGCCCTCCCCCTGGGGGCCGCCAGTCAACATTGTTTGCCCGACGGCACTCTGAGAAGACCCTCTCTATGGGCGCGTACTAGTCGGTGAGAGGCTATTGGTGGCAGAAGGCAGTCCCGTAGGTACCCCAGTCCTAAGCCATGGAGCGCTCAGGTGGTAACCAAAACCTTGAAGCGCACCCGGAAGACCACTGGGAGCCAGTGCAGCTCGCGCAGGAGGGGAGTCACATGGGAGCGCCACATCGCTCCCGTAACCACCCGTGCAGCCCGAGTATAAGACGCACCCAGATTTTCACCCTCTTTTTTGGGGAAAAATGGTGTGTCTTATACTCTGAAAAATACAGTAGATAGATTTGTTGTTAGAGAAATGGCTAGTATATACCAATGTGTAAAAGTAAAAAGTTGAGGCTGTAATTGTTATCTTCTACTGTGCTGAAAATAGAAGTTGTTGTTTTCTTTTCCCCCATATTTTCTCTCCCCCGCTCCGTTTTTCCTTCCCCTAATTTCCTGTTTCTATTTTCCTTTACATTTTATACTTGGATAAAAGAGAAGTCATAAAGAATGTAAAAAGAATTGTAAAAGTCTTTTACATAAAGAATTGCCAAAAAAATACAAACTCTTAATTTATAAAAGGCAAAAAATGATTTCATCTTACAGCCATGATTTCAGAAGTACAATTTTGGAGAAACGTGACACAAATTTTGGTTGCTATAGGTGAGACCCACCATTTTAAGTCACATTTTAAAAACGCTATAAGTAGAGAAGTAGCCTTCCTTTAAATTGCAAAACACATCCTGCTAAACAAAGCATTCTACACCCAAACCCAGGTACAACTTGCAGAGAAGTCCTGATTGGTCCATAGAAAAGAGGACGACATTTAGCACACCCTTTCCCTGGAAAATGTTAAATCACTTTCACGTCTGCATCTCTAATGCCCCATCGGCAATGAAAGAATAACACTGGTCTACATATCTATGAAGATTCTCCATCATCCAAGTCATGGTTGTCCCAAAGGTGCTTTTTCAAGAGGCAATGGGACTTCGTTTTTTCTTTGAAGAGATTTCCCTTCTCATCTGAGAAGCTTCTTCAGCTCTGATTGGAGAATTCCCCACCATCCAGAGCTGAAGAAGCTTCTTGGATGAGATGCGCAATGTCTTCAAAGAAAAAACAGAAAAGTCCAGTTGCCTCCTGAAAAAGGCAACTTTGGGATGCCTGGGCTATATAGTTAACACAAGAATTGTTGAACTAAGAGGTACAGATATTTTTTTCCAAATAAATGCAGTCCTCGACTTATGACCAGTCACTTAGCAACTGTTTGAAATTACGACCCCCAAAGAGGTACTTACAACCCAGTTCCGAAGTTTCCCCAGTCACACCGCACTTGGCAACCAGGCTGCATTTATGGTTGTTTGCAGCATCTCTAACAGTCACATGACTACAAATGTTGATGTTTTTGCTAAAAACTGGTGTTCCGGTTTTCAGCAAAAACACGCCATAGCAAACAATGAGTTCATTTAACGATCATGGTGTTTGCTGAATAACTGCCTCAAAAAAAGGTCATAAAATTGGATCAGTCATGTGAGGATCTGCTTTGCAACCCTAATGGGAAGCTTCCATTGCAATTGTAAATCAAGAACTACCTATACAAGCATAATTCTTTTTTTAATAGTATTTTTTATTATAGAATTTTCTTTGTTATATATATATATATATATATAAAATTTCCATATCCACAATGGCAGTGTACTGACCGGGTATAATCTTTTTAAAATACAAGTAGTAAAACTTATACACACAATAACTATAACTATTATTCTCAAAATCTATTCACCATATTCTTCACATATCCTTATTAAACATTTTCCGTTATTTAATTAAACAGTTTGGTTTTGTCTATAATTAGTTAATATCAAGCATTATAAACATCACATAACCATCACATTTGTAACCATTATCATCCAAATCTATTAATCATCTTTACTTATCCTCTTTATTCAATGTTCATTTTTTAATTACACATTTACTTCATTTTTATTTACATATCCTCCTGGATTCTAAATTTCTAACTTCTGCTTCTATTTTCTAACCATTTGATAAAATAATTCCCAAGTTAAAAAGTATTGTTTCCTCCTTAGCCTTAATTTTCAATGTTAATCTAGCACATTCTAGTATTTTCTTCATTACATTTTCCTCTATAGATATGTTTTCATTTTTCCAGTTTTGTGCATACACAATTCTCGCTGCTGTTACATGTAAAATTAAATATGTATTACTGTTATTATATTTCTCTGGTAGGATACCCAACAAGAACATCTCTAGTTTTAGATCTATTTGTTGTTTTATCATGCACGCACACATCTGCGAACTGGTAGCGAAGGTAAGTGAATCTGAACCTCTTGGACCTCTGTTCTCATTTCTGGCGACATCTATATCATATCTATTCTAGACTATGATTGGTGTCTGTTCGAATAGAATGTATATTAGTTTTTCTTTGGAGTTAACTCTCTCCATATATCCTGTATGCCTATTACTTGTGTCATTTCGAAAAAAATTTTTGGGGAGTGTCCTTATTTTTTTACTTTTTTTTGCTGCATCTATAGTCTAGTTTGACATCCACAATTGCATTGAAGTCTCCTATCATACATATGTTTCCATAGTCCATTTCAATTATCTTCTTATGGAGTTTTTTTGTAGAATTCTTGTTTGTTATTTGGTGCATATATTGCAATCAAAAGAATCTGTTTCTGATTTATTACAACCTCAACCATCAATATTCTCCCTTCTTCATCTGAATATACTTGTTTGACTGTTAACGTTTCTTTAACACATAACGGCACCCCTCTTTTATTTTCTTTTGTTGTGCTAATGCCAAATATAATTTCCTTTTTGGGGTATTCCAATAAATTGCCATGTTGTTTTTTAATATGCACTTCTTGAAGACAAATTAGGTCCAATTTTAATTTTTGTAGTTTCGTAAACATTTGTTCCCTTTTCATAGGGGAGTTCAATCCCTTTATGTTAATTGATAACATCTTTATTTCTTCTTCCATCACTTCATTTATATATAGGTTTTACTTTCCTAGTTGTTCTTGCTCTTGCACCTTCTCGTTCTGCTCGTTCTCTTTTTTCATTTTCGCTCTCTTCTTGTTGCGAAGTCTTTTCTTCTGCTTGTATTTCTTCTTGCCTTTTACTTTCTATCTCTTCCCTGCTTTCCTGTTCTTCACTTGCAGTAAAATGATGATCAAAAAATTTGTGTGCTTTATCTAGTGAATCCAGTCTAAATCTTTTATTTTGCCAAATAACCAGGATTCCCTCTGGTATCAGCCATCTGAAAATCACATTATACTTGATCAGTTGTGTTGTCAGAAATTGATATTGTCTCCTTTGATCTCTTACTCTCCTAGGGACCTGTTTCAAAGTCAAATTTTGTTTTCCTTTATATTTCAAAGGCTTCTCTCTTGATCTTTTGAGTATTTCATCTCTGAATGTCTTTTTAGTAAATCTCACATGTACCTCTCTTGGGAGTTTATGTCTTCTTGCGTAGTTTGAATGAATTCTAAATATGTCACTTATTTCCCGTTGGACCTCTCGTTTAGTTTTCTGTAGAGCTCCAGCCAACAACTCTGTCATCACGTCCATCAGGTCTTCCCCTTTCTCTTCTTCAATATTCTGGAATCTCAGGAAGTAAGCTGCCTTTTCCATCTCCAGGACAATTACTGTCTTCTCCAGGCCTTTATTAACTTGTGCTATTTCCTCCACTTTTTTCTCTGTTTGTTCTGCTTTTTCCTCCATTTTCTGTATCCTCTGTTCATTTTTACCTATCATTTGCTGAAAATTTCCCATTTTTTCATTCAACTTACGTATCTCCCCCCTCAACTCCCTTATTTCATTTTTGATCTCCTCATGATTTTTTGCCATAGTTTCTTGGGTTTTGACCAAGGCCTCTTGAATTGATTGAAGCATCTCTTGTATATTCTGAAGAGAGTCTGATTTCTCCAAACCCAACATACTTTCTATAGATCTTTGACTGGATGGGCTGGATACTGCTGAAGAAGCTTCTTGGATGAGAAACGAAACGTCTTCAACGAAAAACCAGAAAGTCCAGTTGCCTCTTGAAAAAGGCACCTTTGGGACGGCTGGTCTATATAGTTAACACAAGAATTATTGAAATAAGTCAGATGCACTGATATTTTTTCCAAATAAAGGCAGTACTTGACTTATGACCAGTCGCTTAGCAACTGTTTGAAATTACGACACACACACCCCTCCCAAAGAAGTACTTACAACCCAGTTCCAAAGTTTCCCCCGTCACACCGCATTTCAGGCACTTGGCAACCAGGCTGCATTTATGGTTGTTTGCAGCGTCTCTTGAGTCACATGACTACAATTTTTGATGTTTTTGCTAAAAACTGGTGTTCCGGTTTTCAGCAAAAACACCCCATAGTGGATACTGGGTTCATTTAACGATCATGGTGTTTGCTTAATGACTGCCTCAAAAAAAGGTCATAAAATTAGATCAGTCATGTGAGGACCTGCTTTGCAACCCTAATAGGCAGGCTCCACTGCAATCGTAAATCAAGGACTACCTGTACAAGCATAATTCTTTATGGGAGGCTTATATAATGAGCTATAAAAGTGCCACAGAATGCTGACAGCTCTCTGAATTGTTACAATCCTCCTTGGACCGCCATTGATGAACTGACAATGTCCCTTCCCATCTCACACCTGTAGGTGCAAAACTGGCACTGAAAAAGCTACTACTTACCCAGAGTGTCCTATAACTGTGGTAACTTTAAGATGCCAGCATGGCTCAATTGGTTCAGCTAAAGGAGATCTGATTTTGTGGCATAAAATTGTTCTACTGTGAGGCTGAGAGGTCTCAAAACATTAAAGGTAAAGGTCCCCAACTCCTGGTCCGTAGTCTGCGGCATGCTAGAAACCAGGCCATGCAAACAAGTGAAGCCCCATCCGTGAGATGCAGGTAGCATGTGAATCTCCCCAGGGGTGAAATGCTCCCGGTTCGGACAGGAAAGGCTGAAGAGGTTGTAGAAAAAATGTTTTTAAAAGAAAAAAAAGCCTCTGCCGATTAGGTAACTCAGTTGGGATCGTCAGAAGCTTTTAAAAGAATTTTTTTTACAACCCCTTCAGCCAAAGAGGTTGTAGAAAAAAATGCTTTTAAAAGTTAAAAAAAAAAAAAGTTGGCCACGCCCACCCAGTCACATTACCCCACCACCACCAAGCCACGCCCACAGAACTGGTAGTAACAAATTTTACATTTCACTACTGAATCTCCCCCCCCCCCTCCGGTCCACTGAAAACCCTTTCTCCACAGGACCGGTCCCTGGGGGCCGCTGCCCTAACCACTCATGTCCAACTCTAGGGGCAGTATAATGAAATTAACTTCTATCTGTCAACTTGCAAAGCTTTCAAGTTGCCATGAGCAGGAGGGAGGGAGAACTGAATTCCATACATTTTTTCTGACCGCAATCAGGAGGGTGTTAGGTTTCACAGCCAGCCAAAGTGGGTAATTGGAGAATGTGATTTATGACATGGCCAGGGAGGATGGGAGAGACAGGGTCATAGGGGGACGTAAATCTGTGTGGGGTCAGTCCTAACTGCATCCCAGTATTGCCGGAATGTTGCTCCAAATAAATCACTATATTTCCTTTAAAGTTTGGATCATGGCTCATGAATTAATTAGGACATCTTTCGGAAACTTGACACTATCCCTACCTTAATATGTAAAAGGGCATTTAAATGGTAAGTTAAACTTCTTACCTGGAAGAAGAGCTGCTCGTTGGAGGCCCCCCACTGCCCAACAGACTAGCCAGACCGGGACCTGTTAGAGCACCGAGTCCACCTATCGGCACAATTAACAATAAGAATTTTTTTTTAAAAAGTCATTTCTTAGAAAAAAGTTTATCAAGACATGTATTTGGAAGAGTTTATTCCACACCTAATTTCCTTTGGTCTCTCACAAGAGGCCAAATTGTGCATTCCCACATCGTAAAACTGTTATCGGTGAGAGGACCTCTTAATTTTGCTGCGAACTCTCAAAAGGAATCACAGAAATTATACCTGTGGCAGCATGTCTTCCACAAATTTCATGTATCAAACCAATCTTGAATCAAACATGATCAAACGAAAATCCAAAATTCTACACCAGTGATGGCTAACCTTTTTGCCGTCGTGTGCCAAAAGCGGGGGAAGCACAGGGGGGTCGCGGTGCATGTGCCCACATCCATAATTCAGTGCCCCCCACAGTCACCCGAAAATCAGCTGGCCGGCACACGCATGCGTGCTGGAGCTGAGCTAGAACAATGCTCACATGCCCACAGATATGGCTCCGCGTGCCATCTGTGGCACACGTGCCCTAGGTTTGCCATCACGGTTCTAGACCATACATACTGCAAATGTTGGAGATCAGTTGCAGCAATTTCAGGGCAAAGGTTCACAATTGTTACCATATTTAGAAAACTATGTCCTATTGTGGAACCCTGAATAGCAGTAAGTAAAAAAGGAAGCACATTAGCCATGTGAGCAATTATTCTATTAAAGGAACCTCTCACTTTATTACTTAACACTCTGAGCCCCAAAGTCAAGGCCTCAGCAACCAGCCAATAGTGATTATAACATCAAATGATCTATTCCTTCCTAAAGCATATCTAGGTACACTTCCCCCAAAGTATCACACTATCCAAACATGCTTACTGAGGATCTCATGGCACACTGAGACAAGTGAATGAATGAAAGGGAAGGGGAGAAAAGGAAAGAGGGAAGGGAATGAAAGGAAAGAGCAAAGGAAAAGGAAAGAGAAAAGGAAAAGGAGGAGAAGGAGAAGAAGAAGGAAAGGGGGAAAGAAAAGGAAGGGAAGGGAAAGGAAGGTTAGTTTTGCTTAACATGGAAATATTTGGAAGCACAATTCTTAGGTCTTTCATATACCAGAAAGCAACAGAACAATTCTACCTGCATTCATGCAATAAGAGGAGTTTGGCATCAATTCAGTGGCTGGCAAAAAGTCTTGCTGGTTGACCAACCACTGAAGAAAACAAAACGGTTTAAACCAGGCCTGTCAAACTGGCAGCCCATGGGCCGGATGCATCACGTGCAGGCAACGCCCACCTCAGCTCCGCAAAGGCAAAAAATGTTGCAATATATCATGATACGTCACATGACGCGATCGAGTTTGACACCTGTGATTTAAACTAATGCTCCTGCATCCCATACTAATATTCACAAATCAGGGCACTTTGGTTTAAGTATAGTCTCATCAGCGGCAAGATAGCAGTTTTCTTAAACTAAAAGCAAAGACGAAATTTAAATAAATATCATTCTCACATAAATATCATGAAAGCACTTTACCAAGTCCCCCTAAGCCCGTTGGTCCAATCAACTGCATCAGCTGGTTATGACTCATATTTCCCAGAAGACTTTGCAAGCCACCCTCACCTAAAAAGAAAAATAAGACAAAATGTTTATAACTATGTAACTAAATGCCACCCAATGCAAACTGCTTTTAATAGAATAAAAGCTTTGGTGCTACATTTAACAGATAGACACAAAAATGCATTTTCACACCTTCTTTTCAGAACATTTTCCCACAATCCATAATCCATACGAAAAATGGTTGCAGGAACTGGGTATGGCTAGTCTAGAGAAAAGGAGGACTAGGGGTGACATGGTAGCAGACTTCCAGCATTTGAGGGGTTTCCACAAAAAAGAGGGGGTCAACCTATTTTCCAAAGCACCAGAAGGCAAGACAAGAAGCAATGGATGGAAACTAATCAAGAAGAGAAGCAACTTGGAATTAAGGAGAAACTTCCTGACAGTGAGGACAATTAACCAGTAGAACAACATGCCTCCAGAAGCTGTGGGTGCTTCATCACTGGAGGTTTTCAGGAGACTGGACAGCCGTTTGTCTAGAATGGGAAAGGGTCTCCTGCTTGAGCAGGGGGTTGGCCTAGAAGACCTCCAAGCTTCCAGCTTCCAGCTCTATTCTGATTGATTGCACATACTAGGCTGCCTAAACTAAAAGTATATATGCTACTATCAAAGCATGTTTTTTATTATTTTATATGCGATTTTGATGTTTAGCCAGCATCAAAGATTTTATAACTGGATTTCAAAGAAATCCTTAAAGAACCAGAACTAAATGACTAATCCTGAGCAGAAAGAGCTTCTTGGAAAAGGCACCTACCTCCAAGGGCAGAAAGTTCATGGCCTCCACTTCCACTGCCTCCTAGAGCTCCAGGCATGGGTGGATTGTTGAGGTACTCATTCACCTTACGACAGTGCTCTTCGTCTTTCTCCGTCTTAGGTTCCTGGGAAGAAAGAAAAAAAAACAACCTCATTTTTTCAGGACAGATGAGTAATTCTTAACATCTTAGCTTTCTCAATAGAAGAGGTCCTCAATTTATGGCCAATTAGAGAGCATTCGAGGTTACAACGGACCCTTCCCCAAAGTTACATATCGTGTTTCCCCAAAAATAAGACCCTCTCTTATGTTTTTTGTCACCAAAAAAAGGCATCAGGTCTTATGGGGGGGGGGGGGGGGGGGGGGGGAGAGGATGTCATCCACTGACTCACCTCACTTGTGCGCGTCAACCCCAGCCTCTTTTTTGCTGAGGCCTTCAGGAATTTCGGCTGGCAAGGCTGGCAAGGTTTTCCTGAAGGCTTCTGCAGCCAATAACAGAGCAATCCAGCACTCTGTTATCAGCTACAGAGGCCTTCAGGAAAGCCTTGCTGGCTGCAGAAGATATGAGCCAATTTGTGCAAGGCCTGGCTGCAACTGTCTGAAGGTAAGTAGTAGGGCAGCTCCACACACCCCCCCATCCCCCACTCTAGCTTCATTTTTACCTGTGCACCATGGAGTGGGCGGGGTCTTAGGGCTTATTTTGCGGGTAGGGCTTATATTGGGCGCACGTGTAAAAATCAAGCTAGGACTTACTTTCTGAGTAGGTCATATTTTTGGGAAAACACGGCATAACCTCGATCCAAAGTTATTGTGGCTGACTCTTCCCTATCAATTTCATGATTGTTCTCACTCAAAATCTTGGCATTGTACTGTACAGCATCAAACTAAAATTCCCGGAGAAGCGCAGGACAGAGAGACTGAGGAACTCACAAACCTGCATCCAGAAGAAAAGTCTCTTGGACCCAGCCTTGAACTTCAGCACAAAGACACGGCCAGTAGTACATTGAGACACCCTTTTAAATTCACAGTCATCAGGAAATATAATCAGGTCCTAAAAAGCAAAGGCAGGATCTAAATACTTACAATATCAATCAATGTTGATCAATAACTAACTTCTCAATCTACAATAAGGGAAAAGGAAAACTTCATGTTTGATTGTTCCCTTGGAAGGTACCATTCCAATTATCTTGGGGAAATCAAATCTTCTAGATAAATGTTCTCTCATTCCCATCTATTGCCCAGCCCAGAATTTGGGGATTAAAAGATGCCTGAAAAACCACAAACCAATTCCCTTTCTTGAAGGTTCCTTTTCAAAGAGGAGAAAAATTATCACTGGATAGTTGACTCAGTATGCTTCATGAGAAAAAAACAGGATGTTCCAGGGAAAAAGCAGAAAACATAATTTGTACACAGTTTGAATTATACATTTATCGGCATGGTTTTCAAGGAGGAGCTGCGAAAGCTAGATGCAAAATAAAAGTAAATAAATACTTGCCTCTATGCAGAAAGAGGTAATTCTACATAGATTCATATATTCTATATTTATTCTTGCTAAAATAGGAGTACGAGAGAAAAGGGAGCTAAACTATGTTACCCCAAAGCATGTAACTTAATTTCTTATTATAAATGAGACCCAGTTTGCTCTAGTGGTTAAGGTAATGGCCTAGAAACCAGGAGCCTGTGAGCTCTAATCTCACTTTAGGCATGAAAAGCTATCTAGTTGATTTTGGGCTAGTCACTTTCTCTCCATCCGACCCATTTTACAGGGATGTTATGGTGGGGAAAATAGAAAAAAGGAAGGATGTTATGCATCTTGGTTGCCTTGAGTTACTGAGAGGTTGAGTAAAAATCTAATAAATAAACAAGCATAAAAAAAGTAAAGGTAAAGGTTCCCCTCGCACATATGTGCTAGTCGTTCATACAAATGTTCTATTTTAGCTATCAATGGGCAAACATGCTTTAAATCTATGTAAGCACAATCCAATGGCTGGAGTGTTCCACTTACATCCTCGACGTTCCCAGATGTCCTGTCTTTCCAACAGAAGTGAATAAGGGAATCATCTGTTTGCTGTATGTAGACAAGGCCCTTCCTCTTATCAGGGGTGACCGTGCTGCCTTTCAAAGACATCTTTCCTGCACGGAACTCAACCAGGTATTTGCTTGATGAGCCCCGAGAGCCGGGCACCAAAGTTGGGAATAAAGCACCAGAAGACATCCTGGAAAGAGATAAGATTTCATCATGAACGCTTCTCTTACAGTCATGGCAATCACGTTTCCCGAGAAGTAATGTAGATAAATACAATTTTGGCAGCTGCATGGCACCAAATCTGACCCCCTAATTCAATCCTCCCTACGATGCCCGTGACGTCTTCAAAGAAAACCAAGGAAGTCCAATTGCCTCTTGAAAAAGCACCTTTGGAACAACCATGACCATAGCCATTTAGCTATGCACTTTGGAATGAACACCCTTCAAATGGTGCACAAGTATGAACGGATTTCCAGAAAAAAAAAATGTAGACTACAGGAACCATTTGCGCTTCAGTCTGAGATGCAGACAACATAGACTCCTCCCCAACAGCCTATGCCTGTGTTCAACATTAAAGGGACACAGGGAGGAAACATACTGCAGAAAGCACAGCTCCACAACATAATCCTTTCAGCAGTTCCAAGAAGGCTCCAAACCTATTCAGGTGACCCTGAAGACAGGCAAACCTCCAAGTAGTCTCTAGGACTCTCTAAAAGAATGCAAATGACCAGCTATCTGCAAGGAATATAAATCCTTCCATTCCCCTCCATCCAGTCAGAGCTGAAGCAGCTTCTCAGATGAGAAGCAAAACGTCCTCAAAGAAAAAACAAGGAAGTACAGTTGCCTCTTGAAAAAGCATCTTTGGGACAAGCATGACCTGGATGACTGAGAATCTCCATAGACATTTTCTTATGATGTTACTGTTCTTAAGCAATTTCCCACTTGGGTTGCACCAATTACAGTATTAAATGTGAATGTGGTGTACTTTCTTGCAATAATATGGATAATGAGGAACACAGATCCAAGTGCTGAAGCAGCTACAATGTCATAATTTTCATTAATTCTTGCACACTCAAGAAATAATTTTTTCCCCTTCTTTATAACTAGTAACCTGCCTCTTCACATTCAACTCCAGTACCAATCCTTTAATACAGAAAAACAATGCAAGAGAACAGTGCTTATTTTAGAAGAGTATTGAAACCACTGAAAGAAAGCTATCTTTCCTTATCAGATAATCACACACCTAAGTGGGCAAAAATGAAAAACTGATCAACATAAAAAGTGATGCCAACCTTAGAAAAAACTCAAAAGTATTTATTATTTTAAAAAGTATGTGAATTGCTTCTAGAGTTAAAACATTTTTTCAAAAAAAAAAAACATATTTCCACAAAATATTGGCGATAATTTAGTAACTGTATGGGGTCCAATCCAGCAAAATAAAAATATTATTGCCAATGGCACATTTCTTCAAAGAAGCTCAAATCAAACTGAATTTGTCTTGAGGGAAGCAACCTAGAACTAAGGAGAAATGTGCTGAGAGAACAATTAATCAGTGGAACGGCTTGCCTCCAGAAGTTGTGGGTGCTTCAATTCTGGAGGTTTTTAAGAAAAGGTTGGACAGCCATTTGCCTCAAATGGTATAGGGTTGGAGCAGGGGTTGGACTAGAGGACCTCCCAGATCTCTTCCAACTCTGTTATTCTGTTAATGAATGGACATATTCATTTAGATTTCTTGGCAGCATGTGATTTGCCATTCCTTTTTTCCTGGAAAGATTTTTGCCCAGTCTAGCCTGAAGAATTTTATCCGAGTATGAACGTTGTTTAGCTTTTAACTCCAGAAAATATCACTCAGGTACTTAAATAATAAAGAAGAATCAACCTGCAGAGAAGTTTCATGTAAAACTGAATATCTAAGGTAGATCTATCCACATTCCAAATATAAAAGCTTTTTGCACAACAGCAAGTAGAATAATAGCCAAAAAAGTCCCCACTTTTCTTCAGTCCATGAAAAGATGGGCCTTTTTCTCCTTGTTGGATCCCTGATCATATTTATAAACAGCTGTTCTGAAGATCTCCAAAACAAAGGAAGGGTAAGCAAAGGGTTCTGAAGGAACCAATCAGTGTTCCTCCCATACAACTGGCACATGCTCCCTGCTTTCATGCCTTAGTTTTTAAGCCTTCATCCTATTGCTACATCCGGCTCTCAGATGATATCTACTCATGCTCATCTACTCTTCCAACTACATTCTTCCTTTAAAAGCCAAGAAAGTCACTTGGGAGCCTTAGGCCATGACATAAGCGCTTTTTACAACAACAGCACTTTGGTGTATATATCAAATTATTTTTGGGTAAGATTATCAGAGATTTGCGGAAGATGATTTAGCAGAATAAAACTTGTCAAACAAATACTAGTTTTCCAATTGCTCTTCTTTAAGCTTTGTATTCACTTATCCAAGGTCTATTTAAATTATACATCCAGTCTACTCCTAATAGCAGAGTGCTACAAATTTGCTTTATTCAATGTCTGCAATTTTGAAGAGATAAAATAAGAATATTCATTTTTGTTCCTTCAAAATACACAAAATGTGCACTCCTCTATTACTCACATTAGGTGGAATGTAATAATTTTAGTAAGGTCTCTTCCAAATAACAACCTACCTAGTAAAGGAAAGCTAGAAAATAAGTTTAAAAGAATTCAAATGCAATAGGCTACAAGGCCATCTATGCCATACGGCTCTGACTTTATCCGAACAGTGTTGGGGAAAACTTAGCATTAGGGCTAAAATACAAATATTACAAATCCTGAGAGGCTGCAGTACCAGTTGCATCAAAATGCATAAATGTTTGCATAAAAATATTCTGGTTTTGGTCCCAGTTGATGATGCATCATAGTCATGTAAATGAGTCTATTGATGTATATATGTTTTTCCAACACTGAGCTCAAATATCACCTTTGCCATAGGTATTTATTTATATCTCTTTATTATTTTTGCAAATAACTCAAGGCTGGCAAACATACCTAATGCTCCTTTCTCCTATTTTTCCCACAAGAACAACCCTGGGCAGAGAGGTGACTGGCCTAAGGTAACCCAGCTGGCTTTCATGACGAAGGCTGATTTGAACAGAGTCTCCCAGTTTCTAGCCTGGTACCTTAACCACTAGACGAACTGGCTTTCTGTATACAAGTCTACCCCATCTACAATTTGGGGAAAATTGTAGTAAACCAATAAAACAAATTGCTCCATGAACTTTATTAGCTGGCCTAGAAACCAGGAGACTTTTGAGTTCCAGTCCTGCCTTAGTCATGAAAGCCAAGAGAGTCAGCCTCTCAGCTCAACTCTCTTACTGGGTTGCTGTTGTTGGGAAAATAAGAGACAAGAGAATTAGGTATGTTTGCCACTTTGAATTGAACATATACCGTATTTTTCGGAGTATAAGACGCACTTCCCCCCCAAAGAGGGTGTGTCTTATATGCCGAATGTAGCCCCGCCCACCCTTTGGCCCCCACCCTTTGGCCCCTACTTCCCAGCAATTTACCTCTTTGCAGCAAGTAGCAAACAGCCAGCTTCAGCACAATCAGCTTGCAGTTGATTGTGGGTTGGATTGGTCTCCCGACCCTCAGCTGTTTCAGGCTGCAGGGATTGCCATTGCCTATTGCCCTGCAGGCCTCAGCTGCTTGCTGCAAGGAGGCAAATTGCTGGGATGCAGATTTTTTTTCTTGTACTAATTAGGCTGTGCTGAAAACGAAAATGAAACTGAAGCAGGCTGTTCGCTGTAATGAGGCAAATTGCTGGGAGGCAGAGGCAATTTTTTTTCCTTGTTTTCCTCCCCAAAAAAGGTAGGTGCGTCTTATAGTCCAGAGCATCTTATACTCCGAAAAATATGGTAACGCTATATTATACATACACATAGGCTGGATAATAAACTAATAGTAACTACCATTCTATATTTTAAATATTTCAAGAACACAATATAAATATATTACACACATATTAGTCTTATCACCTTGACAGACTTAACTGAATGAAAAAGTTCCAGCATGTACAGGTAATCCTCGGCTTACAATTTATTTAATGACTGTTTGAAGTTACAGTACTAAAAAAAAGTGACTTATGATCATTTTTCTTATTTATAACTGCTGCAGCATCCCTATGGCCATGATAAAATTTGGATACTTGGCAATTGATTCATATTTATGACAGTTGCAGTGCCCCAGAGCCACGTGATCACCTTTTGAGACCTTCTGAGAAGCAAAGTCAATGGGGAAGCCAGATTCACTTACCGGTAACCATGTTATTAATTTAATGACTGCAGTGATTCATTTAACAAATGTGGCAACAAAGGTCCTAAAATGGGGGGTAAAGCTCACTTAACAAGTGATGCTTAGCACGAGAAATTTTGGGCTCAATTGTGATCGTAAGTCAAGCAGTAGTGGACTTTACGAAACGGAAGCAATTAAAATAAACTCAAATACAACAAGGTGGCAAGAACAAGTGTGGTTTTCTCAATGTTTGTGTTCTCTCAAACCACCGACCTCAGCAGGCTTGGGAGACTAAAAGGCTTTGCCAAAACAAACAAGTAAGGAACAGGGACAATCCCACGAGGACGAGTCCTGGCATCATTTGGGCCCTGTGGAAAAGGGTAGGTTTGGCCGGCATCCTAAGAAGCATGAATCTCACTATTACAGGCCCCTCTTTTCTTCAGTTGCACCCAAACAGACAAAACTCCCTGCAAGCAGAAAGTTAGCAAAGCAAGGAAGTATTAACTCCAAGCTCTTCCTGGGTAGGAGGCCATGATGACTCTTCCCCTTTTGCTCCCACCGTTTCCCCAGTCAATCAGAATAGAAATCAAAACCCACAGATTACTTCTTGTTGGCAAGTGGTTGCCAAGGATCAGCCAGAACACATAACTGAGTTTTGAAGCTTGGGGAAATCAGATCCTCTGGAGATGAACAGAACAGAACAAAATAACAAGACCTGGAAGGGCCCTTGGAGGTTTTCTAGTCCAACCTCCTGCTCAGGCAGGAGACCCTAGACCGGGTGTCTGCAACCCGCGGCTCTGGAGCCGCATGCGGATCTTTGGGCCCTCTGCTGTGGCTCCCAGTCCCATCACTGGCTGGCCCCTCCCCTCCCCCTCCCCTTCCAATCATTTCTCCCCTAGCCTGAGAAGGTAAGGGTGATGGCGGGGCGGGGGATGGAGAAGCAGCTGGGGCTGATTCTCCAGCACCTCACTCAAGAAGCTGGAGCTTCTTCTGGCCATGTTGGTGCTGAGAGAAGGAGGGAGGGAGGGAGGGGGAGAGAGAGAGGGAGAGAGGAAGAGAGAGGGAGGGAGAGAAGGAGAGAGGAAGATGGAGAGAGAGAGAGAGAGAAAGGGAGATGGAGAGAGAGAGGGAGGGAAAGAGATGGAGAGAGAGAGAGAGATTTTGTGGTACCTGGTGTGGTGCTTTTAACAACCTGTTCTCTGCCCTAATGACCTGCTGGGTAGGGGTGGCTGGGGAGGGGGTCATGTGACTGGGTAGGAGTGAGGTGGAGTTGGCCACGCCCACCCAGATTTTGTGGCTCCCAGTGGTTTTTTTTTCCTGTGAGAAACAGGTGCAAATGGCTCTTTTTGAGTATTTAAGGTTGCAGACCCCTGCCCTAGACCATTTCAGACAAGTGGCTGTCCAGTCTCTTCTTAAAAACTTCCAGGGTTGGAGCATTCACAACTTCTGGAGGCAGGTCGTTCCACTGGTTAATTGTTCTGTCAGGAAATTTCTCCTCAGTACTAGGTTGTTTCTCTCCTTGGTTGTTTTTCCACCCATTGATTCTTGTTCCTGCCCTCAGGTGCTTTGGAGATTAGGTTGAAACCGCCCCCCCCCCAACTTCTTTATGGAAGCCCCTCAAGTACTGCGATACTTCTTCAGCCCAACCTTTCTAAAACCGCCCCTCTGAGCCTCACCTGGGCGTATTCCACCCGCTCACGTTCCCAACCTGCCATCCCTCCGGAGGGGTAGGGTGGGGGTTGAACTACAATTCCCATCATTCCCAACTCCCCGTCCGGATTTGAAGGGTGCGTTTGAGTGGTTTGAGAAAGGCTACCCTCACCCACAATCTTTCCGGCCGCTCCCGCCGACGGTTACCTGTCGCCTCAATTGGGCCTCCCGCCGGTCGCTTCTCTTCCCCTCAAAAAGCTTCGACGGTCTCTTCCGGCTCCCCTCAGCTCTCCTTCCAGTCACAGCGGAAGCCCGCCTTTCCTTCTTCCCTTCTCCTCTCCTTAATTGGCTGGCGGTTTCCCCGCCCCTGCACTTCTCCTTGGTCAGAAGCCATGCCACTCAACGTACGTAGGCTCAGGCTCTCATTCTCCCCCTGTCGCGAGCCTACACGGACCAGCATGCACCGCGCTCAGAGTCGCTCTTTCCGCCTGCCTTCGGCTATTGTGCTGTGTCACGTCGGCCGGGTAGAAAGGAAAGGGAGGGGGGAAAGGGCGGGGCTTCGGAGCTACGGAAACGTTGGAGAATCGCGTCCTACGATGGAAGCGTAGGGTAGCATGGAAGTTTGCAGTGTTGGATGTTGCGCTGACGCAGATCTTTTTCTCTATATTGCATTTAAGCTAGATAACCATGCACGATAATTATCCATTTTTTTAAAAAAAGATTATTTTAATCCGATTCCTCCTCAGCCTATTAGGGCGGCCAGTTCTCCTCTCCCACGAGTTCGAGCCTAGCCAAGTTTCATTTCTCTGCAGGGTACATGAGACACGTGTACTGGGGTTGTTTGAACCAAGGTGGGATTTCCTTCCAAGACTCCTCACTGAGGATCTTTGCAAGCTTGTTTTCGCTCCTAGGGCAGCTAGAGAAGGAAAGTTCCAACAATGCGCCTCCTGATTAAAAGACTCAAAATACTTGAAACTCACCATAGCCTAATGCTAGATACAGGTAGTCCTCGATTTACAACAGTTCGTTTAGTGACCGTTCAGTTACAACAGCACTGAAAAATGTGACTTAGAACCGCTTTTCATAGTTACGATCTTTGCAGCATTCCTCATGATCATGTGATCAAAATTCAGATGCTTGGCAACTGGCTCATATTTATGACAGTCGCAGTGTCCTGAGGGAAGCCAGATTCACTTAACAACCGGGTTATGAGCTTATCAACTGCAGTGATTCACTTAACCACTGTGGCCAGAAAAGTCGTAAAATGGGGCAAAACTCACGTAACAAATGTCTCCACATAGCAAGAGAAATTTTGAGCTCAATTGGTGTCGTAAGTCAAAGACTATGTACAAAAATCAGAGCTTGCTATTATGATGGATAATACAAAAATAAAAACAAGGTCGCATCTTCAAGGTTGACAGTTACACAACTGGATCTTTCAGGGAGCTGCTGGAAAAGCGGACAATGCAGTACAGGTAGTCCTCGACTTGCAGCCACAACTGAGCCCAAAATTTCTCTTGCTAAGTGAGACGGTTGTTAAGTGGATTTTGGCCATTTACAACCTTTCTTGCCAGTTTTGAAATGAATCACTGCAGTTTTTCAGTTAGTTACACAGTTGTTAAGTGAATCTGGCTTCCCCGTTGATTTTTGTCAGGTCACAAAATCCCTTTTGACACTGGGACACGGCAACTGTCATAAATGAGACAATTGCCAAGCATCTGAATTTTGATCACATGACCATGGGGATGCTGCAAGGATCATAAGTGTGAAAAACGGTCATAAGTCCCCTTTTTCAGTGCTGTTGTAACTTCGGTCACTAAACGAATTGTTAAGTCAAGGACTACCTGTAGACCTGCATTCACACAAATGCTTAAATCCAGGCTGAAGAAAACTCCATCTTTAACTGTAAATACAACCTACGAGGAATGCATGCTGTGAAACACCTTTATTTGGCTGCCTGAGTTGCCTTCTGAGGTAAAACTCTCAACTTTCGAGGGTTTGAGTTTCTCCAGGAAACAGGACAGAATGAAAGTGGGTATAATAAACCCACTGGGTCAGGGAATTCGAGGATGACCCTCTAAAAGAGACACTGATCCACCCATTTGCTGCAAAGGGACAAAACAAGGACCAGAAACTCGGTGTCTTCTCCAAAACAGCCTTTATTTGCATTGACACTTTTTTTTTTAACATTTATGTCCACAAACCTGTACAGACTTCTCTAAAAAGGTAAATACGAATTTGTAATAGTTAATATAGTTGGGTATTGACAGTTGTTAAATATTATAAAAATAAATCCATTTCGCTAAAGCCTTTTTTTATTTTTAATATCCTCCAACAGGTTCATGTAACATGGATAAGGCAAAAAAAAAACCCCACAGCCGGCATATTTCTGCCAGGAAGCGCTCTTTGGGACAAGCCCCATGGGAACTTACATAAAAATGCAGAAGGGCATCACGGGATGCTTCTCCCCAAGTCCACGGATCCCAAATGAGGCTTGATCCAAGAAATTCTAGGTGGATTGTGCCATGTACTTTTCTTCTTATAATTATTATTAAGAGGGATTATTAATGGCAAAATAAAAAACACAAAACAAGACAGCAGTAGCAGCAACAGCAGCGGAGAATGAATGGGGAAATTAAGAGCTGGTAACTGGTGCGTGTGCTTTTTATTTAATTTTTTTCCCCCACATGCTATAAACAAAAATCATTTTTGTTAGAACCATTTGCTTTATAGGCATTTAAATATTGCTTTACAATTAAACCCAAACCACTTAAGGATTTTAAAGAGGCGACGACGTTACAGTAGATTATCAAATGAAGAATTAAAAACACGACATGGAGAGAACAGCCACAGAAATACACAGAATACAACAAACATAGAAAAACTGAAGAGTTACACAGGCACCTGAACTGTTGGGACTATTATTACAACAATGTCTTTTTCAGGATTACAGGCTACCTGAGTATCAACAGTTAGTAATGTGAAGCTAGGGTTTGGGTAAGAACTCTTGAGAATCAACGTAAAACTTTCAGAAACTAATTCTAGATGGTACTGATTCACGTATTTGTATATTAATTTACTAAAATAGATCTAATCTTATGCTTTAAAACTTATACTTATGAAGGTTTTAGTCTAATAGCCTACTTTTGAGGACCAAGGGTTTTTAAAGATGCCTAAGAGAAAACACCCATGTATTGATCTACCCCAAACTGGATGCAAGGTGCAGTAGTAAGAAACTTAAATTATGTTTATCAAACTCATCAAAAAGGTGCCATTTCTACCCTTTTCTCTTTACATATAAAGGCTAACAATGTAAATCAAATCATTACCAAGCAGGAATTTCTATCATTCATTCTATTTTTTTTTTTTAAAAAAACTATACTTTCCAGTTAATGTTTACTTGTCAAGAGAATTTAATGAATTAGTAGTGTTCCATCCATCAAGCATCCTGTTGAAGTGATGTCATGTCAAAATAATTGCTCATCTGTAGGTTGCTTTGGGGGAAAGAGAGCGAAGGCTAGCAAAGGTTTGTGGACATGTTACGTTTTCCTGCGGGATTTATTTCGGAATGGGGAAGTCCCGTCTTCGTTTCATAGCCTGCTGCTGTCATGCTATTCTAGAAATGGTCTAGTAGTGTTAATCTTTGTGATTATTTCTTGCTACGATAAAGGCTGCATTTATTGTGAAGTCAACCTAATGGCACAGCAAGAAAAGCTATTCATCCACAGTTTTATTGACTCCGGTGTTGAGATATAGCATGAGGCATCATGTGGGTATGGAATTCCTCCCAATGGTGAAGGGTGAGTGGAACACCACTATCTGCAAATATAAAAGTTTTGGGTGTAACCCATTGGCCTGGAGTCAAGCTAACGTATGCATGGGCCTTAATTCAAAACAAAGGTACCAAGGTAAACACAATGGAAGTAAGCAGCCAAGAAAATAACTACTTTTTTTCACATAAAAAAATATCTGCTTTTAAGTAAATACCTATCTTAATATTTAACATGATTTTTTTTTTAATTTTAAAAGTGCTTTTTTCCCCCATGGAAGTGTCAAATCTAAGGCAGTGCTTAAGTTGTGAAGGTGGTGCTTATAATAAGTGCAGGTAAAAATGTAAACAATCTAAATGACTATCTTTTTCATAAGGAAAAAAAAAACCCAATATAATTAAAGCTTTTAAGTCATCAAACTTTAGTGTGCGTTTTAATTCTAATCTGTTCTGAAGCATTATATTTAGTATAATACCCTGCCGTTGGTTAGAAATGAGATATACATATGTGGGAGAACGGACTTGCAGCTTAGGAATTATTTTCCAGTACAATTAATCATTTGCAGAGAAACAAATCAGCTATGTTAATAGCCTCCCACTATTTCTACTGGACAACAGATTTTCTGCAGTCTCAATTTCACATCGTTTTTGAAACGTAAGGCTCAGCCAGCCACCAAATCATGAACATATAGTACAGTATATGCCTCAGTTGGTATAGAAGATGAGTCATGAAGACCTAATATAAATCTATTTTCAGTAGAGAATAATTATACAAAAGGTGAATGAAAAATATTCACTCTTCCTTTAAAATCAATTTTAATTTCAATTTAAAAGATCGCATTTTCCTCCTACAGCAAATTGGAATTTCGAAACATCCCTTGCCACTTCTAAAAAAAAAAAAAAGGTCCAACCAGTTAAAAAAAATTAATGTGATTCCTTCAAAATATTAATGAAACCCACCTGCATTTGTCTGCATGTATACAGATCACCTGGCTTAACCCTTTCCAAAACTTTTACTAATAAAAGGAGATAGTAACTTAATCAAGGGAGAAAAAGTGAGTTTCTATTGTCCCCTATTTTCACGTTTCTGGAGTTAGAGCTTGAAATACTGTTATCATAACAGCTGGTCTTTGTATATAGCCTTATTGTTCAGATACTGAAACCAGTGGATTATGAGAGCAATATAAATAGCCAATTCTGTAGTGGGCCTAAAGCACAAAATTACTGCTAGAACCAATATTCACTGTTCCTACCAAAAAACAGAAGGGCCCAAGAGTTTCTGGACTGGGATACATAATAGATAAATTAATCTATTAACAATAAAATGCACACTGATTCATGGGTAACATTATGAAGGAAAAGGCAATAAATTGAAATACAGTGAGACTACTGTGATGCAAGTGATTTCAAGAGAGAGACTACTGAAGCATTCTGAAGCCCTAATACAATAAATGAATTTGAAGCTGCAATATTTAGCAACAACATACAATTTAGAGTTAACTAGTGCCTGTCCAATTCTCTTAAAAGTATACTTTATTGCCTTAAGTATTTTTTCATGGTAACTTTTTTTTTGCTTGAAATGTAATGAAAAACACTCAAATATTCCTATATCGTAGACAAATGTTCATGGGACTATAATCCCATCTCTTAATCGTTTCACTGTCCCTTTTAAATTATTATGCTCTTGCTGGTTTACCATTTAACAGCAAGGTAAATTATCTCCAATTTGGTAAATAATAATAAAGTAAATATTAACTTATTTGTAAAGCCACACACATTGTCATTAGTGTGTGTTAGAAATAAAAGAAAAACACTCTTTTTCTTTCAATCCAAACGGCTCCAGAATGACATAGTTTTGACGTGTTTAAAACTGCAAACCTACACTTATTCTCGAGGAATTCTAACAAGTGGAGATGCATTAAAAGCTTCCACTGTGTCATTCAGCATTCAACAAACTAAGAAACTGCTGTTCAAAAAAACCTGTTATTAATTGTGATGCAAGCAAGTGATTTGGAAAAAAACAAGCCCAAAATAAATATGAACTTTTGCAGAATGTATCCGAGGCAAATTGAAAGAGGAAGAAGGATGCCCGTATTATGAAATGAATGGGAAAATCAGTCTCCCAAAGCAGAACTGCAAATGAACATTTCTGAACAAAGCAAGGAGTATGATTTCTTACATGATATTTACATGACATCCAAGTTCCTATAAATATCTCCAAAAATGGGTTTTAAGACAAAACATTTTGCAACTTCAAACACACAAGAGTTTGCTGTTATCTACACACTTACAAACCAGCCCAACATTCAATGGAGTAGTTACTTTTTTAAAAATAAAATCACAGATACTTCATTGAATCAATAATTCACAGTGCCCAGAGGCTGAGGCAAAATGGAGAAATTGCTCCTGAAAATTAAGTCTATCTGTATTGTATGCTGTCAAACTTTTAAAAGGAGTGTTCAAAGACTTGTGTGAATTTTGAGTCACTCTGGATTCTTGCTAGAAACTTTCCAGTAGGACCAGCAGCATATCTGTTAGTCTAAGGTGTCCCTGTGGCCTCCAAGTTTTGAATACTTCAAAGATATATTTTATTGTTCAATTTTATTTTATTTTTAAAAAGTACTTATCTTCTCTTTTTAAGAAAGGAGCTATTTTCCCACCGGTTATAGCGAGTTAATTCTGGCCAAAAAAAATAAAAATAAAACAAAAACATGAAATGATAAATTGAAGGAAGCTAACAAAAACATGCAAGCATCTTTCCCCATTACATAATTTCATGTTGCAGCTTCAGGAAAATGAGTTAACAGCACTTCAGTATTTTGGCAAATGTACATGACAAAACCTTGATCAGTGATGGATGATTTTCATTGCTTTAGGAAAAATATATTTTTTTCTTGTCATGACATAGCCCAATAGCCGCTGGACTCATTTAAGTCTACCAATTCTGGGCAAAAGAGCAACTGCATTCAAGGTTTTCAATAGATATCCGGACAGTCAAAGAAATTTCTATCAAAATATCCTCCCGAGTATAACCAGTCAGCAGTCCCAATATATGGATTAGTGCCTTGGTAAAACCATCTGTAAGGAAGTTAAAAAAAAAACAAAAACAAAGATAGAAGAAAAGTAGTTAAATTCAGCAAAATCCAAATAGTCCTTGACTTATGCGCACAACTGACCCCAAAATTTCTGTTGCTAAGCATGTTTTGCCTTATTTTATGTCCTTTTTTGCCACAGCTGTTAAAACAAATCATTGTCATTGTTAAGTGAATCATGTAGTCATTAAACGAATTTGGCTTTCCTCATTGACATTGCTTGTCAGAAGTCAGCTGGGAAGGTTACAAAGGGTGATCATATCCAACATACCTTCCTCCTCCAATTTTCTCAACAACACCCCTGTGAGGCGGACTGGGCTGAGAGTGTGTGACTCACCCATTGTCACCCAGCCTAAAGCGGGATTAGAACTCACAGTGTGTTTGTGATTGGGCCAGTCACCCAACCAGCTTTCCTGCCTAAAGTGGGATTAGAACTCACAGTCTCCTGGCGATTGGCCCACAGTCACCCAGCTGGCTTTCAGGGCTTAGATAGAACTTGAACTTGAATGGTCTTGAACCTTTATTTACTTTACACTTTTCTGCATTATCTTTAATAACTCCCTGAAAAATGGTCAAAATACCAGAGGAGAATAACCATAATCCTCGACAGGAAAACAAGATCCAGGGAACTATAGACTGTCAGACTGATGTCAATATTAAGGAAGATTCTAAAAGAAAAGATCATAAAACACTCAATCTGGATTCAGTCTTTCACCTTTTTTATTATTCTCTCTGAGGAAATTGTGAAGAGAACCCTTTCCAAATTTGCATCTGAGATAAAATTGGGTAGGACAGCAAATAACTTGAGAGACAGAAATCCAAAGTGATCTTGAAAGGTTAAGAAATTTGGCTGAAAATATAAAATTATATTTAGCAGCGCAAATGTGAAATTCTTCGCTGGGAGAAGAAATTAAATGCAGGACGCGGGAGACTTTAGCTTGGTAACGGTACTGGCAAAAAGCTTATGTTGGTAATTGATTGCAAAACGAGTTCAGGCTAGGCATGCGATGTGACTGCAAAAAGACAAATTGTAAGGCGGATAGTTTACAAATTATGGGAAGTAGCTATAAAACAGTAACTGTTCTGTTTTACACTTTATTGATCACATCTCAACTCGACTACTGTGTTCCACTCCAAGGCTTTTGGAAAAAATCCAGATAGGAAGATTTAAGAAGGGCAGTGAGGATTATCAAGGGACTAGAAACTTAACCCTACAAAAAGAAGACTGGGCTGAGTGAGGACAGAAATGATAGCTTTTTTTCAAGTATTTAAAAAGTGTCATAGAAAAGAAATGAGCAGAGGGACAGGCCAGAAGAAGGAATAATGATTGGAATAATTAATAATAAAAGAAGGAATAAGCAGTCTGTGTTGCCTATTTGCCTCTTTAATCTTTAGAAGGGAAGATTTGTAGTTTAGGATTAGGGTTACTGCTTCTGGTGGTCTCTGAGCTTGGTTGTTTTTTTTTGTAGAATTTCATTACCCAACTAGTATATAAACGGAAAGCAAACTCCACTCCCTTCTAGCACTGATAATGTTATCTAGTTGGGTAAAGAAATGTCTGCAGAAAACAGCCAAGCTTAAGAGAGCACTAAGGACCCCATTCTTTAATCTTAATTTTGCACATTCTTCCTATTATAAAACAAAAATTGAGAGAGGGAGTGGGAGAGGGAGAGGGAGAGAGAGATGCAAAACAACTGAGGAAGTTTTTACTTTATACAGCAATTCATTCCTGACTGTGCTCACAGAAAGACTGCTTGTCTCTTAATGGAAAAGTGTGAACTTTAAAACTGAAAACATCATTTAAAAAATACTCATGTAAGGTGAGAAAGAAGATTGCTATGTGATGAGACACTACATAGTTCCTGGATTCAATCTGTCAGCAGGGCATCCTTCCCTGTTTCCAGAACTATGAATTACCTTGTCCTCCAGTCAATTTCCTCTTTTGCACGATCCTTGCGAGCAGCTCTTTGCTTTTCTTCTAGCCTCTCCTTTTCTTTGCTTGCCATATCTAACAGATATTTCAAGAGATTTTTTTTTTAATGAAAAAGGCAAAAACGGTAGATTGAAAAACAGATCAAATTAAGACCAATTTTAATACTTCTTTGTGAATCTGAACAATTTATTCAGATTTGTACTTGCTCCAGTGCATTTTTTCCCTATTTGAGATTCTCAGAGTATGTTGGACCAAAAATTCCATCCCCTCTAATCAGCAGGATCAAAGTTTCACTGGGAAGGAGGACAGAATTTATCATTCAACGCCTCTAAAAGATTTTAGGTCAAGAAAAACTATTTCCACCTAAATAATTGCACTGGGATATTAGAAAACAAATGGAAACAAAGCAAACCACAACAATTGAACACTGATTACCAGTATTTGTATACTCTTTCGATCATTATCCTGAACTCTCATCTGTCCACAACTTGAGTTCTGACAAAACATTTGTCAGCCCTGGAGGCCATCTTTTTCTTTGGATCTTCAGGGCTGCCACACTTAGTACTGTGGGAAACTGGGAGGAGGGATTGCATAGAGCGGTGGAGGTATTTAGCCATAATAACATTCCTTTCTCTGAGAGTCAAGGACATCTGGCCCTGCACCTGGAATGGCGTGACTGGGAGGCATCTCCAGCTGGGACGGTGCCATGATTGGGCCATGTGATGGACATGTGGATGCAAGGGAAGGGACTTGGGCTTTCTTTTGGGTGGGGAAAACCTGGAAGCTTTCAGATTTGGGTTTTCCCAGATGTGCCAATATGACATCTCTAATAAAATGGAACTTTGAGGAACATCTAACTTCGGAGTCTTCTTTTGTTGGGGGTGTTATTTGGAACCCTGACAATATCCAGAGAGATAAAATCTGCAGTTATATAAATGATCTTCTTTCTTCTTTCTTTATCTTTATTTGATTTGTATACCGCCCTACTCCCGAAGGACTCAGGGCGGTGAACAGCCAAACAGTAAAATACATAAATACAAAATTTAAAAACAGGATAAAATCGAATTAAACAATTTGGCCCAGACAAATTAAAACACCCCCAATCAGGGAAAAAACAGATTAAAATTTGCATATTAAAAAGAAAAGAGGGAAAAGATTAGGCCAGGCCCGGCTGGTGGAATAAAAAGGTAAATTTTTATACATAAAAATTATATATAAAGAATTGTTTCTGGAATTGGATCTGTCTAGTTTAATGAAAAGAAGGACTAGGGGTGACATGATAGCAGTCTTCAAATAGCTAAGAGGTTGCTACAAAGAAGAGAGAGTCAACCTATTCTACAAAGCACCTGAAGGCAGGACAAGAAGCAATGGATAGAAACATATCAAGGAGAGAAACAACCGAAAACTAAGGAGAATTTTCCTAACAGTGAAAACAATTAATCAGTGGAGTGATTAGTTGTGGATGCTCCATTTGTCTGAAATGGTTTAGGGCTTCCTGTTTGAGCAAAGGTTGGATTAGAAGACCTCCAAGGTCCTTTCTAACTCTGTTATTCTGTTATTATGTATGTGCAAAAGATCCATTTAACTTGAGATATCTGAGGAGCTGCCTTTTCCCAATGGGATTAGTCCACCCCATGGAAGAAGCTTGCTATCAATCCCATTTGCTAAGGAATTCCAGTGAGCGGGTCCAAGGAGAAGAGTCTTTTTGCTGTGGCTCCATCCCTGTGGAACACTCTACTACTGCAAGTTTTGTGATCTGTTGGCCACCGGCCCCTCCAGCAGCCGAATCAGATGAGGAGGCGGTATGGGAGTCAGGGTCAACAGCAAGGCAATCTGAGAGCTCCGAGGGGGAAGAGGGAATGGAGCTGTCAGAGAGAGAGAGAGGCGGAGCCTGAGCTGTCTGTTAGCCCTCAGATGCAGAGTCAAGAGCCCCTAGTTCTGGAGGTGGCTGATGAGGAAGAGGAGGAACAGCTGGGTCCAGTGCCTGATGCGCAGATGCACAGAAGGCAGAGGAGAGGAAAGCAGTGGAAATCCGTGGGCCGATCCGTGAGAAGGAAGAGCCACCGCTGCTAGTAAAGCCCCACCCTAGCTCTAGGGATAAAAGGCAGGGGGGGGGGCGGAGATGAATAGATGTGGCAGACAACTATTCATCTTCCGGCCTGATGGATTTGTTAGCCTGCGGTGAGAAACTTTTTGCTGGAGCTGCCGGCACTCCTAATTAAAGGAATGAAATTTTGAGTTAACTTGAGGGTTTGTTTGGGGAGCTGGGTCAGAACAGGAGGTGAGAACTTGGCCTTGCAGAAGGGTATTAAAACTTGGTTGGCTTGGGGCTCCAAGGGTGGTACTCACTGCTGGAGGTGGTTGATGGGGTAAGAAGACCTCATGCCTTGCCATCCGTCTCTTAGTCTTAGTGTTTTGTGTAGTTTAATTCTTTTAATTTGCATAGTTTTAATATTTTATTTTTTAAATAACCTGTAATCTCTCCAGAGTCATATTATAAGGGAGATGGGTGACATAAAAATGTACTAAATAAATAATAACCACTAAGCCTCCCCATTTATGAAAACTTCCTCACAAAGATAAGCTTCAAAACCATTAAAGAAGGAGCTTGATACAGTGGATTAAAACAGAATACTCTGCACTCAATCAACAGATAACACTGGCAGAAAAGGCCTGACCTCAAGGCATTCAGGTCTGTAATCTATCTCTATTCTATTATTTTTATCAACAAGAATTTTAACTATGAGATTTCGTATCTGAAGGTTTAAAAAAGATTATACAATTTGTATATGAGAATTATAACAGAATAACAGAGTTGGAAGGGACCTTGCGGGTCTTCTAGTCCAACCCCCTGTTCAAGTAGGAAACCCTATACCATTGGTATCGTTGTCCAAACTCTTCTTAAAAATCTCCAGAGCATCCACAACTTCTGGAGGCAGGTCGTTTCTTCTCACTGTCACGAAATTTCTCCTTAGTTCTAGGTTGGTTCTCTCCTTGATTAGATTCCATCCATTGCTTCTTATCCTGCCTTTAGGTGCTTTGGAATTATACTAATTTGTAAATATGTAGAAAACATTTCTAATGTTTACCCTTTATTAAATCCTCTCCCCCCCCCCCTGCCCCGGTGTCCTAAAACAGGTGCACAGCTTCCAGCAGACCTACAGCAAGCCAGGGGCTGCCCTTCGAAAAGTGGTACCTTCAAACAGTAGTGTGCTATGGCCAGAACATCCATTGCAGTAGTGGCCAAAATTGTGGAAACCTTTTGGGAAAAGTGTATTTTTCTAAAACTAGCTAATAACACCCCCCCCCTTTTTTTTTGGGAGTAGTACCATAAAATTATATATTAATGGAAAGATAATTTAATCAAGAATGTAATGCAATAACTTTTATGAAGGATTTGCTATTAGAATAGCAATTACCGTATAAAGAAGAAAAGTGAAACACATAGGAAAAACGAGATATACAAAAATTATCACCATAGAAAAAAACGAGATAATACAAAAATTATCACCATGACAGTTAATACTTAGTTAGGTAACCTTTAGCATGAATGACGGCCTTACAACATCTTCCCATGGAAGGAACCAAGTCTTTTATTTCTGCAGCTGTTATATTTGTTTATTTATTTTATTTTTATTTATTTTTCTTATACTTATATGCCGCCCTTCTCCCAAAGGACTCAGAGCGGCTCACAGAAATTAAAATGATGAAAACAATAAAAAAAAATAGCTACTAAAATAATCAATTAAAATCTCCCAATTAAAAATCACCCATCGGATCAGCAAATTTGTTGGAAAAGCCATGTCTTCAGGTCACGGTGGAAAGAGGGAGGTCGGGGGCCATCTGGAGCCCTGTGGGTAACCCATTCCAGAGGATCGGTGCGCATGCATAATATGAAACCAAGATTGGAAGATTGCTTCTATTAACTGGGTTTCATTGCTGGGTCGCTTCTGACTAAAAAGTTTCTTTAGTCAGCTCCATAGATGTTCAATTGAGTTAAGGTCTGGGATATTCCAGGCCATTCCAGCAATGGAATAGGATTATCTTGAAAGTCCCCCCCAAAAAAGTGGTGTTATCAAACCTCAAAAATACACTTTTCCCAAAAGGTTTCCACAATTTTGGCCACTACTGTACATTCAATGCAATTAGGCTCAAGAACAGTTAGTAGGAGTCTTCTCCGTTCATGAATGCAATAATTTTCCTCATCTGTCACAAAATTGCAACTTCATAACAAGGTTTATAAGGGTACTCAACACTTTGGAGGTATTATGATGGATCCTTCAAAGGATCAAACCATCCTCGGAACAGAGAGAAGAGGATAAAATACATGGGCATAAGATCTGTAAGAAAAACATAGCTTTTCTTAATATTTCTAATCTTTGAGAATCATGGCCATCTCCATACGCGTACCTATCTCTCCATTTTCCATATGCCTTATGTCTGGTCTTAACCGACAGTCAGTAGGAGCCAATATATCTTCCATGCCCTTCTCCAATTCATTGAGAGTGACAGCAAAACTGGTGAAATTGTACATCTGAAGCAGAAACAGGAATGTAAACACACAGACATAGTACAAATCACCTTCCTCTAAGGGAGGGCAATAATATTAGCCCACATGTTACAAACCAAAACAAGTCAGTTTCCCTCAAAAAGCTATTTATTTTTTATACTTAATTCCCAAAATCTTATACTAAAAGTCAACATTCCAAATTTAAATACAGGTAGTCCTCAGTTTACAACCACAATTGACCCCAAAATTTATGTTGTTAAGTGAGACATTTCTTACGTGAATTTTGTCCCATTTTACCATCTTTCTTGTCACAGTTGGTAAGTGAATCACTACGGTTGTTAAATTAGTAACAAAGTTGTTAAGTGAATCTGGATTTCCTATTGAATGATTATCAGAAGGTCTCAAAATGGGATTACATGACCTTGGGATACAGCAACAGTCATAAATATGAAGCAGTTGCCAAACATCTTAAATTTTGATCACATGACCATGGAGATGCTGCATGCAGTAAGTGTGAAAAACAGTCATAAGTCACTTTTTCAGTGCTGTTGTAACTTCACTAATGGTCACTAAATGAACTGTTGTAAATTGAGGAATACCTGTACTCCCTTAATGCATTTATAACTTTCTTCGATCAAACTCTTTTGCTGTTTTTTTCAAATTCTTCAAGTTCCTAAACTTGCCATTAATTTTTATTTTTTCAGAGCTGAAGCGAAACTCACCTGGCAACTTTTTAAACATCTTATTCCAAAAGTTTTAAAAAGGAACAAATTTCCCCTTTTATCTCAATATCACTTTCCTAACCAAGTTCCCCAAACTGCGAATAGTTCCTTTGACAGCAGAAGAGTGGGAGAAGCAAAGATAACTTCCATGGCAAGTGTCAAGTCAAATCTTAAATTAACAGAACAAGGAAAAGGCGGTTTCCTGCATCAAAACCCTTCACTTAAACTGTTTTTCACTTCGGTTTGAAAGAAAAGGGACTTGCTTATTTCCACAAAATGAACAGGTAGAAGGAATTTTCTGGACAATGAAAACAATAATAGCAATAGCACTTAGACTTGTATACTACTCCATAGTGTTTTACAGCTCTCTCTAAGACAGGGGTGTCAAACTCAAGGCCCAGGGCTGCAGGGTGCTTAGATCCGGCCCGCGGGGCCACCCTGGAAAGAGTGAAGGATCGGCCCATGGTGCCTCTGCCAGAGAAAACGGACTCCCGAGCTCTGTTTTCGGCTGGGACAGCCTCCTGCAACCCTAAAAACGGAGCTCGGGAGCCCATTTTCTCTGGCAGAGGCACCACGGGCTGCCACAGGCACCCCTGACACAAGTAATGTCAAGCTGCCGCTCCCTGGCCACGCCCCTCCCAGCCCCCTTGAGGTCAAACACAACCCTGATGCGGCCTCAATAAAATTGAGTTTGACATCCCTGCTCTAAGCGGTTTACAAAGTCAGCCTACTGACCCCAACAATTTGGGTCCTCATTTTACCAATCTTGGAAGGTTGGAGGGCTGAGTCAACCATAAGCCAGTCAGGATCGAACTCTTAGCAGTCAGCAGAGTTAGCCTGCAATACTGCATTCTAATCACGGCCCATAATATTTATGGGTGATTTATCTTTTTTTTAAAAATGTCTATTACACACTTCTGAATAAATATGACACACTTCATTCCAAAAACAAATTTGTCCCCTGAAAATGTCTGCTTTTATTAAAAAGCTAAGATGCCTGGTAAAAGTATAGATTCTATAGCTTTATATAAGCAAATATATATATACATACATACATACATATATATATATATATATATATATTTCAATGATCATATTGCATTGGAAAATATTTTTTTAAAAAATAGAAAATAAATTATCATAATCGCTCTACAGAGATGGTGTAGAAATGGAGAAAGTCCTCAGACCAATTGGATATCCCACTAAATGGTAGAATATTTTTATAGTCCTACTGGCACTTATATAACATCTATAAACAACCATTTAACCTTTCTATGAGGTTTATATTACACCAATGTTAAAATCTGAGAACATTCTTACAACACAGGCATGCTATAGAGGCCATAGATCAGTATTTTGATTAATTTGATTGAGCATATTAAAATATTTGCAGCAACATTAACTGGAGGCTAAAGGAACTAATAATACCAGCTATACTTTATCCGTGCCAATCTGAATTTATAAAAAATAAACAAGCATTTGACAATATCTACCAATGACTGATATCATGAGTCGTAGAGCTGCAAATAAACTAGAATCAGATGTTTTAATTTAGTTGGATGCTGAAAAAGCCCTGGATATTGGGGTTTTATTTCTGTAAGCTATCTGGAGTCACCTTGAGTGAGTTGGATGGCCAGATAAATTTACATAATAAATAAAAATAAAAATATTGTGCTAACTGAATTTATGAAGTGTATTCTAAGTAGATCTGGGATTGCAGCATCTTTTGTTTACTGCATTACAATCTGGTATCTCTACTAAATGGCTAGAGTTATTACAAATACATGAATTTCTCAACCTATCAACCTAACCTATCAACCTACTGCAACATGGCATTTAATAAAGACAGTCCCTTGTCTCTCTCAATTTTTAATTGGGTTTACTCTGCTTCACCATCTTTAAATTAATAAAGATGTTGTGGCACTCAACACTGCATATAAATTGTTTTAATATGCCAATGTTATTACGGCTGTCCTTGATAACAATGTTATTATATGTTCAAATTATACAGCAATAGTTTACATTACCCTGAAGGACCATATTAGAGACAGATTGTCATGGAGAACACGTATCTCGGTGACCCTGACTTGATGGCACAAAATCAAAATTCCATAGACTACTATGGAAGAGGTTGAACTTAATATCAATTCCATCCGAGTTTTAAAAAAACTCATGACTAATAAGCAATTTTACAGCATCAGAATTAACACTATTTCAAGTATTTCACCACTTGTGATCTTTGATTAATCGAACTCTTTTAATATTCTAAAAGGAAATATATAAAGGCTTTTTCCTAATCTACTGCTGTGCTTTCGGTCAAGTACATAATATGTAAATCCACTTCCAATGTTCAGAGCTGCTCACCTGTGATGAATTTGATGGCCTTGAGCTTATCCTCCAAAGTAGCTTACTGCCAGGTATAACTTGCACAGTTTCTTGAACCTCTGGCATATCATCGGCTTCATCATTTTCAGGTTCATCTCTCTTAAAATGAAATAATACTGCATATTCAATCAAAAGAGCACCAAGGAGCTTCAGAACTACTTTCAAGCCATACATGGCTTTCCATTTAGGCACAACACTTCCTGGTTCCTTAAACCAAACGTTCTGGAGACCTTAAACAGCAAGCTATGATTTAAGACAGAGAGTTTCCAAACTTGGCAATTTTAAGACTTGTGGACTTCAACTCCCAGAATTCCTCGGTCAGCCATGCTGGCTGGGAAATTCTGGGAATTGAAGACTACAAGTTGCTAAATTTGGAGACCTCTGATTTAAGGGCTCCCAACTCCTTCTCCAACATTATTCAATTTGGATATCTCTGGAGGAGGATTTAAAAACCACAAAGGAAATTTAGAAAAGGAAATGGGAAGAAGAATGGGGAAAGACAGAGCACCGAAGTTCATTTATGGGGCAATGAACTCTGATCTGTTGAAGCAACAATATTAAGGTTCAATGTCCCTCTCATTCATTATTGCAGCACAGAAACTTTATTACATCCATACATACTCCTTACGTTATTCTTCGCAGGCTAAGCTATGTTATTCAAAAAAGGGGGGAAATAGTAATTAATATTAATTAAGAGAGAGGAAGATAAAAAGAAGCAAAGGATAGCTGGTTCACATCATCCCTGTTTATTTTTCTATCCTTAAAATCCATCTTTGCTTCAGTCGTGCCATTGACCAAGTCATACAATGCCTTTTATTCATTAAAATCACCTCTTTCCTCTGTGCCAATGTTTGCTCCTACCTTATTCTCACTTTTATACTAGTTGTTACATTCCCCGACACTCTCACAAGGACCAAAAATCTCTCTTCTTTCAATTTCACCCCTTTGCCTACTCATTTTGTCAACAGGTACTCTAGAAATCCGCCATTACAATGAATAGCAGAGGGAAAGGAGAGCAATGGAAAGAGATGTACAATGCCTCTCGCCTTTAGGAAAGATGGGTAGCCTATACATTTAATAAATAAATTTAAAAAATTATATACAAGTAATCCTTGACTTACAACGGGCCACTTAGCAACCATTCAAAGTTAAAACAGATCTCCCCAGCGCTAATTATAATGCCGATTTGAAGTTGCAAGGCCACCCCCCTCACCCTGCCATCACATTTTGGGTGCTCAGCAACTGCCCACACTTATGGCCATTTGCAGTGTCCCATGGTCACATGACCACCATTTATTACTTTTTGGGCAGAAATCGGTGTTTATTTCCAATTTCTGGCAAAAAGCACCTATTGCAGACAAAGGGTTTCCTTAATAAACACAACATTCACTTAGCTTTGCGACGGCTGCAAAAACAGATGTAAAATCGGTACAATCACTGGTGACCTCAGCACACCACGACCATTAATTCTGGGTTCAATTACGGTCATAAATCAAGGACTAACTGTAATCCCCGACTACACTGGATAAAACCTTGGATAATCCCAGAATTTAACAAGGTAAATGATGGTACCCTTATCATAACTTAAACCACAATCATCCCATTTGCACTATATCCTATTTAGAGAACAATTTTCTTAAAAAGATGTGCAAGCTCCCACTTTCACAAAACTTACCGGCTTTGGTTTCTTCTGATCGCCACCTTTCCTCTCGTTCTTCTTATAGTTTTCATAAGAATAAGGGTCAACGCACCACAAACATTCTGTCCATTTCCCATAGATCACTGAGAGTTTCTTCTTACTGTTTTTAAAAGACATTTTAGTTTACTTAGATTCTGTGTTTCTCCAGCCTAGTTAAAATCTGATAGCATCTAATTCAGCCCTAACAGCACAAATGAAATATGGTATGATTCTCAACATGGGCTGATAATGGACAATTATGAGATTAACCTTTATAATATGAAGGATTTCTCACCAACTCCATAATATTATTTTTCATCAGATGATCTGGAATAGGAGCGGCCAAAAAAAAAAAAAAAAAACCAACAACCCAAGGTGACATGAAAAGCTATCATTATCTGCATTTGCTGAAAAGAATAAAACCTCAAAATGTAGAAACACAACTTCTAGCAGCTTTCAACATACTCTCACCTTAGGTTTACACCTTCTACATTTTAGATCTTTTGCAAAATTACAGTTAGTTATAAATGTTCTAAGAGAAAAAGTAGTCAATTTGTTTCCAAGACAATAGAAACCTAGAAATTAAATTAGGTGAGGAAAAATTAGTTACAGGGGCACCTTGGTTAGTCAACTGCCTTGAAACTCATTGAATTTGGTAATCAACACATTTTGAGGTAAAATTTTTTGTCCTGGTACTCATTGTTTGTTGGTACTCAACACACAAGCTAGAATTTGTCGGTGTTGGCTGCTTTGTGACTCAGTACATTATTCCTTATGAGAAAAATGTGTTTGGTACTCATTGTTTTTGGTATTCGTTGTGCCACCTGGAACCAATTAACGATAAGTACTGAGGTACCACTGTATAGGAAAATGGGAATGAAATGGTTGGGATGACAAATTATAAAATAATCTTATATTTACTTCATATTCCAGACTGCAAGAACTGATAATAAAATTCACTGTCAAGATTCTGATTTTTCTTATTATTATAAGTACAAATAGTCCTCAACATACGACCACAATGGAACCCCAAAAATTTTCATTGCTAAGCCAGACAGTTTTGCGACTGAAGCATTCCCTTAACAACCATGGTGTTTGCTTACTGACCATCCCAAGAAAGGCCGTAATTTCACATCAGTCAGATGACTAACCTGTTTTACTACCCATCATGACTTATAACATTATCGGGCAGGCTTCTTTACAGTCGTATGTCAAGGACTACCTGTAATGAAACTCTGTTAATGGAGAAATATGAAAGACTTTGTACATCATCCTGGCCCTACTGTTTCCTCACAAATTGGTACAGACTTCTGTATGCTTCTTTTCTCTAAAGGAAATTTGAAAGTTTTTCCACATGGGAAGACGGTGTGTAACCACTTAGGTCCATTCACACCTGCCTTGGGAGGGGGTTGGACTAGACGTTCTCCAAAGTCCCTTCCAGCCCTACAATTCTATGATTCTGATAGATTACTTACTTTTTGTCTTGAATGTAGCCCTCTATTCTGTGAAGCTCTTTACCGAACAGTCCACAGGGTTTAAAGTTAAGAATACATTTATCTCCAGTACTATAAAAAAAGAAAAAAAAAAGAAAACAGCTTACACAGGGCTAAGATCTCATGGCAAAATAAAAGCTTCTCCCCAATCAGCATCTGCATCATATTAATTAATTAATTAATTTTTATTTGTATCCCGCCTTTATTATTTTTACAAATAAACTCCAGGCAGCAAACATATCGAACCTTCCCTTCTCTTATTTTCCCCACAACAACAACCCTGTGAGACGGATTGGGGCTGAGAGAGAACATCTGGCCCAAAATCACCTAGCTGGCTTTCATGGCTAAAACAGGACTAGAATTCCCAGGCTCCCATTCCCTAGCCTGGTGCCTCAACTATTAGACGAAACTGGCTCTTTCTGTTGTTTGTCTGGCTCTCTCATAATGTTACTACCCTGTTTCCCCGAAAATAAGACATCCCCCGATAATAAGCCCAATCAGGGTTTTGAACGCATGCGCTAAAATAACCCCCCCAAAAAATAAGCCCTCCCCTAAAATAAGCCCTCCCCTAAAATATTTAAATGCATGTGCAGCCGGTCCCCGCCATTTCCTCTGGTTAGGGTTAGGGAGACAGAGCTGGAAATCAGGTAAGACGGCAAGAGGAGCCCCGTCTTGCTTCACGCACCTCAAAATAATAAGACCTCCCCGAAAATAAGGCCCAGCGCTTATTTCGGGGTTCAAAAAAATATAAGACAGTGTCTTATTTTCAGGGAAACACAGTATAACACTGTGCTTTTAACTACTTTTAAGACTGACTAGGTGGCTCAGTGGCTAAGACACTGAGCTTGTCGATCAGAAAGGTTGGCAGTTTGGCAGTTCGAATCCCTAGTACAGGTCTCCTGAGTGAGCAGGGAGATGGACTAGATGACCTCCAAGGTCCCTTCCAACTCTGTTACTGTTACATTAAATTTACCATAATCACTCATGGGCAATGTTATTGTTGTTTGGGAGAGAGGGCCAGTTCTTCCAGGGAACGGGGGGGGGGGGGGGGAACAAAAATAGGCCAGCAGCTATGTACAAGGTCATCCTCACACCTAGATGGATGCCCCAACACTGTGGTCACTTCATAATGACAAAGGATAGCAGAATTTAAATTGTCTATGGAGATTCTCAGTCATCCAGGTCATGGTTGTCCCAAAGGTGCTTTTTCAAGAGGCAACTGGGCTTTCTGGTTTTTCTTTGAAGACATTTCGCTTCTCATCCAAGAAGCTTCTTCTGTGTGAAACATCTTCAAGGAAAAACAAAGAAAGTCCAGTCGCCTCTTGAAAAAGCATCTTTGGGACAGAACTTAAATTGGTTTCTTTAAACAGATATTTCAACCCCACTGAATTTTAAAAAACAATGTGGCAACCTGCACTAGAAGCACTTTTTATTGTATTATTGTTTGCACCCAACTCCTGAACAATGTATTGAAGTTGAGAAGCTTTAGAATTTCTATAGGAGAAACCTCTTCAGAAGGAAGGTTTCAGAAAAACTCCAGCAGTAGCAGAGATTTCTCACATATTCTGCCCAGGGTTAGAAAGAAATGTAACGTTTCTTTAAGGCAGGCTCATCTCTTCTCACACAAACAGAAGAGAGATATTACAAATCCACACAGACAAATCTTTATCCCGAACTGCTTCAGACAGACACACTAATGGCTACACCTTCAAGTGGCATACATTACTTTTGGCAGGTTTTAGAACACGCAGTGTGAAGTAAATGAAAATTTACCTGTGATTTATAATTTCTACTGTTCCGTACTGTTCTATCCATAGCTTGCCAATAATTACATTATGTACACAACAGGTAGGGTTAGTCCAAGTGTAAGCTTCGCGATGTCTGTAAGTGAAGAAGAAAAGATTGATCAGAGGCTTGGCAAATAAAATGAAAGAGGGGGGAAAAAGTATTTGAAACAACTATAATCTATGGCAGAAAGGGTCATAAAGTGGAGCAGAACTCACTTAATAACTGTCTCACTTAGCAACAGAAATATTGGGCTCAATTGTGATCATAAACTGAGGATAGTCTGTACTATCCCAGACCTTGAAGAAACATTATGATAAACTATAAGATTCATTTATAGGCAAGAATCATCTTTTGTTGAGATGAGTGACTACAGAAATTGATCAAATAAATATATAAGATTTGATTTTGTTTGGTGTTTTGCTTTGCAAATTTCTATGGGGCTTTTTTACTTTATTAATCATGATTTTACTGATGTAAAGCGCCTAGACTAACTAGACTTTCCCTAAATTTATATAAATAACTATCACATTTATTAAATACAACTGAAAGCAAACTAGTTTTAAAATCAAAACATAAACAGCAACAATGAACAAGATGAACCCGTGCGCTCCCACAGAGAGGGCCTCCTCAGGGTGCCATCAGCCAAACAATGTAGGCTGGTGACCCCCAGGGGGAGAGCCTTCTCTGTGGGGGCACCTACCCTCTGGAATCACCTGCCCCCAGAGATAAGGAGAATCCAAGACCTCAGTGCCTTCCGCCGTGCCCTTAAAACCCATTTTTTCCAGCAAGCCGGGCTGGCTTAGGAAGAAATTTTTTAAAATTTTTAAATGTTTAATTGGTTTGTGGTTTTTAAATTTTGGGCCAAATTTATATAGATTTTAATTGTTTTTAATATTTGTATTTCATGTTTTTAATTCTGGCTGTGCACCGCCCTGAGTCCTCAGGGAGAAGGGCAGTATATAAATTGAAAAATAAATAAAAATAAATAAATAAGATGAAAATAATAAGTATCACTTTAAAATATTATTTTGTAGTTGATTGGAAGGAAGGGTACCATATCAATTTTTTAAAATTACTTAATAATTTGAAAAGATTGTTGGGATTTTTAACAGCTTCACACTGTAGGCAGGTTGGGCTAAAGCAGTAGATACAAACATGAGATTTTACTGGAGCTTCTAAACCAAACTCTTACATTCCTAACAGCACCAACACCCTGGACATTTTTGAAACTTTTGAAAGATATGATTTCAGCAAACATAGAATCCTAGAACTGACAACATCCACTTAATGTTTAGCAAAATATTTCCTTGTTCTACCAAAGAGAGAACATCAGCCACATCAAACAAAGCCTAAATTACATATTAAAAATGTTTCATTTTTTCCTTGCCCTCCTTTTATATCCCAGATAAACCCTCAATCACAAATGTTCCTACACTGGAGTAAAAAACATACAAGCAAATTAACAAAAAAAATGTCACTTTAAGAGGACATCACTTTTTTTAAAAAAAAAAGCCAGTCAAATATTTCTTTATCATTATGAATTGGGCCAATTCACTGAAATGTGGAATTTTTGGGAGATCCTTGGTGCTCTCTGAACTTGGTTATTTTCTTGAAGATGTTTCATTACCCAAACTAGGTAACTTCATCGGTGCTAGTAAGAAGTGGAGTTTGGCCTCAGCATCTCCCCACCAGCCATCAGCATCCAGATGAGCATAAATAAACTCCAAGATTACCATCAGACCAACAATAAAGAAATAAACAATACCCCAATCAAGAAACTGCCAAAGAAGCCAACAGTAGACAGCCTAACCAAAGAACCTCTACGACTACCCCAGGGAAAGCAACTAGAATATAAACTGAGAGGAAAACCCACTCTTTACTAGCACTGATGATGTTACCTAGTTTGGGCAATGAAACATCTGCGAGAAAACAACCAGAGAGCACCAAGGACCCATCATTTTAACCCTGAGTTACAAATATTCTCATTTATTCTGGTATTTTTGTCTGTCCCTCTTCATTGTGCAATTGTGGACTATACTATTATTTTCCAAATTCACAACTGATGAACAAACAGTGGATGGCTTAGAATCTCTCTGTATTTATTTATTTATTTATTTATTTATTCATTCATTCATTCATTCATTCATTCATTCAGTTTGTCAAACATGTACAAGATAGCAGGTATAAGTATGAACATGGACATGAACGAAGGTAATGAAAAGTTTGTTTGAGAACCACCAGGCTGAGAGAGCACTAAAGAACCCACAGCTTAACCCTCAGCTGCAAATATTCTTTTCTATCAATATTGGTATTTTTGCACTATAATTTATATTAAATGTGCTTAATACCATATTTGGGATATCTGAGTTATAGAAACTTTGAGTTATAGAAACGTAAGACCTCATATCCAAACAAAATCCAGAAAAAGATCAACAAATGAAAATTCCTTGGTAGGGATAGCTATTAAAATGAAATACCCAGACAATAAAGAAGAGATATACTTACTTTATCAGTTCCAATGTTATGGTTCCCCGGGGTTCTGCTTCTACGCTCTTCCCCCAAAACTTCAATTTAGGATAAATTGAGCCATGAAAAATGAAGTCCTGGTTTAAGCCTTCAGAGTAAAATGCGCTGACAGGTGGATGATGACTGACCTGTTCAGAAATTAACCTAAAACCTAAATCCTCCCTAGAAATAAGAAAAAGTGATCATCAGTATAAATCAGTGATTGAAAAAAAAAAAAGCTTCAAATTATTGCTGGGGTCAAACATTTGTCTATCAATTGTAACAGTTTCTGTATATATATTTCCTATATTGCCAATATCAATTATAATTACTGCCTTTGCAGCGCTGATGATGTTACCTAGTTTGGTGATTAAATGTCTGCAAGAAAACAACCAAGCTCAGAGAGCATAAAGGACCCCACAGTTCAACCTTGAGCTACAAATATTGTAATAGTAGAAATATTAGGGCACTAATTTGTACTAGGCAACTTCGATGCTCAAAAACAGAACTTCGAAGCTCTTGGCTTTACGAAAGGCCTCTTGTTATCAGTCAAAATTTGGAGGTAGGCTACTCAAGTGGGGATCACCCTAGAGATCACCTTCCAGATCTCCTTGGTTTTCTCCCTTTGTAGGTCATTTCCCTTTTGCTTCTTCAGGTTCAAAACTTTTTATTCCTAACCTGGTCTGCCATAGAAGCAGCGGATTGAAATTTACACAATATTTACCTGCTAGGATATGGCTATTCCAGCTAGAAATTCTACAAGAGACGATCTCAAAAGATCTGGGAAGCATTATGTTGTGTAGGATTACCCTTTGCCATTTAGAAACAGGCAGGCACCTGGCTAATATCTTAAATATTTATATTCACAAAATCCAAACTGGAAGCATTGTTTTGGGCCAGGAACAGAGGACGTATGTGGCACATTGCAAAAGTGAAATTAAGACTGTAGCCTCACCTGATTAATTCATATGTTTCTCCAAGGAGAGGGTTAAATGGTTTGCCTGTTCTCTCCCATTGAGAGGCGACAGCGGACACCGCAAAAGCAGCAACAATCTGCAAGATGCATTATGGGTAAGAATTTCTCCCATAGAACAGAAAATAACACAAATCGCATTCTTAATTACCCCGTTTCCCCAAAAATATACCTACCCTGAAAGTAAGTCCTAGTTTGATTTTTACACAGGCGCCCAATATAAGCCCTATCTCACCAAAATAAGCCCTAAATAAGTTCCTGAAGGCCTCTGACAGCGAAAAGGAGGCCAAAAGTGATGCGCACAAGTGAGGTTAATCAGTGGATGACATCCCCCCAAAATAAAACCTGATGCCTTTTTTTGGTAGCAAAAAAAAATATAAGACAGGGTCTTATTTTCAGGGAAACACGGTAGTAATGTAACAACATAATTAAACATTATTGTTCATTTTCAAATGCTCCTATCCAGTTTCCCCCAAGTATTGGGAGTGACCGGCACCCTGAAAATATTAATAACACCATGGGCACACTTAGTGCTACATGAGACCACTCACAAAATGGCAACTGGGGGAAGAGCTCCTCTATTCATAAAAAGGCTGATTTACGCAGATTCCTATTGCCACTTCCTCTAGAATAGCTCCTCCCTGAATGTCCTCCATTATTCCAATTTATATTTGATCCTTTTCAGAGCATATGAAAAAAGAAGACCTACAACTATTTTTACTATGTTTTTTTCTTCCTATTATACAGGATCAAACCTCACATCAAGGCCAACCAGTCTCTTGGCCTTACTTTATCAATTTTGACAGTCTGCCATTCAAATCAGATACTTTTTTTTTCCCCTAATGAGAAACAAGCCCTGATTATAGATGGTCCTGGACCACAGTTGAGGCCAAACTTTAGTTGCTAAGCGATACATTTGTTAAGTGAACATTTTGCCCCATTTTACGACCTTTCTTGCCACAGTTGCTAAGTGAATCACTGCAGTTGTTAGTAACATGGCTGTTAAGTGAATCTGGCTTCCCCATTAACTTTGCTTGCCAGAAGATTGCAAAAGGGGATCACAAGACCCGGGTCACTGCCACCGTCGTAAATATTAGTCAGTTGCCAAGTGTCTGAATTTTGACCATGTGACTATGGGGATGCTGCAACAGTCATAAGTGCAAAGAACTTAGCAACAGAAATTTTGGGCTCAATTGTGGTTCTAAGTCAAGGACTACCTGTACAAGTAAAAGAATTCCCATCCAGGACAGATACTTAAGCTACCTATTCTTGAATGGGAAGATCTCTCCCCTCCCTTCTCTGAAGGGGTGTGATAACCCTCTTCCCCTGATCTAAACTGTCTTGACAAAATGGATCCAGTTTCTCCACTGTAAACAGGGTGACCAGGCCTGAGTGGTTTTGGAATATGTGATGCCAGTAGAAATCCAACACTGCACTAACGTAACAGGTTAGGGGTAGGGAGATGGAGATGGGGATGGGGATGGGGATGGAATGGAATGGAATGGAACGGAACGGAACGGAACGGAACGGAACGGAACGGAACAGAAAGGAATAGGAATAGGAATAGGAATAGGAATAGGAATAGGAATAGGAAAGGAGGATAGGAATAGGAATAGGAATAGGAATAGGAATAGGAATAGGAATAGGAATAGGAATAGGAATAGGAATAGGAATAGGAATAGAAGAGTTGGAAGGCACCTTGGAGGTCTTCTAGTCCACCCCCTGCTCAGGCAGGAAACCCTATACCATATCAGACAAATGGTTGTCCAATCTCTTTTTAAAAACTTCCAGTGTTGGAGCATTCACAATTTCTGGAGGCAAGCTGTTCCACTGATTAATTGTTCTAACTGTCAGGAAATTTCTTCTTAGTTCTAAGTTGCAGTACATGGTTTGTATTTTCATACATATGACAGTGTGGCTACATGAGAATTAAGTTAATAGAAGTAAGATATAGAGACTCGTATCTATGCCCAAGAGATAGATATAATTAATCGAGTTTCACAGGAACAGCAAATGTAACTTTGGGTAACTGAGCAAAACCGCATGGAAAACAAACAAATAAACAATGGACACTTTCTGCTTCATTCCACATGGTCTATTGCACTTATCACTTTTTATCTTTTAACATTTTATTGATTGCATTGCAATTTCTTGGTTTGATTGTTGGGAGTTGCCCAGAGATATTGAGAGTCAGATGGCATGCAGGTTTCAACAAACAACGAAGACAATAGCAATTTTGCCAGGCAAGTTCAGCCTATTAGTTTCTGTGCTCTCTGAGTGCTGGGTCAGAGGATTTTAGTATCAGGCCAGCCAGGAAATCTCTCCTATAGTCTTTGGTATTCTGAGGACCTGCGGCCAAGTGCTGTCTACAGAAAAGGACGCTTCTAACTGCCTCTCTTGGCCGGAACTGAACCCCTGCTTTACACTCGAAGAGGCTTTATAGAGCTACAAAATAGCTAAGAGTCACCAGCTAGCCTTCAATCTTGGTTGTGAGTTTTCCATGACCTAGCTCAGTGATGGCTAACCTTTTTCTCGTTGTGTGCCAAAAGCATGCACGTGTGCACGCGACAGTGAGCGCATGTGCTGGCACCCCTAATGTAATGCGCGCCCCCTGTGCATGCGTCCACAACCCCCCTATGCTCCCTCCACCCCATGCATGCGCACGCGACCCCCCACGCTCCCATCCCCCGCGCATGCACAAGTGAGCCCCATCCCCCGTTTTGGTCCTAGCAGGCCTCCCTGCAGCCTCCTGGGCCCAAAAATGGGCCGGGAGGGGTTTCACACCGCACCCCCCCATGCTCCGCCCTGGTGCATGCACGCATGACCCCCCCTGCACATCCCGAAAATAAGATGGCCGGCGGGAGGCATGCATGCGCGCGCAGTGGAGTTGAGCTGGGTGACAGGTTGCGTGCCCGCAGAGAGGGCTGTGTGTGCCAGCTGTGGCACGTATGCCATAGGTTTGCCATCACAGACCTAGCTACTCTGAAAACTTATTATAAGTGCTCTCTATCTTAAAGCAAACATGATTACTAGTAGTCTCTCTCTCTCTCTCCCTCCCTTTCCCTCACACAAACTCCTACTTTTACAAGATTCTTACTACATACTACTAAGTATGCAGTGTGAAGGGGAAGAAAGCCATAACGCAGCCATAAAAATATGAAAAATCTTACCTGCATTCTTTCTAGAGGGTTAGAATGACAGTTTGCTTTATTAATGAGGTATGTGTGCTCCATATATTCTGTTATTCGTTGAAGGAAGCTCAGGGGTTCATTGAAGGCAATGGGCATGGTAATTTTTGACAGCTCCTAAGTAGTGAGAAGGGGGGGAAATACAAAACTGTGATTCCACAAGCAAATTTTAAACAACTGTCAATTAATAGACATCAGCCCCAGATATCTGCCTTACAGCTTGCTGCTACTTAAACATCAGACAAACAAAGCATAATGCGAAGGAATGTTATTTCAGCTGCCACAACTGAAATAACTGCTGAAATTATGATAACCGAATTTATGCTGCCTATTTTTTTCAATGTAAGTTGTCTTTGAACAGTTATACTGTTTCATTATTTTTACTTCTTAATCTATCCATTCTGCTGGATGGATAGATTACCTATCCAATTTACACACATTATATTTCAAATATATTGTAGCCTGTTCCTCAACCTCAGCTACTTTAAGATGGACTTCAACTCCAGATGGGCCTGGTGGCTCAGCAGACTGATAGCATTGTGATTAACACCAGCTGTCTGCAATTACTGTAAGTTCAAATCTCACCAGGCTCAAGGTTGACTCAGCCTTCTATCCTTTCTAAGGTAGGTAAATTGAGGACCCAGTTGTGGGGGCAATAAGATGACTTTGTATAAATATACAAAAGTATGAAGGCTATTGCTTAACGCATTGTAAGCTGCCCTGAGTCTCCGGAGAAGGGCGGCATATAAATCAAATTAAAAAACAAAAAACAAAAACTCCCAGAATTCCCCAGCCAGCCATGCCACTCTATAAGCTAAAGTCCAGCCATCTTAGCAATAGCAATAGCACTTAAGACTTATATACCACTTCACAGTGCTTTACATCCCTCTCTAAGGGGTTTACAGAATCAGCATATTGTCCCCAACAATCTGGCTCCTTATTTCACTGACCTCAGAAGGATGGAAGGCCGAGTTAACCTTGAGCTGCTGAAAATCGAACTCCTGGCAGTTGGCAGAATTAGCCTGCAATACTGCATTCTAACCACTGTGCTACAGCTCCTAAAGTTGCTGAGGCTGAGAAGCACTGTAATAGATCTTCAGCCAGCCATTAAGAAACAAGGCAACCTTATTTGTCTTCTGTATGTATTCACCAGTATTTACATTACTCTGTCTATCTGATTTATTGCCATCCGTCTGATTTATTTCCACACTATATTTATCAAATATGCCAAGCAAACCATACTAGTATACCATAGTAACTTACCAAACCAATGCATTTTTTTAAGATACTCCAGACACTGAAATCACTCCTAGTAAACATTGCAGCAGGTAAAGATGTTCTGCCGGAAGAATAAATCAATATATTAATACTAGGGTCCCCCACCTTTCCATAAAATATTATTCTGCAATGGTCACTACACAAAGCTGTTTTCTGGATTTCTTCAATGGTACAGGTAAACAGTTTTAAAGTGACAGGTAGAAACATAAAACTACCTGTTGGGATATTTTCAGTAATTCTTCCAAGATTCTTCCAACACTTTTGGCTTGATCTTTGCAATATAATGAATGTATATGAGCATTATCCTGCCTTGAAGAATATGGCATGTGCACACCCATGTGCGCTTTTAAACACAACGATAGCAATTTCTAAAATTTGGGAATGTAAGTATTATTTAGTACAAACTCTATTGAGAACAATGAGATTCGCCTCCAAGAAAAGGGTAAGTTTTTGTTACACAAAGCAAACCTTAAACAATAAGGTAAAATCACCCAAAGAACTGAATTAGATTTGTATTAGTTAACTTTTTTAATGAAAACTAAATGGGAGAAAATCTAACATGACTTTTCTAACGAAGTGCAAATAGAACTTCAGCTTTAAAATTAAACATCCTTTTAGATCAATGTTTTTCAACCTTGGTTGGCAACTTTAAGATGGCTGGACTCCAACTCCCAGAATCCCCCAGCCAACATGGCTGGCTGGAGAATTCTGGGAGTTGGAGTCAATCATCTTACAGTTGCCAAAGTTGACAAAGTTTTAGATAATTCTGGAATGAAAAAACAAAAAAACTCTGACACAACTAAGTAATTAAAATCAATACTTTTATTCCAACTAAAAATGAAGGACTTACAGTTTACCTCAGCGCTCGATTGCTTCAAAACTTGTCAAATTCGGTATTCAACATGTTTTGAAGCAGGAATCTTCTCCTGCCACTCATCTTTTTCCTGGTAGTTGACATGTAAGGAAGAATTTGCTGATGTTGGCTGCCTTGTGACTCGCTATTTCTTGACCAAAATAGTGGGTCACGCAGTTTAGTCTCCTGATTTTCTAGGTACTGATCGGTTGTAGAATTTGTCACGTCTTCTGGAACAAATTACCGATGGGTACTGAGGTACCACTGTATTTTTCAGTTTGCTTGTGGAACATGATTCTCAAAGTGTAGCATTCCCACTTCCCATTTTGATGATGAACTTCAGAATCAACCATTGCTGTTGGAAAACCCTCCTAAACTGCCCTCTGTTCCACTCATTGTAGTTTATATATCAATCTAATAATTTTTAAGTATTAAGAGAATTAAAAAGCAAAAGGAATAGTTCTTCATACACAGGTATGAAGTCTACACACTGCTCACTCTCAAAAGGAGGTCTCCTTAGTAAAAATTCCCAACCAAAGCAATTATTTTACTAATGTGAGGTCCTGCTTGGTCAGTTCCAGAGATAGTACCTATGTTTCTTGATTCCGTTCTCTTGTACTGGCCCATCGCCATTGTGCTTTCCAGTCCTGTTACTCTGGTGATCATCCACATCAACTTTGTGAACTGCTTCTGAAAATTCTCCTGAAGAATTATCGGAATCAAAGCCTGTGTAAAGAAAGTGAACCATATTGAAACAAATCACAGGACTCAGGGGGTGGTCCTGTAAATAATAACAGTAATGGAAAGCAGCAAGCACGAAGTACTTCTACGCAGATGAACTGCACGTGTAAATGTCATAAACTGAATTTTTTGTGCTACTCCAATATGAAGAACCATTCATTCCATTCTTTTGGGTTTGATTACGCTTACTCCTTTATGCGACTACTTACGTAGACCATCTAAAATAGGTAAGTTAGGTTCCTAGAGTCAGTAGGAGTTTATATCAGGGTTTTCCAAACCTGACAACTTTTAACATGTGTGGATTTGAACTCTTGGAATTCCCCAGCCTGCACACTTGTGCTGTTCTCCAAATAAGTATGCACCATTCCCCAAATAGCATGCAGTTCTTCGCAATGCTTTGGCAGGCTTTTCAGGCCTTTTAAAACGTCACAAGAAGGCCATGCCAAGGCAAGGCAATTTGGAGAACAGTGCGTGCTATTTGAACAGTGCAAGAGCCTCGGGAAGATGTGTTGTGGCCAGCAAGAGATAGCAAAGGGGCAGGGCAGATGGCCAGCAAGCAGAGGGAGGCAGGCTGGCTGAGCAGGGTGGCAAGGGCCGCAGGTTGGGCAGAGCACAGGACAGCAGAGCGAGTAGAGTCTAGGGAGGTGGGGTTGACAGGGAGTTTGTGTTGGCAGGGGGGCAGAGGTCGACCTCGAGGCACCTTATTTGTGGGGTGCCACAAGGGTCAGTCCTCTCACCCCTTCTGTTCAACATTTATGTAAAACCGCTAGGCAAGATCATCCATGGTTTCAGGGTGAGTGTTCATCAGTATGCTGATGATACACAGTTATACATCTCCACCCCAGACCACCCCAACAATGCCCTTACTATGATGTCCCGTTGCCTGGAGGCCGTGCGGATCTGGATGGGGAGAAACAAGCTCAGACTCAACCCCTCCATGACCGAGTGGCTGTGGCTTCCTGCGTCCCGGTATAGTCAGCTGGTACCATCACTGACAATTGGGGATGAGACCTTGCTCCCCACAGAGAGGGCCCGCAACTTGGGTGTCCTCCTGGATTCACAGCTATCTTTAGAAGATCATTTGACGGCCGTGGCCAGGGGTGCCTTTTATCAGGTTCGCCTGATCCGCCAGTTGCGTCCCTTTCTGGATCGGTCTTATGCACGGTCACTCATGCCCTAGTCACCTCCCGTATGGACTACTGTAATGCTCTCTACATGGGGCTCCCCTTGAAAAGCACCCGGAGACTCCAACTGGTCCAAAATGTAGCCGCGCGGGTGATTATGGGCGCAGCTCGTTGCGCCTATGTAACACCTCTCCTACGCAAGCTGCACTGGCTCCCGGGGGTCTTCCGGGTGCGATTCAAAGTGTTAGTCATCACCTTTAAAGCGCTCCATGGCTTAGGACCTGGGTACCTACGAGACCGTCTTTTGCCACCAATAGCCTCCCACCGACCAGTTCGTTCTCACAGGGAGGGACTACTCAGGGTACCGTCAGTCAAATTATGCCGACTGACGACTCCCAGGGAGAGGGCATTTTTTGTGAGGGCTCCAACCCTTTGGAATGAACTGCCCCCTGAGATACGAAATATCCCTGATCTCCGTGCTTTCCGCCGTGCCCTCAAGACCCTGATGTTCCAACAGGTGGGGCTAAACATATGAACATGTGAATGATTTAAAATGTTATCTAATTTTAGGTTCTATTTAATTGAGCCAAACTATGTTATAATAATAATTTTAATTAGCAATTTTATGATGTTTGTGTATCTATATTTTTTCTTGACTGTATACCGCCTTGAGTCCTACGGGAGAAAGGCGGTATAGAAATTAAATAAATAAATAAATAAATAAATAAATAAATAAATAAATAAATAAATAAATAAATAAATAATAAATAAATACATACATACATACATACATACATACATACATACATACATACATACATACGACACCAAGCTGCTTCCTTTACATAAATTGTTTTCTAGGCCGAAAAGCTATGGTCTGGGCAGATGTCCAATTAGATCGCTTTTTTTTTTCCTCACAAGCAAGTATTTCTTGCCACAAGAAACAATATGCATCAGAACACAGGATGCTTGAATCACAGTAATGACAACTGTCATTATTTTTCAAAGAGAATTCTGAGCTCCTGTTCTGACCCAGCTCCCCAAACACGACAAACCCTCTGAAGTGAACTCAAAGATTCCTTTAATTAGGACTGCTGGCAGCACAGCAAAAGTTTCTCTCTCACCACAGACTAACAAGTCCAGCCGGCCGGCTGGGAGATGAATAGTTGTCTGCCACATCTATTCATCTCCACCCCTTGCCTTTTATCTCCAGAGCTAGGGTGGGGCTTCGCTAGCAGCGGTGGCTCTTCCTTCCCAAGGATCAGCCCACTGATTTCCATTGCTCTCCTCTCCTCTGCCTTCTGTGCATCCGCGCATCAGGCACTGGACCCAGCTGTTCCTCCTCTTCCTCATCAGCCACCTCCAGACCTGGGGGCTGTTGACTCTCCATCTGAGGGCTGACGAATGGGCCAGGCTCCATCTCTCTCTCTCTCTCTCTCTCTCTCTCTCTCTCTCTCTCTCTCTCTCTCTCTCTCTCTCTGTGCCAGCTCCATTCCCTCTTCCCCCCTTGAAGTTCTCAGGTTGCCTTGCTGCTGACCCTGGCTCCCAAGCCTCCTCCTCCTCTGATTCAGCTACTGGAGGGGCTGGCAGCCGACAGGCCACAACAACTACGAAGTCAGTGTGAGCCTCAGTGTCCCTTCTGTGAAGGATCAGATCTGTGACTTCAAAGCATTCTAGTTTTGAAGTGGCTGCTAGTTGAGCAGGTGGAAGTGATGGCTAAGAGATCTTTTGCCCACAGGCTCATTATCACTCACCTAGACTACTGCAACGTGCTCTGCATGCGACTGCCTCTGAAGACTACCTGAAAGCTACAGTTGATTCAGCATGTAGCAGCCCATGTGCTGCACTTTGCACTGACAGCACATTCCCCTTGGGCTTTGAGTCCAGCATGGAATCCCAACAGACATGTAGATGCAATTCAGGTATTGTTTTGACTACAAAGCTGTACATGACTTGATGCGTGATTACCTGCAAAAACCGGCTTCTCTTGTCACAACCAACCATCACAATTGTCCTGGGGTAAAAAATGTAGCAACTTTTTCAGGCAGTCACCAATTGACTTGAAGGCAGCACACAATCAATAAATATACCGCTGTAAATAAGTCGGTACAGGCCTTACTATTGTTTTTGGCAACATACCCACATTCCTCTTACTTTAGATTACAAGCTATCTAGCAGAAATGTCAATTTCATTTTCTAAAGCCTGAAAGGCAAACAAATATGTAAATGAAGTGGCTAGTGGTTCAATTATTTCTGCCATGTGGGTAATATCAGTTGAGAAGGAAGGGGAGAAGTAAACAAAGTCACAGGCAATTTGTCTCAGGTTAACAGCTTATGAATTATATAATGACGCTTATAGAATTTAAGAAAGCAAAGAGAATATTAGAAGCTGCCATATTTTAATAAGCTATAGCAAGAAAGTACAAGGAAAAAGAATATTAAATGTTCATTTAATATTCATTTTGCGTACGGGACTGAGGTATGGCTATCTAACAAGGGCATGGAAGGACAGACAGTCACTAACTTAAAACAGTCTTTTCAACTCTGGACAGGATGTAATGAGATTTTAGCCAGCGCAGAAACTACCGGTATGTCTAGTTGTAATCGTAATATATCTCTAGAGTAATCTTTCTACCTGTCAGGCCCAGCCCAAGGATGACGTAGAACAATGCAGCCAAAGTTCAGTGCTTTATCTGCTTATACCATATCAACAGAATCTTATCAAATCAAACCTATATAGACAACAGATCAGTGATGGCGAACCTATGGCACAGCTGCCGGAAGTGGCACGCAGAGCTATCTCTCCAGGCATGCCAGCCGTCACCAATTGCTCTTCCGGGTTCCAGAATGCACTGATCTTTGCGTGTGTAGGAGCACCAGAAACTGGAAGAGCAGCTCCCTGGCACGCATGCACGTGCCGGGAAGCTGAGGTTCTGGTTTCCGGCTCACCAGCTGGTCTTTGCGCGCTAGAAACCAGAAGACCAGGTGACCGCCAGAAACCGGAAGTTCAGCTTCCTGCTGCGCACAAGAATGCCGGGGAACTGCACTTCTGGTTTCCGGCGCTCCCGCACACTCGCACTCCCATTTTGGCATTCAGTGCCAAAAAGGTTCGCCAACACTGCTATAGATTATTTTACTGCTCTATAGATTACTTCTTGTAGATTACAGGTAATCCTCGATTTACAACAGTTCATTCAGTAACTGTTCAAAGTTACAGCCGCACTGAAAAAAGTGACTTAGGACCATTTTTCACAGTTATAACCTCTGCAGCATCCCATGGTCATGTGATCAAAATTCAGATGCCTGACAACTGGTTTGTATTTATGACGGTTGCAGTATCCCGGGGTCATGTGATCACCTTTTGCGATCTTCTGACAAGCAAAGTCACTGGGGAAGCCAGATTCACTTAATGACCAGGTTACTAACTTAACAACTATGGCGATTCACTTAAACAATTGTGTCAAAGAAATGCCTTGAAATCGGGCAAAACTCACTTAACAAATGTCTCGATTAACAACAGAAATTGTTAGGCTCAATTGTGGTCATAAGTTGTGGACTACCTGTATTCTATAAACCTATGGAGTAATACATACAGTAGTACCTTAACAAATATATCCTGGGGAAAACTATCCTAACTCTCTTCCTATATCTCCAATCCAGCTCTGGCCTGTGTTGTCTCTTTTCTCACAATCCTCCATAGAGTGTGCTACCTCTTTCCTGGGAAACTGACTCTTCACTATCATACCACCTTTCCCTGTTCAGAGGCACAATCCATCACACTACCCTTGAGAAACCCACAAAATAATGTTCAGGGACTCACAGACCCCCTGGCATAAAAATTATAAAAAAAAATAAGAATAT